CTCACCTCAGAGACCAACTTCTCAAAAGTGCTGTTGATATTGCGCGCCTGCTCAATTTTCATGAAAGATCCAGCCCAGGAGAGCTCAGTCGTGAGTGTCAGGGGGTCCAGGGCGAGGGTAATCTTGAATCCAGGGTAGAGATTGGGGTCAAGAGGCGAAGTTGGGTCGTCGTCGCGCCTTGCTGCGTGAGACTCCAACTTGAAACGTCGAAGCACAAGCGCAGTGTTGAGTTTGTCGGTGATTCTCGTTGAAGATACTATCATTGGGTCACACTCAGCAAAGACCTTATGCACCTGTTGATCGCCGCCCACGTTGAGCTGTATAGCCTGGCTCTCCGACAGGGGGAACCCAGATGAATCGATATCGTTATCAAATATTTGATTGCTGTATCCGAAACAGACTGTGTCGAGACCAGTAAAACAACTGAGCAAGACGCCCCAGGCGGTGCAAACAGCAGCGTTGACATGAGGACGGCTTTGTAGTCCAGTGTTGGTGAGATTGCTTCTGATTGCAAGGTAATTTGGGCGACTGTTCTCGCCAACATCGAACGCAGGGAACACGCATGACTCTAATTCTTTCAAAACAGATTCCGGGGAGTCATCTGATCGGTGACTGTTGAGAGCCATTGTGAGCTCCAATTTGCTGGGAATCAGTCTACAGAACTGAAACAGATGATGCGAGATGGGATATCCGGAGACTGAATATGAGTGAACGTCTAGCTCTGGTGGGCAATGGATAAGAGCCCAGATCTCAGTTGGACCAATGTGGAAAGTATCAGTGTACAGGTAGAATCGATAGTTTTCCTGCCAAAATCCAATGAGCAAAGAGCGCAGTACTACAGACCCTCTGGGAGGCTCTCAGTGCCCCAGCTCAAGGCTCGCTTGGCCACCAAACCAGATGAGTGATCGCAGTGTGCTGTCACGATGCAGGTGGCTGGGCTAAAAGGCATCTGCCGATCCTTGATGGCGCTCATATTTTGCCAGTACCGCATCATGCCTGCAGACGGCTTACCCCTGACGGACTTGCAGCTGGCGGCCTCATCTGTGAAGTGTCCTATTCGGGCGCCTCTGGGTGTGAAAGCAAGGCTTCCGGAACAAATTTAGAATTCGAGAGCGGCTGAAACTTTTCGCATCGAGGTTGTCCTTGGCTTCGCGGTATCACCCCCTCCTTTCTCGGTACATGTACATGAGCCCACAGCCTCCCAGACAGGGTTGCGTACAAGTCAGGAAACACTCACGAAGCGAGTACATGTACCTATCATACAGTTACCCAGTCCCTTAGCTGCCGCAATGCTCCTTGATCAGGGTGATTTCAAGATAGTTGTGTAGACGGAATGTAACTATGACGGAGCTGAATACGTATCAAAGTGCAACTGGAATTGATGCATGCACGGTCAAATTGGTTGGTTACGCGGGCACAATGGGGGTTCAAGCCCAATATTTTGACTAAACTGCCCACGCACGTTCTTATTTACTGATCGCGAGCGCGACTCAGGCAAGTCAGTATCAGCATCGCGGACCTGTGTCCTTTGCGCTCCTGCAACAAACAAGCTGCTGTTCAAATCACTTCTTGGGTAGTCCGTATCCCTACTTCTCCTCACGCCAGGCGTCGTCCAAGTTCGCTGCATGCAAAGGAACTGCAAGGTCCGTGCCTGGTAGCTCAGCCAGCCAGTGAATGAACAAAGAAGGTGGGTGTACCCATCTGCCTGCTTCTTGCAGCTAGGCCGACGTTATACGATGGTCCTGGACAACGCCAAGTTACGGATAATATTTAAATTTGCGGCGGGTCTCGCGCGCTCACTAGATAATCGCGCGCTCACTAGATAAGGACCAGGCGTATGTAGTGATGTTGTCGATCAAGGCGCACCGGATCTGCTTTGACAAACCAAATGTCAAGCCACAAGACGCCTAGTTTTGGCAAATATGCTACATCAGTCGATAATCTGCAGGGTAGAAATTTTCAGTCTGACCGGTCAAGAACTCTAGGGGGAACAACGTGAGTAATTACGTACATGTACCCCGGACAGTTGTTTTGGTGCGCGCTTGCGCCAAGCCAGGCTCCGGTGCCCTGCGGGTTGCAACTTGCAAGCTGTTGGCCAAGCGGACGCCAAGGATGGAGAGGGATCGGGCCGCCGACTAGACTAGTGGAAGTGGAGGTCCGGGGAGGCGGCTAACATACCGGCAGGGCTACCCAAGACTTTTCTATTGGAGTTTTGTGCGCAACTTGCCTGTCCGACTCGGCCCTTGACGCGCGCCACTGATCGGACAAACGCACTCTGGAGGCAGCCTCTCGATCTCCCTGCGGCAGTGGTGCCCTACTAATGAAAGCTTGTAAAAGCCTTCCGTCTTAGCTCCGGCAAAATTTGCCGTAATATGCTTCCAGCCTTGCTTGAGTCCTGTTCTCCTGTTCGCTACTGTCCATGTCGTCGGTTGCCTCTCATGGGTGACATGGTTCAAGGTCGCGCCTCGCCGGGAATCAGCAAGCACGCACCGACAGATCGACTGTTCGGAAATTAACTGATCATCTGGGCATCGTGCGTCGGAGCGAGCGGCTAAGGTTTCCTGGGGGTGTCGGCAGTACAGGACCCTTTGATCGAGGACTTGTACGTACACGCCATTACTTAGTAGCAGTCTCCGTATCGAGACGACAAATGAAGCACGGTTTCGCTCCGAAGCCGAAAGAGGTCAATTACTCGGTCACTATTACGTGTTCGTGCACGACGTGGATCAATAAGTTCTCGAAGCTCCGTGCCGAGCGTCTCGCAGGATTTCCCAGGCACACCTTGCCATTCCGACGGCGCAACAATGACCACACGCACTCGCAGTGCATGCTCCTAAAATCGCAGCATGTTCAGCTCTGATGTACCTCTAGTCTACATGGCAGGGTAGCAATTGGTATGCATTGGTCTAGTTGATCAGCCTTTAATGTTTAGGGTGTGTGTTCCTACTTGCTTCAGATTTGATGGTTGACAACTTGGCATCATGAATAAAATCTCCCGCTCTCAGCCTCGTTTGCAATCAGCACCAGCAAGCGCCGATCCTCTAGACTGCAGCCATACGAATCAACTCTCCGAACTGCCGGGGGAGGGGAGGGGAAGATGTTTTTTTCCAGATAGTGGTGGCCACAAAACTGACAGGTCACTCCGCAAAGAATTATTCCACCGCGCGTAGGCCAACCAGGGACGTGCATGGCACCTTATTCACTTCTGTAGACCACCACCGGCTTGCCATGCGCGTGCAGGATACGGGGTTTGTGTGTTTCTTGTCTCTTCCGGACCAATGTCCCCTCAGCCACGCCGTCACCGTTCGGGTGAATGCGTCGGCATGGACTACTTCCGGGTGTCTGCTTTAGTGTTCCTGTTCTGCCTCGTACCTAGCTCTGATCCTCCCCCGCCCCCCTGACCACAACAGTCCCGGCTTGGCCTTCTGCGGCCTCGGTGGAGACTAGTATGGTCGGTGGCATCCTGCGGGGCCAAGCAGGTCTCAGCCATATGCGCGACTGACAAGTTGGGCAGACGGACTAACGAACAGGTCGGTCAGTCTCGTCCGAAGAAGAGTTGCGGTTTGGTCGCCACTGCGGGAAGGAAACGTTTTGCGCTGTCATTGACACATCAAATGACATTGGGGCTGCAGACGTGTCGCGTCACTTCATGTCGTGGCACCACGCTTACTCTGAACCGGGCCCTCGTCGTTGTAAACTTTTCTCCTCAATACAGATGGCCACGAGACATTTCTTGTGTGCAGAGACGGACCAACATTCAGTCTAGACAGAGCACAGTCAGACATGGCCTCTCCAAACTGCACCAGCATCGACAATTCGCTTGGACCTCACGCAAGCGATTGCAGAGGTGGCTTCGACTTGACTCTCTTCTTTGAGGATGTCGTACTCACTATTCCCATTGCCTCTTTGTTACTGCTAGCAGCCCCTTGTCGAGTATTCTACCTGCTGAGTAAAGGCACTGTCAAAGTAAAAGCCGACTATCTACGACATCTGAAAGTCGTAAGTTGCATCTTTCTTGATCGACTCATTAGGAGAACTATGATGCTTCTTTGACCCAACTAACTCTGCTAGATCGCATATGTCCTACTCAGTGCCTCTCACGTCGCTGCTCTCGTGCTTTGGGCCCGGGCAACTGCGGTGCCAACTAGGGCATCTCTGCCAGCAGCTGCACTGTCGTTTGTCAGCTCGTTGTGTCTTTTGGTGTTATCATATGTTGAGCATCTCTACTCATACCGCCCCTCAACTATTATCAACCTGTTTCTCCTCTTGTCGACCCTGTTTGATGCAACTCGCACACGGACACTATGGCTGCAGCCATATAACCGTTCAGTTGCTATATCATCACTGATATCAGTCGTTCTCAAGCTGATGGCGCTTGCTCTGGAAGTCACAGAGAAGCGACACATCCTGCCATCGGCGAACCAGAACTTGACACCTGAATCTACCAGCGGTATACTGTCAAAATGGCTCTTCGCATGGCAACTGCCATTGTTCCGTGCAGGATATTCCAATACTCTGGGAATCAATGATCTGTTCCATCTTGATAAGCATCTCAAGTCGACACTCCTACACTCCAAGCTGCAACAACGCTGGTCTTCCGGTGAGTCTGATGAAACTCAAATCCTGTTGAAGCAGGAGCTGATTGATATAAGCCTCTTCGCGATCCAAACACGCCTTGTTGTTCAGAGTTGTCACTAGCCTCAAAGGCCCAATCTTGAGCATTGTTTTTCCTCGCCTGTGTTTCATTGGCTTTACTTTCTGCCAACCGTTCCTCATATCGACAACCCTCACGTGGGCTGAACGCGACAGCGATTCTGATGATCAAGATCAAGGATATGGTCTGATTGGGGCGTGGTTCCTAGTGTATCTAGGCATTGCCGTGAGTCTGCCGTCAGATGTTGGATGTGCTGCAGATCAATGACTGTACATAGATCACCATGGGCCAGCACCAACACTTGACATTTCGTGCCATCTCCATGGCACGCGGTCAAATTATTTCGATGCTCTTCGACAAAGCCACAGACCTCACAATCACCGCCGCAGACCCTACCGCAGCTCTCACCTTGATGAGCGCCGATATCGAACGAATCGACATGGGCTGGCGTACCGCCCACGATCTATGGGCGAACCTCGTCGAGATTGGCATTGCCATTTACCTACTCGAGCGTCAGCTGGGGATAGCCTGTCTAATACCCGTCGCGACGGCGCTTGGTGAGTCAACAGATTTGAAGTGGAGGATCCGCTGACTCTTCAGTATCAATCGTCGGCTCCATCATCGCTGTGAGCTTTGTCATGGCGCGCCAAGCAATGTGGCTCGAAGCCATCGGAAAACGCATCGCTGTGACGTCCCAAATGCTGGGCGCCATGAAAGGGGTCAAGATGTGTGGCTTGACTAGTGTCCTCGAAGCGCGGATCTCGTCCATGAGAGATGATGAGCTGCACATCTCTGGCAAATTTCGAAGACTTCTGATTTGGAACATGGGACTTGGTTTGTGCGCTCTCTTCCGCAGAAACGCTTATAGCTGACCAGGCGGCTTGTCACAGCTTACCTTGCCCCCATCCTTGCCCCTATCTTCACTTTCACAGCGTATAGTCTCCTAGCTCGTAATCAGGGTGATGGGGGTACTCTAGATACAAACCGTGTCTTCACATCCCTTTCCTTGTTTGCGCTTCTTCAAGAGCCCCTCACCTCCTTCGTCACGTCTCTGTCTTCCTTCGTTGGATCCATTGGGTGTTTTTCTCGCATCCAGGCCTTCTTGGAGTCCGATGTCCGCAGCGACCAGAGGCTGGTTCATGACACTTCCAACAGTGGGAGTAGCTCGTCGCAATCTACTCTATTCAAAAAGAGTAATGAGAAATCGGCTCAAGAAACGGACGTGGACAAGGCTGGTGAGGCACAAGGAGGATCACCCACAAGAGAAAATGATGTGACCATCAAAATTCAAGATGGTGCTTTTGGCTATGCCTCGGATAAGGATCCCAATCTGACCGACATCAGCATCGAGGTGCCATCCTCCCAGTTTACAATGGTCGTCGGTCCAGTCGGTAGCGGCAAGTCTACGCTGCTCAAGGCTATACTGGGAGAAGTAGCCCTCATGGCCGGCAACGTCCACATCATGGGCTCCGAAATTGCGTATTGTGACCAGACCCCGTGGCACATGAATGGTACTGTACGCGCCAGTATCATTGCCTTTTCTCCCGTGGATGAGCGCTGGTATGAGCAGGTCTTGCAGGCATGTGCGTTGACACAAGACTTTCGCCAACTCCCCAAAGGTGACCAGACCACCATTGGCAGCAAAGGCATTGTCTTGAGTGGAGGCCAGAGTCAAAGAATTGTGAGCCACCTTCGGTTGAATCTCCACACTCGTCTTTTCTAATCATCCATAGAGCTTGGCAAGAGCTGTGTACGCGCGCAAGTACACCATCATCCTCGATGATGTTTTCAGCGGCTTGGACGCTCATACCGAGAACGTTGTCTTCCATAACCTTCTTGGCAGCAAGGGTCTTCTGAGGCGGTCGAGTACGACTGTCGTCGTTGCCTCCTCACGATGTAAGTCTTGGTTCATGAACAGTTATCCCATACTAAGCAATGTCTAGCCAACCGTCTTTCCTATGCCGACTACATCATCTGCCTCGACGGCACTGGCAAAGGATGCGAGCAAGGGACCTTCCAAGAGCTATCCGCTTCGGAGGGCTACGTTTCTCAATTGCTTGTTACATCGGCGGATTGGACACGCCCCTCTGCGACTGATCCTCAGGACGAGGATTCAGCCGTCAAGCATGAACTCGCTCAACTCGAAGAAGAGAAAGACGAGGCTGGCCGTCGGACTGGCGACATTGCCATCTACACATACTACATCCGCGCCATTGGATGGCTCCCCACGTTTATCTTCATCTTTGCCATCTGTGCCTTTATCTTTTGCCAGTCCTTCCCCACCATCTGGCTCAACTGGTGGGCAGCAGCGAATGCGGAAGAGCCACACCAACGCCTCGGCTACTACCTTGGAATATATGCCATGCTGGGCGGACTAGCTCTCATTTTCCTGGTCGTCAGCTGCTGGCAGATGATTGTCACAATGGTCCCATTGTCAGGCAAGAACTTCCACTCCAATCTCCTGAAGACGGTGCTCAACGCACCCATGTCCTTCTTCGCTGCCACGGATGCTGGAGTCACAATCAACCGCTTCAGCCAGGATTTGCAACTTATTGACATGGATCTCCCCATTGCAGCACTCAATACCTTTGCTACCTTTGTTCTTTGTATCGCGCAGCTTGCACTCGTGGCCGTTGGCTCGTACTACACTGCCATCGCATTCCCGTTCTTGTTTGCTGCGCTCTGGCTGGTGCAGCATGTTTACCTTCGAACGTCTCGCCAACTACGTTTTATGGATCTGGAAGCCAAGAGCCCTCTGTATGCATTGTTCACCGAATCCGTCACCGGGTTGGCGACCCTGCGCGCCTTTGGCTGGCGTGGTGCTCTGGAGGACAGGCTCTACAATCTCTTGGACCGTTCCCAAAGGCCATTTTACCTACTGTACGCTGTTCAAAGATGGCTGACGTTGGTCCTCGACATGTTCGTCGCAGGCATCGCTGTGCTTCTGGTTTTTTTGATCACGCAGCTGCGTGGTGTCTTGCCTCCCGGGCTCATCGGCGTTGCGCTCGTCAACGTCATCTTGTTCAGTCAGAATCTGAAGCTTTTGTTGATGTTCTGGACCAATCTTGAGACCCATATTGGTGCCATCTCTAGGATCAAGTCATTCACTACTCACACTAAGTCGGAGCACGAGGTGCAGGAGACGGAGGTTCCTCCGCCAACTTGGCCATCACAGGGGGGTGTCGAGTTCGAAAACGTCTCTGCAGGCTACAAGTGAGTGCATCTAGCTGGGTTACCATCGGAGGTATAATTCTGATCATCTTTGCAGGCCGTCAGAGAACGTTCTTAAGGGCATATCATTATCCATCCAACCAGGTCAGAAAGTTGGCATTTGTGGACGAACGGGCAGGTAATGTCCGCCTTGAAAATTATCCCGTAGTAAGTTGTGCAACAGTACTAACAATTTTTCTTTTCTCTCGCATCAGTGGTAAAAGCTCAATGGTTTCGTGCCTCTTCCGCATGATCGACATCCACGAAGGCCGGATCACCGTGGACAATATCGACATCACAACCATCCCAAGAGAAGATGTCCGCACGCGCTTGGTCGGTGTGCCACAGGACGCCTTTCTTATCGACGGCAGTAGCGTGCGACTCAATGCAGATCCGGCTGAGAAGCTATCGGACGCGGCCGTCGAGGATGCCCTGCAACTCGTGGAGCTGTGGGACATTGTGGCCAGCAAAGGCGGCCTCGACACACCGATTGACGACTTGCATCTCTCCCATGGTCAGATGCAGCTGTTCTGCATTGCTCGTGCGATGCTGCGTCCCTCGCCTATCATTGTTCTTGACGAGGCCACCAGCAGGTAAGCAATTTTCAGTCTGCTCCATGCACCGCACCGCGAAATATGCTCCAACTGGTCACTCACACACTCGTCCAGCGTCGATGCACACGCAGACGATCTTATACGACGGGTTATGAAGGAGAGATTCTCCAATCATACAATCCTCTCCATTGTGCACAAGCTCGAGTCCGCTCTTGACGATTTCGACCTAGTGGCAGTCCTAGACGCCGGTGTGCTCGTCGAGTTCGGGCCCCCTCGGGAGCTACTGCAGCAAGGCGTGGACAAATCTCCATTTGCCGCGCTCTACGAGAGCTTGTCCTCCAAAGTTCAGAGTGTCAGAGATAGAGTTGTAGCAAGGACAGAGGATGACACCATTTCGCCGCTTTCTTGAAGAGCAGTCATGCAGGGCTGGTCAGGACCACCATATCCAGCCTCAGGTAGAAACGGGCTTGTAGAACGGGCACCGAAAATTCAAAAGCGTCAAGCATGATAGCACTGTGTCTACGAATCATTCCCAAGTGTCTTCTCCTCAATGCGGATATACTGACGCATAACATGTGAGACGTGTTCTAGATAAACTTCCGAGCCCTCCGAACATCACTGTTCCGGCTACGGTTCCGTATGTCAGGCTAGCGTAAAACAGCCAGAGGAGATGAATACCCTGCTTTGTTGCATTTTGTGGGAACGAGGAGCTGAAGGCACGTTCGTGGCGATCATCTCTCACAGTTGAGCATGACCAAAATGCTCGGGCGTAACCAGAGAACCTCGATACCCCTGACAATCTGCCTCGCGTAGATTATCCATGCAATAGGGTTCCAATTTATGACTATCGCGACACGGTCCAACAACAGGGTTGCAAGAGCCTCTGCTAGTCGATGGAGGTCTCGTCGGAAACATTTTCGCGCCGTCATCCTGAACGCAAGAGGCGCCAGCTTGTGGGAATACCTAAAAATGTGATTTTCAGATCTATCCTTGTGTCTGTCTAATCATGGTCTCATAAATAGCGAGGCAACATCTCCTCGTTGCAGTAGCAGAAGAATAAACAATGTCTTCAAATCTATGCCAATTGACGTTGTACTTTTCAACTCGCTTTACTGCGCCTGCATTTTGCTGGGAGGAGTTCCCTGACCGTTGCGGTTGCGGAAAAACAGGATACCCTTGCCGGCGCCCTGAGCATCTGCGCTGGGCTCAACCCACTGACAGGTACGGGCGCTCTTGTACATGGCCTTGATGAAACCTACTAGTGCACCCTCGGTATCAGCGCGGTAGTGCTTGCCCATGACCGGCCTGATGGCGTCGGATGCCTCATCTGCGTTGTAGAATGGGATGCTGCTAATGTAGTGGTGCAGAACGTGTGTCTCGGCGATGCCGTGGAGAAGATGGCGTCCAACAAAGCCCATGTCTCGGTCGATGGTGGCAGCAGCCCCACGGACGTAATTCCACTCATCGGCAGTGTAATGGGGAAGGGTGGCGTCGGTGTGCTGAAGGAAAGTGATGGCAACTATTTGCAATGTTAGCTCTATCAGTTGACAATCTGATGCCTGAAGTGGACTCACCCAACCAGTGGTTGACCCAGAGCCAAGGTACCCAGAACCACACAGCCATGTTGGCCCAGCCGAAAGTGTTGCCGAGGTAGATCTGGACAGCGGCGTTCAAGGCGATGCCAATATCCGAAAGAACAATGAGCTTGGCATCCTTCTGCTCGTAGAGAGGGCTGCTCGGGTTGAAGTGGTTGACGCCTCCGCCCACTCCGTTCTTCTTGCCCTTGCCGCGACCCTCACGCTGGCGCTCGTGAAAGTTGTGGCCCGTGACGTTGGTGATGAGGTAGTGAGGCCAGCCGATCAGCTGCTGGCCAATGAGCATGGACAGGGTGTAAATGGGCGTCTCCTCGGTAAGCTCCGACAGCTCGTGAATAAGGTGGCCAACTTTGTTGGCGTATTGCTCACGCGTGCGTGGGACGAAGACCATGTCACGCTCCATGTGACCAGTGGCCTTGTGATGCTTGCTGTGCGAGATCTGCCAACTGAAGTAGGGCACAAACAGAGCGGAGTGCAGCAGCCAGCCAGTGGCATCGTTGATCTTCCTGGAGGCGGAGAACGCTCCATGGCCACATTCGTGAGCAATAACCCACAGGCCAGTGCCAAACAGACCCTGAGGGATGGTGTACAGGGCCCAGAGGAGAGCGCGAGCGGCAACATTGGGGACGTACTCGGGGATGTTGAAGGTGTTGAAAAGGTAAAATGTCGTCGCCAAGCAGGCCATGTCGCGAAGAATGTATGACCACCCGCGAATAGCAGAACGCTCGAAGCAATGCTTGGGGATAGCATCGCGAATGTCCTTGATGGTATAGTCGGGAGGCGTGAATGAGTTGCCGTTCAGATCCACGAGGTTGGCATATTCATCAGTCTTGGCCGCACCCATGTCCACGGAGGACATGGAGGAGAGAGATGTCGAAGAGGCCGAATGGCGGGGCGAGTCCGAGGGACTGACAGCCGCTGATGACTCGGAGTCATTCACGGTGGTCGATGTGACAGTCCGGCGAATCACTGGGTTGCTGGGCTTCGTAGCACCAGTGGAAGTAGAAGCGGACGCCATGATGGGCTTGACGATAAGCAGCTTGGCCCTTTGGTGAGCAGTGAGGAAGCAGACAAGGGGCGGGATGGGTGTGAAGGGGAAGAAGAAGAAGGAACTCTAGCCAGGACGGATGAGCTTGTTTTGTCTATCATTAATTAGAGGAGAGACTGGGTCGGGAAAATCTGTGCAAGCCGATTGTAGCAGAACGCCACTTTGTGCAGCCAGCCATCCTGGCACAACAGACGGCAAATCTGGAACTTGAGTCGGTGAACCGCCGTTGACGGCCGAGGGGCGCGTGTGTTTGTGCGGCTCTTCCAGAAGTATGAGGTTCCGCTTGGCAACTTTTTGTTGGGGTTTCTCAGGGACTGCAGGTGGGTTGTCGACTGTTCTGGATGGCGCCAGCGGAATAAAGGCCCCTGATTGGCGGGACCAAGCGGCTCCCTTCTGAAATACAGTTGGAGAGATTGGCGTACTCGATGTCATCAAGCTCTCTCAATGGTTGAGAATGGCGGTCCACCACTGAGGCAGCCTGAGGCGGGCAGGCACTCCCGCTCGCGCATCCGCAGTTACCTTTGTTAATTAATTCCCAGGACTTTGGTTCTGACATGTGCTGCTCTCGGCGGACTGAACATGCAATCGATCACAGGAAGCATCGTCAGGTCTAGCCCTCACAGCCCACTGGTTGCAATCCAAAGTGCTGAATCTCTCACATAATCAGACTGTTAGAGGTTTGGTGCTACAAGTCGTGCTTGAGTCAAGTGGGGTCCGTGTGTACCATCAGATAAGACGCCTCAAGTCACAGGGCGAGTAATTCTCTTCCTCTTCCGTCAGCTCATGCACAGATCGGGTGCTTGTCTCGCTTTCAGCCGACAGGCACTCGCCCCTTCCATTCCTCCGTCGACATGTGATGCCGCGAAGCTGGCGATGAGTCCATGACGGGTTGACCGCTCTTGTTGAACGCGGTTCTGGGCCTAGCTTAAGGGCATGATCGGATCATGTCGGTACACAAGGCTAGAGAGGCGCAGGCAAACTAGTGTCTTACCACTGGTATTTTCCAGGTTTGGGAAGGCATATGCTCTTCGTGCTATTACCTGTCCTTGTCCTGGGCTACCGAGACACAGCATCATCGTCACATGCGTTTTTTCTCGGCTACCCTCACGGTGGGCTGCACACCACAACGCCGCCAGTTTACGATCGTACGCGGGAACATTGAGCTGCAGTTGCTGTCGGCAGCGCCTTGGCGTTGGAAAGACTGCAAAGTCAAGCATTTGCCACGCTTAACACTAACAGCTGATAGTGGAATCGCGACTCGCCGTGGTGGCCAACCTCAGAGCCCTCCTCTACTTTGAGCTGACTCGTAAATTCTCATAGGATATTTCAACGAGGCTTCTTGAGAAGTCAACATGCTCCTCTGCCTTTTCGGTGGACATTCACTTGCATTGTCAGGTAAACATTTGCCTTTGCCATGATCCGACTTTTCGCGGGCGCTCGACGTTGTTGGGGATGTTTGTTGGGCGTCTATGCTTGCCCCACGTGCAGGGTCGTGAAGCGCTGCCATTTTTTACCTAGCCAGTAGCGGCTGGCCTTATTCAAGATGGTATGCCAAGCGCAGCCAAGGAATTCCCACGAACCCCTGATTTCGCCCCGCGATTCTTCACGTCCCCACCAATAGGACTGCCAGTGCCAGTGCCAGTGGACTCGGATCAGATCATCCTGCGGTTGCCGGTCCCTTACCCTGCAACAGTTATGTGATTGTTGTCATGACGAGCGTCTAATTGCAGTCTATTGTTCATTTGGCCCGGAGAATAGTTTTCGATGTTAATAGGCTTTTCTTATGGTCCACAACATTGTAAGTAAGCATATTTGGCTGGTGGGCGATTCTAGTTTGGGCAATAGCTTCAAACTATTTATTGATTCAGCCACATCAATTTGTCCTTGCCTTCTTGTTACAAATTTCTTGGCTCTACGTACAGATCAAGGCCCGTTTGAAGAGAACGCCACTATCAAACAACATACTCCCTAGGCATCCAATCACGCGAAGAAAAAATCAAGCGTAGAAGCATATTCTTGCCACAGAACCGGATAGTCCTAACTCACTCCATAGGCACATTCGTCCAACACTCAACAACATCTCTCCTTGTGAGGAATTCAAATTGACACCCACGTAAAACTCCCCAAATCCCACTAGACATCGCAACATATCCCAAGGCGAAGCGCTCCATGAAAATGACAAGTCCAAACTCCACGGTGGCATAAATGACGCCCAACCAGACAAACCCACCGTTCGAGAAACCATTACAGCGCCGCCACCACACACGTGAGTCTCACCAAGGCACCATTCGTCCCTGGCTATCAATCACCTGCCTCAGCCGCTGCGGCATAAAGTCCACCCACATGTTCACCCTCTCCTGATCAAGGCTCGCCCAAGCGTCCCGTGCCGCCTGTCTCAGCTTCGCGTCGCTCCAGTCCGTGAGAGGCTCAACAGTCCACTGCTTGTGAGGTGGCCATTGTGTGTCAAGGGGATTGAGGTCTGGGCTATCGAGGCAGTTGAAGTAACACTTTAGTTCATGCGCGGCCTTCCACTCCTGGGCCATGTTGGATTTGCTTGCGCCGCCGTGGGCAAACGCTTCAATGTCCTCCTCGAGAATGAACTGGTTCGTGCCGCTGAGCTCGAGCCAAGGCTTGACGACACGGTCGAGGACTTTGCCCGTGTAGTCTGTCATGGACATGACACCCGTGTGGTTTGGATTGGTCTGATCATCATAAAAGACAAGCTCGCTTTTGAACCCATACCCAATCGCTGCCCAGCAGTGCACTCTCCTAATGTCGCGGCCCCAATCGGCCGGCGGCTGATCCTTGCATCCCTCACAGTACTTCTCTCCAGGACGCGGCAGCAGTCGCATCTTGCCATCGAGGCCGAAACCAAAATGAAGCTCGCCGCTGAAGCGAATGAAACGCCAGTTGTGTGGTTGTGGGTAGACCTCGAGCATACGCTCCGCATACTCCACCCGCTTCTCACGCGTCTTTTTGTGAACCCAGGAGCGGCTGCATCCTAGACAGCGGCGATAGCCGAGAGTGCCCATGGTGCGATGGAGTGTGCGCGCATTGCAGTCGGTTTCTAACCCGGCCTCCTTGGCAAGGCCATTCCAGTTGAGGTTGACTTCTTCATACCGTTCGTCCCAGAGAATCTGTTCCATCTTGTGCTGGTCCGATTCGCTGATCTTGTTCGGGCGCCCGCGCGTCTCTTCCCATTCTGGATTGTTCCTTTTCGAAGCAGGGATGCTCAAGGCGGCATAGCCTTGGGAGCGCGAGAGCTCAAAGTGTCTAAAGATGGCGGACTTGTTCACGGGCAGGCCTTGCGACTCGAGATACGAGATGGTACCGCGTACCATGGCCCTTTTGGGCGTGTCGCCGTGCTTGTAGCCAGAGACCATGGTGTCGTCCCCTTGTGTCGCGTCCTGTACCTGTTCACCTGGGTCGCTAGGAGCAGGCGCGTCGCGGCGGCGACAATTGTGAGGACGATGGTGAGTGCTTGTTTTTGTCAGACCGCGTCCTGGTGGTGGCGGCCAATTTTCACCGTTCATCAAGTCGCGTGGTCCCACCCACACTCTTCCGTGTTAGTCTTCATCACGTGATGCACGATTTGGTCGCTACCCCTAGTGATGTTCCTGACATGTCCGTCGTGATATATGTCATATATATTTACTGTTCCTTTGTCCAAAATGATCATGTCATATCGCTCGCATTCCAATATCAATGCAAGTCTGCGCGGCATGCCTCGCCTGCCGTCCAGGCTCAGCGAGCGGGCGACATCAGCGCTATCCTCGCGGCATGTCCATGTACCAAAACATTACCAGTCGATCCATCCATGACCGTGCCCTTCTTCTCTTTGTCATTGGCGAGTGAATTTTTTTTTTCTTTTTCTTTTTTTATAACGTAAAGAAATTCATCATGACCGTCCGGCTGCCTTCACGGCGGCGATGAACTTGTCTTCCGCCCCAGAAGCAGACAAAGTAGGCAGCTCATCCTTAAGCTCTGGATTCAGTGATTTCGAAATTGTCAACTTGACCTCAGGGCCAGTCCGCACCCCCAGAAGAGTCATTTCATTCTCGAGCAGGAGAGCAACCGCTGCGCGGACAAGAAGGCTGTCGCCCTCGAAAACATATATGTCCCAAAGACGCGCTGCGGTGTCGACTGACAATTGCGCAGTGAAGATACTCGTGAACACTTGTTGCAGATAGACTCCAGGGTCAGCGTCCTCAATCACTTTCACAAGATGCTCGTGCAACGTCGGCGACTTTTGACTCAAACCCTGGAGCACGTAATTGTACGCTGATGCTTGTGCCCCGTAGTCGGAGGTACAGAACGAGAGAGGTAGAGGCCTGTTGAGAATGTTGGCGAGGGCGACAAAGACAGCTGCGGGGCTCGTCAAGTTGAGCAAAAGCAAAGCAGCGACAGTCTGGAGAAGTCAGCAAATGCCATCGTGGCTGCGATTTGGGGCAACTCACATTACAACCATGCACATAACCAATGTCGTTGCGGTACATTGCATATGCCATCAAGACATCCACCAGACTGCCGTGCAAGGGTCCTTCTACATCAAAGATGTGAAGACCTTGCCAAGTGTCGTGGGCAGCGTCCTGTCGGATCTGGGTGAACCATTGTGCCTTGCGATGATCTTCTGCACTGCCCTTGTCCTGCTTGACCCTGGACTCAAGCTCATGTGCTCGCTGCAATGCTGCGTCAAAGGAAGTCTCAGATAAGCCGAGATCGTTGCCGATAGCTTGCAACCAAATGATGCCGCGGCTGCGGGGCGGCACGCCTTTCCACCACATATCTCTAGTCCTCCGTTCGCGAATCGCCTGATTCCAGTTGGGAATGACCTCGTGTTCCCAAGCATGCATGGCGCCATCCAGCGTTGTTTCCCGGGCCTCGGTTCTTGACCGGCGCGCAGCTTCGCGGCGCTCATCAGCCTTGGCACTTGCAGCCATCATCTTTTGGTACTCTCGAATGTGACGGCGCTCCTCCGCCGGGTCTTTGGGTGGCAGCCATGACGGCCTTGTCCTGCTGAGCACTGCTTCCTTCTCCTTGGACACAGGCAGAGGGTCGATCATGACGTTGGTACGTCTTAGCGGTGGGAGCTCGGGGGTCGACTTGACACGTTCTTTCTTGTCGTAGGCATACTGGTGCGAGCGCTGCATCGAGTCCCATGTGTTCGGACGACCTGATGCTGACGGTCTGCGCGCACGCTCCTCTTCCTCATCAGCATGCTCTTCCAATTTTTCTGTCAGTGCCTTTGCTTCCGCATTCAAGTGGGCCAGAGCAGCGTTCCACGAATGCGCGCGGGTCTGGGCTGGGCGGTTGGGCGACCTGTCTACCTGCGCCGCCTCCTCTTTCCATTTGGGCGACTTCAGTGAGCCTTGTGCCTGAGCGACAGCCGGTGTGCCATTGCCCACGCTCCGCACACGCTCCTTGGGTTGTTGTCCTCGATCAGGCGATGGAGATAGGGAAGGCTGCCTACTAGGAGGCCTTTCGTGCTGCGGCCGAGGCGAAATTGGAACATTGTCGAGGACGAGGCCATCCGGAATGTCATCGTCCTCATCTTCATCGCATTCGTGCTCGAGTTCCGCAAGGGATTTTCGCTGAGTCGACTGCCAGCTTCCTCTACGAGGCTTGGGCAGAAATGTCGGGTCTCTAGGGTTTGAGGAGATTTGAGGACTGGGACTTCTTCGTCGCCCGGACACGGGTTGAGATCTGGATGAGAACGTACTGTTGCTCGAGCGACGCCGGGGCGATGTTGGATGGATGGGATCCGTGAGTACTGTCAAGCTTGTGCTTCTTGGGTTTGACGTATGGAGAGTAGACCGGAGATTCGACTGAGAGGACGATCGGGGCGCGGGTGTTCGTTTGCTCGTGACAAGGGACCTGGCCGTCGTCGAAGTGGCTGTGGTCGGTGAGGGGATTCTGTCAACGCCTGGCTGGCGCGTGGATTTCAGGGTAGCACTGTCATCGTCGAGACCAATGTCTTCGAAATGGCCCACGTCGTCCAACACGCTCGCATCGTCGCTATGAACGGAGGATTGGAACGAGGAAGACTTTGAAGATTTCGATGTGGTCATGCCGGGAGGCGAGCTTGGGGCAAGAGGGGCAGTATCGAAGTCGGCAGTAGAAATCATGACTGCATGGTATTGTACAAGTGCGACGACAGCTCGGTCGACAGTATTATGATGTTGTGTAGCCGTCCAGCTGCCTTCACTCTGAAACGAGGCCTGGCTGACAAACGAGTAGTGGGGCGTTCCAGTTGCAGGAAGTACGGTTGAAAGCTGAGGTGGTTTGTGATAGCAAGGTTGGGTTGGAGGGACAAACGAGCGTGAGGGTAGCGATGATAGGCTGAATAAAAAGCTTAATTGTATAAGTTTGCTGGAAGAAGAGAATGCATGGATCTAACGAATGTGTGAGCAGAGGAGGATGAGGCAGTGGGACTAGTTGAAAAGAAGGATCATGATGATGATGTTTGTGTGCGATGGCGCGCTTGTCTCGTCTGGAACGTCTGGAAAAGGAGGCAGATTGGCGCTCTCTAAGCCCCTGTCGCGCATGGCCAGCTGATAGCAGGAATGTCACTGTGTGCCAGTGGCCTGCGGAGAGAAACTTGGGGAAGAACAACACGGGTTTTATTATTTATGGGCCTGTGCCTCCCGCTTCCCCCGGTTCCTGCAGCCACAGCCAAGTCTGCGTTGCGAGGCAATGCGAGCTTATCAAGCCCTGCTCCGCGTTGATTTTTTAAACATCGATGGTGGTCTGGTGGACGAAGCGAATGATCAATGTTGGCAGGTCTACGGAGTACGGAGTACTTCTCGCAATGTACTGTTCTATCTGCAAATGTTCCGCACAGCATCTGTAAATTCTCCCTTTCATACGGTGCTGGCCAACTCAACGTCCCACCGTGGTGATCTTTCCATTCATCCATTCCGTCTAAAACACCACGGCAATAAAGCTGCTCTATTGGCAGCCCCAAGGCCGATTTCCGAACGAGCCAGTTCATCCACGTACTCGGGACACAAATTCAACGCCCAGGTCATCTCAGCCACGTTATCCATCGAAGCCTCTCGCGACCTCTTACACGTATTGACCCGTCTGTCTTGGATGCTTCCCCTCACGCTTCTATGATGGTATGGTAAAACTGCTGCCGCGCATCGCGCTCTTGTCCTGCAAAAAGCGATGCCAGACAATCGTGTGCCATGGTGCGGGGCTCTCAACCGCATTCAGTTTCGCAGCCTCGCCTGCATATGTCGTGTCTAAGTCGACATGTCCTTGCGCAAAGCCCTTTCTCGACAGCCACGGTGAGCGTGTCTTCTGCGCTTTGGGATTCGGTCGAGGGCATCCTTGTTCTCGTCTAGTTGATGAGTTGCTGTTTGTTCGCTTGCCAGCAAGCTCTTCCGCTTCTTCCAAAGCTCGCTCCCCTTGAGTATGCTCCTGAGGTTGGTGAGTGTATCCCGATGGTGTGGTAAGTAGGGGCCAGGCTTGTCCATTGGCCACGACTCACACTGGTCATACGAAGGCTGTAAGGTGTAAACGGTAGGCATGGTGTGCACAAATCTCTTTTCAGCAGAGCTGTCTTCGGCCGCATCAGTGCGAGAGGAGTTCATCGTCTTGCGTTCCAGTTGCACCTCAAGCAAAGGCTCCACGGCTGAGGGCTCATGACCAACGTATTCGGGAATAATGGGCACATCAGCCACGCGGCCCGATTTCTCACCCACAGCCAAAACGCATGAAGTCGAACCAGACAAAGACTCCGCACTAGATATCCGAGGGAAGATGAGATCGTCCTTGCCTGACCTGGCACAATCGCTCACCGCTGTGTTTTCATGCTGATTGTGACGGCGAGTATCAGTGTCCGTGTGTGCATCGCTCTTGGTTGTATGTGGTTCTGTCTTAGCAGTATCAAGACTCCCTGTGTCGCTAGTCAGGGGAGCAGCACGATTGCCACTGCTGACGGCTCGGCTGGCCCGGAGAGAGCTCCTGAAGAAATCCCTGAGCCTCGACTTAGGATACGGTGAGTATCGCACAGCCATACGATCTCCGCTCACAGAAGAGCGCGCGGATACTGGAAGAGTTGGGCGCGAGCCTGTTTTCCAGACAGGGCTTCCATTGGACTCATCTGAGGAAGATGATGGCCGCTGGCCATCTTGCTGCTGTGGACCATGCAACGCGGTGCCTTCGCCTTGGGCTGGTCGGTCGGGAGTCGGGTCCGGTATCACTAGCCTGTCAAGTTTGCCACTGATGGGTTTGCTGGAATTTCGAGCCTCGCTGTGCAGTGGTGGCTGAGCCTGGAGTAGTCTTCCCCACGATTTGCGTGCCATCGGGGAGTCTTGTCTTGAATCAGCCATGCGCGCGTATCGCCTCTCCTCGCTCTTGGTTAGAATCGGTGTCTTGAATCCGTCTCTCTTTGGCAAGTCGAGGAAGTTTAGAGGGATGGGTCCAGAGTCCATGTCGGAGTCGCTGGTGCATTCAATGTCGTAAGGACTCGAACGAATTCTGTCAGGACTTCTGTTCATTGTTTGACGAGGAGGAGTCAGCGGTGTGAGCCGCTTGTTGCAAGGGTGAAAGCCAGTAAGAGGTGCCTTGAGCGGTGATGATGTGTGAAGGGTTGTTTTCGTGGTTATCTGGTCAATGGCCTTGAAGCCAATGTCGAATGATACGTGGTTGGGCAGTGTCGAGCTCTCCGCAGGCTGTACGAACTGTTGGCTTTCGCTCTCAAGCTGTGCTGTAATGGCACCATCCACGTCCTTGGACTGGTCGCTCGAGTCGCTCACATCCCCAGGTGAGCCAGAGGAGTACTCGTTCGAGTCAGACTGAGAATTTCCATCTGGCAGGCAGATCGAGTCGACCGTGGCGGCCCCTGAGTGCCCAAATTCATAGCATGGAAAGGTGCCTTGGACGCCAGTGTTGTGTAGAGTGGTGGAAGCCATAGTAAGAAGGCTATCAACCAAGACGCGAGATGATGGGTGAAACTGGTGGTGAAATAAAGAGCGGACTGGAAAAAACAGTGAAAAAACGAATCAGCAACGCGAAATTCACACTCAAACCAAGGTAAGTGAGAACTGAGCAAGTTCAGGGGAAGGCCGAAGGGTGAGGGTGAAGTGAGGTAAGGCGAAGTGAGTGCAGTGACAATGGTTTGTCGCACTGGCCGGCAAACAAGAAGAAGCTGCACAACATCGACATTATCTAGCTAAGTAACTTCAATTGATGGACTGAGCCCACTCATGAAGACATTGCGTCAAATTTGTTCATCAGGCAGGTCGCGGTGGAGCGAAATGGTATTGTGTCCTCAACCGGCCGCCGTCTATGCAGTCATTACCGGTCATGATATCCACGTCTAGCTAATTGACAGTTCCCTTTTGAACGCCACATATATCCATTCACATACGCTCGCGAGCACGTGGAGCGGCCCTGATGATGTCGTCCACACGCAAAAGGAGCTAGAAAATAGTTAGCTGCTTGTTCATTTGGTGTTAGCCAGTAAGAGCTTACCTCTGCCGCTTCACTTGCCGATGACACAACGGCCCTCTTCAACTTGTAGCTCTCGATAACGCCCAGGTCGCGCATATCTGTGATACCACCCCCGGGAGTCGTCAGGTCTAGGCCGTAGGTCGTCAGACCGTCGTAGATAGCCTTGCGCAGGCGAGCCACCAGATCACCCGAGTCCAAACCGGCATTGTCGGCCAGGATGGTGGGCAGCTGTCGCAGAGCGATAGCGAAGCTGGACACTGCGAGCTGGCGCTTGCCCTCGACGCGGGTGGCCGCACCCTCTACTGCCTTGGCCATGACCATTTCCGCGCATCCACCACCCAAAGTTGTCCGTGGCTCCAGGACAGTCTGTGAGAGGACGGCCAGAGCATCGTGCAGACTGCGTTCGGCTTCGTCCAGGAGCTGATCTGTCGCACCACGTAGCACAATAGTGCAGGCTTCACCAGCTGCCACGCCCGAGAACTTGATCAGAGTATCTTCTCCGATGATGACTTCTTCGATAGTGTCACACTGACCCAGCTTGACCTGATCAGGGTGGTCAAAGGTAGAGGCGATCTCACCTCCGGTCACCAGTGCCAAACGCTCGATGCCGTCGAAATCCGCGTGCTCGATCGACATGATGCCAGCATCAGTAAACAACTGCTCGGGCCAGTTGTAGATGAGCTGACGGTTGATGAAGCAGTTGATGCCGTGCGCCTTGATCTTCTCCACCTTAGCCTTCATCTTCTCCTTCTCCGCCTTTTCGAGCTCCGCGAGCTTGTTTGTCGATCCGACCTTGACGCGCGCGCCGAAGATCTTGACCTTGTCCGTGTCCATTGACGTGTTTGCCACCAGGATCTTTGCCTTCTCGAGCCGCTTGGGCTGGTTGACTCCAATCTTCTTGTCGAGGATGAAGCCCTCGTCGAGGTATGAGTCGCTTAGCTTTCCACCGGCCTTCTTGATGATCTGGATGTGACTCAAGTCCGAAGACTGCTTGAGACGGAGTACAGCGTCGCAAGCCAGTCGGGCGAAGTGCTCGCGATCTTGTGACAGAACTTTCGAGGAAAGGGTCGTGCGAGCGATGGAAAGCAAGTCTTTGCGGAAAGCCTCGGGGCTCTTGCTGTGGTCGACCGCAGTTCCCTCGAGTGCCTTCAACGCAGCCTGGCTGGCGATTCGGTAGCCCTCAATGATTGTCTGGGGGTGAACCTTCTTGTCCACCAGCTTCTCTGCCTCCCTAAGGAGCTCTGCGGCCAGCACCGCAACCGAAGTTGTACCGTCGCCCACTTCATCGTCCTGCACTTTTGAAATGTTGACGAGAACTTTGGCAGCGGCATTGTCGAGAGCGATGGATTTGAGGATGGTGGCACCGTCGTTTGTTACCATCATTTCTCCTGTGGATCTGATACAGACCGACTGTCAGTGTCCCATGTCTAGCAAGTGCCTTACCGGCAATGAAATACTCACGCAGATTGTAGAATCTTGTCCATGCCCTTGGGGCCGAGTGTGCTCTTCACCAGGTCGCCAACGGCGATGGCACCGACGAAGGCTGCGAGACGCGCATTCTCGCCTTTCTCCTCGGTGGTGCCCTCCTCGAAAATCTGTGTTGGTTGGAACGACTATTCATCGTCAGACATAAGAACAGAGATTGCGTTTGAGATGGGCAGCTCATACCATTTTGCCAAGTTAGACCTCGACTAATACTTGAATGACGACGGGTGTTGAAGTAAGGGTACACACGTCGACGGCCTCTGCTGAGGTTGCCTTTTTTTCTGGAGCTCACCTAGGACCAGCACCTTCCACCGACACAAGCGCCAAGCACCCCTCCTTCAACTTTCTGCTTGAGGTCCTCGAACCGTCAGGGGCCCAAAGCTCCCCCACCAAAGATTACACGTGACTTGCCCCGCTGAAAAGCGCGAGATAGGAACCGGCGGAGCCGGCGTCTCAATGATCCGCCGCACACATTCAGGCTCAGGCAGCCAAACCAGCACCAAATTTGTTGCGCCAGGCAAAGCATCACCACCATAATCAAGCCCCCACCTTGAGGTTGTAGGCCCCTCGCACGATTTTGACCGCGCGCCCCGAAAGTTTTGCCCAGCTCATCGAAGTATCGAGACAGCAGACTCACTGTTCGGCATCTTCGCGCAGCCCTCGATCAAATTCGACTGCAACATTCTACGACGTCTGTCAAAGTGATCAGCAGATAAGAAACCCATTTGCAGCTACCAGCGGGGCAACCCTATTTTTTTCTACGAGTCCGACAACACGACCACCCCTCCTTGCCGCACAGGCACACAACAACATCGCAATCATGGCGCCGACCTTCGAGCATCTTCGCGAGGCCGACCTCGACGATGAAGACTACAACGAGGACGAGATCGACGTATCGGATCTGCGCGAGCGCTTCGAGGTTCAGTTGGAGCATGGTTACGACACATTCGTGGTCATTGATGGCCTGCCCAAGGTTACAGAAGACCAGAAGCCCAAGCTGGTTAAGTTCTTGTTGCGCAAACTGAACACTGTTGGGTCGACCCGGGAGGATTTGATCTACATGCCTATGGGTGAAGATGGCAAGTCTTTGAGGTATGCTGGACCCATGAATAGAGCTGCATGTGGATGAACTGACCTTCCTCAGCTTTGCTTTCGTCGAGTACTCCTCGGCTGCCGAGGCTGCCGCCGCCACGCGTCAGCTTGACATGGTTCCTCTCGACAAGAAGCACACTCTGCGTGTCAACAAAATGACTGACATTGAGCGATACGGACGGGAGGGCCGCATTGACGAGACCTACCAACCCCCCAAGATCGACGAATTCACTCAGAAGGAGCATCTCAAATGGTGGCTCAAGGACCCTTCAGGCCGTGGCCGCGACCAGTTTGTCCTGTTCCGTGGCGATAATGTCGGAGTCTTCTGGAACAATGAGAAGGATCAGCCCGAGGGCGTGGTCGAGCGTCCCCACTGGACCGAGACGTTCGTGCAGTGGTCGCCAAAGGGTACCTATTTGACCTCGGTTCACGCTCAGGGTGTGCAGCTTTGGGGCGGCCAGTCCTGGTCTCGCCAGGCTCGCTTTGCGCACCCCTACGTCAACATGGTGGCCTTCTCGCCTAGCGAGAAGTACATGGTTACTTGGTCTAACCGTCCCATTTCCATTCCTGAAGAGGGGCACCCTGCGCTTTCGATTGATGACGATGGTAAGAACTACGTTATCTGGGAAATCACCACTGGTACTCCTCTGCGCTCGTTCGCCAACTTGGATCTGCCCAAGCCTGAGGAGGGGCGTCCTCCCCCGAAGCTGCAATGGCCCGCTTTCAAATGGTCCGCTGACGACAAGTACGTTGCGCGTCTCAACCCTGGCCAATCTATCTCCGTCTACGAACTTCCCCGGATGAACCTCCTCGAAAAAACCACTATCAAGATCGACGGTGTTGTGGACTTTGATTGGGCCCCGGCCACAGTGCAGCGCGATGGCGTCAAGGAATACGAGCAGCTCATTTGTTTCTGGACCCCTGAAATTGGTAGCAACCCAGCCAAGGTCGGCTTGATGAGCATTCCTTCCAAGGAAATTGTGCGGTCCCTCAACCTCTTCAGTGTGAGCGATGCCAAGTTGCATTGGCAATCTGAAGCAGCATACCTGTGCGTCAAGGTGGACCGTCACTCCAAGTCCAAGAAGTCGCAGGCTACCACATTGGAGATCTTCCGTGTGAAGGAGAAGGGTGTCCCCGTCGAAGTTGTCGACACCATCAAAGACACTGTCATCAACTTCGCCTGGGAACCCCGCGGTGCCCGTTTCGCTATTATCTCTACGACCGAGCCTGTCGGGCCTACGGCTGTCGCACCAAAGACTGCTGTGTCATTCTTTTGCCCCGAGAAGACCAAGGGAACAACGACCGGTAACTTCAAGCATCTCCGGACACTGGACAAGAAGAACAGCAATGCTATCTACTGGGCACCTCGTGGTCGCTTCGTTGTGATTGCCACGGTCCACAACCAGCAAAGCTCCGACTTGGACTTCTTTGACCTTGACTTTGAGGGTGAAAAGCCCGAGTCAGACAAGGATCTGACTGCTAACCTCCAGCTGATGAACACGGCGGATCACTACGGCGTGACCGATGTCGAATGGGACCCTTCGGGTCGCTTCGTCGCAACTTGGGCGTCTGTGTGGAAGCACACTGTAAGTTACCGAAAAGAACAACCATTCAATGACGCATTACTAAACATTGGCAGATGGAAAATGGTTACCATATCTACGACTTCAGGGGCGAGGCTCTCCGCGAAGAGCCTGTTGATAAGTTCAAGCAATTTTCATGGCGCCCCCGCCCCGCTACTCTTCTCACCAAGGAAGAGCAAAAACAGATCCGCAAGAACCTCCGCGAATACAGCCGCGTATTTGATCAGGAAGATGCCGATCGCGGTGCCTCTGCAGACCTTGCTGTGGTCGAGGCGCGCAGGCACTTGCTCAACGAGTGGTACGAGTGGCGCGAGAGCATGGAGGCAGAACTGGCCGAGGAAAGGGAGCGCGCCGGTCTACCCAAGGACCCTCACACACATTTGTTGGAGGCCAAGACCAAGACGCTTCAAGTGGCCGATCAAGAACAGGTGGTGGAGGAGATTGTGGAGGATGTACTAGAGGAGACGGAGGAGGTAGTGGTTGGTTAAGCATGGTTTTGAAAAGGGCTGCTTCTAAGGTTATCGGTTTCTGCATCTGGTCTCGGAGTGCGTCTTTCGTTGTACGCTTTACAGCTCCCATGGTAATGAATTTACGGCGATTCCTATAAATGGGGCCTGGCGTGCGCTACGCACCCTCGAAGTGAGACTACTGTACTGTGGCGGCGACGGCGCCCGAGTCTGACCACTCTTGTCCGACGGGAAACAGGTCATTTTTCCCGTGTTACCGGATATCACGATCATTCCAATGCCATGGAAAGTGTATTCTCTCAGTCAAGCAACCTTTGATTGTTGGGGCAAAGGCCCTGTTTTTCACAGAGTTGGCACGTGAAAGTGTGCTAGGTTGTGCGCTCTGCAAGGGACTGTCCCGGGTTTGTATCAGGGCACACAGCCTGCTTTGCACGGAACGCGCAATGGGAGAAGGTACATCAGAGTTAGAGGAATAAGTTGCATTATAGGTAAAGTATGCCAACATGCCAGTGAGACGAGCTATTTTCAAATAGATATGGGTATCGAACCATGGATAGAAGTCAATGTCCTCAAGAGTCATTCGCGCCTATACAGTTGTGTGGGAATTAATTACTCCGTAATGCGGCCCGGGCAGCGATGGTGTGCAACCTTGACGGGCACCTCCATCTCCATCAAAGTGCGCCCTCAGACCCGGCCCCCGCCCATCTTCCCTGCATCGTCATATTACCAATTCTTTCACCAGACGGGCAATTCCTGCTAAACCGATGCGTTTCGCTCATTCCCCAACTGGATTCAACCTGCGCAAAGCTTGCATTGCACCAAGGAATCAAGCCAGCCCTTGAGAACGCTGGGAGCCCGATGCCCAGACGTACCGCCTAGTTAGACCCCGTTCTCCAGTCGACCTTCTTGACTCTCCCTACAGCCTGCGACTCTCAACTATATTCGTTGCAAGCAGCATACGAGTCCGATTCATCGATATCAGCGATTCAACGCATTATTTTGCAGCGCCTATCACGCGCCATCTACATATCCACCGACTCGAGGCGTGGTGCTGCGGTGCTCGTCTCGCACCTGCAACGCGTCATGAGCCAAGTCAATTAAGCAACACCACGATATGCCACGACGGTCTTCAACGCGAGACCGAGGGTCTCGATCCTCGGGCCAAAACAGACTAGTCCTTGTTGTCGCTATATTGTTCGTATCATGGGTTCAGCTCGCGTCCGCATCTGCTGCTGCACAGCAGCAGCAACAACGTGCTGCCGTTCAGCAACCGGACGATCACGAAATCATCAATGAGCAACGCGTCAATGAACGAGACCCTAAATACGCCGTTCAAGATATTGGCTATGATGGCGCTATCGATGACACGCCTCAAGTCAGCCCGAATCAGGGGAGGAAGACCCAACCTTCAGCCAGTCAGAAGAAGCATCTGCAGTATGCGAACAATCGTCAACACGACAATCTCGAAAACAGCGGACGATCCGCTCGCGCTAAGAGGAGCCTCGACGATAAGAAAAACATTAACAACATCAAAAACAAGAAATCTAACAATGAAAATCTTTACGATGCGAGCGCCCTCGCTACTTTGGCTCCGGCACAGCCCGTCCGAGCACCAAGCCTACCAGGCAAATTCCGATCCAGCAGCACGTTAGCTGCTGGACTCTCCTCGCCGCAGATTGCGCGGAGCCTGGAAGATTGGGAAGTGGAAGACTTTGTTCTTTTGGCGACCGTCGATGGAGATCTTTATGCCACAGGCCGCACAGACGGCAAAGAACACTGGCGCCTCGAGGTCGACCAGCCCATGATCGAGACAAAGCACTTCCGCTCCAACGTGTCCGTTCTCGACGATGACTACAGTCCTATCGATCACTACCTCTGGGCTGTAGAACCAGCTCGTGATGGCCTGATCTATGCCTGGATCCCCGAGCCAGGAGTTGGTCTGGTGCGCACAAGCTTCACAATGAAGCGCCTTGTTGAGGAGCTGGCTCCATTCGCCGACGAGAATCCGGCAGTCGTCTATACTGGCGACAAGAAGACAACTCTAATCACCCTCGACGCTGCTACAGGTCGTGTGCTCAAGTGGTTTGGATCAGGCGGCTCTCACGTCAACGAGGCCGAGAGTTGTCTGCGTCCAGACTATCTGTATAATGCCGACTCTGTCGAATGTAGCTCAACAGGAACCATCACCTTGGGACGTACCGAGTATACTGTCGGCATCCAGCGTCGCGATGGTAAGCCGATTGCCACCCTCAAATACGCCGAGTGGGTGCCCAACAACTACGACGCCGACTTATACACCAACTACCAAACCTCTCTTGACAGCCGCTACATCACCAGTCAGCATGATGGCAAAGTCTACGCTTTCGATTACGATCCTGGCCAGCCAGCTTCGCCCAAGTTTAGCCAGCAGTTGTCCTCGCCTGTGGCCCGCGTATTCGACGTATGCCGCCCCTGGGACGCCCCTCGGGACAGCCACCCGGAGCTAGTTGTGCTTCCGCAGCCGACTATGCCCACCAAGAGCACCGAGGTCGCACGCACCAGAAGCAACAGCATCTTTCTCAACCACACAATAACTGGAGACTGGTACGCAATGTCGGGACGGTCATATCCACTCATCATAGATGCTCCCCTTGCGAAGGTATCGCATCGCGACGTCTGGGAGCATGGCCCTGGGTCCGGTGAAGAATCGCAAGTCTTGGTCGGGACGCACTTCCTCGACTCCCTGATGCCAAGCGGAGAAAATATCCCCGCCACACTGCCTGCTGGGCCGATGAATGGATATGATCCCGAGTTGGCCGAAGAGGACTGGCTGCCTGTGGTCGTATCGAGCGACAAGCAAGATGTCGGCCTTGTGGGCAAGGTCAAGTTACTTCCACAGAGTGCTCTGGAAAGCGTCATGGATCTGTTGAAGAACCCCTTTCTCATTCTGATTGTAACCGGGGCTTTGATGTACTACGGCAACAAGTTTCGCCGCATGAGTGATTCGGAACGACGCGAGCTTATCGCCAACATGTATTCGTCCGCGGGATCCAAGGTACACCCGAAGCTTGGTCCAGTCACAGAATTGGCACCTCAAAAGGCCCAAAATCAGGTTGGTCAAAAAGAAGCCTTGACTGAGGCATCCAACGGCCAAGAAGATGTCTCAATCGTGAAGTCAACGGAGACTGGCGCGACCCCGGCCGTCACAACATCTGGGGTTGTCGTCACTCACTCTGAAGGGAATGGGGCGTCTGAGGCGGTCGTAGTCGATCCCGAGGCTGCGCGCCCAGGGTCATCTGATGAAGCGTCGCCAGAGAAGAAGAAAGCACGCCGTGGCCGCCGTGGAGGCGTCAAGCACAAGAAAGGCAGAGGTAAACTAGACAACTCAAACCTCAAGCCGACCGATACTACTGGCCGTGCGAACGGCGTCACGATGCGCCCAGACATTACCACGGTCCGAACGGGCGAGATGGAAGATGTCGATGACGGGACAGTCTTACGACTTCCGGGTCTGCTTGTGTACCAGAACAAGGTGCTCGGGAACGGCACGAATGGTACCACTGTGCATTCGGGAGAATACGACGGACGAAAGGTAGCCGTCAAGCGGCTGCTCCTCACGTTCTACGAGATCGCGCAGCAGGAAACAAAGCTGCTGAAGGAATCAGATGATCACCCCAACGGTAAGAAATCATGTTCAATGTGCGAGAAAGCTGTCTAATAACGCCTTGTAGTGATTCGCTACTTCAACCAACAAGAGCATGAGGGTTTCATTTACATCGCTCTGGAACTATGTGACGCTTCCCTTGCCGATATCGTCGAGAAGCCGCAGATGCACCGCGAACTGGCTGAAGCAGGTCGCATGGATCTCCCGGGAATTCTGTATCAGATCACCAACGGCATTGCACATCTGCACTCCTTACGCATTGTTCATCGCGATCTAAAGCCACAGAATGTCATGGCTTGCCTAGGTAAGACCGGAAAACCTCGCATGCTTGTGGCCGACTTTGGCTTGTGCAAGAAACTCGATCTTGATCAATCATCCTTTGGTACGACGCATGGTAGAGCGGCAGGAACCACCGGTTGGCGAGCTCCGGAGTTGCTGTACGACGACGACAAGCTTGCTGCCGCAGTATCAGCTGGTGCCCGTAACTTCCACAGTCAAACGAGCGGTCTCGACACTCAGAGCGGATCTGGGTCGATATTGGTTGGCGACGACGCAAAGTTGATGAGTGGCCGAAGGGCAACAAGAGCGATTGACGTATTTGCCCTGGGCCTGATCTTCTTCTATGTCCTCACCAACGGGCAACACCCATACGACTGCGGCGACCGGTACATGCGAGAGGTCAACATCCGACGCGGCAATTACGACCTCTCGCCGTTAGATTCATTGGGTGATTTTGCTTGGGAAGCGAAAGACCTGATCTCTTCCATGCTTCACGAGGACCCCAAAAAGCGCCCTGCAGCGTTGAGCATTCTGTCGCACCCCTTCTTCTGGTCGGCGAAGAAGAAGCTTGCGTTCCTGTGCGATGTGTCGGATCACTTTGAGAAGGAATGTCGCGACCCTCCTTCATACGCGTTGCAGGAGTTGGAAAGTCATGCTGCAGAGGTCATTCGAGGCGATTTCCTTCGCATCCTGCCTCAAGCGTTCGTCGACTCTCTCGGCAAACAGCGCAGGTACACAGGAACCCGCATGCTTGATCTGCTTCGTGCCTTGCGCAACAAGAGAAATCACTACGAGGACATGTCGGACTCTTTGAAGAAGGCGGTCGGTGCGCTGCCGGCTGGTTATCTTGCTTTCTGGACCATGAGATTTCCTTCATTGATACTCGTTTGTTGGAACGTAATTTTAGAGGTAGGCTGGCAGGACACGGACCGCTTTGTGGACTACTATCTGCCGGCGGGATTGTAATACATTGGCTGTCAGGCTCAGAATATTGCCCTTGACGAGGTGGTTTCGCTTGTGTTCTTGAAATTATCTCACAACAGCTTATGCTTGGGATCTGCGGCGGTGTATTGCTACTATATGGCCACTATATGTAAGAGATCGTATGCATGGTTGACACTCCACGCCAGTCTCATGATTCATTTCTTTTTTTGCTTTTTTTCCTTTCTTTTTTCCCCACCTGCTACATATTTGCTTATCCCCATTGGACAAGAACTTTTTTGCCTTTCTTGCCCTTTTTACCACCCGTATTCTCGGGTGCCTCCTCAGTGGCCGGTGACGCTGAGCCACTCCCACCGGACCACGAGAACCCTGTTTCTCCCGGTGTGTCGCGTCGTATGCCTCGTCCAGTGCCGTACCCCCAGATACTCGTCGTCGGCTTCGGCGCGGCTGGCAACGCCGGGAAGTTGTCCCCGCCATTGGCAGCTCGGGTCGCTGGTCGACGCGGCAAGGTCGTGGATGTAGGGGCTGCTCGTGCTGCTGGCTGAGATGATGCACTGCCTGCTGTGGTCCATGAAGTGGAGGCACTCGCTCTGGACGGCCCAGCTGATGGGAGGGAGGGGAATGCCGACGACGACGACGACGACGAAGCAGCCGTTTTTGAGGAGCTGTGGCGAGGAGTCCATCCTGGTGGGGAGACGCCCGGCACTGGTGAAGGACCGCCGAGGCGCGTGCTGTTTTTGAGCTTGAGCACCCTGTTAGAGTGTTTCTGTGCCGGTGCGCCCCCTGGCTGGGACGGGTTTGCGCTCGCAGCGTTTGCCCAGCCGGTTGCGCCGTGCATGCCACTTAGCCCGGGCAGGCTTGGGTAGTCCTCGTTGATGGCCCTCCAGTCCTGCCAGGCTGCCTTGAGGGCACTAGACTTGCCCGAGTCCTCAAAGAGGTCCGCGACCTCCTTGACAAGAGTACCGAGCGCACTTGACGCTGTGTCGGCAAACAGCCCGAAGAACGCGTCGACCAGCTGAGGGGCTGTGAGCTTGTTCTTTCGGTAGGACGAGACCGAGTCGCGAAACGTGGTCATCTTTTGTGCGTCATTGCCTAAAAGGTTCGCGGCACGTTCAATGACAGCGCCATGGCGAACAAGACGAGCTCGGTCCGCGGACGTCATGTTTGCTGGGTCAATGGGCGTATGGGTGTCCATGGGATCGATGTTGGTAGCCTGCGGTCGAGGCGTGGTCGACTGACTGTTGCCCCTAGACCCCGATGGAGTGGTCGACGACGCAGGGCCTCCTGCTGATAGTTGTCCACCAAAAGTACGGTTCGAGACGGACTGGGCTGAGTGAATAGCCATCTGCCTCTGGAAGGCAATCTCGTCTCTTCTGAGAGCCTGGGGCGTTGTGGCTGGCGCAACGTCGGCATTCTGGTCCCTACCTCTGCCTCTACCCTCACGACCACGTCCTCGTTCCCTCCCACCTTCGCGTCCGCCTCGCCTTTCGGGCTGGAAAGAGCTCCGAATGTCAAATCCAGAGATATCAACCGTCCGTGCCTCGCGCCCACTGGCTTTTCCTCCATGCTCCTCAAGTTGATGCGCTTGAAGGTCCATTTCGGTATCAAACACAACAAACTTTTTCTCTTGGCACTCGCGGTCCGCACAGAGGTAATGATCCTTTTTGAAATGCGATTCCAACGCGCTGTAGTCCTGGTAGTAGTGAGGGTGTCGTGCATCCCGCCTATCGCAGAGAAAGCAGCGTTCATGCTTCATCCGGCAGTGCTCATATAATTTATCGTCATCGTAGAACCGTTCTCCGCAGAATCCGCACAATGGATGGCCTTTGAAGCCGGTCTGGTCAGCAGAGCCAGGCTTATCGTCGCCGCGGCGCATGTGCTTCTCCAACTCTTTGTCTGCGAAGAGTTCATGCTCGTGGGTGAAGACACGCTTGTTCCTAGTGCACAAGTCGCACATGCGCTTCCGGTGTGCGGAGCGCACATGGCGATGTAGATCTGGCCATCCTAGCCCTGCAAAGTCGCAGTCGGGTTCGGGGCAGTTGTATCGAAGCAGGAGAACGGTGTCGCCGACAATGTCTTCGTTGGCGTACTTGATACCAATGTTCTCGTCGACTGTGCTCATATCTGAATCGGTAAACTCTTCGAAACGTTTCGTGGCGTCTTGGGCGAAGATGACGAATGGCGCTGGTGTCTGGGATTGTAAGCAATGCGATCAAAGCAAAGTTGTCGGGCAAGACATACTCGACAGTGGGCGCAGTTCTTGTCCTTGTACAGCGCTCTCATCCTCAAGCCACAGATGTGGCAGGTTGTATGATTACATGGCGCAATGGAATGATGCGAGACGACGTTCGCACAGATGAAGCAAAGTTCGGCGTCCTCCGGTACGTTGTCTTCTTGGATAGCAACTTTGGGCCTCGCTACGGCCGCGAGCGCCTGTGCGCTGGGATTGGCAGGTTGCTCTTGCGTTTCGGGGGCATGTTGCTGTCGACGATTCGGACCACCTCCTCCTCCTCCTCCTCGCCCTCTTGACCGTCCACCTCGGCTACGGCCTCCTCTGCCTTGCTTCGAGCCTGTAGATGGGTTCGAAGACCCATTTGGTGCTTGGGATGCTGAACTGTTCGCCCCGGTCGATGATGCTTCCATAGTGGGCGTACTTGGGACAATCGCTTTTGCAAGTGTCTATTTGTCACGCTGGGATTCGCTGAGGTATTCAGCTAGCGTTTGCTGAAGTCGTTCGCTCTCCACGAGTAAGTGGTGGTCGTCGAAGGGACGGGGTGGTTCAGGTCTTTTGGTTAAAAAATATCGCCTCCAGCTGGTCGCCGTCATCAGGGCAGTTTGTCCAGGCCAGAGGGGCTCCAACCGCGTGGGGGCACTGACTGCATTCCATGGCATCTACTCTGGATGACTCAGCTCTGCTTACCCTACACAACTCCCCGTGTGATAGCGTCGAGTCAGTACTGTGACGTTTGTCGACTCATTCTCATTTGTATGAAGCAAACGATGTACAAATTTACTAATGCTCTAGGTACTCGATTGCAGAGTGGGTAGTGGTGTTGACAATGGTGCAGGGAAGAAATGCAAAGACACAAACTCATCTGATCACCGTATGATGCAGAATATCACATGGAATATGTTCCCGCTTTGAGATATTCAATACCTTGAAATGCTAGTAAACCCTCACTCGACGCCTCTCCAGTACCAACCGTCTTCCTGCGTTTCTAGACCCTGCCTTGTCCGAGACATCTTCCGGTTTCAGCCCTTGATGTACAGCAGCAGCAAGGCAGAAGCAGAGGAACACCGGTATGAAAAACCCAAATGCCCGTTGCGCCTTGTGGCTTCGTTCACAAACAACAGATTAAGTAAATGATGCGCGCAGCTACCAGAGTGCGCATCTGCGGCGCGTACTTGGTAGTGCCTACGATTGGGCTGGCGGCTCCTCAACGGGGTACAAATGCTTGCCGAGCTCCTTGTTCATGCTAAACATGTTGACTTTGGCCTGTTTAAAGACCGCGTAGAGCTTGGCATCGCATACGATTGACCGCTTGTCGTTGGGGTCCTGCAAATTGTTGCTCTTGATATGAGCCCAGAGGCCTTTGACCACAGCTGGGCGAGCGAGCTGTCAATGTGTGAGTACAAATGGGTCTCGCCTGGAGCAGACTCGTCAACGGAAAGAGGACTTACTTGGCTTTCGCCGACAATGTCCGCAAGCGCAGGACTCAGGTTGAAGGGTTTCTGAAAGCCGCCTCCAGCCTTGCGCTTCTTCTTGGGCTCGCCATCAGAACCCTCAGCCTCGCTGTCATCATTGTTGCTGATCTTGTTGGAGCTCTTCTTCTTCCTGGCCGCAGCCTTTTTCGGCTTGGTCTTCTTGTCCAAGCCACCACGAGTCGACCTTCCTCGCGCGAGGCTATTCTCCTGCTCCTGCAGCTGTGCGGCTAGACGGGCGTCGGCGTCCTCTGCAGACTCGGACCGCTTGGCCTTTTTCCGCGCGGGCTCAGGCGATGCAGGTGATTCGGACGTCGCGCCATTGGAGCGCTTCTTGGGGGAGGGAGCAGGTTCGGGAGTAACGTTGGAGACAGCGTCGAAGCGCTCTTCAATCAGGGCTTTGATGGCATCCTAAATTCAGTTTAGTGAGTGAAGGTGGAACGCGCGGTAGACGTTGGCGGCGAACCTTCTGCTCGGTGAGGTCGAGCCCACCGAGCGCGTCCTGTAGGCCCTGGCGGATTTTCTTCCTAGAGATTGTCTCAAGATCGGCTTTGGCAAGGATATCATCGATGATATTGGTGTAGCGTTCGTTCTCTTCGGCGGACACTGTGCGCTGGTCAGAACCCCGAGTCGTGCAGTTGCGACACTAGTAGAGAGACCAACATGGAGCGCTCATCTTGACGGACCACCGAATGGCATAAAGTCAAGAATCGCGACGCCCCGCGTTGTCGTCGAGGCAGAATCTACCCAGCCCTAGTCGCCCAAGGGATGCGATGGAAGCGATAGCGGCTGCCGGACCGGTCAAAGCATTGCCCAGCGGGAGAGCAATCAGCGCGAGCTCCTACTCGTTATGAGGGCGGCAGAGGATGGCGAGTAGAGATATGTACTGGTACACTGGCGCCGGAATCGCCTTGGAGAGTAAACTCTGACACAATGCTGCTCGGTCAATTGCCAGCTGCGGCGTAAAATGACGTTGATGGTGGTTTGTTTGGAGCGTGTGCGGGATGGATGGTGATGGTACAGGGCGGTTAAAAGTGGAGTGAAACGAGTTGCGCGAAAGTGTGGCTCGCGCAAGCGATGATGGGGAAGATGTGGCTGGTTAGTGCAAGGCGTTAGCCACATGGCCTTGCGATATGATCAAGTCGAGATTTCGACGTTGACCAAGTCTCGAACAATGTGGGTTATTCATTGACGATGCACGGAGGATACACGGTGCCATTTCTCGACGTGCAAGCTACATGATTTTTTTCTTCAGCGTTTAGCGTTCAGCGAACATGCTCCATGCATATTGATGAGTTTGGAGCTCTCCAAATGAGAAGAAAGAGGACACAAGGGACATCAGCATAGCAACATCACTACCATCAATCATACGCTTGGCATCGTCGGCCCGTTCCGTTCTAAGTCGGCACCCTCGCATATTGTTTGCTACTTGGGAAGTGCGTCGAGACTGGAGGTTATCACCGGTCGCGGTCCACCGAGGGCGAGCAGTCCTTGCTGTGTCAGGAATGGCAGCCACAAGACTGTCCCTCTGAAAATCTTTGACGACAAATAAACGTATTGTCGTATCAGAAGAGCTTCTTTCTGAACTGACACATATTCCCCCCTGCTCTTTTGCGTTGCCTCTGTTGCATGTGACGGTGAGATGGGTGCTGCTGACGGTTGCGTTGAACACATGCATTTTCAGGCGCAGGATTGACACATGTGATTTGGTACAACATTGGCCTGTCAGCACTAGAAGATTTCGAACACACGAACCTCAAAGCCAGTCTCTTCACTCCTCCAACCTTGAACTATCTCAGAATTTGGCGACAATCATGGGTGCGCGTAAAGGCATGTATGTTCCAGTCTTCGGCTCGCAAGATGGCCACCCAAATGGCTCTAGATGTGGCTGGACACTGCCCGCACATCAATCCCCGGCCTCGGCAAATCGAAGGGTGAAAACCAACCTATGAAGGCAGCTCCTGGCAAAGGCTCCGCAACTCCAGGGGAGTCAACGTCAAGGACTCGAGAAACTCATGACGTGCACCTCAACCATCGGCCATTCAGGAAAACCAAGTCCCAACACTGTCTCCCTGCTCTCTCACCTCCCTCAGTGATCCTATAGCATACTCAAAAGTCAAGACTGCCAGCATGCTCAATTTCAATGTCCTTAGCCAGGCCTTCCCGCCAAAGGCCAAATTCACAGAGGCCAACGTGCCAGATCTCACTGACAAGGCAAGCAAGCTCCATCCTCACCCATCTCACTCCAACGTCAGGTCAGGATAGCTAACAATCTGTCAGGTCTGCATCGTGACCGGCTCCAACACTGGTGTGGGCAAGGAAGTGGCCCGTATCCTCTACTCCAAGAATGCCTCTGTCTACGTCGCCTGCCGGACCGAGTCCAAGGCTCAATCCGCCATTGAGGACATTAAGACGTCGCAGCCCTCCTCCAAGGGCAAGCTGACATTCCTGAGCCTTGACCTGGGCGACTTGCCGGCCGTGGCCCAGGCGGCCGACCAGTTCACCGCCCAGGAGACCAAGCTGGACTACCTCTTCAACAATGCCGGGGTCATGATGCCTGGCAACGGGACCAAGACGAAGCAAGACTACGAGATGCAACTGGGCACCAACTGCGTCGGCCCCTTTCTCTTCACCAAGAAACTCACACCGCTGCTGCAAGCCTCGGCCAAAACGTCGCCTGCTGGCAGCACGCGGGTGATGTGGGTGGCCTCCTCTGCCGCCGAGGCGTTCGCGCCCGCGTGTGGTGTTGACCTCTCCAACCTCGACTACCACACCTGGCGACCCAACACTTACCAGTACGGCGTGAGCAAGGCCGGTAATTACTTCCAGGGCATGGAGTACGGCAGGCGATTCGGAGACGACGGCATTGTCAGTGTCAGCATGAACCCAGGCAACCTGAAGAGCGACCTGGGGCGCACCGCAGGCCTCCTCGGACAGAACCTCCATTGGCTCTTCAGCTACCCCGTCGTCAATGGCGCATACACTGAGCTCTACGCTGCGTTCGCCCCCGAAGTCAAGAACCGCGACTGGGTCATCCCCTTTGGACGTCGGGGTACCATATCCAAGAGCCTGCAGGAAAACGCCAAGGACGAGAGCGAGGGCGGCAAAGGCACAGCGCGCAAGTTCTGGGAGTGGCTCCAGGAGCAGGTCAAGGAATATGTCTGAAAGCATTTGCGACTTTATTTTGTATATACCCCCCCTCTGAATCCCAATCATCTCCGTTCCTACGGCCCCGAGACGTCTGTCGTGATTGCGCCGTCTTCAATGTACACGCCCGAGAAGAAGAGATCCTCATCTGCATCAGCGTCCCCGTTGGGAAGCTCGAGAACACCAACGTGCCAGTCTGCGCCATTGCTGCTCGCACCCACCGACATGGGAGCGACGACCTCCTCCAGGGGTTCCGCGCCCGTCGAGTGCCAGAGACCGACGCTTCCCTCGGCAAAGTCAATCTCGTACGCAATGTTGTGCCAGACGTCGTCGCCAAAAGCAATGGCCCACTTGTCCTGGCCGCTGACCTGCCAACGGAGAGAGTCGCACGTGGTCCCTGAACCGCCATACTTGAGTTCAGTGAAATGATTCTCGAAGAAGGCAATCTGGTGCTCCCTCGCTTGGCTCGGTGGGTTGATGGCGGATCGCGAGATGCTGAAGTGGTACCAGACTTTGCCGGAAGCGATCGCGGCGTCTGTCTCGGGGATGAGCTCCGTACGACGCATGTTCTGGCCATTCCAGTACGCCGTGTCCGTCAGGGTGATCTTGACGCCCTGGGCCGAGGCGGTGTCGTTGGGGTTCTTGTGCTCGGGGCTGAATTCGACATATTCGGTCACCGGACCATTGCCGTGGATGTAATACTGGTATGGTCCCACGGGAGTTGCCCAGGACCATTTGTTCAGGTCCTCTGCCGACTCGAGATCGTTGAGGCGACCGTCCCAGAGAACCGCGGCGGATGCGAGTGTCGCCGTTGCGAGGATGGACAGAGACTTCATTGTGGGCAGTATCGTGGTCGCTCGTATCGGTTACTGAACTTCATTTTGGCTTGGTGAGACAGCAGTCATTATATACGTGTCCCTTGTTTCGCGTTGTTTGATGCTTACAATATGGAGGATAACCCTCCGTGCCGGGGTTCCGAGTAGCGGACCGCATCCCGGGGTGATGAAACATCACTGTATACTGTTCATGTTCCCTCTGCTGCAACTGCGCCATATTAATCATACTCTGTGATGTATTATGAATTGATTGTCTGGTGAGGGACCAGTTTGACATGGGACAACGCAAGGGCAACATGGGCCCCCTTATTAGGTGCCCCATCCCGGCGCTTCCGCAACTAGGTTGAGTAAAGATCACCCTCGCAGCCCCATTAGACGACGGGTCACGACTTGCTCCGATGGCCGCGAACTTTGGTAAATACTACACATTTCTCCATTAGAGGGACGTACCATGACGATCGTCTGCGCTACAGTGTCATCCAACTTGCCGCCTCCCGGAGAACGCGATGATGGGATGGGTAAGGGGATGGCAGGGTATAAGAGGTGGTAAAGGAGTTCCTTGAGGCTTAGTACGGAGACAAGAAGTCAATCCCCAGTTCCTGTCCGCAGTGCCAGGAAGCGCTGGTGTGTTATAGCTAGCGCCGACCCCAAGCTCTGCAGGGTCTGTCCTCGACCCCTAGGGCGGCCATCAAGCAGCATCACCGGGGGTCAATGCTAGCTTGTGTCATAGTCCAAATTCTCCTTAGTTATTCTTGTGAATCGAAACAGGTTGACTAGTCAGTCAGCAACCACGTGCGCATCGCGCAAGTCGCTCGAACCCTTTCTCCTGTCCGCGGACCTGTCACCCCTAAGAAGAGAATGGGCCTATGTTTGCTTCCCTGAGAATTCCTCGCGGGTTCTGCTTCAGGCAAAGAAGTCTTTACTTGATAGCATTACGAGTGGCTTGCTGTAGGCGGCGCCCAGGGGAAACAAATAAAGAAACCAGCCCAGCCTCAATGAATGGAAAGAGAGGACTGTGACAGCTGAGAAGCCACGGTGTTTGGGTTGCTTGTGATCATGAATAGAGACCGCCCATCGAGAACTTTTCATTCATCGTCTCTCTGCCGCTCTCCTAGGTCAGCGTCCGCCAACGCTCAGCTTACATGTAATAGGCCCCGCGTTGTCGCCCCTCGATGATGACATGCAGTTATCTAACTACAGTTTAGGCAGCTCGCCAACTAGTGGACGTGACGACTGCAGACGTCCATGGCCGCGAATGCTTCAGACGACTCGGCCTTTCCAATACCCTCCACCCATCCTTGATTTCTATTCCTGGTCAGCAGACGTGCAGCATATGTGAGTCTCTCGTCTTGTGCCGACCGTGGTGCGCACAAACACTCTGCTACCCTTGGTATACACGCGCTAGCAACGCCGTTGGGGGATCCGGCACCAATACGAGGTTGACTTCGAGGCTCAGGTACTCCAGGAAGCCGCTGGTGAATTAGACTTCTGGTCAACTTGAGGGCTAGGAATAAGCTTAATTCTAGTGCGGTCGAAAGTGCTTTATACGTCGACTCAGCTCAAGGCACACTCAAGGTCAACGTACCTTATCGAGACGCTAAATTTGCAACTGCCCCTTTGTAGCCATCCCTTAACCTCCCGCAATAGATTATATGCAGTGAAGTCAATCGTGGGCTACACGTATAATACCTTGCGAACTACTTGTGTGATGAGCACAATCATCCATGTTCCATTACTGGCAGCCTATCATGACCAGAACTTCTTCTTCTTCTTGATCAGTTCACGTATCGAAAACCAATTTCCCTCCCTGCTCGCGGATGCCCGGATCGACTATCGACATATGCCGGCGGTGGAGTTTTTTGTTGAGGACGCAAGCCACCACCGGGCGATACTCTTCCAAGGTGTGCACGCCTTATTAGTATTTGACGGCTTTGACACCGTTCCCACTGAATTGCCTCCTCGACGTCCGAGACTAAGGTAAACTGTTTGCGCGTTAGAATCATGTGCTCAGGACGGAGTGCACCTTGTATATATAGCTGTCCCCGCGTGCCTTTCGCCGCCCCGTACGCTTCTGCTCACCAGCGTTCGTGACGCGAGGGCAGTCTTGATCACGCTCGCTTATCCAACGTTTTCATTCCATCATGGCAAGTCCATTTCAGGGCCACATGGCCGACCCAATTCCACATACAACGCTTGGAGCCACACGCAGCAGCATCACTGGCCGAGGGAGCCTACTGACACCACCGCCAACACCGACACCATCCACGACGACAGCCATCAGCGCCGATTCGAATGTTGGCTACAGGATCCGCGTTCTGATACACGACATGGTGCACTATTCCACGGATGCTGCGGCGAAGGAACGTCTTGACGAAGTCCTCCACCCTACCTACATCAGTGCTCCGTACTTCAGGGAGGTGAAGGCGCAGTGGATCCGACGTGCCACTATCGATGCCACGTTTGAGTGGCATCGGGCGTCCAGCTCCTCATCTCGCCCACCCCCCCTGGATATCAATTGGATGCTGGCGGAGGTCAAGCTGAACCTGGAGGGCATGGCCTTTGAGGATGCCGTGCACAGAGCTTTGCACGCGTGCGGTTTTGTGGACAGGTGCAAGACGAGCGGCGACTTCCGACCCTGCGCGCAGAATCTTCTTGCGCCTTTGTACGCTAGCTTGTTTGGCATCAAGCTCGAGGAACTGAAGGATGAGCACTTTTTGACTCGTCTGCGAAAGTGCGGTGTGTAAAAGGACTGGGCTTGGACAAGGGCATGTGCATCGGACAGCAGGCGACCATGGATGATATGAAAGCTCACAGGCAAACATTGACAGGGCTGGCCCTTATGATCGATCAAGCTTGGAACTCAGGTACTTGCGTTCATGTTTTTTGGAGAGCATGCACTTTTGATTAATGCATTAACAAAAGCATGTTGTATTATGAGTTGTTTAACTTACCTTATTGATGTCTGTGCTGTGATGCAACTATCGAGTGTCACTAGTGAATCCCGAATCCCGCTCATTTCCTCGTCACGACTTCACGCGACACCCACGCGATGCCCTTTCCCTGCTCTTAGGATTCGGTCTTTACCCATCAATTGGACATTGACCATTATGCCTGCGAAAAGGTCAGCTGTGCGCGTAGCCGCCAATTTCGCCGCAGGGAAGGACGGTGCCTCTAAGTCCGCCGTCAAGAGGACTGTCCGTCAGTCCCAGAGGACGGGAAACGCGTCTGGAAGCGACAACGACGACGATACACCATACGCGCCTTCAGCACCTGACGATGACTTCCCCGACGAACTACCCAACAAACGGCGCAAAACGGTCAGCAGCACGAAAGAAGAGGCCGCTCGCCTTCACAAGAAACTGTTCAGCGTGACGGCCACACAGGAACCATCAGAACCAACATGTTTGATGCCTAATCGCGAGCACAACACCGTCTACCACAGATCCCTTCTCCTCGATGGCTCAATTGCCAAGGCAGGCCAGAATGCGCTTCTGGATTGGTTCGACAGCATTAGCACTGCTCGTGCCATGCCATGGCGCATGACATGGCTCGACCCAAGCACGATATCCGACGAGGACGAGCTCCGAAAGCAACTCGAGCGTCGAGCATATCAAGTGTGGATCAGCGAGATTATGCTCCAGCAGACACGCGTGGCGGTCGTCATTGACTACTGGAACCGATGGATGGAAAAGTGGCCTACAATCCAGGATCTCGCCGCAGCCGACGCGGACGACGTGCTGGCCGCATGGAGGGGTCTGGGCTATTACAGTCGGGCCACGAGGATCCACGAGGCGGCAAAGCATGTCGTAAGCCACAAGGAATTCAGAGGTCTCCTGCCTGCTGATGCGAAGAAATTGGAAGCGGAAGTGCCGGGTGTGGGACGGTACACTGCGGGTGCCATTACCTGCATCGTCTTTGGTATCCCCGAGCCAATGGTCGATGGCAATGTGCTGCGCGTACTGAGTCGCCAACTGGGTATTCTTGGAAATGTGAAGACGGACAAGCGCGTTATTGACACCCTCTGGGCTGCCGCAGACGCTCTCGTCAAGAACGTGGCTCAGGGCGATGGTACGGTCAACGACCCCAGCACGATTCCGAGGAGCGACAAGCCCGGGCGGTGGGGTCAGGCTCTGATGGAGCTGGGAAGCACGATATGCGCTCCAAAGCCCAACTGCGCAGCGTGCCCTATAACTTCCACGTGTCGGGCGTATCTCGAGGGTCGGGAGCTTGCTGATCGCAAGGACAGCAAGGCATCGCCGGTAGCAACTCCCGACATTGAGGATGCCTGTACCCTCTGCGAACCCTTTGAGAACGCGCAGGACGAATCAGACGCGACTGAAAGAACACCCGTCGTTGCAGGCAAGCCGAGCAAGAAGCAGGCCACTTTGTCGTCTTTTTTCAGCAAGCCCTCGACCAAAGAAGCGCCAGCCAAGGCGGCCGGAGCAGCAAAGACCAAAGCTGCGGAGCTGGAGACAATTGTGAACCACGCCAGGAAGTTCCCGCTCAAGGTTGTAAAGAAGGCGGTTCGCGAGGAGGAGACGCTCGTCTGCGCGATTCAGACACGCGACAGTAGTTTCCTCATCCATCGGCGTCCCGAGAAAGGACTCTTGGCCGGACTGTGGGAGTTTCCCTCCAAAATCCTGGACGCGGGCGAGGGTTCGACCTCGAAGCAGCGCAAGGCCCTTGCGCAGAACCATGTGTCTTTACTTCTGGGTACGAACGATAGCAAGCTCAAACATGTCGGCGAGCTAGGCAGCGTACCCTGGCTGTTTTCGCATCTCAAGCTCACAATGCATGTGCATCTGTTCAAGGTCGACACAGACGAGGTGGCAGCCACAGGCGACGAGAACAAACAGCCCAGTCGGTGGAGCGACAATGTCGAGAATGAGTCAATGGGGACTGGGATGAGGAAGTGCTGGGCTTTGGTGCGGGATCACTGTACTCTTGTTGATTCATAGGATGCTTCCTAAGCACGTACGCAAGCTAATGTGGGTATCAAAGGTCACTGTTGATCCGCCGGCTCGTCTGGGTTGATCCCCGTCAAGCAATTCACCGTCTCGTTGCTCCCCATTTCATTGATCAAATCGTCCTTGGGTATCTGCCACGCACCAGACAGCTTGGCGTACCCATCCAAGGCATCAGTGAGGGTCTTGCCAATCTCCAGGGACTTGTAGGCACGCGTGCGGGAGAAGAAAGTCAACATCTTACGGGCAGCGTCACGGTCTCCGGTTGCCAGCAGCATCTTTGCCGCCGTGTCAACCCACGTGGTAACGGCTGCGGCCGACTCGTCCTCAAAGGAGATGAACATGTCGGTGACGAGCGGGAGGAAGCGCTTGGGCGCAGAACACATGTAGTACAGCACGCGCTTGAAGACGCGACCGGCAAAGACCGAAGCCTCCTGGAGCTGATAGTCGGTCTTGAGAAAGGTGCTCGAGGCACCCGTGGTCAGGTAGCGGTGCTGGCCGAATTCAGGGGGCACATGCTCAACGCCCAGATACCAGGGCACAAAGGGCGCGGCGACGGAGCCGGTGGCGGCATTCCAGATCAGGTACAGGTCAGGGTCCCCGGGCTCGAAGACACGGATCACCTGGCCGTAGCCGGACTGGTCATCACAGATGCGAGGGTCACGTACGCGCTTCATAAAATCCTTTTCGGTCACGGGCACCATGGCAAGCGTCGCGTTCTCTAGGGCGGCCTGCGACATGTACTTGAACCCCCCGGTGCGCGCGTGGTAGCTGTCCCCCTGGACGCCATAGGCCTTGAACACATGAAAGGGCTCGTCGCCGTCGGGGTCCCACCAGCCTTGCGCGACGGCAAAGTCCACGAGGTTCTCGGAGCCCATGTGGTCACGCGAGTCGGCAAAGTCGACGGGGAACTCCTCAATGTAGCCGGGATACGAGACCCTGACAACGTCGGGACCCAGTCGCTCGGCGGCCCAGAGCGTCTCGCCCCCGGCAAACTCCCAGACGACCCAGCCCTCGTCCTTGTCGGCGATCAGGTGGGGGTTGCCGCCGTACGTGGCGAAGCCGTGCTTCTTGATCAGGTCACCGATAATCTCGACGCCCTCGCGTGCGGTCGCTATACTGCACGCCGGTCTGGGGCTTGGGCGTCATCTCGGCCAGCTCATCGCTGTTGCTGGCCTAGACGTCCCGCACGGCCACGCCCTTTTCATTCAGGCCGACGTTGGTCAGTGGCGCGGGGAACCCCTCGAAATCAGAGTACTCCATGCTCATGTACCGCCAGGTGTGGTTCACCTGCGGGATGGTGATGAGCTTACCGGGATAGGATGCATCTTGGGTCACGCCGACGGTGATGGTGGCATTGGCGAGATGGTCCTTGGCTGGGAAGAGCTGGAGCCAATGCGACGACACTTCCTCGCCGGTGCCCCCGAGGAGGACATGTCCCGATTCCGTGAGGTTCTTGCCGACGTAGAAGGCGTAGCTTGCTGTTGCGGGCGCAGCGAGGCCAAGGAGGCCAAGGAGGCCAAGGAGGCCTAGAAGAGGAAGCATGGTGCTGCTGTACGAGAATTTGGGCGATCAATGATGATGGTTATGCTGTTATTGTTGTTGCGCAGAGTACAACAGCTCACAGTGATATTTGCTCCACGACTCTTGCCTTCGTCAGCTCTCCTAACGACTCCATCGAGGCGAATTGTGACTCGAGTGATGACTGTCATCAGTCGTGAGGGCTCCACACGAGGTCGGATCGGATCGGCCGACCTTCGGCTTTGCTACCTAAGGTAAGGTAAGCATCTGTTGAGAGAGCACCTGGCCAAGCGTCCGGCAATGGCAGCGTCGGAGATGGTGCTTGCTGATACTGTGGCCGGCATTTTCTCGGTCTCTCTTGGGGTCGCCTGGTTTGCATACGGTAGTCGCTGACTCGCTGAACTCACTGGTGCGGCATGGTCAGCCTTACCAAGGTAACATCAACTCAACCGCCGTAGACCTCATTCCCTTGCTTTCTGTTGGCTGAAGTTATCGAGTGCGCAGTGCAGCGAGCGGACTCGAGCTGTTACGCCGCAGTTCCGAGGCCGAGTTGCAGTCGCACGACAGTGTCACTGTCACATGCCGCGTCAAGCGCCTGCTCACTGCAAATCTTCACTTTCCCATGACGAAGAGAAAATTCATGCCGCCCAGCGGCGGTCTGTGCAGTCCTGGCAAGCTTCTCGAATCGCAGAGCGCTGGCTGGCCAGGGGCCTTGATCGCCGTGGCCCCATAGCTAGGGCAGTCGGGTTTTACCCCTGAATTGAGAATCTGAGATGTGGATGTCTCCTTGGCAAGCTGCTGGACCCCTCCGGGGGCCGGGGGCCTCCAAACAAACCCCTCAATTACGAGATGTGCCGTCCGTCCGACCACACTTTCGAAATTAAGCCTCCGGCAAACACTCCACGATAATTTCACGTACGTACGTTCGTGCGTTGGTACGGAGTACCACGAGTCGACAGCGCACAGGCCCCCGACCAACCGACCAGCCGACCGAGTCCTGCCGCCATCCACCACGACCAACATGTCCGGCCTTGACGCGCCCGAGATTGCGGCGGCCTACGACGCTGTGCGCTCCGACAAGGACGAGACCAACTGGCTGCTCATCTCGTACGCGGCCGCGTCCGGTAACAAGCTAGAGCTCAGCGGCACGGGCAGCGGCGGCCTGGAGGAGATGAAGGCGGCGCTGGACGACAGCCAGGTCCAGTACGGCTACGTGCGCGTCGAGTACGCCAACGACAAGGAGAGCACGCGGGTCAAGTTCGCCGTCGTCGTCTGGATCGGCGAGGGGACAAGGGTGATGCGCAAGGCGCGCGTGAGCATCGAGAGCGGCGAGGTCAAGAGGGTGCTGTCGCACCACAGCATCGCCATCCCCGCCAACGACAGGAGCGAGCTAGACGAGAAGGACATCGTGACGAGGCTGCGCAAGGCTGGAGGGGCGGACTACAATGGGGGCCGTGGTTGATCTACTTGACTCACTCTGATGACTGCATGTCTGTCTGATGATGCTAACAGTCGCTTGTGTTGACAAACTACGCACTACGTACTCACCCAACACCCATGGTTCAGGGTATGCATTATCACCTTGTGTTGTCCAGTACGTACTACTCCTTCGTCCCGTCCTGTCCACAATTCCAGGGTCCCAACCACCAATCGATCAGGTTGCAGGTAAAGTTCTACCGGTTGTTCTAGCGCACACCTAAAGTCACGTGGGCAGCGCATCGAGTGTCAACCCCATCTCACTTCAGCCAATCACGTCTGCATTCGGCCGATGTGCCCCATCCATCTCAGGCTCAGAGGCTCGGCCTTGCCCGGCGGATCTTGAGAGTAGCCAATGGCAGCTGGGAGCCCCCCTCTATCGGCCAGTCCGCAAACCGTAGTACGTATCGAATCTGCTTCTGGCAGGCTTGGCAGCTCTATCAGTTTTACGTTGCGTCTATGCACGCACTGACGTGATGGACCCGCCAGGCAACAGAGAATCGGAGAGAGACGACTGGACACGGCAGGGCCAAGGTTTCGGCCTTGACCATCATTACAGTTAGCGTCTTGCAACGGCTGGGTCTGCAGCGTGGGCCCCGCCCCGACTTGGGCCATCTACACGCGCAGAGCTCCCCCATTCGATCCATCTGCCCCAGTCTTGCACTGACTCGCTCGGTTGGTTGCTGCCGACTAGGTTTTCTTTCAGTTATGCCGAGACACTTCCTTGGCGTACCTACTGCATGTACGTACATCCTGAAGGTGAAGGAAGGCCGTCCAGGCCTCAAGCCTCTTTGGGTTAGGCCCACCCGTTCGTCGACTCGACGGCACCGGATCCCAGCCGTCAAACTCTTGCGCGCCTTCGGTCCTTCCACCAGGGGCCCAATGCGCATTGCATCTTATCTACCCCGTCCATTCCCCCTTCCCGAACTCCCTCCGTCCTTGTCTCTCCATCATCAATTCCTCCTTGTCGACCTTCTCCGCCTTTGGTTGACTGACTGACGCCTGTTGCTGACGACGACCTGCACGGCGCACAACCCCAGACCAGTCCACCCAGCCTGATCCCGGTGATCTAATCCTGCACGTGTTACTGCCCGCCGGCACTGTATACTTTACCTACGCACGGGGCTTGCCAGCAACGCGCTTCGCCCAGCACGTCGCGTGATGAGCCTCCTATCGACATTTCGACCAGGTCAAAACGACGGCATGGACAGCAGCTCCTCCAGCCCGCCGCCGCACATGGATCTCAAGCATGAGCAGCAGAACTATGGCGGCGAAGCCCCGGCTGTTCGTCGCCCGTCCAAGGCTGATGGCGCCGACGGCATGCTCGAGGGTCTGGGCTACAAGCCCGAGTTGACCCGTTCGCGCTCGACTCTCCAGGTGGCCTTCATGTCGTTCGTGCTCGCCTCGATCCCGTGGGGTCTGTCCACGACGCTCTACTACCCATTGGTCAACGGTGGCCCCGTCACCATCATCTGGGGTTGGATCCTCGTCTCTGCCATTATCCTCTGCGTGGCTGCCTCTCTTGGTGAAATCACAAGTGTCTACCCTACTGCTGGAGGTACTGTGACCCCGTTTGCTCCCCTGCTCGCGTTGCGTTGCATTGCATTGCGCTGCACTGTCCGCCGTGTCCATGTCTGATGCGCACGGCCCTTCCTTCCCCCCTCTTCGCGCGAATGCTCTCCTCGCCGTCGCTATTGATGAACACATGTTAATGATACTCGTGATATAGGCGTGTACTACCAGGCCTTCATGCTCGCACCCGCTCGCTGGCAACGCGTCGCGAGTTGGATCTGCGGCTGGCTGTACCTGGTTGGTAACATTACCATTACCCTGTCCGTGACATTCGGCGCCACGACCTTTATCGTCGCCTGCATCAACGTCTTCGAGTCCTCGCCCGGGGCTAGTGATGTCTTCCCCGGCACCACCTGGCAGATCTGGCTGCTCTTCCTCGCCATCACTCTCGTGTGCAATGCCATCTCGGCCCTCGGGAACAAGTGGCTGCCCATGCTCGACACGGCTGCCATCTTCTGGACCTTTGCCGGTGTGATTGCCATGGTCATCTCCGTCCTGGTCCTCGCCAAGGAGGGCCGCCGCAGCGCCAACTACGTCTTCACCCACTGGGACAACTCTTCCGGCTGGCCCAACGGCTGGTCCTTTTTCGTCGGCCTGCTGCACGCCGGCTACGCCACATCGTCGACCGGCATGATCATCAGCATGTGCGAGGAGGTCAGGGACCCCTCCACCCAGGTGCCCAAGGCCATGGTGGCGACCATTGTCATCAACACCCTCGGCGGCCTCCTCTTCCTCATCCCCATTGTCTTTGTCCTCCCGGACATCCAGATGCTCATCAACATCGAGTCCGCCCAGCCCATCCCCACCATCTTCAAGTCGGCCGTCGGCTCGGCCGGTGGTGCCTTTGGCCTCCTCATCCCCCTCATCGCCCTGTGCCTCATGTGCAGCATCGCGTGCACAACGGCCACCTCGCGTTGCGTGTGGGCCTTTGCCCGTGACGGCGCTATTCCCGGCGCCAAGTTGTGGATGAAGGTCAACAAGAAGCTCGACGTGCCCGTGAACGCCATGATGCTCAGCATGATCGTCCAGCTGGCCCTCGGTCTCATCTACTTTGGCTCGACCCTTGCGTTCAACGCCTTCTCCGGTGTCGGTGTCATCTGCTTGACTGCTGCCTATGCCTGCCCCATTGCCATCAACCTCTTCACTGGCCGCAAGCAGGTCAGGAAGGGCAACTTCTTCCTCGGCCCCCTGGGTTACTTTACCAACATTGTCGCTCTCGGTACGTTTTTTCTCTTTTCCTTTTTTTTCCCCTCCCCCCTAGCCGAGATGGGCACGTCTAACCTGCTGCAGCCTGGACACTGTTGGCTCTGCCTCTCTTCTGTATGCCCACGTCGATCCCCGTCACGGCCGACACGCTCAACTATGCCTTCGCCGTGTTCATCGGCGCTGCTGCGATCTCCGGCATCTGGTACGCTATCTGGGGATACAACAACTACGCTGGTCCTCCTACCCAGGAGGAGGAGCTGTAAGGGGCTGGTAAAGTAGTCCAGAACCTCTGGTAACCCAGCTTGATGTTGTGTAAAGTACCTGTATTTAAGCGCGTGCACAATGTGCTTTTGAAGATACCAATATTGAGAATACATAAGAGACGAGCGTCGCCATAACATGTCGAATTGCAAGAGCCCGTGATCGCACTTCACCGAGAACAACTGTGATGGATCATTAGACTACTATGCTCAATGGCATGCCTTGCGGCCATGATGGCGCCATCTACGGAGGGCGAATTGTAGACGATCAAAAGGATTATATACATCACTCAAGTGTCGCAAGTGTCAACTCGCTGGCAGTAGACAGCGATGCAACACCAGACAACGCCTTGCCTTGGGAAGGCAACTGGCTGACAGCAACTTGATCGCTAGAAAATTTTCCACAAACAAGACCAGACCAGGAAGAAGCCGGGTCGATTCGACCTTCCTATCCTGGCCTCGCCCATGCGGATCTCGTTTCGATAAGAAAAGGCCAAGCTTTTCATGGACCCCAGCACGCAGGCAACGTTCCCTGACAAGGGGGGGTAACAGTCGCAGCCTGCACGGTCACGCCATGCTGAGGATTCGCTTGCAATGGCACACTTGGGGGCGTTGATGAGATGGGCAGATGGGTTACGAATGGCTTTGTGATCAAGTAAGCTGGTCCCGAATAATCAGCCTTATCAAATTGTACGGTCCATTTCTTCTTCAATCCGGGGGAGAGGATGGGGCCAGCAGACACATCGCCATCCCGCATCTCCACTGTAAAGGCTTCCCTCCTCGGCAGAAGACATCTGGAAAGTCAATGCCGGACAGACAGACAGACTCTGCATCGCGGCCCCCAATGACTGGACAGCGCACGTCTGCCCGCCAGGATCAACACCCAGCGCACTGATCAGAGGCTAGAGCCAACTCCCTCCATGTGCAGGCAAACAGAGTTCCCCCCGTGGTCGGCATCAGTCCCTGCCTGGCCCAACCACTTTCGGCGATCACGTCAACGTCCCTGTCGAAATCGCAACCACTCACTCGTCCCTCATGTCGTATCGCACGGTGGCCAGAATGCTACAGTAAGTTAGGTAGCTTGGGGGGAGTATTTAACCTTGCAGCTCATCACGCGTGCGCATGCGTGCGACCACTGTCTCTCTCTTTCTCTCTCTCTCTCTCTCTCGTTGTGTGTTTGCTTTCCCAGTCCCCTGTTGATCGTCGCCACGCGCACAGTTGCTACTAATACTAATTCCGCTTCCTTCGACTGCCGAAGCCTCCCCCGCGCCTTCAAGGCCTCCTCAGTCTGCGCAATGACCTGGTCCCCATCGCGGAACGATGCTGAACACAGCGCGGAGCCTGTCAAGGCTGGGAATGCCGTGGATATCAACGCCAATCTGCCACCACACGCCGCTGCCAGTGACAACTCTGGCGACAACGGCAGCTTTGTCGACGCGCAGACGTATGCCTACAGTGAGGACCGCAAGATTGGGGTTACGGGTGCTGTCTTTCTCATCTTAAACAAGATGATTGGCACAGGCAGTACGTCTCTCTTCTTAGTCCGAGCGTGCACGTCAGCACGACTTGGTTGCTAACATTGGCCAGTCTTCTCAACGCCGTCCGGCATCTTCGCCGCCACTGGCTCGGTGGGTGTATCCTTTATTCTCTGGATCGTGGGAGGCATCCTCACCTTCTGCGGCATCAGCGTCTTCCTCGAGTTCGGTCTCGCCATCCCCATCTCCGGCGGTGAGAAGAACTACCTCGAGCGCGCGTACAAGAAGCCAAAGTATCTCATGACCTGCGTCCTGGCGGCCCAGATGCTCCTCCTCGGCTTCTCGACGGGCAACGCCCTCGCCTTTGGACGCTACGTCCTCTTCGCCTCGGGCTGGGAATCATACGACGGCTGGCCGGCGCGGGCCATTGGCGTCGCCTGCGTCACGTTCGCCGTCGTGCTGCACACGGTCCTGCCGAAATGGGGTGTCCGTCTGTTCAACGTGCTGGGCACCTTCAAAGTCATCACCCTGCTGATCATCGTCTTCTCCGGCTTTGCGGCGCTGGCTGGCCACCGGCGCGTACCCAACCCGCACAACTTTGACAATGCCTTTCGCATCGAGAACGGGGACGGCTACGGCGGCGGCAGCGCGTCGACCTACTCCAACGCTATCCTCAACGTCGTGTATAGCTACAAGGGCTGGGAGAACGCCAACTACGTCGTCTCCGAGCTCAAGAACCCGCGCAAGACGCTCGCCATCGCGGCGCCCCTCGCCGTCGGCGGCGTCACCATCCTCTACGTCCTCGCCAACGTGGCTTACTTTGCCGCCATCCCCAAGACACAGCTCGCCAAGTCGGACCTGCTCGTGGCGGGCGTCTTTTTCCAGAACATGTTTGGCGACGTCGCCGGACGCAGGGCGCTGCCCGTCCTCGTCTGCCTCAGCAACTTGGGCAACGTCCTGGCCGTGTCGTTTGCGCACTCCCGCCTGAATCAGGAGCTCGCCAAGGAGGGCATGCTCCCCTTCTCCCGCTTCTGGGCCTCCAACAAGCCCTTTAACTCGCCGGCCCCGGCCCTCTTCCTGCACTGGCTCATCACCGTCATCGTGCTGGTCGCTCCTCCTGCTGGCCCCGCCTACTCCTTCGTGGTCAACCTGTACACGTACCCGGGCTCCTGGATCAACGGCTTTGTGGGGGCCGGCCTCATCTACCTCCAGTGGAGCAAGACGGAGAACTGGTCCTCGCCCTGGCACACGTACCTGCCAATCTCGATCCTGTGGCTGCTATCCAACATTTTCCTCGTCCTGGTGCCCTTCCTCCCGCCACAGGGATCCTGGACGGCCGACGGGTATCCCTACTACATCTTCCCGGTGGTTGGGTGCGGCGTTCTGCTGCTGGGCGTTGTGTACTGGGTTGGGTGGACCAAGGTGTTCCCCCGAATCGGAGGCTACAAGGTGGTGGCGGAGAGAACGTTTGACGAGGGCGGTACCGAGATGGTGAGGTACAGAAAGGTGCACCTGAGAAGGAGGAGATGAGGATTGCTTTGAGTGGTTCGCGTCGAATTCATGTTGTCATATTGATAGGCACTTTCCATGTCGCCATCGTCATCAGGTTGAGTTATAGCTCAACAGAGTGATTAACTGTTTCATGCTGCATTAGGAGTGCTGATGTAAATGCAAGGCGGCACATTGTTTATTGAATGTTTGACAATACTCTCTAGACGTATGGATCGGTAACAAGATGAACCTGTCCGCAAAGCATCTTGAGTCCTAGCCTCCAACGAGTAATCCACCTTCTTCTGAACGCAACTTAATTGAAAGCTTCCATCTCTTCGCAAGCAGTCTTTTCCGAACCTCACCGGATGACATCGTCGATTTACTTGCTTACGAATGTGGTCTCATGTGTCACTGAGGCCGATTAGTACATGTATCAAGGAAAGTCATTGCCTCCGCATACTCGACATGAATTACCACATCTGTTGTATTCACGTACATTGTCGCCCATTATGTACATGTATGTTTCAGCGTCCTTTGAGGACGTCCTGTCCCGCCCACTGTCGTGTATAATGACTAGAATCTGCCTGAAACCACATCAACTCGAAGCTTTGTACACCAGCATGTGGTGTGCGTTCTATTGCAATGAAATACCCACGTGAATCTGCTTCAGTTATCTGACTCAAGGTGTTTTCACCCTAGTTCAATGACTTTTACTTTCTTCGTAAGCATCGTAGGCGTGTATGTGGGCGGTAGTGTGAGCCTCCAGCTACCCTACACCACGCCCGCAATTGGCATAGGCCGCTGTGGAAGGCATTTGACGTGGACATACTCGTTCTGTGCTATCTCGGAGAACTAGTTGAATATCTTTTCTCTGTATCCAGTAAAGCTAATCCGTAACACAGATGTCCTGGTATTCTGGGCCGTTGCCGTTGTGTGCATGTGGTCCTTGGAAGCTGTGCGTTTGTTGAGCTTTGGGCTGGAAATGTCCTTACCTTACGAAAAACATCTCTGAAGCTACCAACATGCACCCGGCACAGCTCTCCCCATGATCGACGCTTTGATATCCATTTCTCGTGATCAACAGGCCCTTGTCCTTGTAATTTGAGGAGATTGATCAACAATCGCGATGTGGTCAAACCCCCACGCCTGTACCGTGGTGTCTGACAAAGCGCTGCTCCATCGCGTCTGTCAGTTGTTCCACTCTGCTTGAGTCACACTAGTGAAAGTCAAGATGAATGACATGACCCCGGCATGGTCCAATTCCCCATGGGTGAAGAATCAGTGTCGTCGATAACTGGCCAGTGTTAGTAGTTGAGGTCTATAATCTCACGCTCTCGCTGCGAGCTACTGAAGTGACTGGATACAACAAGCCTAGATTCAACGTACCAAGCATTGTGCTGTGGATACGTCTCCAATGCCAACTCGGATGGCACCGAGCGATTTTCAACGAAATTGGAGGCCCATTTTCTATTTTGAAGTTATTTTGCGGACAGGCCAGTGAATTTGATTGTTAGCTCCACCGTGCGCACGCGCAGCTGCACGCGGCTCCATGGGGGCCCGGTGGGCCAGAATGCACAGTGCGCAGTACCATGCAAGGCCCGCGTCTTGGCAGACTAGGAAAATGGACGATCGTCACTACAAACCTCCGATGGTGAGCGAGAACTGCAGCTGCAGCAGCCTCCTCTGCCACAAACTCACTCTCACCACGGCGAATTTTCATTTACCTACCAACGACATTTGGGATCGGGCGCGATTATGCCTGGCATCAAAGGGACCGGCCGATAGGCGTGCGGGATTATTCGATGACCAGGGGCCGCATACTGCGTTGCAGCAGTGATGGGCGCCATTCCCGTGGTTCTGGGTGCTGCGTTTGGGCAATCCTTGATGCCCTTTGCTCTCTCGCATCTCGTCGATACACCAAAGAAGATGAGGCTGCCGATAGTCTTGAGGCATATTCCATGTCCCACAACTGTCTCAGCTACGAGTCACACTTTGTTGAGGGCGGTGTGCTCCCCGTCTGCCTCGTAGCGACCGATGCACTGTTGCGGATCGCGATCTCAGGACTACGTGCTCCGTCCAAGGTGCTCACAGTGACAGACTTTCGGCCAAGACTCGGAGTGCCTTGCGATTGTCAGCACGATCGGGGCGTAACCGATTATAATTGCTGCACTAGTATGGCAGCCCATGTTCATGCCAGACCAGCATAGGCCTGCTTTTACGTCTCAAGGTCCCCGGACCTTGATTGAACACTGCCTCGCTTGACCAGCTTCACCGCAAAATGGACGGGTCCTCTGAAGCCTCATCAAGATGGGTTTGTGCGTCATCATGCCTACCTCGACCATGCCTCATTGATGAGCCACGAATCGATAATCCTAGACCTCGACTTCTTCTCCCCTCTCTCCTCCTGCCATCGAGTCCGGGGACTGCCTGATGCGGCCCGTGAAGAGGACTCAGCCAATGACGGGCTGGTGCTGGATGGAATCATGGATAATGCCCGCGAATGGAAGCTGGACGTGGACCATATCTTTGCGTCCTGGTTTGATATGCAACCCGTACGTATTTCATTAGTGTCCGAGATGTCCGGCATCCTTGACGAAGCTTGTCAGTTGCATTGATTGCCACACTTTCTAGGTGGTTTTGCGTCTCGAGCGAGGAGGGTCCTGGGCGTCTCCTCCGGTCACACCACACCATGACGTTCTCCTGTCAGTGCCACGCCACGGGTAGCTCGGTCTCGGTATCGTGGCACTACAAATGCTTCACGGTAACCGAACGGTCGCACCACTTGTCAGGCGACTGACTGACAGACAAAACACCCCCTCTGCCAATGTACATCTTGCGTGCTTCCTTGACTGCGTATCATGCACCACAACCCCGCCTCCCCAGACACATGCCGTGCCTTGCGAGCCAGCGCGGACGAGTAAAAGACACGGTCAAGGCCTAAGCCAAGATGCTGACCCGGCGTGCAGCATGCGCTGTGGCATGACACTCGTGCGCGCGCGTCCACGGGTGGGTTACGGGCATCAAGCAAGGCGGCCTGTATTGCGTGCATGAGTGGACATGGTGGTACTGTGTGAAAGTGTGTGCGTGTGTGACCGTCGCAATCGCGAAAGAATACCGAAGGGCAACCAGATATCTGATCGTCACCCAGGGGGGAGAATATTGTTTAACCGCTGTCAAAATTCTATACGCGTGATAGTGCGATAAATTCCACACGCGCAACAACAGCTCGGTTGCCGTGGGTTACGTTTCATGACGTGTTGCAATAAAGCAAATGCTGCCGGGGCTGGTTTCTTCATCAATCCTTCCAGATGGCACATGACCTTGCCCCCCAGCCGGTCAGCAATGTGCCACCGTGCCAAACCCTACGTGCCGTCGCGATCACGTCTACGGAAAATGGCGCCACAGCGTTCCCAAGGGGTGGCGTCGGTCAAGCCAGCATTTGCAACGCAACCACCTTGAGAAGTCGGTGAACGACAAGGTGGTCACAGGAATAGTCGCGTTGCTATGCGTACGACCATGAGAAGCTTGAAGAAATGGCGTTGCCTCTGTGTCGAAAGCAGAGACTGGCTCCGCCAGGGCTGAAACCTGGCGCTCTGGCAGTAATTACAAGAACTCAGGGGAGGCATCAAGCATCTCTGGTCATTGTGCGCCGCCGGCTGGCAGCAAACCTGTCACAGATCTGCTGGTTTAACACGATTGTCCTTGGCCTCACCCTGTCGCGAAGCCAGCCTCTAGTATCATGGCATCTTCCCAAAAGCCAAAGGACTTGATGGCAGAAGATCCGGGTGTACCGGGCGAGTCGGCCGCCGACGACGTGCTCCTATGCCCCGTCTTACACGCGTCAAGTGTTTCCTCGACACGCACCGTATCGGACTGCCGCCTGCTATCATTGTGGTTGCGCAGTGCGAGTCTCACAGGCAGGCGTACTGCACGTACGTACTTGCGTGTGGCGGACGTTGTGCGACCTGCTGGGCACGGTAATTGCATGTCTGGTATCTGGGGTATCCCCACGCGCCCTCACATGACCACATGACCATATGCTCTAGATCTGATGCGAGACAATGTCCTCAAACCTGCGTGCCCAAGATCAGAGACATGACAAAACAAAACATGGTCAGGCCAGCTCCTTGTCGATCCACATGAGCTCCGGCCGGGGATCGTGAGGTGGGGTCTCCGCGCCCCCCTCACGCAGCACGCTCAGCACTGCAAGCGAGTGACAGGCTGCTGCTGCGCGACACCACTGCGGGGCTTTTTATCTTACAGCTCCTCATTTTGTGTAGACTTCAATTGCCGGACCGTGTTCGTCATGCTAAGAGATCATTACACGGTCCGTGACGATCTGATAGTAGTGCAAGACCGCGACCTCTGCTCGCAGAGACAGAAGGTGTGCGTGCCGCTGCACGCTTTCACATCGCCTCGCGGAAGGACTGGAAGCCCATCCTCGTAAAGGCTATGCGGGTTGTCTCACCAGAGGAACGAACGTCTATGATCGCCAAGCGGGTGTCCTGTCCCGCGCAATAGCGCAACGATATCGGCCTGCCGAGAGGGAATAGAATTAGTAAGGAGATCAATCTCTCTACGGAGATAGGGGTCCCACCCTCCCATCGTCGTAGGCTGCTGTGTAGTGATTAGAGCGCTCACACCCGGCACATCATCCAGGGTCGCACGGAAAGTTTTTTTGCCAGAGAGCTCAAGAATGCCATGGCTGAAGATGGTTTTGTCGACACACACACACAGAGAAGAGAGGGGCGATGGCATGTCTTCAAGGTTCAAGGTGTGGCCACCCTGCCCGGTGGTGGAGAACCCCTAACCCAGTTCATGCTTTAGCGCGAGCAGGCTAGAAGAACCTTACGGAACCAATGAAGGCAGTTAGTTGGTCGCTGAACATTCGAGACATGGCCATCTACGTTATGACACAGACAGCTGATGGAACGATTGATGTCCGGATCGGATGTCTTTTAGCCATGAATTGAGGGAATAACCATCTCCGCGCATTTGCCGCCGTCGTATCGACGCGATGCACTCTGTAATTATGTAGGAACTTTCCATGCCTGGCGGCAGGGGAATTGGTGAGCATGTAAGCAACCTTCCAAGAGAGAAGGAGACCGACCTTGTCAGGGGCTGTAAGGCACCGGGGGATGCCTACCCGGTAGAGAAATCGCATTCCAGCTACGGGGATATCTCTCGGCCGACGAGCATTATTTAGAGTTCGCTTGTTGGGGCTGGAAGCGCCCGTGGAGGATGCCCTCGAACGCGGGACTGGAGTCGGGGGCCCGGGGTTGCACCGGAACGTATGCCGCGGAGAGTACAGCAGAATGTCACTGGGGCTATGCTTCTGCAGCCATAGTATCTCCAGGTTGATGTTGAAGCTTTAAGCTAAACGAGGGAACCTTGGGATCTCAAAGTGATCGACAACAGCTGCACCATTCCTGTCGCAGTCTAGACTTGACCGACTTTCAGGCCGACTGTCTAGGTCACCCTCACTCAACCATAGGTATCTGAGCGTAGATATCTCTATGAATCGAGCCGTCGTTGCCTCTGTGTCAAGCAAATGCACAATTGTTGCTTGGACGTACGTACTGATTGATGGTACTAGCGGGGAGCTCCGTCGCCTGGGTCCCACCGTGAAAATCTCTTATCGCAGCAAGCCGCAACTTGCAAGCGAGAGGCGGGTCCGGCTTCACCCAGAGCCTCAGTTCAGTTGAGAGCGCCTTAGCCGCTGGAGACTCGCCTCTGCTACGCTACAGTCAATGAGGTGAATAACGCCAATCGTGAAGCACGGATGGGTGGCAGCCTGGCGGCGGCAAAAGCCTCATATTGTCAGATTTGCGCGCAAGCCACAAACGCCAGCATGGCAACATATTGATGCCACAATTAATCGCCAACAGAGTTTTCATCCAGAGCAGCCAATACCTTTAGGTAATAGTGAAGGGCTCAGCACCTGCAGCCAAGTACGACCTTTCCCGGATCAATGCGGCGCTGGCCATTGTGGTTCGATTACACTACCTGTTTGATGGTCTGTGCAGAGATGCCTCGCGTCGCTGCGCTCTTGGTTCACAGCTTACCGTGGGTTGGGGCGAACGATGTTGGAACGTATGCAAGTGGGGCACATTGATGCAAGAGAGGAAGGGTCCTACCAGCCTCAAATATACCCTCCATGAGAGACGACGGCGCCTAACGACGCGAGTACCGACATGGTTGGTTGCATCCTTGATCTTGTTGATCATGGAATGAAAAGTCTGAAGAAGCCCTCGCGATGCGAAATGATCATCCTCATTGGACTCGACAAGACGCCTCAGAGCAGGCAGACGCTGCAGGCCACCTTCGCCATCCAGTAGTGTGGTGTTCGTGATGGTATGATGTGATGGGAGGCGAATGAATGCAACAAATGTGGTGCTGTCAGGGGAGTCCGAGAGTAAGGAGGTGATTGATCGTGGGCGAGGTAATGACTTTCGTTGAGTGGAGGATGGAGAATATTGTTTACTTTGGTGGCCGCCCAGCTCTAGTCACTCTCCGAAGGTGCGGGCGAGTGGCCCAGAAGCGGCCGAAAGCACGTCTTGAGTATGTTGTCTGATATCATGTACAAGTACGGAGTAGAGACAATCCTATCGTGAGGGTTACTTGTGCAGTCGAATAGTATCTTGCAGGGTATGAACAGTCGGTACCCGTGTCATTCCGTTGGTCGTGGCACGCTCGGAGATCGTGCCACTGTGTCGACGTCATTCGTGATACGTACGTACAATGATTAGAAAGGCTGGAGAAGACGCTGCGGACAAGAAATGCAGATCGCGGCACAGTCTGTCATTGTGCCACTCAGACAGTGCTTGCCCACCCTTAGTCCACATTAGGGCACCGTGTGCCGCAGAATTCCCGTTCCCGGGGATTACTCGCCTCCGGGGTCGAATAGTGGTCCGACTCCATGTCCCATTGCGCACACTTGCACTGCTGCCCACTGGCCACGGGGAGAAACTGAAACCGGTGAGCCGCTGACACGCGGCATCGACAAGACATCCGTTCATCTTCACCAAAGTGCTGTGGTGGTGGTTTCCTGGCAGACTGAAGCATGGCGCATCGGGCAATCATGCGATTCGTCAATGAGGCTGCAGGCCTGCACTGTGCAGCAAGCCATCAACAGGGATTGAGTACAGCACTGCAGACAAGCGCAGCAGCATTGCAGCGATCGCAGGGGTGAGTGAATCCACTCTAGTCCCGCTCTCCGCCCCGGCGGTCGCATGGCGCTTGGACTAATCGGTCGTCCAGGCGTTGTGACTGGCGGATTCGAGGGTTGGAGCTTCGATTTCGATCTCCAAATCTTGATGCCGGCGTTGAAACACAAAATTCTATTACAACAAGTCAGGGGGACCACTGGAAGTTGGCAGACGCTGATGGACCTGGATTCGTCCTCGACGCAGCTCATTCTTCCGACTTGGAGGACCTCGCCGCCTTGGCCGCCCCCGTTGCTGTACCGTCGTTGCAGCGTCGCCTGATGGTGTGGTGTGGTGTGGTGTGGTGGCCCAGGCGTGCAACGCCTGGACTCCTCCCCGTGCAAGCATTCCTGGGCATGAGTCTGTCCTCTCCGCGTTGACCTGAGGTTCCCCCGGGCAAGTAGCATTGCACCTCACTCAACAGTGTGCGGGCCGCTGTTTACGTGTAAAACTTTGATCCCCTCCTTCTGTGCGCCTCCTCCATCTCAACAAAATGTGTGCACGCCTGCAGTGTATATTCGCCTCCATGTCGACACCACCACTGCAGCTTAGCCACCCCCATCTTGATAAGATACAGCAGAGATAGCGACGGACAGGAGAATGTGTCAGGGTAAATGAGGGACGACACGCCGGTGCCCAGGGCCTCGATCACGCTAAACGTGCTTCCAAGACTCGGAGTAGTCTAGCCTAGACGCCACCCCCCCTGCTCGTCCACCTCCGAACGTTCCACTGATTGTCGCTCACTGAGCTCAAATTGACAAGAGAGCATCCTGATTCCTCGCAGAACCTGTCTGTACAATACGAGCCTGCTGGACTGCAGATTAATTGAACAAAAGAGTCGGAAGCCCCTGCTCACCCGTAGCCCACTCCCCCCTTCCACATCCCACCCACACCACCCACCACGGAGTAGTCGAGCAGAGCAGAAAGGCATCTCTTGTCGGGCCTGCCACTCTTTATTTCTTCATCGACACGGCCGCTGCCTGAGTCGTTGGTGATATCTTCAATTTTCGTCGACCGAACGACCTGAACATCGCGTGGTGCAAACATTCAAAAGAGTGAGACCACGAGGACAGTGTGAGACCATTGGCCGTTTTCGGGTGACGTCGTCGTTCGCGCAGGGCCCTGTTTCGCTCCTTCCAGAGAGCGCGGCAGCCAACAGCAGGCCTCAGCCATTGAAAACTCCTCCCCCCCCGATCCTGGCGGCCCTGGCCCTCCCAGCATCCTGGAACCCCAACACCAGGAGCGACTGAGCGAGCCTCTCTAATTAGCCTATCTCCGTGCGGCGTCTCTTCCTTTTCTGTTTCTTCACCACCACCCACGGTCATCTTGCTGCGATATCCCCTCGCGACACCGCGTCGCTCCTTCTTGCTCGCTTCCCTGGCTTGCTCGAATCGAGTCGACCACAAGAGCCAGCTGACAACTGTCGCTGCTCTGTCTAAACTTGCCTCGCCTGGTTGCTGGAATATTGCCCAGGTACTCTTGTTCAGGCACGCTTGCTTCGGCCTCTCGCTGCTCAAGCATCGCTCTTTCGTTGAGATTGCTCTGGTATGTCCATCGGTCCCTTTCGCTGCAAACGAACTACCTCACGTCTTTCCTCTGGTCAGAGCTTCGTGGCCTGTCTATCGAGTGTTGCCCATCACAGAGATCGTCGTTGACTTGCCATTGACCACCTCTCCCCACTCGCACCTAGAGTAGAGCAATCTGCCCTTCCATCCTACACAACATTGAGCGGCAATTTTCCTTGCTGCTTTCGTTACGTCCCGCTTGTATAGCTTATCGGCGAAATTCAATGCTGACTTGGCCTCTTGTAGGCTCCGTTCAGCAACTCAAACGAACAGACGTCGTATACATCCAACCCTCGGAATACTTTTGAGATACCCAGTTTGCGCGCATGGTTCGATAGGAAACCGACGACCTTTTCTCGCGATCCGTCAACTTGCGCTCTTCTCTCTTGGTCGTCCTCTCACTTTCCTCACAACCACAGTCGGACGCTCCTGTCGCTGTGATGCCTTACACGCCCCCGTCCCACAGATCCCCAGCTTCGTCAGCTTCAGCCTCCCCGGATGTCAGCCGTCGATCTTCAATCCAGTCCGGCAGCCGTCCTGCTCTGCCCCGATCCGCTTCCTACTTGAGCAAGCACCGTCGTGCACCTTCGGTGGTGGATGGATCAATGGGCTCTTTGACGCCTCAGGGCACGGCGGAGGATTTGCCAGCTTTGGCGGTTGAAGCTGGCAACCATATTTCCCCGTCCGTCCGGCAATCACCGCCCCCGCGAACCGATGAGAACGGCATGCCCAAGGGCGCAATCATCTCCCCTCCAGATTCTGCATCTTCTGGCAGCGATGATGAAAGGATCCCTGAAATTCGAGGGCGAAAATTGGACAAGTTCAAGGAACTGAGGGAAGCTGTCAATCAAATACCCCAGACAAGGACACCTTCGCCTCCTGGCGCCAGATTTGCCATTGGCGACGCCAAGTCTGACCCTAGCGCGCTCGAGGACGAGACCCCGCGAGCGATGCGCATGAGCTTCAGCACTAGTGCTCTCAACCAACGCCAAAATCCCTCCCGCAGAGTTAGCCATGTGCGCTCGGCTACGGAACCAAACGCTCAACCTTTGCCTCCCACCGACAGTGCCGTATCCGTCACAGTCTCGGAAGAGGATACTGATGAGGATCTCATGACAAAACCTCAAATGGTTCGCAAGAAGTCCGGTGAGCTGGTCCGTCCTGCCCTACGGCCTTCTTCGCGACGCCGTCCATCGAGTATGCCAGGTACGCCCGTCTTCTCAAAAGCGGTGCATTTCGACTCTCACCTCGAACACGTCCGCCACTTCCTTCAGGTCGACCGTCCCTTGGCTGTGAGTGCCGGGTCGTCGCCCGCGGATAACTATGAGAGCGACACTGAGTACCCCTTCCCTGCCGAGGCCCGTCCGACCTCGAGGACACCTCCATTTGAGTGGGAGATACTTACACCCAACTTCCCTCATGATGGCGCGGCGCGAAGGGCATTTCCCGTCAGATTGGAAAAGGTCTGGCTGTCGGCGGACCAAAAGTCTATGCTCGGATCTGTGGCCGTTGCCAACCTCGCTTTCCAGAAGCAAGTCACCTGCCGCTTCACCCTGGACTACTGGAAAACCACATCGGAGGTAACTGCCGAATATGGTCACGACATTCGTCCTCACGAGGGTGCGTTTGGCTACGATCGTTTCAACTTCAACATCAAGTTGAGTGATACAGCGAGCCTTGAGTCGAAGACGCTGTTCTTCTGCGTTCGATATCGGGTTAATGGCCAAGAATTCTGGGAGAACAACGGCGGTGCCAACTTCCAAGTTGACTTCAGAAAGAAACACTTGCCGCAGAACGGGAAGAACAACTTCCAAGGCGCTCACGGTCGGTCCCTAAATGCACTGCCGCGCAGCAACCGTCGGCAGAACTCGAACAGTGGTCTGACGCGGCCCAAGTCGATGCCCATCTCCGTGCAGGACTTTGGCAGTGACGGTTCCGAGTTCAAATTCGACCAACCGCTGCACGAGTACCTCGGCGAGCCGAGCTCCGGACCCACTGGACTTCGTCTCAAGACCAAGTCTTGCAGCAACATTGCTAGCGATAACATCGCTAAGGATCTTTCGTCCCCACGCGGTGTGGCCTTTGCCAACCGGTATGACTTTGGTGCTTCGCTCAGCGCTGCTGTGCAAGCTGCTAAGGACTCGATGGGCAAGGAGAAGGAGAAGGACACACTCTACATGAAGGATAACGCCCGAGGCACTCGCTACATCGTCGACACCATGCAAGACAGTCACTCACCCCCCCTGTTCAGCCCCGTCGCTGCGCCTGGCGGCAGTGACTCCCCTGTTCCGAGCCTGCCTAGCGCATCGTATGAGGAGCTCGTGAACAAGTATTGTTTTGTACGTTCCCCTGTCACGGCCACGGCCGGCACTCCCCAGCACCTTTGAGCTCCCTGGTTCTCTGGACGACATCATCCTTGGTCTTGCATTCCGGACGCTACGCATGTCGATTGACCCACCTACGTAAAGCGCTGCTGCTAACACCTGGTTTCAGTTTGGTTCGACAAAAGTGTCGCCCCCTTCGAAACACGAGGGTGCTCCCAAGGATATGGCGTCCGCGCCCCGAAGAGACCTGTCGCCCAACGGATCGGCTACCTTTTTCCTGCCCAATTCCAACAACACGTCGCCGTCTACTTCACCCTCAGCGAACTACCTCGCGGTCGCCGAGGCGAACAAAGACTCGGCTGGGTACGGTGTGCCTGAATCGACGCAACTCACTCAGGTGAACGGCGCCACTGGTGGTCAACCGAAACTCACCGAGCGATGCGCCTGGCGAGGCGACGCCCACTCGATACCTGCGATCCGAGGATAGGACCGCGATGCATACGAATGTGCATTCGGCAGCGCTGTCCACTGTTTGGCTCGATCTTATCAGACCGTGACGCATTAATACTCCGAGTTTTCTTGGCAACAATAAAAAGCTATGTGCGTGCATTTTTTATGCAAGGCGTTTATGGGAAGCACAACTTGTTTTGTTTTTTTGGAATATCCCTGTTGGTCTGGTTGAGGGAAGACCTGGCACGGTGCATCAACAGAGGCGTTGGAGTTGTTTCGCTTTTCTATGTCTGGGACCTTCATTTTGTCTATCACGACCATTGCGGTAACGACTGAACGGTTTGTGGTGAAAATCACTTAATATTTGCTTTTTCGGCCTCTATGCTTTTCCCCCCCCCGCAGCTTTGGTCAAGTCACCAGGGGCTGCTTCTCTGGTTGCGTGCGGGTCGCTACCACGGCAGGCTTAACAGCGACAGTCTGGAGCAGCAGTCCTTGGGAAGCGAACATGGTGGCGCACGCATGGTTGAGAATTAAAGGGCGCTCTAGGCGAATATACACGAAAAAGGGCGACGGCTACATCTGTACAATGCAAGCCTACGGGCGCGTTCATCTCAAATCCTTCAACTCTTATAACCAAACTGTACTTTTTGTATCTGTGAAACTAGCATTCATCTTGCCTTTCTGTCGGAATAGCGAGTCTAGGAATAAAATAGAGAGCCTGGTTGCCGCGCTCTCACCATCCTCGTCCTCCTCGACGGCCTCTTCTCCCTTGCGGACCTCGATCTGGAAGCCTGGTCCATCGCTCTCCATGATCTTGACCTTGACGTCAAAGTCCTCGACGTAGATCTCCTGCTCCCCATCCTCTAGCGATAGTGCCGCATCACTCTTGACGTCGCCCTGTGTTCCGTACCGGGAAGACCCTGTGTTGGGGTTACCGTCGTAGACGATGATGCCACCCTGCCCCGTCTGAATTTCAGTATCGACGCTATACACCAGAACCCCTGACCGGCGGGCGTTCTCGTCTACACCTGTATTTGACCTCGCCTCGGCGACGAGGACCCTGGTGTCGCTGTGCCGAATAATGACCGCCTTGACGCCTGCCTCATCCGACGAGACAGGCGTGAGCTCATGCCGTGTCGTGCCATCGTCCTCGACGCAGTCCACCTCGTCTTCCTCGATCCACCCAAGTCGGTACTTGTTCCACGCAAAGAAGTCTGGGCTCGGACCCACAATGGTGCCCATCATGTCCCATGTGCCGACGTACTCCCTCGTCTCGCCGCCGGCGAGAGGGTAGAGATCGGGGAGGCACAGCGCATGGCCCGTCTCGTGATTGAGAACCTTGAAGCCGTAATAGTCGTACGAGTCATACCCGAAAGCAGCAGTCTTGTTGGCGAGAATCGAGCCGGAGGGGTCTGTAAAGGTATAGCCCATTGACGGCGAATACGTGATGCTTGTCGCGCGCCGTGTTGCCACGACGTAGAGCACGTCGACGACGGGAATCGTGCCAATCTGGTCAAAGTGCGCGTCGATGGCGTCCTGGACGTAGGTCACCAGCTCGAGCCCCGACATGCCCCTCTGGAAGTGATAGCTGTCGGCGGCCTGCGGCATACGCGCAAAGCCCCCTTCGAGCGCCGTGTCGACCTCGAGCTGGAGCTTGCCATAGCTGGCCGTCTCGAACCAGTCAATGGCGTCGGGGAAGAAGACGTCGTAGAGCGACTTTGTGGTGTCGTTGGCCTCGGCGTCAGGGAAGTCGACGTAGATCATGTACGACGAGAGCCTGCCGGTCGAGGGCACGCAATCATCGGTGTAGTTGAAGCCCAGCGAGCCAGCGACATCCACGGGGGCGAGTAGTCGGCATGACTTGTCGGGGGTCCCGAGGGAGGCATACGCCGCTGTGGTCAGCGCGGCCAAAGCTGCGCAGATTGGCAAAAACATGACGCGAGGACTTGGGTGTCAGGGTATTGTGTGTGGGTGAAGGAGATGAATATTGCAGTTTGTGATGGGAGGCAGTCAGCAGCGACTGTGGGATCGCGACAGTGGCCAGTCGCCACTCGCAAACCTGACGGTGTCCTGCCAAGGGTCATGCCAAGGAGCCAGGGTTGTGTACAAACAAGCGCCAAAAAATAAAAATAATAACTGGACACAGATTTAGGATTATCATCTGGACTTTGCTCCTTTGAGTGTTGCCAGTCATCAAGGGACTCACTCAGCTTTGCACTCGAGCGAGTATTTGCGCAGTTCACAATGACAGCGTTGGATACAATACACCGCTGCGAGTATGTGACCAAAATGCACAATGGCTGCGGTAGTTAAAGCGGCCACACATTATCGATTTTCTTTCTTGCAGAGGTGATACAGATATAGCACTCATTGCCTCAAATAGACACTGATGATAGACCACGTGGAAGCCACGAACACCAGCTCAGGGATCGAGTGAGGAGGGTTGGTGAAGTACGTGAGACGAACTATGTAGAGTCAATTTGTACACTGGCTAACAATTCCATCCTCCGTCAATGCTGATTGCGGTACCGGTGATATACGAAGACTCTTCACTCAAAAGAAAGGCAATCAGTTTCGCAACCTCTTCCGGTTGACCCTTGCGTCTCATCGCGACATCGGACAGTGTCTCTCTGGTGTATTCGTCTGCAGCGCCAGCCTTGGTGAATGCATCTTGTGCCAATTGAGACATTGCCGTCTCGATTCGTCCCCTGATCCATTAGCTCGGCGCTTTCCAACATACTTTATGTTACTCACGGGCAAATCGCGTTCACTCGTACGCCTCGCTTACCAACTTCCTTGGCAGCCGATCTCGTCAATCCAACGACACCGTGCTTGGTGGCTGTGTAGATGCCATTCTTCTCTCTCCCAACCAGGCCCGCGATGGAACTTGCGTTGACAATAGCACTGTCCTCCGCTATGACGCGCAGCTCATACTTCATGCAGTGCATCACCCCTGTGAGGTTCACGCCCAGGCACGAATCCCACTCATCTGGTGATGTGTTCTCCATTAGACCGGCATCACTGCCTATTGACCTGGGGACTATGCCGGCAATGTTGGCGGCGCCATCCAGACGTCCAAAGTGCGAGACGGTGGCTTTGATCCATGTCTCGACCTGCTCCGCTGAGCGAACGTCGACGACTTGGGAGAAGACCTTGATTGATGTGTACTGGGACAAAATAGAATCTTTGGCCTCGTCAAGCGTTGACGACTGGATATCGGCGAGAGAGAGCGATGCACCACGGGACGCCAGGAGAAGGGCGGTTGTGTAGCCGATCCCCTGAGCTGCGCCGGTGATCGCGATGACTTTCCCCTTGAATTGATCCGAGAAGGACATTGTGGTGAATGAATATATGCGTTATGCCTGCTGAATTTCAGAGACTGGATTATTTATATCCATCCCCAATGAGGTCGGTAGTGCATTTCCGTGTTCCCCGCTTGGTCCGAGAGGGCTCGGTACAGTTTGAAAGAGGAACCTTTTCTGATCAGGAACCGTCTCGAAAGTAGTGACACAGGGTAAGTATCCAGGTCTATTGGGCTCGTAGCTCAGCTATCTCAGACTTGATTTAGTGAGGCCATGCAAATGTGTACGGGTTATGTGATTGGGGAGAATGGTGGAACATGGCAAGCAAGCACCGTGAGATCAATCGACCACTGCATCATCCTCTCGGATTTCTCTTTCGAGGGTGCTGTTACAATAATAATACTGACAAAGCAGTAAGCATGGTATGATTTGTCTCGCATGGCACTGATATATTGAGCACCACCTCCTCTTGAGGTCCGACTGTATACCTGTGATCCCACCCGGACAGCGGACAAGTTACGTCCAAAGCTCATGTGTCATCAACGAGAATGTGAACAACATGAAGCCATCGTGCACAAGGCCATAAATGAGAATGGGCGGGTCTTGGCCAGCACGGCATGGCGACAACTGCCGTGCGACGAACCCGTGAAAGGACGCATCTTATCTACATCCCAGTAATTCTGTCCACAATGGACAATTCTCCAGCCGGCACCGGCGTCGAGCCCCGCAACATCCGTGCGGAGAGCCCGTTGACCTTCCTGATCAAGTGTGTCGAGGTGGAGACCGGGCATCGGGATCATCCCCACCGTCATCAAAACAGCACAATTGAGGATCGCTTCAGTGACCAGTCATGTAGTATGTACCTTGTTCGTAGGATCAGCGCCCATCTTCAACTCCAGACCAACAACAGCTTGACCCGGCATGACGTTGAAGGGCTGAATCCTTTGCGATGTCGGCTATCCAACATGTAACCCCGATTCTCCCAACGCACACGCGCAGCTTGTCATCTTCATCGTTTTCAACTTCGTAATGTGGTCGACATCTTTGCTCAGCACCCTGGCGGTTGGCTCATCTTTGGCGTCCATCGCCTCGTCCTTCGCCATCGGACCTCAAGCCCGCCACTCGGCGAGGACTGAAAAACCTGATGAGCCTAAGCTGCTCATCCGCGGCCTTCCTGTGCCCAACCCCACAGAGGCCTACTGGCAGGATCCTCCTCACCGCATCGCCAACCATCGTACCACAACTGAGCTCCCAACGTCGGAGACCTTTGACTATGTCATCATCGGCTCTGGTATCTCTGGCGCTGCCACAGCGCAAAAGCTGTTAACGCGCGACCCGAGCCTGTCGATCCTGATGCTCGAGGCACGAACGGCGGCCTCGGGTGCTACCGGACGCAACGGTGGCCATTGCCGCCCCGGGTCGTGGAAGAGCATCAAGAAATGGGTCGATGCCTACGGCGAGGACGAGGGCCTCCGCATCGGTCGGATGGAGCAGGACTGCGTCAACGACGTACGTGACTTTGTCCACGCACACAACGTGTCGAGCGACTTCACTGACGTGGAGAGCTCTGACGTGTACTGGACGCGAGAGGCATTTGAGGCGGCCCTCGAGGTCGTCGAGTACCAGCGCGAGCTCGAAGCGCGTCGACCCGACGACGTACCCAAAAATAAGCGAACAGTGTACAAGGGCCAGGAGGCGAGAGACCACTGGCAATGGCCTGAGATTGTCGGCGCTGTGACGTTTACGGCTCACACGCAGAATCCGTATCACACGGTGTGTGCCATGCTGCAAATTGGACTCGCCAAGGGTCTCAACCTGCAGACCAACACCATGGCACTCAGCCTCGCACATGTGACGGAAAAGTCCGAAGATGGCGCCAAGTGGTCAGTGAAGACGAACAGAGGCACTGTCAGGGGCAAGCGGGTCGTCCTCGCCACCAACGGGTTCACCAACGCGCTGCACCCCGGCTTCGCCAGCACCAATTTCCTGGTGCCTGGAAGAAGCCAGGTCGCAGCCGTGCACCCCGAAGCGGACACGTCGGATAACAGCGTGGTGTTCCAGCGCAGCAACTCGTACCCGGATCTTCACAGTGGCAATAACTACATCGTTGCGCGGCCACCCGGATCAAAGGGGGCGGGTGATATTGTGATTGGCGGCAGCTCGGGCATCTCGCCCACCAAGGAGGCCAATACCACCGATGACTCGATTGTGAACGAGCAGATTGCAACAGTGCTACACGGCGCCGCTCGTATCGCGTACGGATACAAGAACTGGGGTGAGTCAACAACCGTCATCCAAGACTGGGCGGGTATCACATGCGATACCCAGGATGGCCTGCCGGTCGTTGGGGACGTGCCCGGTGATGATGGTTTGTGGGCCATCGTTTGCATGAATGGCCATGGGATGGCGTGGGCGTACCGCAGTGCCGAAGCGCTTGTCGATATGATGACTGTGGGCGAGGCGCCGGAATGGTTCCCCAACGCTTTCCGGGCACAGCGCGCTTGGGAGGTCAAGGATGACGTCAAGTCTGAGCTATGAAGCTGGTTCAAATTCATGGGGAGTAGAAATGATCAACGCCCATCATCTCAGGATAGTGAAAGCTCGGGATCGCGCTTTCCGTGGCGTTGGCGTGATACAATATCGTCTGGAATTTGTCGCTCGGCAGCCGCGAGAGAAATAGCGACTGAGCAGCGGCTCGGAACATCTCTGCACCCTTCTCTGGAAGATACTTTTGTCAAATTAGACATGATCACATTCTAGCGCGCGTCGACTCTTAAGGACTCTGCCTAGGAGTGACATTACGTACACACTCGAGGCCCGGTGCTCCGTGTCCGGCTCCGGGCGGGTCTCGTGAAGACCCACCCACCCCTCCGGCCCCGACCCGATTCCGGCTTCGGGTCCGACAATGCGGCACGCCCCGAAGCAGTTTGTCATCATGGCTAAAGGCATCGCGCCTCCCACAAGAAACATCTCTGCAGCCAAGTGAACTGCAGTATTAGCATGACTCTGCTTCTGCATATTGAAGTGAGCATTTGCGTAATCAGCCGGTCTGCCCCTCAGCGCGGCACAAATTCCGCTGGAGGCAAAGGTGGGGTCCGTCACACCCTCCTATACCCGCTCGGCTTGCGGCGGCCTCAAAGCTCACTCACTCAAGTCACACAGCTGTCTGTCGCAACAAAACACCACCTACATGCCCATCAATCACGGCGCTCCTGCAAAGCTGTCAGAATCATCGTAACTTGTTTCTCCCAGAGCTGACTCAGAGCTGAGCAAAGAATAATACGAAAAGGAAAGATCCGCGACTGTATAAACCATGTCTTGGCTTGACATTGCCCCCGACAGCCCCTTCTCGCTGGCCAATCTGCCCTTTGGCATCATCAGCACCTCGGGGAACTCGACGCCTCGCGCCGCCGTTGCCATTGGCACCTATGCCTTTGACCTCTCGTCTTTCTCGCCCGCATCCGCCCCCGCAAAGGTCAAGCAGTACTGGGAGGCCTTCTCGTCGCCTACGCTCAATACATTTGCTTCACTCGGCCGTCCGTTCCACCGAGAAGTGCGCGAATATCTTCAAACCGTGCTCAAGGATGCTTCCAACAAGGATGCGGTCCGCAAGTGCCTCGTGCTCCTCAGCGAGGTGACCAACCACCTGCCTCTCAAGATCGGCGATTACACAGACTTCTACGCCTCAACAAACCACGCCTACAACATTGGCGTGCTGTTCCGTGGCCCAGACAATGCCTTGCAGCCCAACTACAAGCACCTTCCTGTTGCTTACCACGGTCGCGCGTCATCCGTCGTCGTGTCAGGCACGCCTATCCGCCGTCCATGGGGCCAGATCCTCCTGGACCCCAAGGCCGAGCCCAAGGTCCCCACGTTCACGCCCTGCAAGCGTCTCGATCTCGAGCTGGAGATGGGCATGTTCATCTGCACGCCAAACAACCTCGGCGAGCCGGTCGACGTCCAGAACGCCGAGGAGCACATCTTTGGCTATGTCCTGATGAACGACTGGAGCGCGCGTGACATCCAGGCCTGGGAGTACGTGCCCTTGGGTCCGTTCACCAGCAAGAACTTGGGCACCAGCATCTCGCCATGGGTTGTCCTTGCGGACGCGGCCATTCCACGCGCTGAAGGACTTCCGAACGAGAACCAGCTCGCCTCGTATCTGCAAGAAGGCAAGAAGGCCAACATGCTGGATATTTCGCTTGAGGTGGACCTCGTCAGTGAGTACATATTTCGTTCCGACCATACAGTATAATTTGAGCTAATCACGCACAGCTGCCAATGGCAAGAAGAAGACTATTACAAAGACCTCGTCCAAGAACCTCCTCTGGTCGTGGCCCCAGATGATTGCGCACCACACCATCACGGGCTGCAACCTGCAGCCCGGCGACTTGTTCGGCTCAGGCACCATCTCAGGCACCGAGACCGGAACCGAGGGATCCCTGTTGGAGCAGACCAAGGGTGGTAAGATGGTCGTCAATGTGGAGGATGAGGAGCGCAAGTTCCTGTTGGACGGAGATTCCATCGTCATCAGGGGCTGGGCTGGGAAGGACGGCGAAAGAATCGGTTTCGGCGAGGTCGGGGGCCAGATTCTTGCCCCCCTGGACTTGGGGAAGAAGTAAGCATCCTCTGCAACGCCGGACAGTACAAGCATAATAGAATCAGTAATTCATCATATTGACATCACTTGTTCTGCCTGAGCTCTTCGGGCGTGTCTGACTGCACCAAGTAGTCAGCCCTCTTCACAGCGTCCAACTCCTCCAAATTCTTCATGATGCCTTGAATAACAGGAAACTTGGTCATGTCCACACCAAACCGCTGCGCGTTCCAGGCAGCAGGCACCAAGACACAGTCCGCCAAGCTGACCTCATCCGCAAAGGAGTACTTCCCTGCGCAACCTTGCGCGACAGCCTCGTATGCCTGCAAACCGTCCATCATGAGGCCCAAGTTCCAGTCTTCCGCTACGCCTCCCAGAGCCCTGACCTGACGCATGATTCGCAGATTCGTGACGGGCTGAGTGTCACAAGCGATGATGTTGACCAGCTGTCGAATGGTAGCTCTGGCCTGTGCGTCCTTGGGCAGCAGACTGCGCTCGGGGTGCGTCTCTTCAAGATACTCCAAGGCGGCGACGGATTGTCCGATCTTGAAGCCGCTGTTATTGTCCACGAGCAGAGGGACCGTGCCAGACGGGTTGAGCTCCTTGTGCTTCGACGACGCCTGTTCGTTTTTGAGGAGATTGATGGGAACGTCGTCGCATGACACGCCCTTGAGATACAGTGCGATTCGGACACGTGCCGTGCACGAAGAGCGGAAGTAGCCGTATAGAGTGTAGTCCGACATTGCTAGATACGATGTTGAGGGAAGGAGCCTTTGCTGACGGCGATGAGCCACGTCAGCTCTGGCCTGGCAGTCCTACGTACATGTATAGATAGATGCTTACCAGTATGCTGATATCACGTGCATGTGCCGTTGATGTATAAGTGCCTTGGAAAATGTCCGTGTATCCGCCTGTAGCCGACAGTGACGGGCTGAATACCCCCAGATTCTGGGGTGCGGATAGTGTGGGGTGATGTGATTCTAGGGCGGCCAATTTCCGTCAGTCACATCGGCCCCGCCTGTGCAGCTTCCCCTACACTATGTATTCTAGCCTAATAGTCATCTAAACACCGTACTGGCTCACGAATCAATAAGTTCAAAACGCTAGGGTTATTTTTCAAGAAATATAGAAACTGGAATGGAATTTCTCGATGGATTTCTACAGAAAAGGCCTGAATATGTAAGTGAAGAATAGCTGTTTCTACCAAAAAAGGCACTGTGTCGTGCGGCAGCCCCTGATGTCAGCAGGCATTTCCCAGGAAACACATCAAAGGCAGTTGGTAAACAAAGACTAATGATACATCAGCTAAGTTACGCATCTTATGTTTGAGGTTTTGATCCTGCCAAGTGCCCTTCTCCCCGCTGTTGTCAGGGTGTCATTATCCGTTCCCCAGACGTGGGTCTCATTAGTCCCGGAATCTCCGCATGTCATTGAACAAAGGTGTTTGTACCTCAAACCATCCTCGTTAAATCTTAAAAAATCGGACTAACAAGTGACAATTGTTGTCTTTATACTAGCGCACAGGGTAGAACGAAACCTTGAGAGCAGCGCACCTGGCGACAGAACGCAGTGCCATCATGTCATCGTCTAAGATTCTGGTTGTGGTCAAGCTGCCCACAACCGATACGCACCTGCGCAACGAGGTATGCCCCCCGCTGGAACAAGAGACTACCACGAGCCTGACCGGCATAGCTTTTCGAGCGCTTGCTAGACATCTCTGAGCATGCGCGCGACAATGAGCCCGGAACCTTGAAATATGCCATACTCATCCCCAGGGAGGACGATGGAAGAACCGCGTGGGTTATCGAGGAGTACGCCTCCCCACCAATGCCGATTGAATAACAAAGCTAATATAGAAAGATACACGGACCAGAAAGCCTACGACACCCATATGGCCTCCCAGGGAGTGACGGATGTGAACAAGTGGTTCAACACCGTGCCCATCTTCAACCAGTCCAACCTGCCCGTGCTAAGGAATCTGTCTCATCTCCCTGATGCAGAACTCACTCGACCTGACACTGTTCACCACAACGACCCCCATATCCTCTATACCGAGGTGCCCAAGTCGGGGGAAACCTCTCCATCGCCCCTCGCCGCTGGCACGCACCAGGCAAAACGGGTTACGGATGTCGCCAAGGAGCAGGAGCCGGGAACGTTAATTCATGCCATCTTCAAGGACCTTGAGGAGGACGGCTGGTACGGCGCGCTAGAGGCATACGAGTCGGAGAAGTACCATCTTGATGTCCATGAGAATGGCGAAGCTGCGGTGAAGATGAGGATGGACATGGGTGCTACTGCCGTGAGACACAAGCTGAAGTTGGTGGGAGGATATCTCTACAAGTAGACTTCCCACAATGACGAGCCTGTGCTACAATGACAGCTTTGACGGGATTGTATGACTCCTGGAAGGAGTATGACTCCTGGAAGGAGTATGACTCCTGGAAGGATGTTCCGCTGCCCCGAGGCAGCAGACACTCCATGACACCAACCCTGGCAAAGCATGGTATTCTTTCCAGGTAGTTGTTGGACAGTGGCTGATGGTTGAACAATCTGTGGTAGGTGGAATGAAGAGGGTGCCATCTTGGAGGACGAATCCAAGGGGATACACACTCAGGGGATGTTGGGATATATAACCACGTATTCATAAACTGATCCTGCTATTTTGAAGTCGAGTGCTTCCTGAACATTATTCTCCCTTCCCACCATGGATTCATCGAATGATATTGACAGGAGCCTCAGAAGCCCCCAACTTCCAGTCTACGCGTCCGAGGCTGCCATCAAAGACACGAGAATGATGTTGGCATCTCCGTCTTCCTGGACAGAGGCAAATGTAGCTTCTATGAGTCCTCTGAGTTTGGCATGTCTCCGCACCACTATTACCTGGGTATCCAGAGACCTCCTGTGCCATAAACTTTATCCCTCATGTTGCTTCCCTCGGTCCTCGCCCCAACCCAATGTAACGGGATCCTGTCCACCGTATTCTGCACCATGCCTGTCACCCCGTCCAACCGCTCGGCCAAAGTGCGATCCCTCCTCAGCGCATCTTCAATGCTCCACCCCTCGCGAGCAAGGCTTCCCATGACAGTTATCGTGTCTTCGTCGTGCTGCCGGGCCAACTCGTCGGCGTCTTCATCCTTCTCCGGAGGCGGGTGCAGATAGCCCATCAGAACGACGCGGACTTTGTGGTCGAAGAATGTCGCTTCGTCAAAGTCGTGCAAGATACGCACCGTGACCCGGTTCTTCGCGACGACATCAGGCGGCGAGTGCCGCAGGGGTCCGACCGTCACAATGGCCTCGTGCCAGTCGGGAGAAAGCTCATCGTCCTTTCTCTGCATCACGACAGATGCCCAGGCAGCATACACGCCCCGCCAGCGCATCTTGATCTCATCTCTCACGCCAGAGAGGTTGGCTGTCGGTATGCCCAGCTCAGACCACATCCGCCCTGTTCCTCGCACCACCTTGCCTTCCAGACTGACCGGAAACTGTGTTTCCGGTTCTTGACACTCTGCATCACCATCATCGAGAGATCTCGCATGGACCACAGCAGCATATCGGCCGTCTTTACCACGCTTCCACCCCTCGACAACATGGTCCTCCACGCCTGTTTGTTTCGCAACCAATCGCCCTGTGCCAAATACTTTGGACCCAACGTTCATGGTGCGCTTCACAACCTGGTTGCCCATCGCCTTGCCTGCTCGACTCTGCACGACAGCCGTCGCAGGCCCGGTGTATCTCTTTGCAAATTGCTGCGCCACAGTGGTGCCAACCTTGACTCCAACCTCGAGCGGCATCGTGCGGACCCCAGCACCCCGTACGACGCTAACGTCCGTGCTAGTACTCGCAACACGGAAGACAGGGCAGCCGCAGAGGATCTTTTTGCTGTTTTCGCCCGCGCACAGCACCAGTCGGAAATAGCCGTCCTCTGCGTGCGCAGGGATCCTCACGACATGCGTCTCGCGGGGCACATGCGCTTTCTGTTTTCCCGAGGCTTTCTTCCTGAACCTCTTGAGATCCCTTTGCATGCCTCGCTCATCCATCTCCGACACGTCCTGGATCTCTGCGCGGTTCGCAGGCGTCACGTCGATCCAGTCGCCTTTTCCCCCGACCATGGCCTTTAGGGTCATGCCGACGTTGCCAGAGTATCCCTTGCGCTGCAGCCAAAGCGTTCGATTACTAGGGACATCGGCATCGCTCAGAATTGTAATCATGAGGGATGTAGACGGCCCACGATACCAAATCAGGGCATGCGAATGTCTGATGATGCTATAGTGCCGTGTCGACTCGGCGGGACGGGCAATGAGACCGCCAGCGAAATATTGCGCCTCGCCCAATGCTGATTTCCACTTGGTGTTGGCTGCCTTGCTATCGGGAGCCGCCCCATTACTCGTCAGGGCCGAGGACGATTTGACGCGTCTGACCTGTCGAGGCACAGGTGGCTCGTCCGGGATGGGGAGCGAGTCGACAACAAAGTCAACAGGCAACTGTCCTTTGGGGTCTGGCACATGTGTTCGCGGACCATCGTGCGAGGCACGAAGGTTTGTCGCTGACCGTGTGAATCTCAGAGGGGGATGATTGGGTTCCAGGAAGGACGACGAGGGGAGGGATGGTGAAACTGGGGATGTCGGGTTTCTGAATGAGGATGGCTGAGGTACACTGAGGCAGGTTGGGTGGACTGAGTTTGCCGTCAAGGGTCTTTCGAATGATGAAGAGTCGTGATGATTCAGATTGGCTCTTGACGGCCCGCTTTCAGGCCATGATTCCTCACGAGGCGAGGATAGCATGGGCGGCACGTGCGCTCCCAAGCCAGAGCCATGCTGTGGGTGCGGCAACGATGCTGGGAATTCAGAGTATGGCGGTGGAGGTGTCGAGTGCACTCTGTCAAGCACGAACGGCTGTTGAATCGGCGCATACGACTGGCCATGTGAAGTTTGAGCCCTGGTGGGAATTGGTCTTCGTTGAATCCGTGGGTCCATTTCCGTATCTCCAAAGCACACCGTCTTTCACCGAGATTAAGATTGATGATGCAGAGCCAAACAGGCGAGCTAGAAACACAAGAACAGGAAAAAGAAGGAGCGCTTCTGTTAAACCATGAGCAAGCAGAAGTACAGACAGAGACAGGCTGAAGAGGTGGTTGCGACAGATGTTGAAGGGTCTCAAGTCGAGACTGAGGCCTCGCGCCCTGAGTTTGGAAATTGCCACAGTGCTGTCTCAGGGGACGAGGCTTGGCGCACAGTACGTTCCTTGATGAACCGACGCGCTCAAGCAAATGATATTTACGCCAACATTTTACGATTGCCACAGGTGGCGCAATGCACGTACCTAAATGTCATTTCCACGTAGGAAAATTGCCTAGGCGATAAAAGAATTACGTACTGCTCTATGACTTGGACAGTGGCAACGCGACGAAACTTCACGTAGCACACTGTCGTGAGCAATCCCTCAATCCATGAGAACTTCTCATTCCATTTCAGACACATCGCCCCCGCTATTTGAAGAGAGCCTCAATCTCGTCGGCTGCCTTGATAGCATCCGTCAGATTCTCACTGCCATTCTCGGTGACCAGCACGTTGTCCTCGATGCGCACGCCGCCCACATCCCAGAAGCGGTTCAGCACACTCTCATCAATGAACTGCTTGTGCTTCTCATCCTCCAGGAAAGGCTTGATGATGAATTCACAAAAGTACAGCCCCGGCTCGACTGTGACGACACTGCCAGCGGGGATCTTGTTGCGCAGGCGCAGGTAGCGGAACATAATGTCCTTGTCCTTGCTGTTGGGGTTGCCGCCCACGTCATGCGTGTCAAGACCGAGGTAATGGCCCAGGCCGTGGGGGAAGAAAGCGGCACTGGTGCGCGCCTCGAGGATGGCCTGGGGATCGCCCTTGAGGATGCCGATCTTGATAAGACCATCGATGGCCACCTTGTGGGCGTGCAGGTGAATGTCATCCCAGTGCACGTTGGCCTTGATCATGACAGTCGTCTCTTCCTGCATGCGCAGGACGACATCGTACAAGGCACGCGAGTCGGGGGTAAATTTGCCATTCAGGGGGAATGTGCGGGTCTGCGTCCATCAGTGACTGTCCTACTGTGTGCGCGCGAGCTCTGACTAGTAACTTACGATATCAGACGCGTAGTTCTCCCACTCAGCACCGGCGTCGATGAGCAAGTTCAACTTGTGCCCAAACGGCTGGCTGTTGTCGACGTAGTGGAGCGTAGCTGCTGCTCGTCCAGCTGCCATGATTGGGTGGTACGCCATCTCCTTCGCGTTGTTGGCGATGCAGACTTCCATAAAGGCAGCCTGGAGCTCGCTCTCGTTCTTGGCCGTCTTGGCCCTCTTGGTGACGGCCTTGTGTGCCCAGCCGGAGATCTGGTTGGCTTTGCGGATCATGGCAATCTCGTACTCATCCTTGATCACACGAGCTTCCTCAATAGCCTTCTTGACCTCCTTCAGATCTTTGTTCTTAAAGACATCAATCTTGACCGAGGCGTCGATCTGGTTCTCGATCGCGTAGACTGTCGCGGACGCATTGGCAGAGGCGAACGAGGACAGGATTTCGTTGACTTCGTCCGAGTATTTCACCTCGTCCACGTCGTATTTCTTGGCAGCGTCCTCCGCTGTCAACGGCAGACCAGACCAGATAACATCATCCGGGTCAATGGCCGGAATGAACAGCGTCGACTTTTGCGTCTTGATGTCGTAGGTGAAGTAGCTGTCCGCAATGTTGCAGCCGGTCAGGTAAAAGAAGTATCGGCGCTGGCGAAAGTGCTCGGGCGAGTCGTTGTCTTCCTGAAGCTTGGTGTGTGTAGCCTCGAGGTAGATCAGACCCTCGGAGGGCTTCGAGGGGAGGAGTTCGACGGTGCGTTTCGCATGGGCCTTGGCTGGGTACTTGCCCTTGAGGACGGACTCGAAGTCTTCGGCGACCATGTTGGCGGCTCGTGAGGCTGTCGATAGAGGCTGGTGGAAGGTTAGGCAGGTTCTCGGGATGTGTTTGCGAGTTGCCGTCCGAAATGCCAACTGCGGTGAGTTCGCTGATGTGAAAGGTCTTTGAGGAAGCACCGAAGCTCGCGTCCAAGCACGACATGAAGGCAAAGGTTCGAGTAATAATAACTTGGAAGACCCCGCCAGCCGCCGCCCCGCCGACGGCTGCACCCATCTAGGCGTAGCCATCCGCTGATTGTCTAGTTTGCTCGAGACGGAGCGAATGGAAAGCTCTCGAGGCTCCGAAATGGTGGGATGGTGCGGGGCAGTTGGTCGTGGCAGCTTCCTTCGAAAGGGGAGGCTCACCAGCGACTGGAAGAAACGCGAGGAACTCTTGACAGGATCCGCTTTCGGTTGGCGGCGGCTCATGAGGTCATTGGGCGGAGGCTCCTCTTTCATGGGGCCCTTTTGAAGCTATTCTACCAAGCTACCCTGTAATTACTGTGCATCACCAATCTACCACTCACCAGGAGCACGGATGGGAACCCAAAAGTTCCATGTCATCAACATCATTGAAGTGACAACACCCGCATTCGTCTCTGAACTAACCCCTTCTTTATCCCTCACGTCCCCAGCCTCATTTTTATCCTCAGACACGGTTGCCCGGGATCCGGCGCAGTTCGTGACCCTGCTCAATTTGCCCCCTCCCGCGTCGACGTTCTAGTGCAGCGGCATAAGCACACATACAGGGTGCTAGCACAAATCCGAAGGCTAGGAGTACGATAGGCGCTATCCATTTGGGGTGCATCGCGAAGTTCTAGGCGCAAAGTTGTTGATCTGCAAAACTGTTCTCACCGGGCTCTGGTCGTGTGCTATTCCCACCAACATTCAGACGCACTGCAGTAGTTGATATGCTTTTTGCAACTAGAGCGTTGTCTTCCATGAAATTCTGGTCGTGAAACTGTATCTGGGCATGTTGAAATTGCCCGCATGTGCTAGTATGACTGTAGGACGTTACTTTACTCCAATTTCACTTTGTGATTCACGTATGAGAGGATGGCACTGACGGTGCTTGGTGCCCGACGTTCTTCACTTGTACACCGTGGAGAACTATGTGGCTCAATGCGTCCTTTGTCCCCTGTGAAAGATGTCAAGGCATTCCAAGGGTAACAACCAGACTCCTATCCTGTGAGCTTGTACTCAAATACCCCATTCGCTGATGACACCGGGCCAAGTGGGATATTTCATTTCACTGGTGTACTCTGTAAAACGTGATGGACATGGGTAGTCGTGTCAACGCCGACCAATCACTTGCCGTCCTGGTCTTTTGGAGTCTTATATCCCACTCTTTGCGCAGACTTCTGCTGGTTGAAGCTGATGATGACTGCGTGAAGATGTGGACAACTTCATCCGTAAAGGAAATTGTGGTGCATATTTTACTCCGCAGAAAGCACATGAAGAAAATAATGTACTTTACCCTGCTTGTAAGTTAGTCCACGGCACTTTAGGTGGGCGGGCTCTTTTACTCCTTTCAACTTGGTCATCGCAAATACACCACGCCTCACCTGCCTGCGTATACCGTGCTAATCCAACATATTTCGACCGTCAAGATGGCCTCCATTGACTCTTGAGCATACCTTGCAGGTTGGGGTCTGACGGAGAGCCCCTCAAATTGCGGCGCTCGATTTACGCATAATTCGGTGGCGAACAACAACCATATCCGATACACCACAGACAGATCACCCCAGACGTGCACGTTTCCTCTCGCCAACCTAGAGCACTGCGACGTCACCCTGCTCTGTACTCATCCTAATCCTCGGATTGATAGGCCTCCTTGGAAGACCCTGGAACCGATTCCTGAGAGTTGCTCGATTACTTCCGAAACTGCACCTGTCGATATTAACTGTGACGTCGGGGAAGCGCAGGACCCTGAATGGCCCTGCAGACTGTAGGACCCTGACGGATCCTGAAGGACTGGACCCTGATGCTATGAATAACATATAAAGTCGATCTCATACCTCTCTGTGTCGTGTTCTGAGTTCCAAGAACAAGATCATTCCGGTTTTCTCGATTCTCCTACTTTTGCTTCTTACCTGTAGATCCCTGGTGGACTATATTCTTTTCGTCCAAGCGTTTCCATCCTTAATAACTCTTTTTGCCACCCGAGTCTTGCTTTCTGGAAAAGCAATCACCCCACAATCGAAATGTTAGCCCTTAAGAACGTTGCTCTACTCGGCCTCAGTGCCTACGCCACCGCTGCCCCAGTTCAAACCGAGGCCGACAAGCGAGAGACATCCGTCCTTGACGCTAGCAGCGCCAACGATGCGTCAGCAGCTGCTCCCTCGAAGCGCCAGGAGGAGGATCCTCTTGCTGACCAGTACTGGATCTACTCTCAAGTACCCGGCGTCAAGCGTCAGGTCAACATTGGCGACCCTCCTCCCAAGGACCCTGAGTCTGGTCTGCCCGTGTGGCCTGCATTGGCCAAGCGCCAGGAGGAGGATCCTCTTGCTGATCTCTACTGGATCTACTCCCAGGTACCTGGCGTCAAGCGAAAGGATTAGATCTTCGACTAGGCTGTTCAATTACACTCCGAGCTCCTTGGTCACACGACCTGGGTCAAGCCGCAAGCTGACTTCCTGCGGCATGTTTCAACCCAACGCCGAGAGGTTTACCGGGCTTTGGGAGCAACAAAGTGGGCAGGATGAGGGCGAGTCGACAATGTGAGGCTTGGAGTAGCTTGAATTTACCCCGTCACCAATTAGCAGACAGAAAGGTTCAAATGAGAGCGTTGAAACTATTTGAAACTTGAAACTTAAACGTAAAAGTCCATTCCTCTTGCTGCAATATACCATGGGCATCACTTGGTATTCATCATATCACTTTTCCGTGCTCTTAGCACACTGAGATATATCTACTTGTATCCAAGGTGAACCTCTGCGGGGTCCCTGTTGTAATCAAATCACAGCTTTCACATGGAATCTAGGCAGGGTGTGCGATGCTGCATGTACTCGTTCCATGACATGACCTTGGTGAATGGTATTGACAACATTTTAAGTCCAACGATTCAAAGAATCTAAGGATAATTATAGATGATAAACCTACATCAAGTTCATGTCTTCAACAAGTGGCAGCCTGGAGGCCATTGCTTTGGGGCGAGCACTGGGCAACGTTCATGTTGCATGCAAGCAGATGGCAGTGCCAGGGTTTGGGCGCTTGGGGGCGCCTGGGAGTGGAAACGGGCTCGGGCTTATGACTGTCGGAAGCAAAGTTTCTACTCTGCTTTGTAGTGTCTAATTGTGATACTTATTGCTTGTAGAAAAGTTGCCAATGTCGCGCGCAGCGTCTTGCTGCTCGTGGCCTGACACTCGACCAGTGTCACTATGGCCGCGTGCAATGAAGACGCATCTTGTCGGGTAAGAAGCCGCTCCTTTAGCATTATGGGGGGTTGATTCTCCGCTATGTGCAATTATAAACCAAACGTATCATATCATCATATCAGATCCCAACCGTTCTTGCGGTCGTGAACCCAAGCCCAAGAGCATCCTTCATCTCGATCCTCGACTTGTCCGTCTCGTACGTGCGCGACCCGCTGCCGCCTTCCTCTTCGTCATCTTCCTCCCTGTGATTTTCAAAGTCCAGGTGGTATAATGGCTCGAGGGGCACATTCTTCCGAAAGAGAATCCACCGCTTAAACCACCAGGGCAGGGTCTTCGTGACCTGATACCGCATGAAAACGCGCGTGGGGACGGCGAAAATATAGTCGAGTTCCTCGAGTGTGCGTTGTTTTGTCTCGGGAAGCCAGAGAAAGATCATGACCAGCGCGATGAGATTAAAGCAGCCGTATAATACGAACGAGTTCAGCACACCAAGCCGGTCCAGCATGAGTGGAAAGGTGATAGACAAGATAGCAGCCCAGAAAAGGCACGTCGCAACTGCCCAGGCCATGCCGACTTCGCGGTGTGACAATGGGAAGACCTCTGCCGAATAGGGGTACGGCACTGGTCCCTCGCCGGGTGAGTAAAAGGCGGCAAAGAGGTATACGAAAAACGCCACAAAGACTGTATGTAAGCCCGTAGATGGCGGTATGAGCGTGCAAAGACCTGCCGCCAGCAATGTCCACGCCATTTGCGGAAATGTAAATAGTAGCAAAGATCGTCGACCAAACGTGTCGATTGTCCAAATCGCTGGAAAAGCAAAAACAAAGTTGATCAGTCCGAAGCCCATTGTTGACAGGTATGCCTCGAAATCGGTCGAGCCAGCTTGCGCAAAGACGCTGGTCGAGTAGAATGCGATGATGTTAATGCCACACATTTGCTGTGCAATCATCACAACCCACGACGCCAATGTCGCCCTTCGTATTCGAGGGATGGTGAAGAGCTCCACGATTCGCCTGAGGTAGTTTCCGCGGCCAATGTATTCGTGCTCGACCTGCAGTTGAACGTGAATGTAGTATAAATCTCGCCCTGCCTGCACCGGATTGTTCCTCAATCGTAATAGCGAGTTCATCGCGTCGACGTAGCGGTTCTTTTTGATATACCAACGAGGCGACTCAGGGCATGAGTAGATGAGCAAAGCCAAGGGCACGGCGGGCAGGAAGGCACACCCAAGCTGGTATCTCCACGGCTCTACAAAAGCTTTCGCGCACACGAGGTTGGCCAGGGTCCCAAGGAATATGCCAAAGGAGACCCAGAGCTGCCAGCTCATGACCAGCGCGCCACGGATAGGGGCAGGGGTGGCCTCGGCAGCGTAAATCGGCACAGTCGCTGCCTTGGAGCCCATACCGACCCCTAGGAGCAGACGGCAGCCAAGCAAAGACTGCCAATCATTGCAGAAGGCGCTGGCAATAACAGGCCAGAGGCAGAATTGTGATGCCACAAAAACAGTACCGCGGCGGCCCAACAAATTGTTGATAGGGTCGGACATCCAGCAGCCCACCAAGGCCGTGCCAATGTACGGCCCAGCGTTGATCAGTCCCACAATGAGTTTGTCGTGCATGGAGCTCCCCCCGATGCCCAGTGCCTTTGGGAATTCGAGTGTTGCGCCATTGGAACCAGTCTGGTCCCAGCCCTGGACAGCCGCGCCAATCGAACAGACGAGGATGGTCCTCTTCAAGGCGCGAGGTACCCTCCACTTGTGGAGGATCTCGTCACGGAGGGCTTCAACTTCATCGGGCGACAGCGCATCGGGTCCCGTAATGTCCTCATACCCCGATGGATCCTGCGCGACAAGCGCGCCCTTTCGGATAATGCCCCTGTGCTTCTCTAGCCCCTTGGCCCGGCAGAAGTCGTCAATGTCAGCAAGAAGCCGTCTCCTTGGGATTCCCACAAGGGGATTGCGGATCCTAGAGGCCAAGGGGTAAGTGCGCTGCGTGCAAGTGGGAGGCACTGGCGTTGAGGCTTACTTTGCGTCAATATTGGCACTGAAGTTGACCTTGCGCGGTGGTGGCGTCGACTCGGTTGCCTCACGTATCGAATGAGCATGTGTAGCAGACACATGATAATCATGGATGATGCTGCCGATGATATGTAAGTATGGAGTGCATTCCAATCAACAAGATATGACCGCCAGTGTGTGAGGAGAGGTGAGACACTGTCGCCGCATCGCGTGGTCGTCCTCAAGGCTACATTCCGCGCACATGGAGCTTGCAAAGCACAATCCACCGCGGGCCGCCCGACGATCGATGCCCCAGTCCTGCAGCTTTGGGGACGGTGCAGGCAAACACAAAGTGTTGACTGCACTTGAAGAAAAGAATTTGCTTGGGACTCACCTCGTGACCTCTTCGTCACCTTGGTCGCCAGGCGCCATGACGGGCAGCGCAACCGCCGCGACCGGCGGCGCAGAGTCGCAGTTCCTGCAGCAGCACGCACGTCGTGTGAAGGCGTCGTTTGTTGCAAGTCTACCTTAGTCGTTGTTATTTGTCCCGAGTCCGCCTTCCCCGCTCAATCCGCGGTAGCGACAAACGTCTCATGCGGCCATGTGAGACACTCGCTTGCGGTTGTCGAACCTGTCGTCGTTGAATCAAGCGTGGGAAAATGTCACCTGTCGTCCACCGTGCCACGTTGTTTGTCGCGATGAGTGAGTGCGGAATGCAAGCTCAAGCCGACGAGCTGATGAGAGACACGCGGGTCATGTGGAGGACGTCGGCATGGCGGACAGCGGACAGCACTTGCCACTAGCCTCTAGCTGTCAGCGTGTATTTCAGCTCCAAAGTCTACAGGTAGTCTAGTCCACTGTCCCGACAGCAGGGATTTGGCGATTCTAGCCTGCCCAGGCCTCCAGGGGTTCGGGGCGCAAAACCAGCCTCGCGACAACACTCAAATCGTGAGGTTTCCAAATAACTAAATAGGACACGTACTCTGCGATGATCACCTGATGAAGCACCACAGCTGACGGCTCGTCAAACAGGATAGGTGGCTTCCTTTACAAGTAGAGAGTATGGATTAAAGTTGCTCCCAATCGATTGATTCATGATCATTCAAGGGTCCTTCAGTAAATTAAATGAGCGCTGATTTGCGGGCTATCGATGTGATGTTAATAGAATAGAGCTTGTTGACTAAAATCAAAGATTGTGAGAAATTGCACCTGTAACATGGAAATAGGAGGAGACGGGAAGAGGCCCGGCACGGAAATATAGTCAAGGGTAGGTAGGCTGACATCTATCGTCGTTCCCTAAATCCCCTCAAGGATGGGATTCTTTACATCGACTCGTTTTGAGATTCCATACCGTTCATTACGAATTTAGACTAATTGAGGCTTCAGAGTTCCTACTGAAATCATGACCGTCGTTTGCATACCTATTTCCACATAAGCAGGCAAGACTGGCAAATCTTTAGCAATCTCGCTTATTATAACGTCAGTGAAAGCTCTTCCGGCGACAAGATGTCCAGGGCCTCATTTACAAACGGTGTAATCTCTCGGCGCTATCTGGTACGGTGTTTCGAATTCTCTGTTTCTGCTCAACACGAAGGACGATTCTGACCTTTATTATCCTCAGATGAACTCGAGCTCCATAATCTAGCATTTTTAACGGTATGCTACATGCAATTAGACACATTCTGCGTTCACTACACAGCCTGAGTCTACTTAAGTAACAAGTTTAGTGCAGGGTAGCCATTTGATCGGTGGCGGGCGGCCCGTACATCACGTGACATTGCACCTTCCCGTCACGCGCTGGCTTTTCGGCGTCCAAAAAGAGGGGCAAACATCATACTCCGCAACGGTTCCTCACTGACCAATCAACAACTCCAATGCAACATCAGCGCGAAGCCTCCGTCTGGCGATCAGCTCTGCCAGGCAGCAGCATTTCAGAAGGAAGCGAAGTCGGCAATTGGGTCAGACAGGCAGGCAGGCAGCGAGTACAGCCGCGATCACGCCGTTTCTATATCACTGCGGCCTTCAGGCACCGAGATAACTCATCTTCATTATCTTCTGCGTGTATTCCTCTGTAATTCTACCGTCTTGCTTCCTCCAGTCAATGACCTGAACTGTTCCGTCTCTCAGTGTGGAGGCACGCCACAAGAATACGCATCACGGCCTTCGCAGCCAGCTGAGACACCCCCTTCCCAGGCTTGAGAGACGCACCCTCATTCATCTGTTCATCGACACGGTCAGAAATAGTGAGGGTTGTTGCCAGCACCTAGCCAGGCTATGAAGGCGTCGCTGCTGTGCGACGCTAATCCGCAACTGGCTGACCAAGGGATCGAGGTGGTGCGCAGCGTCAAGTAGACGTCGCCAGCCTGTTCGCTGCTCGTCTAATATCAATCGCGCGCGACACCTGTTAACCGACTGCCATCATGGCATCCTTCGCCCCATTGAGCGGCTTCCAGCTGCCATTTCAGAAACGCCTTAGTCGACTTTACAATGACACCAAGAAGTCTACCGACTTCGTCCAGCAGCCACCCAGGAGTGAGGAGGATCCGGAAGTGAAAGCGCTGCATCGCAAATTGCGCATCCAAAAAGACCGTCTCGTTTCATGGGGCATGGATTGGTCGGACCCCAACCAGACCGCCGAGATCGATGAGTCGCTCTCCAAGGCCGGGCTGGGCGAGGTTGTCGGTAGCATCATGTCGACCATTAAGGATACCCTCGCCGAGGCGGAACCGCTCTGGTTGAGCTCAAAACACCTTGCCCAGGGAACGCGACCTTCGGCTGACCAAAAGAAGCCCCTGGTGCAATGGGACAAGACAAGGTTCCAGGACCTCATCAATGATCTCACTGCTTCCATCGACACGCTCTATGATCTCTCCCGCACGCGCTCCATGGTCACAGGGCAACGCAGGTCATCCAAGTCCCCTTTCAAAGCTGCCTTGTCAGACGAACCTAGAGGCTACGAGTCGACAAGGGTACAGACGCCACAACTGGTTGACCCGGCATCGTTGATGCCTTTGCCCTGCAGAGGGCCTACTGCCGAAACGTCTTCTCGCGCTGTAGTCTACATGAGCAAATCCACATATTCGAAGCTATCTCAGGAAAGCGGCAGTCACGAGCCATGGTCAGCTCTGCTACTGGAATACGCGTCCTTCGACCCAATGTACACAGTGACAGGAATCATGCCCCCAATGTCTCGGTTCGAAAAGCTCTCGGCTGGGCTCCAGCAAGACTCTCTGCGAGCCCCCGGTGTGTGGACCGGCTTGCCGCGTCTCCTTGGGTATTTCGAGGATATGGAACACTCCAGATTTGGCCTCGTCTATCGTTTCCCGAAGTCTTTCAACGCCGTGTCCCGCAATGCTACCACTGGTGAGACGGAGTGGACGCTGCCGACCCTGGAGGACATGCTATCTCGACCTGCTTCAGAGCCCCGACTAGAGGCCAAATTCCGCCTTGCTCATAATCTGGCAAATACGGTCTTTGACATGCACGGTCGCGATATCCCCCATGGCAGGTTAGAGGCATGCAACGTGTCTTTCTGCGATGCTACAAGCACCGGGGCGGCTCTCGCGGATGCCGAGGCTGATGTACGCCGCCCTCTATTGTCGTCTTTTGACGTGTTTACGGAGGAACCGACAACCACACATCGCAACCTGTGGCGACACCCCTTGGACCCCCAGAACGATTCCAGCTCTGCATTGCACAAGGATACGGACCGGCGAGTTCTTGAGCTTTACTCGCTCGGAGCGATGCTGCTTTCCATTGGTCTTTGGCGTCCCCTGCAGGACCTCGCTGACGACCTCATGGCCGACACTGTGTCTGACGCTCTGCTGCAGCGGTTGGCGCAGAAGTGCGGGACCCTATACATGAAAGCTGTCCACGCCTGCTGGTCGGCTATTGACAATGAGAAGTCTGGCTCGTGCACCGGCGAGGCCTTGTTGGAAGCTGTACAGTCCCGGGTGAGTCGATTCTTGGAAACATGCTGCATCCTCGACGGCGTCAATGGCCTAGAGGAGCGTCCGCAAGATGACTTGCACGACCCAGCTCCCGCCGTCAAGGCTCCAGCAGAGGCGGAAATCCCTTCAGCTGCAGCGGCTGATACATCGACTGATGGACATCGAGACGTCAAGGTGGCCACGGTAGTCAGTTCAACTTCGGAAAAGGGCCAGGCCATCGGGCTGCCCGGACCCTCGATGGATGACACGGTCGAGTCGGAGAAGAGCAAGGTGTACCCCAACATTCCGCTCTCGCCCGAAGTCGTCGACAAGTGGAATAACATCTTGATGCCCCAGGTCAACCATGCTCTCCGCCAATTTTGCCGCAAGTATCCCGAATCTTTGGAGATCTCCATCTTCCCCGTCGGCCCTTCTCCCGCAAACACCAAGCCCACCGTGATTGTGGTGTGCACGAGCGTAGGCAAGGTTCGTGCTATCCTCAAGAAGCGCGTGGGAGAACTGTTTGGCGAGTCCACTGGCTTTGGTCTGAAGGTGTGCAAAGGTGAAATGGTTCGATCACGGAAGTGGCATGAAGACATCAGGAGATCGATGGCTGGCAGAAGCTGTGGTGCCAACGCAGAGGCCGACGCCATCAACCCGGAATACCAGGAACGCCCCAAGAACGGGGCGAGCATCGGTGCTTGGATTGGCGACAGGCACCTGCCTCCCGTGAGCTTCGGTGGCCTTCTCTCCATCGATGACAAAATCTATGGCATGACAGTGCATCACATGCTCGACGATCCTGATCGCGACTTTGGCCGCGTCGAGACGGCCCGAAGCAGCGCGCACCCAGGTCGCGAATGGGCGTTCGCACTTCAGGCTTCCGCAGATGTGAACTCGGCGGCATCGGCCGGTCTGGATGGCGATGATGACGTGGGCTTTGAAATTTCAGATACCGAATCAGAGCCCTACTCCGAGTCCGATATCGCCAGTGATTGGGACGAGGAGGAAGAGGAAGAAGAAGAGGACGAGTTCGAACCTGGAGACATTCCGGGCATTGAGCCAGGGTGCGGTGATGGCTACGTCGTAACGCAGCCTGCCCTGGACGACGTTGAAGAAGGTTTCTACCCATCACCCGAGACGGAAGACGAAGACCACCTGGATTCATACAGCCTCGGCGAGGTCTACGCATCCAGTGGCATTCGTCGAAAGACTTCTGGAGGGCTCGTTCACGAAGTTGACTGGGCCTTGTTCGAGTTCTCCTCCGACAGACTCCCCGATGACAATTGCATCGTGAGCAAGGGCACTCAATCACAGCTGCGTCCGATGACTGTGGCGTCATCCGCAAGCCTCGCGAGACGCGACGTGCAGTGCACAGCGCGCACCAGTGGCCTCCAGAATGGACATATACTCCCGGCCATGACGAGCGTCAAAATCTACGGCCGCGCCTCGCTCAGCCAGACGTACCAGGTGTCAAGCATGAGTGTTCCCGATGTGGACGTCTCCAGCAGTTGCGCGCCGATCGGCATCCCTGGGGACAGCGGTGCCTGGATTGTGGACCGCAGCACGGGGCAGCTGTGCGGGCATGTGTTAGCTTGGAGCCAGCGCAATCGCGTGGCATACATCTGCCCGATGGACGTGCTGATCAATGATATTGCCGACACATTGGAGGCTACCGACATCAGGCTCCCTGGCGGACTGCCTCTTGTGGAACCTACCAGTGCCGCATCGTCTTCCCCAGCCACGGCGTCGCCGCGAACAATGTCCGCGACCCAGAGTCAGACAAGCTCAACGCCGACTTCTGTCTCGGGCAGCAGCGGGCTGGGCGGCAGCTCCAAGGGCATGAGCTCGGCTAGTCACGGTGGGGGACCCAGCGTGAATGCCAGTTTCCAGAACCTCAGCATAGGTGCTAGTCGATCCCAGAATCCTCCGAGCAGGTTTGCGGCCCTCAACCGGAGTTTCCATGATTTGGGAATGGGCAGAGGTATCGGCGTTGGTGTTTGATATTACACGTGCGGCCTTTTGTATACCCTTTATTTGTTAGACGTATAAACCTTCTGCCATGCCATGTGGATATCGCATGCGATACCCGCCCTCGTGAACCCTCTCACATAAAGTCATCCTCCCAGTCCTCGGTTCTGTTCTGGTTACTCGTCGCCTCCATATTCTCCTCTGTGAACAGCTCATCGTACGCATGGTCCTTTTGGTATTTCTTCTCCTGCCATTCCTTTGCCTGCTTGGCCTCCTCTTTCTTCTGAAATTTTGAGTCAGCATCTCTCTCTCTCTTTAAGCGCAAAACATGGGGAGGACGCCGTGCAGGCAAGGGATGGCTTACGCGTGCCTGGTATGCGGCCTGATCGCGTCTGCGAATCTCCTTGAGACGGTCCTCGCGCTCCTGCTGCAGATCCGGCTTCCTCTCCACCTTGGTCTTGTTGAGGCGGTTGACGATGTGGTTCTCCCGTTGCGGAACGAGGATACGCTTGACCTTGCGCTGGTCCTTGAAGCTCACTTGCCCCACGTCCATGGAGCCATCCTTCTTGAGGTTGGACCAAGGCGTATAGATGATGGCGATGTTGTCCTTCTTGTTGCCTAACAGGGTCGTGGTCAGTCCAGAAGGCGATACGTCACACACATATGCATACGCGTAGCGACTAACCTTCTATGGAATTCGCCTTGGTGAGCTGGGCGAGATCAACAAGCAGATCCTGTGGGAGGTTGTCCCATGTCTCGCCTTCTTTCATGCGGAGGTAGATATGGGCACTTGAGAGTTTGTCGACATGAAACTAGACAGTGGACACGTCAGCACCGAGGTCAGAGTGAAATCAATTCGAGTTCGAGCTCTGACTTACCCTGCCACAGATGTCAGTAATCCACCTCTGGATGGGGAATAAATGAACGGGGTCTGCTTACCAGACGTCCTCTTCCCAGCCGTACTTGATGAGGTCCTCATCTGTCTGGCGTAAGTATCGTGGACCTCATCAAGGTGCTCAAGATAGCGTACTCTCGTACTTGTCTTTGCCGACGTAAATAAAGCCCGACGGCTCGACTACGCTGGAGCTGTAGTAGTACACCATCGCGACCGTGGGTCTGCCGGTGCTCAGCAAGTTCTTGTGAAAAGGACTGGAACGTGGCTGTAAGTGCCCGAGCCGTGACTGTGAGTGAGAATTGAATGTTTAGTGTGGGGGGGAGCACGTGACGTCAAGTGACTCGCAGGCGGGTCGTGGTCTTCTACACGTACCTGAAGTAGGTAGTCTACAATCCCGCTTTCTGTGTTGCCGACATTGAATGCTCAGGTTCTTATTTTTTAGGTTTTTGTGAAGCCGCTTTCAAGTCCCACGCTCGACTTTCCTTACCGAACAGCCGCTTCTCTTGAAGGAGTTTGGACATAATCGAAGCTGCATGTGGTGGACATTGGAGGCCAGGTTATCGCATTACATGTACCATGAGCCATGATCGCGTTCTGGCTGATGGGTATCCGCCGCTGCAGGGGAAGCATCCAGCCCCGAGTACATTAACTATTAACAATTCTCTGTGGGCAGACTCTTTCCCTTACATTCCCTTCATCTGGCGGTCTCTCGTCTATCTCGACCCGATACTCCCTCGTCACCGAAATCGGCAGCTTACGAGCCCCGGCCTTGGCCTTTACCGTCCTATCAGACGCTCCAACAATGTGTTCCTCGCTCCCGTTTTCTTGCAGCCCTGAGAAATTCTCATTCGATTGGGAAGCCATTGCATACACGTCTTCATCGTCATCATCAAACTCGCCAAAGCCACTGTTGTGGTGCCCAAGGCGAGCGCGAGGCTGCGCCCACGGATTTGATGTCCCTCCCGCTCTTGCGCTTCCCGAACCCTCGAGTGTGTTCTTGTATGTGGAGCCAAGACTATACACCTTGCGAACAAAGGGCCAGAGCCCAGGCGCTGAGACGACGATCATGGAGATGAAGCCTTCGCGGCTGGCCCAGAGTTGTGCCAGGTGCTGGTTCGCCGCGTCGCCAAAAACGTAGTACGTTCGTAAAATGGTACATACGATGACCAAGAGACCAGAGCTGAAGAGGCAGCCGAGCGCAAGCTTTCTTCGAAGTGTGATGCGGAGATTCCACAGCATTGGCATCGGGACAGCAATAATGGCAGCGTCGGTCCTGGCACAGTCATCAGCCTACATGTCTCCGCTGCAACAAAGGAGCCGACTCACAACATATTAAGAGTGCCCCCGATATAGTAGTTGAGAGGTCGCGTGGTACACCCCGCTAATTTCTGTTAGCAAGCTCGATGACTGAATGGAAGTTACTGGAGCACGCATACGTCCCGGAAAGGGGGTGACCTGCCACACTCTATGGACAGGCACGCACGCGAGCAGATGGACCAGCACCGAAACAATGCAAGCAACAAGCGTGCCGACAATTATCCAGAGCACAATTCTCTGCTGGCTGTCGATGTCTTTCCTGTATCCATTGAGTATCTCGTCCGAGCCGGTGGCTGCTGCTGACTTACGTAACGCGTCGAAGCAACGATAGCATCACACCCTTGAACGCAAAGATCATACACAGGTACATTGTCCACGAGAAGTGCGCCAACATTGACCCCTTCTCCAAGGCAGCGTACTCGCTTTTGGGCACTTCGAGGGCTGTCTCCGCATTCAGGGGGATAATTGTGGGAAAGTCGGCTTTATGATCGTCAGAGATAGCTCCACTCAGCGTAAAGGGAACGCACGTGTGCTCATCAAGTAGTCGCATGTCGTCACGATAGTATAGAGTATCTTGTCGTATGGTTAGACTAGGTGATGGCTCAGCCGAGAAGAAGCGAGACTGACCGTTGACAGAGCACACCAGATGTCCGTGCCGTCAAAGTTGCGCCAGCCTGGTGTGTGCAGTCGCAACGCAAAACGTGCCAGCATGATCGGAACAGCAATCCCATATTTGATCCAGACCTCGAGTGCGAAGTATGAGAGCTCCATGGTGAATGCGGCAAGCGGTTCCTGTGGCAGAGCAAGGCGATTGTACAGTCTGGCATGTACATGTAGGACCATGCACTATCGTCTTGACTTTTTCGCACTAATAGCTTCGTATGAAGGGTTCTGCGTGTGTTTTGACTAGACAGGAAGAAATATTGGAGTTAGATGTTGGGCAAACCAATTGAGTACTTGTCGCGCAGGTATGGAAGTTTGCAAGATCCGACTGATATGAGGACTATTTGTTTCCACAATTTAAGAATGGGATCCGAATCATACCTTCCCCTGACGGCGCTGATCAAAGATCTACTGCTGACTGGTCTCTATCTCCCTGTCCCCAGCCTGGGGCCAGCGGCCAGGAGGCTCTCGGGAATATGGACATGGGCACAGCATCACTTTTCGCTCAAGCCACTCATTTCTTCTTCTTCTTCAGCTCTCCCATGCCCAGCTTTTTGGGTTCCGGAAAACGCTGCTTTTTGCGGCTCTCTTGACAATACTGATCGGCTCATTAGATCGGTAGTGTTCCTTCTTGACCCCGAATCCTTGCTTGCGCTGAGCATCTATTTGTCCCTAAGCGGGTATTTTTTTCTGTGTACGCAGCTACCTCCGTCATCCGGATGTCGCTTACAACCAGGGTCGTGCTCTAGCGACGAAATTGTCCATTGTGCCTGGCACGGCCATGTGCAAGATCTTGCATGTGTCACCAAGAGTGACTTACGTGTATGGTCAGGACCCACGGCACCCTTGCGACCAAAGATTCGACGCGGGAACCGCAAACTTTCCCGAGTCAACTTGCTTCACACAATGTTGAAGCTCTGCGCAGCAAAGTAGTAGAACACGACACGCAGTACTCAACATTCAGCCAGGCGTTGCCCGGAGATCAAGCAATAGGCCCCGGCTATACACAACACCAACGACAACAGCCGCCTTTCCAGTTTGATGCATCATGTCCATTGCATCCTACAAAGTCTATCTATACCGCAGGTGAGATTGAGTGAAATTGTGCCTTTCAGCACATGTGGCTAGTTCCAATGTCGAGCAGGGACAGGGGCAGGAGCAGGGGCAGGGACAGGGACTGGGACTGGAGCCGCCGGCGGGCGATGAAGGATCGGTTCCCCGGCGTCAAATGCCCCAAATAAAAGCAATGATGTTCCAGGCAGCACTTTCCATAACTCACATCAGGGAAACTCCAATTAATTGATTACTTTGGTTGTTCCATGCCTGCAAGAGCTAGCACCAACGACAACCACTTAAGATGCATCGGCATTGGGTTGGAAGTGATGAGATTTGTCTTTCTTTGAGATGTTGACTGTAGCCGCTTACAGCCACGCCGAGTCACAGGTCTCAGTCAATGCGCAAGGCAGGATCGACAATGTGTTGGTGATTGCTCGAGCCCTTGCTGAATCACAGGAACCTAGGCAAAGTCTACGCATACGACAGGTCACTACCCCTCCTAGCCTGTAGCGGAATATGCAAGTAATCAGCCGCCGGCCCCTTGTCGATGTTTGCGACGACGCAGCGTCTTTTACTACCCGGTACGAAGTCTACGGACAGCGTCTTGGCAGCCATGTCCGCTATCGAGACGACTAGCCCGTAACCACTACTCCGTAATACCGCCGCCTGAGCCTTCGCGTGAGACACCGGCCATGACGGGTACGAGATGTGTAAGTGCCTGAATCGGGGCACTTTGGTTCGTCGTCTCGCTCCCCTTCCACAACGACGGAGCAATGCCCCCAGGAAGCTCCAGATACACCAATGCAGATAGATCCTGCAGCCAGCACGATGCAGCACACGCTCAAACCTGCAGACCAGAGGGCCAACCGTCGGTACCGATTCTCTTTTGGGACTACGAACCATGTACTATGATTTATAATTCTGAAAAAGATTATATCTGGCCAGGGCCGCAACTTTCCATGTCCCCTCTCCACGCTCCTTCGTCGACAACATATCACGTCGCAGGACAAGAAGCACCCATGAAAATCCCGGCGATACTACTGCACTGCCTGACGGCCTGTGCCCATGCCGCGTATCACTTCCCACGAGGTAGCCACGAAGCCAATGTGCAAGAACAGCTCGCACTACTTCTGTCTGAAGATGCGGTGATCAGTTTTCCGTCCTCCCCAGACTGGGACGGACTGATCGAGAGGGCGTCGACGCCACGCGTAGCGCCCGGTTTTCTCGCTGTTGTTGAAGTTGCTACAGAGAAGGACGTTCAACAGACGGTATGCGGCGCTCTTTACCAGCCTAGGCGAGACTAAGCTGATCTTCTCCAGATCAAGGTCGCCAACAAGCTGAACTTGCCTTTCTTGGCTGTCACTGGCTCGCACGGCTGGACCACGGCCCTGGAAAGAGTCAAGTATGGCATCCAGATCAACATGCGCAGACTGAACTCGTCCACTCTTCATGAAGACGGTGAAAGCGCAACAGTCGGTGGCGGCATCATGCAGCACGAGATCGTCGCAGCTCTGGCGGAACACGGGAAGCAAGCTGGTACTGTGTGCCCCCATATCAATTTCGAGATTCTCTGGTCTGATACAGCGTAGTCGTTGGCCTTTGCGAGTGCGTATCGGCTGTAGGCCCCCTGCTCGGTGGTGGTCACAGCCTGCTGCAGGCCAAATACGGTTTCGCAGCTGATAACATTCTCTCCGCCCGGGTTGTGCTCGCAGATGGCGCCGTAGTGACGGCTTCCGAATCGGAGAATACTGATCTCTTCTGGGCTTTGCGAGGGGCCGGCCACAATTTTGGTATTGTCACGAGCTTCGAGGTCAAGACAACCGATGTGGCTAAGGGGGGATGGACGATGGTGACCTTTACCTTCAGCCAAGACAGACTAGAGGAGTTCTTTGACACGTGGAATCAGCTCGAAGTTGAGCATGAGGATCCGGGTATGCTTGTTCTCAATGGTGTGATGGCCCGTGATCCGTCAGTCGGTACGGAACATGTAAGTCTCTCCTGCACCCGAGGATCATGCAGTGATTTGGGGGATCTAACATTGTCAGCCCGTCATCAATCTTCAGATCTTCCACGACGATACACCAACGTCCATCGACGCCTACGTCGCAGCCTTTCGTGAGCTGTCGCCCATTGCTGAATCGAACACAACCAACATCCCATACGGCGACATCTACGAAGTCGGCGGTTTAGGACTGTCAAGCCCAGTCTGTCGCAAAAACGAAAACATTCTTGGCTACCCCAACTCGTTCCTGCAATGGGATGGCGCGTCAATCAGGCGAGGGTTCAACATCTTCTCCGAATTGACATCTAGGGAACCCTTCATGACGTCTGCTTGGCTCCTGGAGTCCTATGGACGTGCAGGACCACAGTCTATACCAGAGGGGACAACCGCCGTGGCGCCAGAGGAGCGTCGTCGCCACCTGTTGACATCCCCCATGCTCTGGTGGAAAGGGAACAGCGAGGAGGATGCAGAGACGGCTCTCAAGGCCGGCAAGCAGATTCAAGAAGCCATCCGACCAACGCACTTCCAGCCTCACACTTACGTCAACTATGCCTCGGGTGGTGAGCCAGTCAAGGAGACGTACGGTCATGAGGCTTGTAGGATGGAGAAGCTCACGGCGCTGAAGAAGAAGTGGGACCCCAGCAACCGCTTTGGGTTCTATGCTCCCCTTGTGTGAGTTTCTTGGCCCTTGGCAGTCAGAGAAGCCATAGTGTGCCTCTGCTAGGTACACATTGCGGCGCATTGCTGAGGCAAGACGACTGGGTGGGATTTGACGTGGTTCTGCTTCTCGCCCGAAGGAAGTTTGAAGTGCTAAAGTCTGAACAGTGGTTCAAGTGAGATCATCTCGAGCAGCTAGCATCTCAGAGGTAGCAGCATAGCATGTGCCCAACAATTGAGCCACTGCAGGTAGAATTCCATGTGATTCCATCCACATTGTTATAGCTCGAACTTTCGACAATGCCTCGGTAGACGTGCTGTCGCAAGTTCTCGCAAGTTGCGCCTAAGTCGAACACAGTCGTACCCTAAACATTCAGTTCTTCGATGGCTGATTCTGCGCCGTGCTTTGCATTTTGTTGCTCACCAAGCGCTCAAGCTGAATGGACATGATGTCTGGTGTGATCGTAGCATCGTGCGCAATGGCTGCCTGAGAGATAGATACCTATGGCAGACAGAGCCGGTGTCGGTGTCGGCTGATTAATCAGCCAATTACCGTAGCCCAAAGCCGGCTGACCAGCGAAGGGCAATTGTAATTATTCATCCACGCGCTGCTCGAATTCAGAAATCAAAGCTCTACCTAGCCAATCTATCGACGTTTCACATCTCACAGCGGCATAGCATAGCCTCCTGCCATGTCGCGCCTACTCAGACCAACCCTTCTGCGGCCGCTGGCGCCCTCGGCGCTCGCCCGCCCATCCCACCATCCGCGCCCCATGCGAAGATTCTACTCCTCAGACGCCGAGTCCTCCATGTCCCCCACCGAATCCGAGATCGCGAGCTCCCTCAGTAGCCACGACGCCCTCCGGCCGATATCCTCCGTGCTTGTCAAGGATGTGTCAGGCGGATGTGGCAGCATGTACGCTATTGACGTCGCGAGCGCACAGTTCAAGGGAAAGGGCCTGTTGGCACAGCAGCGTCTGGTCACCAAAGCCTTGGGCGATCGGGTCAAGGAGTGGCACGGCGTTCAGATCCGGACGAGCGTTCCCGAGGATGCGTGAGTCTTCGCTCCTGGAGGATTCGGTGAAGGAGAGAGTTGGACTGTGTAGCCTGCATTGGGCTACCTTGAACGAGCCCTCAAGCACGGCGTGTATCACTGCTCTGCGTCTGTTAGAAAGCTGCACCCACAACGATGGGTACGGCGATGTGTACAATACATGTATAGAATGCTTGGAGAGCTAGGGAAATGCGACATGTCCGGATGAGAGCAAGAATCAACTATACCCACGAATTCAAGACTCGGAATATCGCACATGACCATCATATAAGGACTTTGGTAGAGAGAACTTGGCGAATCTATAATGATGCTCGTTTCCACGTAACGCCAATGATATACTAGTATTAACCACCAAAAGGCACCAAGCGCAACGCCAGACAGAACAACGCCTTTCGAATCACTCATCGTGCCATCCATCCCTTATTCCTTCAGGTACTTGAGCAACTGCTCCCGTTCCTCGACAGGCATCATGCGGAGGACTTCGCGGACACCCTTGAAACCAGACTTCATGTTGTTGCGCACAAGGCCGGCGACCTCGCCCGAGAGCTTGTCCGACTTGAGCGCGTCAACCTTCTCGCCGATGCTCTTCCTCTCCTCCTCGTACCACTCGGTCACCTCACGGTCGTTCTTGTCCCAGTCCACAATGCCAGACCAGCTCTTGAGCAGGTGCTGGTTATGCGCACGCGCCTCGCTGATATTGGCCGTGCTCGGGTGCGTCGTGGCCAGGGCAGACGAAGCCATGCGCTTGAGGATGTATTCCTCATTGAGTCTGCGGCGGAGGCGCCAGTAGAAGAAACGGCGCGCCTCGGTCCACGAAAGCTCGTCGCGAATGACACCCTTGGCCTTCATGCGACCAGAACGATCGTGCAAGTCGGCATATTGAGCAGCAATCTGAGAATACACGGGCAAGAGCTGCTTCTCGCGGGCAGTCATATTGGCCTTCACCTCGTCCATGGCTTCCTTGGACAGGCTCTTGTCATCCAACTGCTTCTTGAGGTCGGCGTACGTATCGTCCAAGCGGGCCATGGTCGCCAACTGCTTGTCCTTGCGGTACTTGATGCCAATGATACCCTCTGGCTCGAGGACACCGCCGCGAGCTTCCTTGTCGGCGTACATCTCCATCGTGTCGGGAGCAATTGTGGGGTCGACAACGACCCAGGATCCACCACGCAGCTCGCCAAAGGGAGGAATGTAGATGAAGATGGGCTGCTCAAACTTGGTGAGAGCGTCGACGATGAACGAACCGTACTTGAGCACCTCGTTGAACATGTCGCGCTGGCCACCCGAGAAACCACGCCAGTTGGCCATGATCATCAGGGGCAGCTGCTCACCATAGTTGAAGTCGTTGATGGCCTGCGCGGTCTTGAAGGCAGAGTTGGGGTACCAGACACCGCCAGCCTCGTTGCCAATTTGCTCCATCGAGTCGGGGTTGGCAGGGTCGGCGGGCGTAATGTTCTCGACAGAGCGAGTCTCGACGGCAATCACACCCATGGGGATGCCGCCAAGACGAGCGCGGCCAACGACAACCGTCTGCGCCCAGCCGCCAAGTGCCTCCACGAAAGAGTCCTTGTCGAACAGGCCACCCAGGAAGGTACCGTCGTCCTCTGTCTTGCCACCAATCATCCAGCGTACGTCGTAGGGCTGCTTTTCAGCCGGAGGGAAGTATTCAATGTCACGATCCCAGGTGTCGATCATGGGGCTGAGAGCAACAGGACTATTGCGCTTCTCAGGCACAAAGGACAACCATTCGACAATGCGCGAGACACCGGCAAAGTCGTCGTTGGCAGTCATGTGCGACACACCGTTACGGTACATGATCTGGGTGCCACCAAGCTGCAAGTTGGAAGTGTACACCTCCCGACCAAGAAGGTTGTTCAGTGCCGGCGCACCAGTCAAGATGATCGGCTGACCTTCGATTTGCACGACACGCTGGCCAAGACGGACAAGGTAAGCCCCAATACCGACGGAACGGCAGGTCACCAACGTCACTGTGAAAATGTCGTTGTAGGCGCGGCTTGTAGCACCAGCAATCAGTCCTGAACCGCGGAGGCACTCGACACCGAGGCCGTCCTCCTTGCCCACCACGGTCGTGATCACGTGCCTCTTCTGGCCGCCCTCAGAGATGGTCTCGACTTGGACAGAGTCCTTGAAGCGCTCCAGAGTCTCGTCATCGAGGTACAAGTACCTGAAGCCGGCATCGGGCTTGTTCACATCGTTCCAGGCGACGCGGAAGTGGGGCATAAGCTCCTCTGCGAGGCCAAGGCGAGCGCCAGAGTTGGCAGAGAGGTAGATACGCGGGATGCCCAACTTGCGAGCCAGCTCGGTGCACTTGTGGAAGAAGTTATCCTCCTTGGGGCCGAACGAACCGATCTTGTAGGTGATATCGTTGGCGACAACAATGAAGCGGCGACCCTGGGGGTATTCGGGTGTGCGCGCACGGAAGACCCATCCAACCATGCCGCAGGTGTTAGTACCAGGCTCGCGGTTGACCTCCTCGAGGCTGTCGGTGTCGTCAAGCACAAGTTCGGTGAAGTGTAGGCAATCGCCAGTCTTCGGCTGTTGGCCCGAGAGAGCTGGCTGCTTCTTCACAGCAGCGACCCACGAGTTCTGGATAGCCTGGCGGAAAAGCTCAGGGAAATCGTAGACGTACTGGGTGCCCATGAGGTGGGCCTTGTAACGCTTGGGCTGGAGCCAGTTCTTGGTCGCATAAGGCGTGGAGACGGACATGAGATGCATAGGACCCTTCTCGTTGGTGCCACCGACGCTGTGGAAGACCCATTCTCCCTTCTCCGACTTGCGCTCAGCGTACATGTCGACATCGACAATGAAGCCTGAGGTGTTGGTGATGATAACACGGAGGGGATACGGGAGACCCGTCTTCGGATCGGTGCAAATAATGCGGATCTCAACTTGGGACACACGCAGCCTCCAGGCACGGACACCGAAGCGGTCCAGGAAGCCCTGCAGACTTTGCTCGACCTCGCGAGGATGCAACTGGAAGACGGGTGTGAAGTTCATGAAGATGTGGTTGAGATCGGAGTTGTTGTTGCCGGTAATCTCAAGAGCGTCAAAAATATCGTTGATGACACGGTCTGCCTCAGAGATGAGGTAGTCCGCGGTAGGAATCTCATCACGAAGACGGCCCGGCCTGATGACGGCACGGGTGAAGTAGCGCTTGTCAGTATCGACGTTCTTGCCAAGAGCCTCATACACGTGAATGTTCTTGTTCTCGGTGAAGACAGGCTTGATATGGAACTTGGAGAGGCGAGCGAGCTCAAGCTGGAAAGCAGTGGCAGGCTCACTGTGACGGATACTGGCATCCTCGTGGTATTCGGGACCACGGAAGGTGAAGTAGCGAGGGTACGAGCCATCACGGTGACCGCAGATGAATGTCAGGCGGCGCACGCCACGCGCGAGCAGATCTTCCTTGAACTGCTCGACAATTGTGTTCAGCCGGTCGAGGAGTTCATCGTCGTTGTCACTCTCGGCATCGCGAACAGCAATGTTGATGACAGCAGACAACTCGCCTGTGTGCTGACGCCTAGGGCGTGCGCTCGCGGTAGGGTTGCGCTGGCGGCTAAGATCGCTCCTGAGTGTGGGACCAGATTCGTCATCACTCTTTCGCTCTCCAGGAGGGAGGAGACCATCGAGAGCTTTGGAAAGTAGCTCATCAGCGTCGTCAATGTACTTGCAGGGGACAATGACACCCCTGCGGTTCGGCTCCTCGTCCATCCTGGCAGACACATAGGACATGTCACTCACAGAGCGGATGCGGCTGCCGAGAGCACCGTCAACCTCGCTCAATTCGCCCGGGGTCTGGGGAGCTGAAGCGGCCGGCGACTGTAGAGGAAGGCCGAACTCTGAGTGACCCACCTTGCGCAGGTTGAAATCCCAGGACAGGAAGTGAGGCGAGTCGGCATCATGGGTGTGGTACTCGATCTTCTTAAGGACATACGCGCGATAGGCACGGCGAATGTACACCTCGAGAGCAGCCAAGCCAACCCAGGGGTCTTCGTAGGCGAAGAAAAGTGTGAGGACATCGAAAACCGTGTACTTGGAATCGACCACCTCCTTGATAATGTCGAGACTGGGCTCACGGTGATCCCAGCCTGACTCGCCGTAACGAGATTCCACAACTGAAGATCGCAGAATATGTTCCATCTGAGAAGAGCGTTCCTCGAGGGACGGAAGAGAGCTTTGGATCATGATCTCACGGGCCTTGAGGGAGACCTTGGACGTCGATCTAGACTGCTGCAGCTCGGTCAGGTGGCGCAGAGACTCGCGCAGGTACTTGGCCACGTTGCCGACGTTGGGCTTATTAGGCCTGTATTCGTCAAGAATGGCAAGAATCAGGGAGCTCTTGGAGCTGACACGGCTGTGCGAAAGGACAGTCTGGACGACCTTGGGGATGTCGTCCTTGTGCTGATCACGGAGCTTGAGAACGACGGTCTCCTCCTGAGGCTGGTTCATGAATAGCTGTTCAACCTCCCAGTAGGCATCGAGAATCGACTTGATGGTGTTGAGCTCGCGAACTTTGGGTCCCTCAGCGTACTCATTGAGGACATCGGTCAGCGGCTGGAGAATGGTCTTGAGAGCAGGGACATCGGCAGCGGCGACATGGTCCTCCAAGAATTTGGAGAAAGTCCGCGACAAAGCTTTGGCGGGGAACTCGGACTGTCTCGACTTGGCTCGCTCTACCACCTGAGTGAACTGAGCATCAAGCTTCTGGGGCATGCGAGAATGCAGCGCAGAGAACTGGGCATTCCACTCGCTGTAGGGAAGTTCGGGGTTGCGCATGACCTCAACCAACTCCTTGAGCGTGGCAGCCATGATGACTGAGTTGTCGTAACCTTGCAGGATGTGCAGCATGGTGTTATAGAGAACAGAGAAACGCTGTGCGGGCTTTGTACCAACAACAACTGGGTCGCCATAGGCAGGTAACTTGCCCACGAAGGGTTGGGCCTGCTTGATGCGAGATGGATCATCCAAGGCAAGAATACCAAGGATGTCACCAGCCTCGAGAGATGCTCCAGGCTGCTTGATGAGCTGAACAACACCATCCTCCTGCGTGATGAGAGGCATGTGCATCTTCATGACCTCAACTTCCGCGAAAGTCTGGCCGGCACGGACGTGGGCACCATTTTCCACTGAATACTTCACGAGCTTACCGGGGCTAGGGGTACGAAGCTGGGTAGGGTCGTTCTCCTGCTCCAGTAGGCAAGTCTTGGAGTCGACGGACAGACGGGTGGCACCGACTTCCTCCTTCCAGTACACGTTGTGGGAATGGCCGTCCAACAAGATCAGCAAACCACCGTCGCGGAGAGCGCGGACGCCGACGGAGCACTTGGAGCCGTTGATGAACAAGTGGTAACTGTCAGCGCTCGAACGAGTGACAGTGAACTTGTACCGGAATCCATCGTAAATGAAGTCGATGGTGAACACCGTCTTCAAAATATGGCTAGGAGGTACCTGACCCTTCTCCAGACCAGCGCGGTAGGTTGCGAAGCATTCCTCGCTCGCAATATGGCCCTTGGTAATAGCACCACATACCACGGCAAGCATAGTGTCCGGGCGCTCGGCAGTCAGACGCTTGGAAATCAGCTCATCCAACCAACCGGTGGAGATGGTGTTCTCCTCGAAATCTTCGGTTTCGAGCAGCTTGATCAAGTACTCCACCGTGGTCTTGAAGTCACCGCGGATGCTCAACTCCTTGAGAGCAATGACCATGTGCTTCCGAGATGCGGCACGGTTCTCGCCATAAGCGAAAATGTGACCAAACTGCGAGTCGGAGTAACTGTGAATACCTCCCTGGTTACCAACCGAGAAGTAGCCCCAGACGTTGGAACTACTCCTGAAGTTGAGCTCGTGCATCACACCGTTGGATGGCTTGAATCCTTCTCCGGGATCTTCTGATGTGATACGGCAGGCTGTGGTATGGCCCTTGGGGGTGGGGCGGCGCTGCGTCTGAGAAGTGCCGGCAGTGCTGAACTCGAAATCGATCTCGCTCGAGGTCTTGGGATCAACACCGTAGAGTAGCCTGATATCGCGAATGCGATGGAGCGGCAGACCCATGGCAATCTGGAGCTGCGCTGCAGGCAGGTTGACACCACTGACCATCTCAGTCGTGGGATGCTCGACTTGCAGACGAGGGTTGAGCTCGAGGAAGTAAAACTTGTCGTCGGCATGCGAGTACAAATACTCCACTGTGCCAGCAGATACGTAACCGACAAGCTTTCCCAAGCGCACGGCCGCCTGCTCCATGAGCTTGAATGTGTCGGGCTTGGCGATTGTGACAGGTGCCTCCTCGATAATTTTTTGATGACGACGCTGAACGGAGCAATCGCGGCCGAAGAGAGAAATGTTGTGGCCGTATTGATCGGCAAGGAGCTGCACCTCCAAATGACGGGCATTTCCAGCCAATTTCATAATGAAAATGGGGGAGCCGGGGATTTCGCTTGCAGCAGCCTTGTAAAGAGCCTCAAAGTCTTCCTCGTCGACAGCTTTGCGGATGCCCTTGCCACCACCGCCCTCGGAGGCTTTGATCATGACAGGGAAGCCGATCTGCCTGGCCTTCTCGAGACCCTCTTGCCAGGACTCGACACATCCCTTGGCGTAGACCTCGTCCGGCACGGTCACAATGTCGTTGTCGTCGACTTCGACCTCGTCAACGCCGGTGCCAGACCACGGGATGCAGGGAACGGCGGCGTGCTGAGCGACAATTGTGGAAGAAATCTTGTCACCCAAGGAGCGCATTGCAGAACCTGGGGGTCCAATAAACACAATCTTCTTGGGCGAGGCAGCAAGCGACTCTGGCAGTTTCGGGTTTTCCGAAGCGTGTCCCCATCCTGCCCACACTGCGTGGACGTCCATGCGCTCCGCAATGTCGACAATCAGTTCGACATTGGCGTAGTTGTGGTTGTTGGTGCCACCGGGGACCTCGACGTAGTGGTCTGCCATGCGGATGTAGTCGGCGTTGGCTTGGAGATCATCAGGGGTCGCCATCACGGTGAAGTGAATAGCCCTCTCGTCGCCAAACGTCTCGTATGCCCATTTTCGTACCGATCGAATTTCTTTGACGGCCGCGATACCGTTGTTTGCAATCAGGACCTGCAAGCTCGATTCAGTATGCCGCTCTAGCCATACGCTAGAGATTTTCGCTCCCCGCACCAGGGACAAAGTAGGTAACTCACGTTGGTGATGACTGTGTGGCCGTCATTCTGGGCAACAAAGTCCTTGACTTTACTTGCTGGGGCGTTTTCCAAGCGGTTGCCTCCAATGAAGTGGTCCGCAAGGTTGTGCTTCTCGGCGTACGAGACGTTGCCGTTGGCGTGATCCGCGCCATTAGACCCTGTTTGAGTGGCCATGGCTGTGTGTTGGTATGTCGATTACAACGGAAAACTTGACAATTCCAGAGAGGTGGTCGAAGCAATTTCAGGTCGCCCGTATGACATATATATAAGACAGATGCGGCGTTACTCGCTCTCGAATGAAAACAACAAGCGCAACAGCAGTATTAGGACAGCGGCAAGGTATTAGAAGGGCCCGTCTCGTGGATTGCGACGGTGAGGATGAGGTGAGGTTAGAGGTAAGAATTTGTGGAGGAAGACAGAAGAAGGAGGGGAAAGGGACGGGAACAAAAGGGTCGTCTCCGAGTGAAGGTAAAGGAAAGTCTTCCTGGGTCCGTCGGGTTGGATGGAGGCCAAAAAGAAGATCAATCTGTTGGGAGCCCAAGTGCCCCATTAGCGTCGTTTATCAGGGGTCCAGGCGGTCTGTGCGAGGGCGGGCGAACTGCTACAGCCGGAGCTCCAGTCTCACATTCCAAGGAGTCACCATTGTACAAGAATTGGATTGCTTGACATGAAGCGCTTGTTGTGCTGCTTGGTCCGTCGTCATGAGGCGTTATCATCCTCAAGATGGGTATTAGTAAATTGGGGCTTAGCACAGAAAGCAGCGACACAATCTCCCAGCTGAGAGAGTACGTTGCTATGGCTAGACGATATCCACGCGCACCCACCACAGCTCGGTTGATTCTCAACGGCATTGGTCGCAAACCCCCAGAGCTCCAGTCTGCACTGTTTTCAATCGAGCTGCTGGTACGAAGCTGCCCACGTTCGGTCAACAAGACTGTGGTCGGCTTTGAGCTATTGGACTTGCCGCCATTCAAACTCAAGCCAGACCACCTTGAGACAGCCGCCACAACAGCCATCGCAATGCGACTTTCACCACCAACAAACCCGTGCATCACTCCCCACCTTGATCTAGACTAGATGGCTGAACGCACGCATGCATCAAATCGTGAGGACGTGGGACAATTACTGTAAACTCCAACACTAGAAGCATCATCCCCTCCATCTGGAGGTCGATTGACCAATGGCAGGAGCTGTTGGGGTATCTGACGTCGTTGTTAGTCTTTATCGATAACCACCGACATTCTTCCACCGGCCTTCGGTTCTTCGGTCCATTTCTATGTAGGCTTCGGTTACTTTGGTCATGCGCTTGCTGGAAGCTTGAGCACAATGACCGTGCAATAAGGCCTGCCCCTCCTACTATGCAGATTACTACGACTTTGTTTGAGAAGAAAAGTGCTAGGCGAGTACTGCAAGTTTGCAGACTGTACTCTGTAGGTATGGTACGTACTCATGCCTTCAAGACCCTTATAAGGCAGGGTTGATCCAAACCCCTGACCGGCAATTTCCACCCCAACGTGCAGCTCCAGCCTTTCTTGCACCCCCCGAATGTTCACTCCATCGTTCGATTTCCGTACCAAGCTTGCAACATATACACATACCTGCTCAGCTTTTGCAATGAGTCCCTCCTGCAGCCTATAAGGTCAATTCGGTGTTCCAAATTTTGCGCGACCTCTTTGCATCCAAGTTCCTGCGCGCGACGCCCGTTCATTATGCTGATTGCCTGTCACTCCCCAATTGTTGAGTTCCCCAAGCCAGCCATGCCGGGCCCGCGTCCATCCGAGTGGGTGTGTGGGTGATTGCTGGCTTTGGATCCACGCCCATAGTCACTTACCCTACGATACCTAGCTAACCACAGCCTACCGTCGCCTGGCGCGAGAACATTCATTCTGTTTGGAATCCCTGTAGTTAATGACTGAACAGTCAAGGAAACTGTCTGGTACAGTTTCAGCAAGTTCAGACGATAAAATAGGTCTTGACAACCTGTGGCATAAAGTGGGAGATCATTTCAATGCGTCCCTGAACTATAGCGGACCGCCTCCAAACAAAAAAACACAGGCATCTATCGCAGCAACCGTCATCGTCATTGACAATGAGAAACATGTTAAAAACTTCGGGAACCTAGCTTGGATACCCCATGACTGCTGTGCGAATGACATTGCATTATATATCGAGGAGCAGCGGCGCCTACAGTCAGCGCTCCAACTTCCTCAATTCCCGTGGAGTGCAGCGCCAGGGTAGCACTATCTGAGCTACCGGGGGTTGACCTCTGTTGCTCTTACATTACTGCAAACCCATAATACATTAGTTGTCGAACCCAAGTGACCAGTGCCTAGCGTCCGTGGTATGCATGAGGGCAGCAGCCAGCTAGGCTGCGACTCTGTTTGCAGATGCGAATAGGCGCACAACTGGCCAGCGCTGCATCTACCAGCCTGTAAGTCGCACTTGATACTCCCATTTGAGCTCTCGAACTCATCGTCAGGCCTGTCGTGGGCAAGCCGAACTAGAATGCACCATGCCCTTGCCCCTAGCCATCGTGAGTAAAGCTGCACTGGGCTGTGCTCCGCGTCGTAGCATGGCATGTCTACCACATGTGATGCATTGGGTAAGCGTGGCCTATATCTCTTGAGCAACTTTCCGCTCTCGCTCTGCTCTTCTCACAGCCCTCTCGACGAGCTCAACCCTCCCTTCCAAGTCAGACATGAACTGGGATTTACGAAGCACGGAGCCTTCGTACCAAGCCCGAACCACAGCCTCGCTACGGGACCGCAACTCAGCAGCTTCGGCTGCCTGGCCTATTTGCGTTGCCTCCAGTGCCTTCAAACGGTCTCCCGTCGCGATCAGAGCTGCACTTTGCGTGGGATCTGGGATGGGTGTATCTTTCACGGAAGTGAGCAAAGAGAGCGTCGACTGGTATTGAGGCGCCGCGGCCAGCACAATGGCGCAGATCGTGTCGATGTCAAGTTGCGACGGCGGCTCGGAAGGTGATGCTGCGTGAAACAAGGCTGGTTGCTTGTTATCTGAAGGGTTAGCCATAGCCTCATCCAGTGCAGGGCTCGCATACATATTTGCAGTAGAGCATGGTAAACTGGTATTTTCGCTAGGATGCCGTTGAATCGCCTCTCAAGACTAGCCAGCCTCATAGCCGCCGATTCATTTTGTGGAACGGCTGGCGATCCAGAATGGCCATGGAGAACATGTTCGATTCGAAGCAGTCGCGCTTCCAGCAGATTTAGCGTCGTGAGAGTCGTCTCGTCGACATCGGTAGCCATGATTGACTGGCGTCGTCGGATTCGTCGAAGAAGGAGAGTCGCAGAGCACCTTTTGCGCCTGTAGGACAACAGACCAGCTCCTTGTCTCGGCCAGCCTCAGTGTGCAAAACTTCCGCGTCTCTTGGTCTTTGTTGCTATCGAAGTCGAGACGGCAGCCGATAAGGCACAGAGCGCGCCTTGCTTCGGGAGGATAGACGGAATGGCGGGCCTAATTTAGTGGAGCAGCTTGATTGGCCCCGTGCCCCAGTGACGAACGTAGACACGTCCCCTGCATCTCCCTCCCCTGCCTCGTAATATTCCTACATCGTGGAACCCGTGGCCTCAACAAGCTCCAGTTACTATATCAGCCTTGCGTGGTACACGTATCGACCCATTGACTAAGCAAGTCGGAAATCCCTTCGTCCTAACTCGATTTCGCGACCGCCCGCGGCGCTGCTCCGCATCACTGTTCATTTGGCCAGGTGCGCCGGAAGTCGACCACGTCGGACAAAAGACAGCTTCAGTGGCGGCGCATGAGCGACGGTCATTGCTCAAGCTCCTCGCTACTTCAGCGATCGATTTGCGTAGCAATCGACCCGGTGAGATCCGCGACAGCGAACGCCAACCACCCACGTTTTGCGACCGTGTGCTATGCCGACGTATTCTACAATCTCGAATGGGAACTCTGCCGGCGGAGATCAAGGCGATATGGCGAGGTGAGTTGGGAACATGCGCTGAATGAAGAGCACCGGCTAATTGAGGCGCAGAGGTAGACGTCGAGGCGGCAAAGATGCTCGCCCTGGTGGTGGACAGGCGTCCATGGTGAGCAGTGTCGTCAATCTGCTGAACACAAGTACGTGCTCGGACTTGAACTGGCAAACGAAGCAGCTGACAGTGTGTAGTCGTCGGTGCCGGCACTTTGGCCATGCCCTCTGTTTTATCCCACACCGGAATCATGCTGGGCATTTTTCTTATCATTTGGTCAGGATTATGCGCCGCCTTTGGCCTCTATCTCCAGTCCAAATGCGCGCGGTACCTCGAACGAGGCACGTCGTCTTTCTTTGCGCTTTCGCAGATCACCTATCCCAACGCGGCGGTCATCTTTGACATGGCCATTGCAGTCAAATGCTTTGGCGTCGGCGTCTCCTACATGATCATCATTGGCGACCTGATGCCTGGTGTCGTGATGGGGTTCATTGACAACGCCGAGAAATCGCCGTACCTGGTTGATAGGCATTTTTGGATCACCGCATTCATGCTCTTGGTTATCCCCCTGAGCTTCTTGAAGCGTCTCGACTCGCTCAAGTACACCAGCATTGTCGCGTTGATCTCCATCGGCTATCTCATTGTTTTGGTCATTTACCACTTCCATGCGGACCCACATGCTGCGCCTGAGAACGTTCGCATAATTCAATGGGCTGGTGCTGTTGAGACGCTGAGCGCACTGCCCGTGGTTGTATTTGCATACACCTGTCACCAGAATGTGAGTTGCAGAATTTCATGCTTGCATCGAACGGCATTGCTAATACGTCGCAGATGTTCTCGATCATGAATGAGATTAAGGACAATTCACAGCCCAATATCGTTAGGGTTATTGGGTCAAGCATTGGTCTTGCTGGTATCATCTACATTGTCGTCTCCATCACAGGGTACATTACCTTTGGAAATGATGTCGTGGCGAACATAGTGTCCATGTGTAAGTCTTTGGGTGCATACCTCCTAGCGCGGATAAGACTGACGATGCAAGACCCAACGGGCGTAGCCTCCACCATAGGCAAGGCGGCCATTGTTGTTCTAGTCCTTTTCTCTATTCCACTCCAGGTCCACCCATGCCGGGCGTCTCTAGATGCCGTTCTCAAGTGGCGGCCCAACAGGAACAGTCGCAACGCCCAGACAAACGCGAGGACGGGCTCTCCGATGCTTACTGCATCCGGTGCTACCAGGAACGACCCCGCGGGCCCAGCAGCCATGTCTGATGGTCGGTTCGCGTTGTTGACCGCCATCATTCTGACTTTGGCGTACATTACTGCTTTGTCCGTGAACAGTTTGGATCGCATGCTGGCTTTTGTCGGCAGCACTGGGTCCACCTCCATCAGCTTTATCCTCCCCGGGCTTTTCTACTACAAGATTAGTGATCCGGACAGCATCCACCACCAAAGCTTGATGAAGGAAGACGACGACATGGACGACAACGGCACTTCGGACGTGGAAGATGCAGGCACTCTTGCCCAGAGCACCCACAGCGTGCACAGCAATGCTTCTGGGAGCAGTCCTTCGCCCGCAACATGGCGATGGCGCCGCAAATGGCGTTGGGACTTTGATCACATCGAACACGGCCTGCTGCGCAAGCTTAGTCTTGGAATCGCCTTTTACGGCATCGTGGTCATGGCTGTGTGTTTGATTATGAACCTTTTCATGCAAGCTGGTCATTGAGACAGCCATACAGACATCTATGAACCTGCACTTTTCACGCAGTCAAGTTTACCGCATATTGTGCATATTTACGAGGGTTTTTTTTTCCTTTTTTCTTTTGCTTCTACTGTATTGGCATGGCATGAGCGGAGTTTTGGTAGCGATCAACGTCGCTCGCTTAGAGGCAGGGCGATATAGAGGGTTCGGACAATCTCACATCGCAATGTACGCAAAGAATGAAACAGTATTTGACGTACATCTTTCACATAGTTATTGTACAACAATAGGTTTAACCCGAAACTGCCCGTGGGCTTCATGAAGAACGCCTGCCCATGCTGATACACGATATCGATACAACGCATGCTCTGCCTCAACGGATCCGCACCTTGTCGACCTCCACAGGTGGTTGCCCCTTTGCTGTCGGAGGCTCGAATTTCTTGGGGGGGAGAATGCCAGCCATGCTCAGAATCTTCCACATGCGGTCGGTCGGCTGCGCCCCAACACCAATCCAGTACTTGGCTCGCGACACATCCATCTCGATGTCCTTGTGTAGTTTATCGGGCGCACCGTAGGGGTCGGCTTTGGGAACGGGATCGTATGTGCCCAGAACCTCGAGGGGCTTGGAGTTGCGTGCCGTGCTACAAGCCTTGTCAGTCCTGAGCTGCCACGTTGAAGAGGCGCGCATACCGTGCTTGCGCGACGACAATGTTGTAGTGCGGCCAATTGCGCTTGCCGAAGCGGGCCAGACGAATCTTGACAACCATGATGCGTTATCCTTGGTCTGATGAACACGGGTGCTTGGCTGTGATGGACAGTCGCGAAGTTGAAGCGTGGGCAATTTTTGGGTTGATTCGTGGCTTAGCCGGCGCCACATCCTTAGGTCTCTGGCATGTGGCTGAAGCCACTCATACTACGTGTACGTACCTTAAGGTACGTACACCATGCATGCACATGTGCCAATGATGTCAGTGAGGATCCACGCCTCGTACGTAGTACAAATCGTCACACCTGTCTGAATTGTCTATCATTGTTCTCTCATCGTTTTGTTGGCAAGATTCTTCAAAATGGCTCTAAAGGTAAATTGCCATGCACATCAGGCAGATCCTTGCTAAAAATGTTTACTCTAATAGACACTAGGACCGAAGGCTGCAGCAGCATTGGATCAAGAGTTGATGAGCACTTGCGCATTCTCAATCGACCAACTGATGGAGCTGGCTGGGCTTTCAGTATCTCAAGCTGGTATGGAATCCGGGTTTATGGTAGCTTAAGCATCTGGATCACTGATTTGAATCAGTATATCGCGTCCAACCGTTGCACCAGGGGCGCCGCGTGTTGGTAGCCTGTGGTCCCGGCAACAACGGTGGCGATGGTCTCGTAGCAGCCCGCCATCTTTTCTTCTACGGCTATAGGCCGAGTGTCTTCTATCCCAAGCGAAGCAAGAACGAGCTGTATCAGGCGAGTTCCAGGTTTTTGTTGATATCGTTAACTGTCTACTGACTTTGGCAGCGTCTCGCCAAGCAGCTCGAGGATCTGGAGGTTCCTTTTGTTGATGATTTCCCTTCCGCTCTAAAATCGACAGACCACATTGTCGATGCAATTTTCGGTTCCTTCCACACCTTCTTAGCGCGTATCCGTGACCATCCCTAACTTGATGTAGGGTTCAGCTTTTCGGGTGAAGTTCGCGAGCCTTTTCCTCAGGTCATCAAGTCGCTCGAAGAGACCAAGTTGCCGGTCACATCGGTTGATGCCCCGTCATCTTGGGACATTGAGAACGGCCCTCCCAAATCCGGCTTGGGTAGTAACTTCATGCCTGCCACACTGGTCAGCCTGACGGCTCCCAAACCACTGGTGAAACATTTCACAGGACGCCACTTTGTTGGTGGGCGGTACGCACCTTGACTCCCCGCCATGACCAACAAGCCTCATGCTGACCTGGAAAAGCTTTGTGCCCCCATTCATTGCCAAGAAGTACGACTTTGAAGTGCCTGAGTACCAGGGAATCGATCAGGTCGTGGAAGTTCCGCCCAGTGGACAGAAGCTCTGATAAAACCATGGCTCCTGCCTCTCGAATCCGCACTGGGGAGTTGTCGGGATGGTGGTTTGCCATGCGAGAAAGAATCACATGAGGCTGCAGCCGCCTCTCATGCTGTTGGGACAAACTGGACTCGGACATCGACCCTCCCGCATTTCGTCTCGCATCACGACGAGATCGGTTGGACAGATGCGTGTAGTTGTCGGACAAGCTTGACAGAATGCAACAAAGATGAGGTAATCCTTCCCGCAGACGATGCAGTGAGCTCTATGCTGCGTGCACATCTACCGCAAGAGACGTAGAGAGCCTCTCCACTCCTGCCTTCTCAATGGCCTCGATGATGAATAGACCATGAGGGACAAGGGCGTTGCAGCCAGAATACGAACTCTCTTGTTCGTTGAGCCTCGACAGAACGTGGCGATGTATGTACTCTACAGTGCGAGAGTGGTCGGGCTTCTTTGTGTGACGAGGCGGTCATGAAATACAGCCTACCACGTTAAGCGAGATGATAAGCTTATGCCTAGTATCACGAGGCAAGCGAAAACGTGTCAGTCCGACGTCGACGGTCGCCACCGCCTGCCAGCGCGAGTACCCTGATCCAGGGCAACGTCGGCGAACGTTGAGCAGAGGTGGCAGATCGAAAAATCAGAGAAAAGCATGGCAGGCATTCCAGGCGCGTGCAGCGAAGTGGCCATAATACAACGGACAAGCCACACCTACGATGCGCAGTGGATCACCCGGTTCTTATTTTCCCCTTCCAGTTCGAGGCTTACAGCCCACAGGCTGTGAACAATATGTGGGTTGAAGTGCGGACGTTAAGTGGTCTTGATCAGGATTGGGCTGTCAACGACAGCAGATCCGGAGCAAATGCTCCACGATCATGTGCGACAAAGCGGGACGTCCCCGCTTTTCGGTTAGTTGAAAGATCCCCAAAAGCCCTCCATGGCACGTTGTCAGTTCCATGTCTTTATTAGCATCGCAACTGGGCCCCGTATGGTCCCCTTGTCACGGAGCTTTGTTCCTGTAGCCAACAAATCTGGTGGACAACGGCTGTCGTGGTGAGTTGCGCCTCACCGTCGATCCTATGGCTGAAATGCGGAGCTCGGTCCTATGTCCGCCCGCCTGTGCCCCAATCGAAGCAACGGCGTCAATCTGAGCTACGATCGCCCTAATTATTACATACATGGCTCGCGGAGGGTAAAGACCGCATCCTCCACAACAGCGCCTGCCATGGACTCCGGAACACCTGTCGCTTTCGGGCAGGCGTGTCACCATGACACAAACCTGAGGTCATCAGCGATGAAAACAAGACGCAATAAGCGAGCATCTTGAGAAGTTGAAAAGGAGTAAAATCCACTGAAAGGAGTCGAGTCCAGGTTCCATCCCACCAAGATCCCTCCCGAGTTTCTACGTGGCTTTTAGCGCTCGGCCCCTTAGGTTCTGCCCCTTGAGCTTGACCCCTCACGGCCTTTAGCGGGATATGCCGTAACCCATTTCCCGGTGTCAGGGGCGATTGAGATTCGAGACTGACGAAATCTTGCATCTCCAGATCGGCCGTTTACAATTCATGGTTTGACCCGTAATGTGCCAAGTGAGTACGTCTACTTGTACTGTACCTAAGCAACATCATGACTGACGTACATGCGCACGATGTACATATGTATTCGTACCGTGACGTCAAAATTGCGTGTCCAGGCCTAAGAATCACTAGTCTCGACCCCTCAGCCTCAGGACGTGCATTCCCGAGAAATGGGAAAGCTTTGACTCCACCATATCGACCCAGAAAGATGCTCGGCAGGAGGAACAATCATTGCCCGCAAGCCTACTGACACACACAGTCGTGCGAATCCAGGTCGACACCCTCAAGAGCGATCTGGTTTTGCTTTGGCTACTCTACTACCGTCTACAAGTACAAAGTCCCAGCATCAAGACTGACAAGGCAATCTGGTTTGAAGCCCTCGCACATGAGCGCCCGTGTCGACTTGGAGCATACCATTCACATGCCGTGCCTGCGGCACAGATTTTCTTTGCGGGCCACGATATCCAATGACCATAGGGTAGTCAGAAAGGGCATGGTACGCGGCTCGGCTGATCTGTTCGTCGTTTCTCGAAGGGGATTTGGAGCATTATGACTACCCTGATCACTTCAGGAATCCGATATTACACAACCAGCAAGACGTGAAGGCCTTCCTAGGCGACTAGATTGAGAAAAGATGCCCAGAAACTTGTAGATGGTGCGTTAGGTCTATTGTCCTAAAGGCGCTGTATCTCCTTCGCAGAGTTGTTCTTTGTCAAAGACGGAAGCGCTCTAGCACAGCAGTTGTACATTATGACAAAAGCCAAGATGCTCTTGGTACTATCGAGGGTTAAGCCTTGCTAACGTTCATGTTGTCTCCAAAGTTGCTCACCAGCGTCATCCTCGGTAAGCTGTCTTATTTTTCGATCCTTCACGGCCTGCAACTCAACAGAGACCTCGTAAAACTGCACGAGCGACTTCTCGTTGATCCTAGGCTGGAATACGAACGCGGCGACTTTATCTCTAGTGAAATGAGGGCTGCTGTAAAGGCCGGATTGCATTCTCGCATTTGTGAAGACTGGAGCGAAGTAACCTGGGAACTCGTGGTGTAGGGAGTGCTGATGTCGGCTTGAACGTCAGTGGCCTCACTTCGGATTGGATCCCACCCATAGTGCCAGTATTTTACAGAAGAAATACTGAAACGACACGCCCATGCATTTCTGGTCCTTCGTGTGTGAAGGCTGATACATGAGACGGGTGGAAGGAGAAGGAACGAATAAGGGAGTTTCTGGGTTGGTATCGAGGACAGCTACCGCCACTGACACCCAGACAGGGACGACAAGAGTTGAATACGAGAGCTTGTACGGTCTAGGTTTCGTTGAATGCGAGCAGTTGAGAAGTTGACGTTGTTTTACAAAGAGCTTGTTCCCTCTCACACAGACGAGAGAATCTACCCCAATGCCTGCCGCTGAAGCAGTGCGTCCGGGATTCCAAGTCGCATAAAGGTGGTCTACTAATTAGATGTTGCTGGGTGGCATACCGCGAGAATGCAAAGCTTTATGCCTGATGGATGAATCAATGGTATGTTTGTTCTCACAGGCCCGCGTCGTCCATGCGGGGAGGGACAAGACGCTGCTCGTTTGGGATACGACGTACGTCAACAGCACAAAGAAAGTGGGAGCGATCGACGCCCACTCGTAACGTCAAGCGGCGAAGGATTACTCAGTGCTGTCGCGATTCGTGTCCCTGGGACTCTCGGCACGATATCTGGAGGTGGCCCTCGCCGGCATCGGCACGGAAGAAACATCGGCCTGGGCTCCCGGCCGGCTCGTGGGCCCGACGCACACGCATGTGTCACACGGCAAATAACAGTGCGTCAGAACTAAACGGAGTTTTTTATGAACGACCCAATAGCAAGTGCAAACAGGCCATAGGGGTAGCTCTGTCCCCGGATGTATGTGCATGTGTATGGATGGGATTATGAATGGAATCAGGCGGCCCCCCGCAGGAACCATGAAAAGGCAATGAATACGTACGTATACAACAATGCCTGAGTGGCAGGTCTTTGACAGTAACTACTACGTGCCTCAGGTAGGCAATGCTGGCGATGGTCTACACTAGGATTCACGTCATGTTATAAAAGGAAAAAACAGCCATTTGATGTTGGATGACATTGAAAAGTTCAGCCTCATGCAGGGTAGCGTGTTCATTGCGGCATTAATGATAAGCCACACTCGGGCCTTTCCCTGACGATCACAACGGGACATCCGACTGGCCGCACTGGCGCGTTCTCAGGCCAGGTTCGTTTCCTGTGCTCCTTAGTTTTGTTCCAGTGGTCTTCTCGAAGTCTTCCAAGCAGCGCTAACATCCGCCAAGGACGCGGCTTGCATCGGCACCTTGCAACCGACTGATTCTGTTATACACGGTGCTGACTCGCGGCGCAACAGCCCCTTGCGCTCCCTACACCTTAGTGACGAAGATTTCGAAGGCCTAAGAACCGCTCAGGCACGTCTAAAGTTCTCTTGGCGATCTTTTTTACTATGTCCAGAAGCGTCTCAGGCTGGTAGCACTATGACGCTGTGACGTGAGGTACAGTGCGCGAAGACGTTTGCAAAGCCTGTTATCAGAAAACCCCATATAAGTTCAACCACATTGGGGTAAGTGGATCGCCCTTATCACTATCCCCGTCACGGCAACGCTGCAGGTCCAAGACGGCTTCAGCCGGCTGCCGGCTTGGAAAAACGGCACATCTGACAGATCCTTTACGACGCCAGTGATGTTTAAAGTGCTGTGCGACTTCGAGCAACAAAACTTCATCGTCAGGCAAGTGTCTACCTCTTGAGAGTCACTCTCGACATGGAGTCCCCCCCGCACCTGGGGTTAGTTAGTGTTATGGACCGACCTGGGGACGGCATGGATGACGAGAGTCCGGGCCAATCATTCGTACTTACTATTACGTTAGGGTTCCGAAAAGTTGATACAAGTGTTCACCGAGCTCGGAGTAATTGTTGTTTGCGGGCGAGCCATGTGGAGAGGCATCCGTAATTCCCATACGTAGTCGCAGCTACTACTGCGCTTGCCGCTTGTGTTATGCCCAATACGTGCTCTAGTCTACATGCCGTGCATGCGCGCTCGGTGCCACCTTGTGCTATAAAGTTGATGATCCTCTTGCGTGGTGTCATACCCCGTTCTGCCCGGCTCCCATCTTCTATTTGCCTGCCCAGTCTGGTGTGCAGGTCCCTAACGAGACAAGGCCTCAGACGCAGACATCGGTTCACAAAGACACAAAAGACATTATGGGTTCCAAGGAATTCGACACGGACAGCAAATATGGCCGCGATCTCGAGTCGACGACTGCTGAGGCGTCCACCGAGTTCAGCCTGGCAGTGCAAGGCCAACAGCTGGAGCGTGGCCTCAAGAGTCGACACATCCAGTTCCTGGCACTCGGTAAGTTGCAGCCGCTCAAGGCCCACGACAAAATGGCCCCGTCTAACATATCTCAGGTGGTGCCATTGGCACCGGTCTCTTCATCGGATCCGGCCGCATTCTCGCAGATACCGGCCCGGCTCCCCTGTTCATGGGCTACCTCTCCATGATGCTGGTCGTCTGGTGTGTCATGAACGTCCTCGCTGAGATGGTCACCTACCTGCCCATGCGGGGCATTACCGTGCCGTACTTTGTCAACCGCTTCGTCGACCCTTCGCTTGCCTTCGCCGCCGGATGGAACTACTGGTATGCCTACGCCATGCTCGTCGGCGCCGAGGCTGTCGCTGCCGGGCTCATCATCGACTACTGGCAGCCGCCCGTGCACATTGCCGTATGGATCACCATTGTCCTGGTCGTCATGCTGGGACTCAACATGTTTGCGGTAGGCCTCTTTGGTGAAGCCGAGTTCTGGTTCGCTAGCATCAAGTTCATCACCATTATGGGCTTGATCATCGTCGGCTGGGTCATCTTCTTTGGCGGTGCGCCGGACCAGACAAAGGTCCGCGCCTTCACCTACTACGACGATCCAGGCGCATTCAATCCATACCAGACCGGAGGCAGCGCAGGCAACTTCCTCGCCTACTGGCATGCCTTTGCCTCCGCCGGCTTCGCCTTCATCACCTCCCCCGAGCTCATCGCCACGGCTGCTGGCGAGACCGTCGCCCCTCGACGCAACATCCCCAAGGCTGCTCGTCGCTTCATCTGGCGTCTCGCCGTTTTCTACGGCCTCGGATCCTTCCTCATCGGTATTATGGTGCCCTTCAACCACCCACAGCTGCTGGGCAACTCCGCCGACGCGCAGAGCAATGCCAGCGCCTCGCCTTTCGTCTTGGGTATCCAGGGTGTCGGCATTCCCGTCTTGAACCACATCATCAATGCCGCTATCCTCACCTCGGCCTGGTCGGCCGGCAACTCCTTCCTGTACTCAGGTTCGCGTGTCCTCTACTCCCTCGCCCTCAAGGGCCAGGCGCCCAAGTTCTTCAAGACCACCAACCGCCACGGCGTGCCTTACCTTGCTGTTCTGGCCACCTGGTGCATCGGTCTCCTCGCGTACCTCAACGTCTCGAGCTCGGGTGCCACCGTCTTCAACTGGTTCATGAACATCTCCACCATTTCCGGCTACATCGCCTGGATTGTCGTCCTCATCACCTACCTCCGCTTTCGCAAGGCCATGCGTCTCCAGGGCATGTGGGAGCAGCTGCCGTTCAAGACGCCCGGCCAGCCCTACCTGGCCTGCTTCGTCCTCTTCCTCATCTGCCTGCTCACGCTCACAAACGGGTTCCAGATTCTCATCCCCCGCAACTGGGACGTGCAGAACTTCCTGGCGGCCTACATCACCATTCCCATCTTCCTGGTGCTATACTTTGGACACAAGGCGTGGACCCGCACGCCGTTCTTCATTCCTGCAAGCGAAATCGACTGTATCTCGGGCAAGAGGGAGATGGACGAGATGGCCGCGACCGACATTGCGCCCGTCGCGAAGAACTGGCTGCAGAGGGTCTGGTACTGGATTGCCTAAGGTGGACGGCAAGGATGAATAGTGCTCGCTCGAAACATACTTTACATGCGAATCAGATACCCAAAAATTGTACTTTGAAGCACTTCCGAACACTTCTTGTTGTGCCGCGCGAATGATGAACATGAACGCTTATCGAACTGCCGTGGTAGCCTTGAGTGGTTGTCTGTCTAAGCATTGAGAGCTTGTGAATAACATCATGTCACTCTGTACGGAATGCGCCCAATCACTGGAATTTGCTCCCGGCGCTACACGCTGCTCGACACGTTTTCACCCAGAGGTACTGGCTCGCGGCGGACTAAAATGACGTAGCATCATCGGCGCGACTACTTGCTACTGCCGCGTGATTGTGTGCTGATCACGGCTGTACGTTAGTGGCTGTCGAACAGCCTTCGGTCAGGGGAGGCTCAAGCCAGGCCGGCTGGCCATGGCCTGCTTCGCGGTCGCATGTAGCACATCGTGTTTCACTACCTGAAAAGCAACAGAGCGTGAGATGCATAAACGAGGTAACCGTCTGGTATTAGTTGGGTATGGTGAATATCCATTGACTATGTTCCGGGTCTTCGCCTAGGGAGTATGTGGGTGACCCAACGCGCACGTGCATGAGCACCGGCCAATGCATCCTTCCTTCCTTCCCCAGAATTGACGGGACTTGACAATGGAAAATTCGATGAGGAAAGTCAAGCCACCAGTATGGAGGGGCCGTTTTCCCGTCGCACCTGCTGTTAGTGTCACAGAAGGGAAGAAAAAAAAAATCAAATCATTTCATTAAATTGCTCCTGCATCTCGTGACGCAGGAACAATCTGCACTAAATCTGCCGCCACCCAATCAGACAGTGTCGCATCCTCCCAGCTGAAATTGTGCAGACCTTAAGAGCGCTTCGGGCTGCAGGATGACCTTCCTTTCACGGATCTTGACTCCACGAGCTACTTAATTAGACGGCCGCGTCTTGGCCTCATTTCGTCGAGTCGGCTCGTCTCTGCGGCGGTTTCTCCCACGAGACGCTGTGTTCGCTCGATGCGCGCGCACACGGAGCAGGTCGCAAAATTCAAGACCCCTCCCTTACGTTGGAGAACGCGCGCGTCGCATCGCCGCCGGGGGCTGGCCGCGCAAGAATACAAAGTGCCACGCGACTGGATCTGGGTTGAAGGGGGAGGGGCCCGAGGGGAGAGGACCGCCAAGACGGGAGACTGATCTATTAGGTATCCCACCGCAATTTTGAGACGCAGGCGGCGGGCAGGCTTGTTGCTTTGTCGCTGAAAGACCCGGACGCCATATAAGGGCGAGAGACACACAGGCGGATAGTACATAAATGTGTGCTCACCAAGGCCAAATGAGTGCTCAGTAACGACAAAGTCAGACAGAGCTCATTATTATGTTTCCCTACAAGTAGCGCGACATATCGCCCGTAACGACACAGAATACGGATACGCGCACTTCTGGAGTAATTACCGAGACAAGCATGCGTGGATCCCCCAGAGTTTAACCTCCACCAACGGAATGTGGGAATTCAATGCCAATGTAGCGAGACACCTGAACCTGTAAAGACAGGCGACGCTCTGCTTGTCACTTGGACAACCAGTGACAACCATGCTCGCCTGAAGCTGCGTAGGGCAGGGATCGCGACGAATAGGGTTCAGTATGCATGAGCCAAGTGGCCACTAAGAATCATGAGTGGACAGAAGGGGAAGTGAATCAGAGGCTGCCCGCCCAGCCGCCAGCGCAGAGTCATCCGCCAGCTCAGTCAGTCAATCTTGGCCGTCTGGCTGGGCAGCCCACCGCACCGGCCCACGACACTCAAGAGGTTGCGACTCGTCCTCCTCGCGTTTCACACCCCTTCTCCCTTTTCACCTCGCACGTCCATTGTGATACCAGACTTCGTTGGCAAAGTCTCAAAGTGCTCTGCTACTTGACCGCTAGCGGCCCCTCTGCTTTCTCTCACTCTCTCTTACAAGCGCTCACTCACACTCACTCATTCTCGGATATCGATTATCCCTCACTTTCGTTGCCTTTCAGGAACCATACCAAAGACCGAGTCAAGATGCAGTTCTCCAACCTGTTGCTGGCCATCCTGCCAGCTCTGGCTCTTGCCGACGAAGGTGCTAGCACCTCGACCTACACCGCGACTACCACCCTCACCAAGACTCTGACGCTCTCGTCCGCGCACACCGTCACCTCATCCGTCGCGGTGAACAGCACTACGCCCATCTCCACGCCCACTTCCTCCTACACGATGGTGTCTTCGTCCGATCTCACCAGCCTTCCCGTGGAGACGAGCACGAGCTCTCCCGAGGAACCATCCACTGTGCCTGACGATGATTCTGGCGCTGTCGGCGCCGTGTCCGCCGGCAAGGTCGTCCTGGCTGGTGTCCTGGGCATGGTTGTTGTTGGCATGATGTAAAGCTGCCACCGCTTTGCAGTTGGCATTGGGGGGGGGGGGGGGGGCGTGGCTCGACCTAAGGGTCGACGGCGATTTTTACTTGTTCTTTCTTGGCGCACGATAACGACGGCAACGACAACAGACGACATTTGACGATCTCGCAAAGGGAGCCGGCTGTTGAACGATACACTACGACGATATCGAGATTACAATACCTTCTGTGGGGCTGCATACACGTAGCCGACAACGTTACGCCCCGCGTAATGTCTTGTCTTATTCAACCTTCCAGCTTGAGATCAGCACGAGTGTAGACGGACTGCCAGCTCGCCAAACGACCTGTTCTTTTCATCTTCAACATACTTAGCATACACACATCCTTCACGGCTCTTAGGGCGTCTTTTAGGGTTTCATCTTTGGCGCAGCTGCGGTCCCGTCTTGGAGATGCGCACCATCCTCTCGGGCTTTGACTGGTTCTTTATAGCTTTTTGGATAAAAACCTCCTCTTTCATTTGACCAGTGGAAGACCAGGAGGCGGGGACGATGTCTTCTTCGATTCATGTTGATTCTACTTATTTCCTCTTCACTTCATACGATACCCCTTTTTGGCTCACGGAGAGAGTCCGGATTACCCTGCCGTTCGACTCTCCCAACCAGCGGGGGGCGGGTTGACCGGCAGGTTCGCCAGCGCCCGTTTGCGGATGCGGCGCTTGCATTCAGTGTGCGATATGTTTTCATGATGGGCTTTCAGAGCGCTGGAGCTGGCCTGGGTAGATACTTGCGCGAGTAATCCAGTACACATGCTTGCCATCTCGTTGAATGCCCCCCGGGTGATGTCGTGTTATCATCAATTACAAGCTTGGTGATACATTTGTACAGTTTTCGCATGTGCCACATGCTGTAATATGAGAAGCCATTGTCTATGAATCTCGAAATCCTGGAAAAGGCGCCCGCTATGCTCGATGTGTCGGTAAGGTTCCGACTGCTTTACTCCATCCGCTGGGTTTCCATGCGCTTCTCAAATTGGCTCCACACATAGTCTGGTGAATAGAAGAACCCTCTGCGACTCTTGATCGAGTACACGCCTTCGTCTTCGTTCAGTCGCACTCGTTGTCTGCGGCAGAGTTCATCCAGGGACGGCAGATGCCAGTTTTTCGGTATCGGCCGGTTTTGGCCTTGCAGTCGGAGGGAGTGTACGCGCTGCCATGCTTTGATGGGTATGCAGATGGCATGTTCGTTGAAGAAATCTGTGATTTTATCCTCGAGCTCTGGTCAAGGGGTCAGCCGAGGGAGGCTCTCGCCATCCGGGTGATGCTTACCTCCCAGTGTCATGGGCACAGCAGGCTGCAAAGAGAAATGGCCCCAGTGGAATCCGCCACGGACCAGCCATAGACCTTTTGGCACCGGCGTTCCTGCGTCGTCAGCATTGCGTCTCGTGTGATGAGAAACTGGGCCCACGCGACGTACCTTCATCAATTTTGTAAACTAGGCCTGGGGGCTTTCGTTTGTACCCATGAAGCATCATCCTCTGGAAATGCAAGTCATCCATGAACATGCTCATCCCGTTTGGCACTGTCGACGATCAGTTGTGGACTTTTACCATGCTCGATACGCGCAGGTTCAACCCACCATTCTTCTCCTCCCAAATCTCCCGTCGCCCCTTAAAGTCTTTCGGAAAGACTCTGAGCGCGCCAATATCAAGGTCTTTCGCTAATCGGTCCCATTTTTGAGTCTTGGCCTTCCATTGTTCGAGCTGTTGCTCATAGCTTTCGGTGGCACTCGGCTCGGTCTCAACGGCTTGGATCTGTGCTGTGACCCTCTCAGCCTCCGACATTGGAATCTCCTCCTTGACCTCAGGCTTTTCGATCCATCCCTCTGGAAGCTCTGTCCTAATGTCATAACCGCCCTGCCATTCTGGTTGCTCTGGCCTGCGAGGCCGCAGGATCATGCGCGCCCTGGGATGGTGATCGTACGCCGGGCGGTACGCCGTACGAGGAAACTGATGGAAGATCTTTGAACGTATTTGATGCGTTGGTAGTCGGATCGATGACGGCGGCATGGTTGTGCGGGATGTGGTGACTTTCATGTGTGCATCGTCAATGTCGAAACTCATCAGGTGAGGATGATTATGATGATGATGATGAGACTGAGCCAATCACGTGCCGATGTGGATCACACGCGACGGGTCCATGCCCGAGGGCAAAAGTCGTTTCTGCTAACCCTGAACCTACCCCGCGACAGGATATTCCAACTTCGGTGGCGTCCAACAATTCTTCGTCACTTCCACACCAAAACAATACCAGTTGTTTCGGCACTTGCGATTACACTGCAACAACAACAACCGACCAACCACCCAGGGTCTTTTTTGATCTCAGATTCGTAGATAGCCAACTGGATTGATGGCAATAAGCTTGCGCTGCTAGTTGGACGTCTCTGCATTTCGAAAGTTTGGTGCACATTGCTGGTCAATGGTCGACGTGCGGCCCACTCAGTTTCACCTGTTTCCGAACCAACATTAAACACAGGAAGATATACTCCCGATGAGAATTTACTATCCCATGAGAAACAAGTACATGGTCTCCTTTTCTTTCTAGCGTGCCCCAGCAGAGTAGTGGTATCTCAAGGCCGGGTCTTGAAGGTCTTGAACTCGCGTGGCTTACTGTACAAAGCCTCCGTAACCGCAAAGTAAGTGTTGTGGCAATCCTTAGTCATGACATTCTATCATCGGTCAGTTCCACTCCATTCCAACGTCTCCGGTCAGGGAGTTGGGGGTGCACGAACCGCCTTCATCCAGTAAATATCCTTATTCCAGGTTTACACCAAGCGGATCTCTCCAGGGTTCTCGATGGATTGATAAAATTCGACGAAGGTGCACTTCTCCTCCTCGTTGATTACCCGGTCGTACAAGAGCTTCAGAGCTTCAAGAAACTTGGGAACATTCTCAGGCTCGATAAATACGGTAACGTGAAGGCTGCAACCGTCGTCCGAAGACATGGTGCAAGGCAGGGGCCTTGTTGGATGAGATGAGGATTCTTCGTCCTCCTGGAGAGATGTGCGAATACTTGAGAATGGGGTTGCTTACTCGGCACCTTGAAAAAGACCCGTGCTTCACGCACACACACACACACACACACACACATGTCCCCGGACGTCGTATGCTCGCTCGTCTTGCTTCGTCCTAGAGCTAGTCTCCTCACCGCCACATGGTTATGAAAGCGCCGTCAGGATCATTCAATGGAACGAAAAAGCAGTCATTTGAAGGTTTTCAGCTGAAGATGAAGCATTTCTAGAACTTATGTGATGTGGTCGCCGACAAACTCTCTTGATGGGGCTTTCCTTCGACACTGTGAGGGAGGATCGGCCCTCCAGGGGCCATGACTCCAAAACAAAGAGTGGTGCCAAGCACAGAAAACTCCTAGAAAGAAGACACCGCTGAATCCTGCGGTGGCGAGTTGCATGCGTCGTAGAGAAGTAAATTGATTTGCAAAATTGACTTGTAACTGGCTAGCGGTATATGAGTTCGATTCGGCAGTCCGAGCAATACCCGACATGTTGGCTGGGGTTAGCACTTGGCAGTTGATAGATACCCGCTCAGGGGATTCAGATCTCTGATGGAGGTAAATATGTGAATGGGTGGCGTGTGGCTTACGATGCAGCATGCAGACTTCATGTACGTTTCTAGAGTACCCCTGCTCTTTATGGAAACAGCAGGCAAACAAGAACTACTGATACTCTTCGCCGCTAGCCGTACATGATGATGTTTGAGTTACAGTCACGATGACGGTGCTCGTGGACATTCGCGTTGTCCAGTATGATGCTGGTTTCATATGGGGATCCCATGCTGTCGTCTGGGCGGCCCAGAAACATCCGATCAGCATCCGAGTAATTCGGAAGATTTACATTGTTCACTAAGCGCCGGTCGAATGGTCTAATGACCATGCCATCAAGCAATGTTGAACTACACGCTGTGATTTCACAGCATACTTGCTCTGCTGGGGGATAGATAGCCTACTCTTCCTGAAGGAGTGACACGAGCAGGTTCGCCCATGCCTCCAAAACGCTTGTCACAAATTCCTTTGTGTAGTGCTTGTAGCTGAATGAAATTTCCAGAGTCAATTGGTCCTTCCATGAGTGTGATCGACAAGACCTGTTTCTCAGCTGTCAGTGGTGTGCTTCTAGTTGCGATGGTTCGGTTTCTCACAGTTTCGGGGTGCTCTCATCCGTCACGAGTTGGTACTCCTCCAATTTGAAGGTCCGGTGACCGTCCTGTTGGTATGTGCCATCTAGCTGATTACTGCCGGATGGATCGGACACATAGTTCAAACTCAAGCCAAGCTTGGAAGGCTCCTTGTTGACTTCTGCCCTTTCAGGAGTTAGCAAGGTTCTTAATGTCAAAAATATGAGACTCACATGGCCATTTGCAGAATAAACCCTGTGGCTTGCCGGCGCATCTCGGCTCCAGCAGCGACGTCTTTTCGTTCGGCCAATGACGCCCAGTTCTGTTGAATCTGCTTGGCAGCGCTCCAAAGAGACTCCTTGTCAGGACCATCCGCTTTGAACTGGGTCACTGGCAACTTCATCATCTCCATGCCAACCGCAGCGCCCACGAACTGGTTGCGCTCAGACCATGGCTTCTGCAGATTCCGGGCTCGAAGATCGTAACCCGATATCACTGTCAATGCGTCCTCTTCACAAGGCTGCGCCTTGCTGTACACGGTCTGGAGAAGAGCTGCCTGCAAAATCCCAGTGAGCTTGACGCCGTGCTTCCGGGCAACATCTCTCAGACTCTGGAGGAAGTTGTCCTTCTCGAACGTATGCATGACAACGCCAGTTCTATGTCGCGAAGTGGCGTTTCCACTCAGGGGAGGCAGAGGAATCTGTGAATCAGACGCTGTTCAAGAAATTTTCAAGAGCTGTTTATGCAACGTACCTCTTTGGGCATTTTCTCCAACTGCTCTACCACCTCATCAGAGAGAATGGCTGCGTCTAGCGCCGAAGGAGCCAGGCGCTGGATCTCTTCACCCCAATTGTACGACTCGTAGGTGGTGGGCTTGGCCAGATTGTGCAATATCGAATTGAGTAATGTCCGCAGCCCAGCTCCATCTACCAGCGTATGATGCACGTGAAGGAGCAAGTCGAAGCTGACGATGTTGCCACTGGCCACCTCGTCAGGATGTACGATCAGGTAAAGCAAGGCAGAGTCGCCTGTTGCTGTGGGCAAGACAACATCGCAACTCAGTTTCTCGTGCTGGCCAATCCAACCTTCAGAGCTCTGGACGAGATGGACCGTTCTTTCGAGCCATCGTGAGACTTGATTGGCGTCCTCGACGGGGTAGACTAGCTCCTTGCTGTTGTGGACCTGCGCTGACACGGTAGGATGGTACCATCGCGTAGCAGCGAATGCTTGTTGGACACTGAGCTTCAGCTCATCGGCAGTAGTGCAAGTCTCATTCAGATGTTCGACTGAAATTTTGGCACCCAAGTATGGACAATTGTGGCCTTGCGCATGCTCGTTGAGCATTGCAAGGACGAGCTCACCCGTGGCCAAGGGGCGTGAAACAACAACGGATCCATGGATGGGTTCGGACTTGGTCCATGGATGGAAGACCGGTCGGGTAGCCATGTTCAACTCGAATTACTGCCAAGAATTGTTGATATGTTTCTTTACAAGCGGGGATCTGAGTCTCTTGCCCATGAGAATATGAAATTTGGAATGTCGTCGCCATTTTGGTCTTGCTTCACACGAACATGGTCCATGAAAGGACTGAAAATTCGCCGAGCTAAATGTGTGAATCGGGTCGTTGATACGCCTAATAATCCACCGAACATGATAATCTATCGTATCCACAGTGGTCCGGGACAAGGGACTCATAAAGTACATCGGTATCCACAGTCCGGCCTAAGAAGGCGATATCTATCAAACGCGTTGGAAAACAATGCATGTGGTCAACCAACGAGTATCGATTACACCCCTGAAGCATGAACAGTGTCGGAACCAGCCGGCTCGGCCCAGGCGATTGGTCGCAAATTACACACGGATACTGATCCGTAGTTCGGCGTTATCTATCTGCATTCTGCATTCTGCAGCCAAGCCTTCAGCAGCCAAGCCTTCAGCCCGAGATGTTGTAAGCAGTATCTCGTGTACGTAGTATCAAGTCAAAACGTGCGCACGCGGAGCCAACCTCCAAGACGACAGTGCCGCTTTGCCGAGAACTGTGCCTGTGGGCATATGACTATATCAACCCGTTGACCCAATCTGTGATTGTGAGTTGCAACCTTCCGTCCACTACTCTCAGCATGTTTGTGACGTTGCCCAGCCAAGGGCTTTCGCAACGTCCGTGGGTCTTCCCAGCACTTGTTTTGGTTCTCGTTCTTGTACTGCGTCGTTTGGTACTCAGTTCCTCCTACCGCCGGAAAGCCCACTCGAACGGATGCTGTCCACCCCCATCCAGTCCTGATCCAACTGGTAGTCTGGGACTCGTTCAGATCCGCAAGATCATACAAGCCAAGAAACAAAGGCGACTGCCTGATGTCTTCTCTTCTGTCTTCGACGACGCCGGTCAAGGCGTGCACACAGTCGCTCATCACGTCCTTGGCAAGAAATCATTCTGGACAAGGGACCCAGAGAACGTGAAGACCATTCTCTCCGCCAAGTTTTCCGACTGGCAGCTTCCCGCGGCTCGGGTGACTGCCTTCAAACAGTGCTGGGGTGGTGGCATCTTTGGCGCTGATGGCCACCAGTGGAAACACTCCCGTGCTTTGCTCCGTCCAGCGTTTGGACGCAGCCAGATTCAGGATATTGAGCTGATCGAACATCACTTTGTCAATCTTGTCAAGCGAATTCCCGAGAACGAGGTCTTTGACTTGACAGACTTATTTCCCATGTTTACCATGGATATCGTGACAGATATGCTCTTTGGGGAGACAACAGGCTGCCTCGACCCGTCCAAGGCGGAAGAAGGCCAGAAGTTCGCTTCCTGCTTCAACTACATTATGCAGAGAATGTCGCTTCGGCTCTCTGCGCCACTGCTCGCCATGCTGCCCGACTTCAAGCTGCAAAAGGCCGTCAAATTTGTCTACGAGTTTGCCGATTACTTCATCAACGAGGCACTTAAGCGCCGAGCTGGCGGCGGGAAGGACATGGATCAGGAGTCGCATCTTGGCAAGAGGAAGCACTGTTTTCTCGACGAGATTGCCACCGACGGAGAGACTTCCGAGGCACTCCGTGGTGAGATGCTGAGCACAATGGTTGCAGGTCGCGACACAACTGCCTCCCTCCTCGGCATCCTGTGGTGGCACCTCCCTCGCAGACCCGACATTCTCAGCAGGCTGCGCGAGGAGGTTGCATCTCTTGGCGGAAACGCCCCTGATGCGAGATCAATGAAGGACCTGAAATACTTGGAAAAGGTTGTCAATGAAGGTGCGTGTGGTTCCAGCGGTCTCTCTCGAGCTCAAGCGACAACAAGTGGCTAACTCGAGGACAGTCCTACGCCTTTACCCTATCAATCCGATCAACTCAAGGACTGCCCGTGTCGATACAATACTCCCTCAGGGCGGGGGTGAAGATGGCATGTCACCTATCTTCGTTGCCAAGGGTGAGACTGTTGTATTCAGCTCCTTGGCAATGCACAGGAGAAGGGACATCTTTGGCGAAGATGCCGGCATCCTCAACCCAGATAGGTGGGACACAAAGAGACCTTCGACGTAGGTCCCCATACTCACTTTCACGCTGTTGCCGCAGTGCTAACACACCATAGCTGGGAATACATACCCTTCGGTGGCGGTCCACGAATGTGTCTCGGTCAGCAACTTGCGCTGCTCGAAGTGGCGTACACGACTGCTCGGTTGGTGCAGACATTTTCCGGCATTGAGCCTATCGGTGGCGATGTGTTTGTAGAACAGTTTGCGATGGCTTTGACAAGCGGAGATGGGTGCAAAGTCCGCCTCAGCAGGGCATAGGCAGTCTGTTCACCGAGGGCTGTGGAAGGCACCACACAGCAGCGTTGGGTTCTCTGGCATCTTTGTGTCCCATTTCTAGCGGTTTCTTGCCGCGGAGGAATCAGGGCCCAATCACGGAAGCAGCCTTGGATTGAATCGTACCTTAACATTGGTATTCATGAACTCGAACTTGCATCAAGTGCCTTCCTATACGTTATGAAGCTTTCGGCTGTTGTTTTGTCCCATTTGTGTAGGGCCAGCCAGGTAAATCGGGGCACTCCGTTCCCTCGGCCTGGGGTTTTCGGTCGACCGTCGCACGTTGAAACACACCTGATCGCCTTGGTGTAGTCGAGTGACATTTGAAGCATCCATTATGCCCCCCGCGGCTTCTTTTCGCTCGAAATTGTTAGTTGTGCTGTTCGGAATCCCGGGCCTTCGGAAGCCCCTCCAGCCAACGCAGAACCCTTCCGACCAGCCCTGTGGCCAACTCGACAGCAGAGGAAACCCATACGCTTCCCATGATCCAGAACAGGTGTTCAAAGGCTCCCCGCCAAGAGGCCGTGAAGATGCAGAATGCAATTGCACTCAGCAATCCCAACATCGCCGATATGAAGACGGCAGAGCAGCTGGCACGGGGGTTGACACGGTCAACCAACGCAAGGGCGAGGGTGAGCGTAACTAAATAAATGCATGGTGGAAAGAGCAATAACGGCACGTCATAGTCGGTCAGCTCAGCGGGTTCCTCGCCATGCGATTTCTTGTAAGCCATGGCGCCGACGATGACCCAGCAACCGAATGCCACAACGAGGGCGCAAACCATCTCGCGGACGCCAGGCCCATCAGAAGACATTCTGGTATCAGGGAAGTGGTGACTCAGCAGTTTGTGAAGCGGGAGTCCTGATAAGATGAAGAATCTGGGCTCTGTGACTGATCCCTGAATGTCGGTTATTGCAGTGATTGTGAGATCTGTACTGTTTTCGTAGTTTAGATGTGTCGTGTCACGGTAAGAAGAGAGAAGTTGCCCAACAAGCAGACGTGCAGAGGATGCACGTACATTACATGAATAGTTCAAGGCCGTTGAAGTTTATCTTGAGCAATTTGGTGTTGGTCACGCTATCACCCGGATGGTCGGTCCACGAGAGTTTTATTAGAAGGCGTGCCCCCTTTTCCGTCTGTGAAGCTTTGGTGGCCCAAACATGACGGGCAAAGGACTGTCTCCTCAGGCTTGTTCGTTCTCAAACAGCGCGGATGATCAGAACATGGTCGGGCCTATTGCCTGGCTGTTACGTGCCCTCACAGGGCGTTGGGTACGGTGATGATGTCTGGGGGGGTGAGACTGAGTCCGACTCCGACTGCCCGAGTGTCACGGGTAGGTGGTGCAGGGTAGTGTAGATTACCTATTTGGCCATGACGTTTGCTTACTCGTTGCACGTGACATGCACATAGTCACAGTGCCGGCCCGCATTGACCAATCACACGCCATTCGTTGAGATCATACGAGAACTGCACCACGGACGTCTCGAAAGCTCCAACCTCAGCAGTCGAACTGATCTTTGTACCTCCAACCACCACCACACCACCATCCAGACCGAAACCGACACAATGGCCTCCCGTATCGCCTCCCGTCGTTTCCTCTCGACGACCGCCCGTGCGTTCCAGGACCACTCCAAGCAGGAGCTCAAGAAGGACTCCAAGCGCAATCCCGAGACCCTTGTGCGTCATAATCACCACATGCCCTCCCCCGTCGGAGAGAGGCACCACGACCGAAGGAATGGAAGCTGATATCGGATGAATAGGTCCTCGGTGCTGTCATGGTCGCTGCTCTCGGCGGCGCTGGCTTCTACTTTGGTGCGTAGAACCGCATCCTGACGTTGCGGCAGATCCCTCGGCACGGAGGAGAGTGGGATGCTAACGACCAGCTCCAGGCCGCTCGCCTACGACTTCGACCTCCGAGACCCCCGTCTCCATCGCCAAGGGCGGCATGCCCTGGGAGGGCAACGGTACCGGCAAATACCAGTACCACCCCGGTGGTGATGCCACCCAGCCTCCCCGCGACGCGCCGTCCGCCCTCAACACCGTGGTTGTCCCCAACGTAACCCTGCCCAGGGAGTTGCACGACAAGTTCAACAAGTGGGGCAAGGACGGCTACCCCTAAGCTTGCGAACAAGGAAAATGAGGCTTCATACTGAAAGGCGAGAGAGAATAGGGAAATGTAAGGTAGACAGAGCAATTGTGGCGGGTTCGACAAGACATCATGTTTTCTAGACTCGTAAGGCTTGGGCATCAGGCGTCGAATTCTCAGAACTCTTCCATTTGTAACATCAAATATTGTCGGTTGCAGGGCGCCGAAGAATGGCTCCTTGAGGATGGTGACTACACAGGCTCAAGCCGTCTCTCTACGTGCCGTAGGGGTATCCGCCGCAGCCCATGATCTCCAGTCATGATTTGCAAAACGATGCCCTTCCCACCTAGGGGGGTTTGTTCCAGCAAAACTCCCCCCCCAGACGCCTACTTTCATTGCGTCAGTTGCTCAACCTCCTCGGCGGTCAACCCAAACAGATACAGCAAATCTACTAAGCTCTCCCCATTCAACCGCGCATCGGCCTCCATCTGGACACGTGGCTTGGCATTCCACGCTACACCTAGCCCGGCCTTGTCCAGCATGAAGAGGTCGTTGGCCCCGTCGCCTACGGCCACCACCTGGGACAGATCGATGCCCTCCTGCTCGGCAATCTGCACGAGGAGATCACGCTTGCGCTCCTTGCCCACGATTGTGCCTTGCACTTCGCCGGTGAGCTTGCCATCGACAATGACCACCTCGTTGGCATGGGCATGGTCGATGCCGAGCTCTCTCGCAAGCCAGCTGGTCAACGGGAGGAATCCGCCCGACAAGACGGCAGTCTTGATGCCCAGCCTCTTGAGAGCCTTGATCAGTTTCGGTACGCCGGGCGTGATGTTCAGGATCGATCGGAGATCTTCAAAAATGGTTGCCGGCAGTCCGGTCAAGAGGGCCACGCGCTCCCGGAATGACGCATCAAACTCCAGCTCGCCGGACATAGCGCGGTGGGTGATATCAGCCACCTTCTCTGCCAGATCAGGAGGGTCCTTGACAGTCGCCGCCAGAAGATCAATGACCTCTTGCGTGATCAGCGTGCTGTCCATGTCAAAGACCACCAGCCTCGGGTGCCTCCTCCACACGGACTCGCGCTGCAGGTTGACATCCACATTCCACTCCTGCTCGAAACGGTAGATCATCTCATGTTTCCGAAGGTCTTTCAGCGATAGATATTTCGGTGACGGCGCAGGGGAGAGAGTGAGCTCCACGACGCGGGGAGTCTCCTGATTGTCCAGGCAGCGGTGGGACGAGTACAGCTCATCTGAATCATCGGGCATAGGGAAATCCGACATCAAGTGCAGGAATGAGGTGATGCACAGCGGTGAAATGTACGAGCCGTAGATGTAATCCAGCTTTTCGCTTTCCTGCGTCGGAGGCTCGAGTGGAAAGGCGTCCATATCCGTCGTAGGCGCCATGTTCGCCGGGAGCGACTCATTGCTTTCCGACTTGACGCCCTTGAGCGAGGACCGCGAGCCCGCAGCACCAGCCGTGCTGCTTCTTTGCTTGTAGATGAGAGTCGCAATGAGACGATTGGTGTTTGTGCCGGTTGGAGGTGCACAGTTGGGATGCGTATACGAGTGTGTCACCCCAGAGTCGACCACGGTCGGCGGGTTGTCCTCCGAGGGAATACCGCGGAAAGGCAGGACGGGTTTCGGCGACCCAGAGGTATTCATGTCCTCGACCACAGTGTCTATCCCGTAATGCGTGTCTACTTGACGGGGTGGGCGGTACTGCTGGTGGTCATTGAGGTAGGAGCTGCTCCTCATGGAGCTGGACAATTGCGGCCGTGCAGCATCTTGTCTCGGCGAGGTCGCGTTATTTGCCATGATGGCTGCTGTAGGGAACGTATGGTCGGCGGAACGGAGGTGAAGAGGAGAAGAGACAGGTCAAACGGAAGCGGTCATTGACAGTGGTCTTCAGTGGGCATGCTGCTATGGCGCGCGCAATTAGAGAGGGCAAAGATGAGGCTGATGGCTACCGCATCAATCCTGAGCTAATCCTATTTCTTGGAGTGGGTGGTGAGTGACACGAGTTGACCCTGATTACCCCGCCAAGCAGACAATGACTGTGCCCAATCACAAAGAAGTCGCCGAGGGCATTGACAGCGCGCCTTGTTTCCAGCGAGTCGTGTCATTGGTTGACTTTCCGCGACTAACGCGGCGTTGCAGGGCGGCTCTTGCCTTGCCCTTGGTGACTCTCTACGGAGTACAGTAGAGTAAGGTACGCTACCTTAAGCAGTGACTGGCCAGCTGCTGACTTATCATGGTGTCACTGCACGTTTACCGAAGGTGAGTGAGGTTACGCCTCACAAAATGCATCTTGCGTGATCAGAAAGTTCCAAGATCGAAAGGCTAGAGTTGTCTAGACCTTATGCCAGTCTGGGTTTGAGGGCTTAAGCCGCGCATAACAGCCGAATGTTGGCGTAATTGGGGGGGCCTTGGGGCCCTGTCAAGGGGAGCACACGACACAGTCTTGACGTGACGATGCCTTGCGCCCGACTACGTAACTTCCCCAGGTTCACAACGATGACGCGCCTGGATCAGCGCTGATCAGTTGTAACAAGCTTTCAGAGGCCCGATCGCTCGCGTGCGTGGATTATTAACAAAAGATTATTGTTATGGCGAAGCACAAGGCACATGGAGGAAGTCGGTTGGCCCGACGCCCGAATGACATGACGGCCGACGACCCGCGAGTTCCAAACCGGAGACCCACCCATTTCAGACTGCAAAGACTGCACCCGGCTACCGCCGTGATGCTTGGCGATGGCAACATCTGTCACTCAAATCACGACTTTCCGAGAGACTGCCCGCTATCGAATTCTACCACGTAGAACAGTTTTAATAGTACTACGAGCAATTTCGCAATGATCGCCTTAGGACTGTGCGTGGAAACCTCAAGGGATTATTGAGGTCAAAGTGAGTATAGCAGCGGGAGTCAACGATGGTCTGCTCATCCAGTTCGACTCATGCGCTTTCGGCCGACGATGCATTCATTGTTGGTGTTGATACATCCCGTCCGAGATCCAGAAGGCCAACATAGAATTTCCACCCGCATCAAGACCTGTCCCCGGTCCGAGAGCCTCAGCTGACCAAGCAGCACATGTACGTAGCAGATACCTCTGTGCTTGCGGGTGGTGTAGGCAAAGACAAAAGTCATTCTGCTCGCCCCAGAGACTGGCCGACGCTCCGAGGGCCAATCAGCTCACACGCCCGACGGCCATCGCGACAGGCATAGCGTCGATGTCGTGATCGACTCCAGACAGAAACGTCCTCCTCCACCAGGAGAGCTTTTCCACGGCGGCGATTGCGCAATGCCGAGTCGTCCAGCGTGGAATCAGGCTCACAAAGCAGATCGATGGCTGCTGCTGCCCGGATGAGTCCAATATTCCGTAGTTGATCTGTAATTAGTAAAGGCTGTTGCAATCTTCCGTGTCGTAACAATACCTACCCCCTCTTGACCTGGACCAAAACTCTCCTCTCGGACATATTGATATACCCTGACATTCAACACACACCATCACTTCTTGCTTCTTTCCAGCATATACCATATACCACCGAGCCATCATCCACATCCCAATCTCGTCGATCAGTGTCACCATAGTTGAAGAACCCGCCGACGACCGCTCGTGCCTCGTTGGTGCCTCACGTCTGGCTCTCACAACCCGCAGACGACTCTTGCCTCAGCAATCAGTTCCTCGACACCTCACACGATGGCATCCATCAGCACATCGCGACAGTCGTCCATGACGGACGCCAAAGTCGACAACAGCGGTATCGACTCAGGATACACCTCTGGCCAGTCCGACTACTCGCCCTCATCATCGACGGCCAACCTGCCCCTCATGTCTCTCACCAAAGCACACATCTCGCATCTCAACGACCAGCTGGAGCACATGCACCCCATGGACATTCTCCGCTTCTGCAAGATCATGTTCCCCAACCTCTACCAGTCCACGGCCTTTGGTCTCACCGGCCTCGCCACCATGGACATGCTCTCCAAGATCCAGGAGGAGAACCCAGAGTCCCGCACCGTGGACCTCATCTTCCTCGATACGCTCTACCACTTCCAGGAGACGTACGACCTGATCGACAAGGTCAAGGCGCGGTACCCCAACGTGCCCGTGCACATCTTCAAGCCCGATGGCGTCAACACGGCACAGGAGCTCGAGAATACGTACGGCCCCGAGCTATACAACACCTCGTCGGAGCTCTACGACTGGATCGTCAAGGTCGAGCCGCTGCAGCGTGCTTACGACGAGCTCAAGGTCGCTGCCGTCCTCAACGGCCGTCGACGCTCTCAGGGTGCCGCCCGCGGATCGATCCCCATCATCGAGCTTGACGAGGAGCGCAACATTGTCAAGATCAACCCCATGGCTGCCTGGTCCTTCAACCAGGTCAACGACTACATCAAGGAGAACAACGTCCCCTACAACGCTCTCCTCGACCAGGGGTACAAAAGCGTCGGTGACTGGCACTCGACCGTGCCCGTTGCCGAGGGGGAGGATGAGCGTGCCGGACGCTGGAAGGGACAGCAGAAGACCGAGTGCGGCATTCACAACAAAAAGTCGAGATACGCGGCATTGGAGGGCAAGGTGGTCCAGCCGGTAGCCTAGTCTTCCTTTGCTGGGCGATCTTCTTCTTTGTGTCTTCTCATGATAGCATGATTGGCGGGCATTTGCGTTGGCGTTGGGGCTCTTGATTTCGAATTAAAATTGGTCGGATGGATGGAAGGAATATACCAGCAGTGCGGTGCTCACTGATTCGCAGCTGTAGACAGCGATGAGGATTTTGTAGACAAAAGAAGGATAGAATGATGATCAAACATACCGTCACTGACCATTTCCACTTGAACAATGCAGGAGTGAGATGAGTTTCGTCTGCCTCGCCGGAGCGTCATCGGTCTGGGGGTCACCAGGTGAACCTCCCCGTCCGCGTGATACCCCGCGTAAGGACATGAGAATAGCGTCTGATATCTCACTATCTTCTTCCACGCATTTTTGCCATTTCTGCTCGATGTGAGTCTAGCACCCTCCGGCAATTTCTCCGATCAGCCTCAAAACTTTCCCCAAGCATATCCAATCTGCAGCATAGGCCCGTGATGCAGGGTTTTCCTAGCCCTCCGACTGGCTTTGCAGTCAAAAAGTCCAAGATTTTGTCACAGTTGGCCGTCCCCGATGCCACATACACGGATTTATCGCCCAAGGGCTCAGTAGACGAGGGGATTAGACACCTCATCGCTGAGATCAATGCTGTCGAAGGACTTGTGACGACGAGCAGCTGCGCTGGGCGGGTGAGCGTATTTATTGAGGGGCGCAAGACTGCCGGGTCTGACGAAGGAGGTGATGCCCAACTCGCTGGCGTGGGCGGCAAAGGAGGAGGCGGCAACTGGTTATTCGTCTCGCACGATCCTGTGGAGGAGAATGATGCCTGGATCCGAAGGCTAGATCTCGCGGACGAAGCGGATGTGTCGGCTGGGTCGGCTGGAAGGCGGCTAATACACTTCAAATTTGAACCAATGGTGAGTTTGTTTGCATACATCATGCCCAGGATGGCATCGACTCATCCTACCTCGTGCAGATCCTACACGTTCTCGCGGCCTCGCCTAGTCATGCACAGCTTGTCCTAAGCTGCGCCCTTCAAGCTGGGCTCAGGGAATCCGGCGCCGTCAACCTGATAGCCTCTCGTGACGACCCCGTTATGCCCATGGTTGCCGTGCGGTCCATGGGCCTCACCCTCGAATCACTCATCGGACAGCAGGTGGGTGAGAAACGACAACAGCTAGTGTCTGTGCAGCACTTGCGGACGCTCATGAGCGTCGCGAACGAGCGTTTCGTTGAGAACACCAAGCGCATCGCTCGCTTCCAGCATGCATTGAATGCTACAAAGCAGCCACCGCCTTTGAAAAAGAATGCAGAAGGGCAAGTATGGGAAGACGCCGCCGCCAGACGTGAGCGTAAACGTGCCGAAGGACTCCGTCGCAAAGCCAAGATGCAGAAAGATAAGCCTTCTCCCATGGAAGACACACACGAGCCCGTCGCAACAGACTCATTACCTCTTTGAATTCGCGCTCTCTTCATGGTCTATGCTCTTTTGCCAATGCCGTAATGTACAACATATGTCATCCTTCTATACCCGTCTCCAGATCCAGTCATACCAAATATGCCGCCTTTTACGACGTCACCTTGTTCACCCACTCTTGTTCCAGCTTCTTGACCTCGGTCTTGAATTTTTCCACCTCGGCCCAGCAGTCCAGTGGTCGGCGGTCGTTCTCAGTCAGGCACCGCACTAGCTCCCCCCGTGCGCCGTCCACGCTGTCGGGTAGAGGGCGTACCTGCTTCCGTTCCTCCAGGAGATGGCGCAGGTTTTCGATTTGCTTGTTCACAGCCGGTGTGGACTTGCTGGAGTCGGCCTTCTTGTCCTCGGCGGACGCAATGCCCTCGTGTGCGCTGCGCAGAGCATCTGATTGTTGTGAGAGGTGCTTCTGGAGCTCGGCGGCGACGCGAGCCTGGATTTGAGCCTCCGCGAGGCGGGATCGAGAAGCATCAGTCTTTCTCCTGTTAGCGACGTCACTACCAATTCAAAGAATGCATCTTTCGCACCTCATGGTTTGATTGCAGCGAATCGACCAGGTCCTGTGACACCGAACTCGGCCCAGAGCTGTCAAGCGTCAGTGATTGTCCTGCATCGAGTGCATTGGGTCGGATAATGCGTACGCCTTGAACACATGTGCCGGAGACGGCTTTGACTCGTTGGCGCCCATGATGTTGAGACTCAATGGCTGTGGCTGAGGAGCTTGCCGGTTCGCAATGATGCAACGCGCGATGCGACTTTTCCCGTTGGACGTTGACGCCTTGCCGATGCTGCTTAGTAAGGTAGCATGTCCCCGTTGTGGTCCCTGGCTACCCTAGGCCGCTCATCAATTTGTTCTTCTCGGCGGATCCTGCTCTTTCAAACAAGTTTCCATGACCGTCATGTCGCTTGAAATTTATCGCACAGCGGTTCTGGCTCATACCACACCACGGCGTAGGTGCTCAAGCTACGTCATCTGCAATTAACCATTTTAAAGGCAGGTAATCTTGTTGATGAGGCTACGCCAGATGATCAACAAGCCTCACCAAAGGGGTTTCCTAACGAGGAATCATCATGGAAACCTGCTTCCTCATATCTTTGCCTGATATTTCTGTCTGTTGTAAATACTCCATTGGTCAACACGCCAGAAGATTCACGTATGCGCGGACGGGAGGCTCCGGTGCGCTCCAAACCGTCACATAGAGGCCCCCTTTCCAGGGCTTTCGGGTTGACGATGGTGCTCGCATTGGTCAACCATGGAAATCACATATACTACAACATCTATGCGGGGCCAGTGAGTTAATCGTTATTGTTCTTCGCCGTGTCCTTCAACAAGATCCAGCCAGAGGTGCATGGCTCCTTGTCCGCCGCAGAGAGCCCGGGATAGATCAAAGGCGAACATGGGGTTATCGTAGGTGTGCCCAAGACGGCGACTCCGCACTATCACTCGACCACTCACGAATGATGCACATTTTGAGAGGTACTGGGACATATCGCCTCGGAAGGTCGCCTCTGGATGAGAGCACGAGCGTCGAGCTGTCCGTGGCAGCAGGCGGAGTCTTTGCTTTTCCGGTATGCAGATCACAGCAGTAGCTAATGGTCATTCACCACTCACACAATCAACGGTCGCACATGGAGTGCTACGCACGCAAGGAGATTGCAAAGCCATCAGGCACTTCGCCTTGGTTGGGCCACTAAGACTCGTTCCTGCGCAGCATGTTGAAGTAGCTCTCAGAGCGGCTACAATCACAAAAAGGAGCAATACGGTATGAACTTTGCAAAGCACAACATTGAAGAGACCAAGAGGATGTATGAAGCCTGCAAGCTGGTTGGCACTCGCTTGTTGGCACTCCAACCACGATCCATTACACCGTATCGACAGACTAGATCGAGGACCACCTCGTGGGAGAGGTGAACTGTACGAATCCATGTTGATACTACTCGGTTTGTTCCGGCAAATCTTGGATAATGATGTGTCGAAACAGTAAACATGCCCAGACCGTAGGTAATAAGAAGATGCTTAAGGTACAGGCATGACACGTGCCAGGGTATTGGGATAATATGGGATAATATGGGATGAACACACCACTTGATTACCCAGCAGAGCACTTCATAACACTACGTCGTCCTACGTACGGATCCGTATCATGTGCTTCGAATCGGCTGATTGTCAGGCACTCATTTCCACCTTGGTAGCACGCCGCCGTTGATAAGAGTCTCACCTGTCAATGGAGCCATTGCAATCATCCCATCATGCAGCGTTGTGGCATCATTTCCTTGGCTGTCACGTAGAAATTGCGAACACTTGGCATCTGACGGGCGAACCGCTAGGTTCAGAAAGGTAAGTGAGTCCATTCTGTCTTCCACGAGCCGAGACCCCATGAATAGAGTTTTTATCCTTGTAGATGGCCGGGATGTACTACGCGGATGCACGGCCAAGGCTCTGTCGCTCATCAATCTGCGACAGGCTAGTTAAGCTAGACCTTACTGGGTGGATGGAACAGCCACAGAGCATGGGATGAACAATCTTGTGAGGGGCAATCAATATACTGTCGCCTGAGGCAATACGGTGGTGACAAAGAACCACTTGCCGCTGCCATCCTCGCTTGAGCTTGGGTCACGGCAGGGGGCTCGCTGGGTGAACGAAGCCAAAGGGCCATCAAGTCTGGGCCAAGGATGGCAGAACCATGACGCCGAGGTACGTCGATTGTCCAGCCGATATGTCTTAGGAGCGAGATTGAGACCCGCCCATGATGATAGTACAAGATGGCGGAAGATGCCGAACGAAGAGTAGCAGCGCTAGAACATTGACAGGCTGACAGCTTGTTTGCCGGGAGGGGCCGCCCTGGTACGTATACGAAGGTCGTCTGGCGATTCATTCAGCTCACGCTCCTCAGAAGAAGTTTCGTGGTGATGGGATACGCGGGGCGATGATTGGTGAGGAAGCGTTTGTTCAGGGCCGAGAGCTGCACCTTGGTGGTGCGCCGAGAGCTTGGTTTCAGGCGCAAACTAGGCCAATGACAGGGCGTGCCGCTCCTGCCTACACCGGAATCTGAAGCTAGGGCCCCAGTCGGCCTGCCCTCGTAGCGATGAGGTGGGGTCGATCTGGAAAAGCAGGCTAAGCAGCTAGCCTGTGAGATTCGAGGACAGGGCCGACAGGCTCGCACGTGCTGCTGGGCGTTTCGCTCGAGGCTAGTGGATAGAAACGAGAGGAAACACTTTGTTCCCGCGATGTTACATTGTCAGAGATGGTTATGAACGACTGCTCAATGCGTCGCGCATTTATCCCACTGGAGCGCGTTCATGCTGAACGGACACGCGAGCAGTACGTGGTCGTTGACGGGTAAAATGCCAGTAGCACATCGTGGCGTTCCTAATTCCAGATCATGGCTTGTACGCTTAGCTGGCGTCTCCACCAGTAGTCCAGGGGTCGCCAGCCACTGAATGCAATGCAGGTCGGATGCTGGCCCTGCTGGCGATAACAGCATCGAAACGAGTGGACGTTGTCGAGCTCTGTCCGTATTGCTAATAGTACTCGTTGCTCCAGATGATACTGTGTTCTTGTGTTCTTCTGCCATCGTTGCCCGGCATCACGGCAAGGCAATTCCCCATTCACATTGAGATGTACCAGGTATGGACGTGATATGTGACCACACTGCGGTGAACGTACCAAGCAAGCTGCTGCCAGCGACGACCTGGAAAACCCCATCCTAATAGACATCATGCCGCATCCTGGCAGCCCAGAATTCGCCAAGGAATGCGGTTAGGATTGTCGGGCCAAGCTTTCGCTGAGCCTCAGGGGAGGTACGACGCTAAAAGCCCACTGCTCCCGGGCCTCTCTTCATCTCGATTCTCACCTGGGCTATGATCGTCGTCAACTTCCTTTCTCTCCCTTTACTTCTCCCCTTCCCCAGCATTCTCACTCGTTTTCCTTTTCAGTGTCCGCTGTTCATCATCAACCGCCACATACTAGACCTTTCGTTGCATTTTTAGACACGCATTGCATCACCGCATACAACAGCGACTGGTATCGCCTGCTCATCCTCTCTGACTGTCTTTGCGTCACAGCAATCGGGTATATCTTACCAGCCCGTGACCATCACGGCTCAGGCGAAGGGTGTTTTCGCTTCTCAGCACATTCGATCCTTCTGTCGCCAGTCACTTGGCCGTACACGTTTCGCCGTCTAGGTCGAACATCTCGTATACGAACAACGGCGACCACACATCTCAACACACACTAATCGCGCCTGAACTTCATCCAGCCATGCGATTCAACACGAACACTTAGTGTTCTCGAGCTTTGCCATCTGTCCCTAGATTTGGGAATTTTTTTTTTGCCAGCTTTGCATTGTTCATTCGAGCCAAGTCAGCTTGGTGATTCATCAACAAGGGGAGGGCAGACAAGAGGAATCTGAGGAACGCCCACGACAAGGATTCTTTCTTCATCCTTCGAAAATAAAATAAAACCAGACACACAAATGATCCACCGCGGCTCGCATGCAAAGATGGATCAACTCTACGACTCTGTCCGGCGCGGGATCGCCAACGTCGCTCCATCAGACCTCATGACTCCCTCGCGAATCGTCGAGCGTGCTGCTGATGCCGTGTCTGAGGACGCCGAGCCGACCTCCACCATCGCCCCATACTACCAAGACCTCGCTGGTGTGAATCAGCCCATGAACATGGTCTTTAAGAGAGGCATATGGTGGATGCTGGGAATCGCAGCACTGCTCGTGTTGGGTATCCGCATCTCGCAGCTGCTCTGGATGCAGCTGCGGCAAGTCGCCGCCATGACCCAACCGCGGGAGAAGCAGACTTACTGGAAATACTCGCAGCACGAGTGGATGCCCTGGATCAAGAGGTATGTTCTGTACGCGCCTCTGGGAAAGAAGCGCCACAACCGCGAGATTCGCCTCTCCATCGCCGGCCACATGGGAACCCTTCCGTCTCGTTTCCACACGATTGTCGTTGGAGTGTTCCTCCTCTCGAACACGATCTACCTGTTCTGGGTGGATTGGAACCAGGAAAACAAGTATGCCCTGTGTGCCGAGATTCGTGGACGTTCTGGCACCCTGTCCATGGTCAACATGGTCCCCTTGATCATCTTGGCCGGACGCAACAACCCGTTGATATGGATGCTGCACATCAGCTTCGACACCTACAACCTGCTGCACCGCTGGATGGGCCGCGTGGTTATCATCGAAGCCGTCATCCACACTATTTCGTGGTCCATCCCAGCGGTTGCCGACCTCGAGTGGTCGGGCGCCGCAGAGGCGTCCGTCACCAGCTGGTTCTACGGTTCAGGCTGGATTGCGACGATTGGCATGGTCATACTCTTAATTGGATCGCTGAGCCCAGTGCGCCATGCCTTCTACGAGACATTCCTCAACTCGCACATCGCCCTGGCTATCATCACCTTCGGTGGCACCCTCATCCATTGCGCCACGGCCCACATCGAGGGCGGTCTGCCTCAACTGCCGTGGATCATTGCCATCCTTATCCTATGGGGTCTTGATCGCTTCGCTCGGTTCGCCCGTCTAGCTTACTGCAACTGGACGCGTGCTGGTTTTACCACTGCCAGGTGCCAGGCAATGCCTCACGACGTTACTCGCGTGACATTGACTCTGCCGCGACACGTCGATATCAAGCCTGGCACCCACGCTTACCTGCGCTTCTGGGGCGTCAACCGCTGGGAATGCCACCCCTTCTCCATTGCCTGGGTCGACCATCATGCCACTCGCGACTCCGGTCTCCCGGTGGCTGAGAAGGAGCCACTGACAGGCATTGACTACTCCAGGACCACGACATCCGTCTCGTTCCTCATCGCTGCCCAAACAGGCTTCACTCGGAAGCTGTACGACACAACGGTCGCCCACAGCAAGCGCTTTGGTTCACCGGCGGTCTTCATGAAAGCCGCCATGGAAGGCCCGTACGCGGGCCACCACTCCCTAGATTCTTACGGCCACGCCGTTCTCTTTGCAGGGTCGACGGGCATTACACACCAAATGTCCTACATCAGGCATCTCCTGAAGGGATACAACGAGGGCACCATTGCCACTCGGCGGGTAACCTTGGTGTGGGTCATTCGCGAGTACGACTCTTTGGAGTGGGTGCGTGAGTGGATGACCGAGATCCTGCGCATCCCGCATCGCAGAGACATTCTCCGCATCAACGTCTTCATCACCCGTCCCAACAACGCGAGGGACATGTCGCCGCCTAGCGAGACGGTGAAATTGTTCCCCGGACGTCCCAACATCCCGCTACTCCTGGCCAAGGAGATGGCGGAGCAGGTGGGCGCCATGTGCGTGACGGTCTGCGGACCCGGCGCCCTGGCCGATGATGTGCGAAGTGCAGCGATTGCGGTGCAGGGAGAGACGGTCTGCGATTTCTTTGAAGAGTCATTCACGTGGTGAGCACGGGCAAGAGCTCTCCTAGACTCGCAGAAAAGAGGCAGATCGTAAAGGGGTAGTCTAATATTTTGTTTATATGAAGGGTAATTACTGGGCGCAGCGTGGCCACCCCATGCGTAGCATAACATAGCACAGCATCTGACAATCGTCTTCAGCTTCTTCTGTATATATCATGGATGCAAATACAAATTAGAAAAAAAAAATTATATATAAAAAACCGACTGCCGTACTGAATGTGCTCTTGTTGGGCACGCTGATGATCACCATTTCTGGGTATGCTACTCCAAAGTCAACAAAACTCCGCCCCATGCAACTTTATCATGACGCTCCCGTTCCTTTGCTCCAATCCCCGGTTCACGAGGCCAAGGCCGCCAACTCTTTCAGGTCAGCCAGGGCACTCGTGTCCCCCACATCAAGTCCCCGAAAACCTTCCTCTACGATCCATGCGCGACCTCTGTCCTCGTTCTTATGCAGCACCTCACATGCCCTTCCAACAACGAGTAGACCCGGCGGGCGGGAGCCCTCCACGTCAATGGCCTCCACCACGTGTCGCAGAGTGGTGCGGATGACGCGCTGATCCGGGCAACTGGCCCTCTCAATGACAGTACAGGGCGTAGTAAACGGCCAGAGTTCTCGTCCGGGCTTCTCCTCCTCTGAGGCCTCTGTGGCGGGCAGAAGACGCGTTAGCTCGGCCACCAGCCCTCCTATACGATGCAGCGCCATGAGGAAGACGACAGTCTGCGAAGCGACATATGGTGGTGGCTTTGGTGGCTTGCCCTTCTTGCCCGTCCCTGTGCAGATGAGCACCTGGTCGGCGACGTCGCGCTGCGTGCTGGGCACGCTCGCGAACAGGGGCGCGCTGAGGGCGCTCGTGATGCCAGGCAAGACGACAATCTTCTCGTTCGGGACGCCATGGGCCCTGAAAAAGGCGTATTCCTCGCCTCCGCGACCGTAGATGTACGGGTCGCCTTGTTTCAGGCGCAGCACGGTGCGTCCCGAGAGGTAGGCCGCGAGACCTGCGTCGAGTAGCTCTTGTTGCGCCGCGTCCGCGTTCCCAGGGAATTTCTTGGCGATGCTCACGGGCGTCCTCCGAGGGATCAGGTCCAGCACACCAGACGGTACGAGCTTATCCGCCAGAATGATGTCAGCGGCCTGAATGGCCTTGTGGGTTGCCTGGGTGAGTAGATCAGGATGGCCAGGTCCTGAGCCAGCGAGGATGATCCTGCCTAATGATGACCCTGGCGGTGAAGGCGGCGGCTTCGTTGAAGGAGAGGATGTGTAGGACGCAAACACCCTCTCGACATCTTCCTCGGTAAGGGTGGCAAGCTTTCGCAGAGGCCAGTATTCGCAGACCTGGCTCAGCCACCTCACTCGTCTCGTTTTGGCCTCTTCATCGGAGCCTTCCTTGATCAGTTTGTTAAACGAGCTTCCCTGGCCGGTGGAGTCGTCCATGTCGCCAATGGCAGCATCGCCCTGCTGCACGAGTTTCCGTATCCGCCCGATCTGGGTGACTGCATTGCCGAGCGAGGGAGGCAAGGACGAGGCGATCTCGCGGCGGATGCGAGACGAGAGCTTGCAGCCGTGGCCGTTGGTAGTGACACCGATTTGAAGGGGACCGTCGGAGTGGACGCTGAGGAGGGTGAAGGTGCACAAGTCGGGCGCGTCGATAACATTGATCGGTATGCGATTTCGTTTGCAAATCTCTGCTATCTTCACATCTGTGTCTGATCAGCAAGAGGAAGACAAAGACAGGTGTTCCTGGGGCAGCACACACGTTTCGCATCACGGGGGGCAAAGGTGATGAAGACAGCGTCTACGACCTTGCCCACCTCTTGGCGTCCGAGGTTGAAGAGGTCATCTTCCTGGAGCTGCTTCTGATGCCACTGCACGTCACCCTCATCGATTCGCCGTTGGAGCGCGTAGTGAATCTCGGAGTCGTGCGGCGCGACAACGACGGGCTTTGCGCCAGAGGATATGGAATGCGACACTCGCGACGAGGCCAGTGGGTTTGTGCCGAGAATCAGATGAACGTGATCGGTGCAGGTTTGAGCAGTGAGGAGGGAGATTGGGGCTGGGGCAGGGAGCCATTGTGGCTCGTCGTTTGAGGGCAGAATGGCAGCCATGGTGGGATGTGTCGACCTGGAGCTGGACCCTTGTTTATTGCCCCTCTGCGAGTGAGGTAGGTGCCCCTCCAAGGATGGGTTTGTCGAGAAGGGAAGACTGCCCAAGGGAATACTCGTCTTGTGGTTGTTACCTGAAATGGAGTTTGCGTGAAAAGAATGGAAAGCAGGATACACAAGCACAGCTAGAAGCAAAAGAGAGAGATTGTCAATCATTAGACTGCGCACCACGCTGGATAACCTTGGGATGCCAATTACAAAACCCCCATCCTAACGAAAAAAGATGGATGCACGCTAAAGTATCCGCAATCGGCTTGCTATCCCCCATCGCCATTGACGCCATGCTCCGAGCCGAGGACCGCGTCCAATCAGGGCGGCGGCATTTGACTGATTCAGCATCCGGAGATGCACCAGACACTCCCACCACGCCACCGACTTATCGCTGAGATAGGAGATGCACAATCCAACAGGACATGATGATCACGGACGAAGCGAACCCCCGCGACTGAGCAAGACACATACTAGATAGATGGGTATCCCTAGCCAACGCCAGATATGCAATACATATGATACACAGTTGTACAACCTCCCCTTCAGTCGACATCACCTCTTGCCTTCACGTTCCATCTCCCTCCTAATGTCCTCGTCCAAGCCAATGTCCGCATCCACCATCTCATCAACAGCCTCGTCATGCTCCCGCTCCAGCGCCTCCATTTGCTCCAGTTTAGCTTTCTGCCTCTCCTCCTTGGTCAGTCTCCTCCTTTGCTGCTGCTCTGCCTCGTCACCGATCACGGACTTGCGTCCCTTCTTTTTTGAGTCTTGCTTCAGTTTAGCCTTTGCGACTGGCTTGCCATTCCGGGGCGGGCGCTCGGCCGTGGTCTTGGCCCCAAGAGCCCACAAATCTCCCCAGCGCGTCTTGCGTGCGTCGTGATATGCAAGCTTGCTAAAGCTCTTGGGCACAGTCCATCGCTCAATCTTGCCGGCTGGGGTGCAGACGTCCATGGTCACATGGCCTTTTCGCTTAAGTGCCGGATTGACGAGGCGCGGCAGCGTCAACATGTTCGGCTTCTCTTCTGTGTTCTCGTAGCCTTCTTTTGCAAGCTCGGTGGCCTTTTTGCCCGTTGGCTGATCGGCGGCAATGGGAACACCGCGCTGCACGGCAAAGTAGCTGAATTGCACGTCACCCTGGTTATCCGTCTGCTTCCGAAGCATCTTGACGTAGAAATTTGGCCGGATGAACCGTTGGCTGAAGTGGCAAAAGTCTTTGCGTCCAATACCTTGCCCAGGCTCCACGTACATGGGGCATAGACCCTGGTTTGTACAGGGAGCAACAACATGTCCCGGCTCGGGTTCGCGGTGGAAAGCTGGGTTGAACTCCTCTGGGCCGATCCGCGGTTCGCCTGACGGGGGAAGCAGAAAATTGTAGAGCACATTGTGACGCGCGTGTGCTATGGCTTCGAAGCCCCGCGGGTGAGCCTTCTCCTGCATGACCAGAACGCCACCGTCCTTGCGCAGCAGATTCCACAGGTTGTTCAAGATTGCCTGGCGTCGGTGTGTCTCTTTTTCGCGAAGGAGCATGTGAGACGAGATGATAACGTCGTATGACTTGCGAGGCTGTTCCTTGCCGCCGCCATCCAGCCGCTCGCCCTTCATCTCGCCAGAGTGTTCGTAGTCAGGCAGTCGCGGCAAGAAAGTCGTGTTGTCCAGAAACGTCTTGACGCGGTTCCGGAGGCGATCGGACGTTACAATGACCGTCTTGCGCCCCGGGATCTTGTCCCCCTCGACTTCCCCCTTTTCTTTCAGCAGCCGCCACTCCGCATTCAGTATCTGCTCCCAGGCAATGATACCAGCGCCGCCAGTACCGACGTCCAACACACTGAGGCCTTCGCCGCTCTTCAGCTTTGATTGGATCCACTCGCTGCCAAGACGCTTCCGCACTTCGCGCACGATGGAGTACACAGAGGCGTACGCAGCGGGCATGAAGCCGGCCAGAAAGGCATCAGCCTCCACTTCGGTCATGTGGCGCTGAGTTGCCGATAGGCCTACTCCACCCATGCTCCCCGACCTCAGCCCATAGACAGTCTCCGGAGACAAGGGCAGCCCTGAACCGCCAAAGCTGGCTTCCGCCGCTTCTCGCACGTGTCGGATGTGCGATCGGCGCAGGAGCTCAGATATCGGCTGCACAAACTCTGCTGTGGGCAGGGCAATTTCCATCGACTTGCCATGGAAGCTGCCCTCAACGGTGTAGGGATGGAAACGGGTGAACCCTTCGTCCAGCTCGCCGGTAGCTATTCGGAGCGGAAACTCCTCTGGCCATGACTTGGCGCTGGCCTCTTCTTGACTTTCCACCGCCTCGCCCTCTTCTTGTTCCGCCTCCATTCGTTCTTCAGCTTCCTGCTGCTCTTTCTGTGTCCTTGCAAAGTCGTCTGCCAACGTCCTCATGGCCTTAGCCTCTCGGGGATTCCTCGCCACGGCATCAATGTAGTCCTGGGGCGTCAGGGACTCTGGCTCCTCCCGCAATGGAAGATTGGGCGCCTTCCGCTGTGAAGCTTGCATGAGCATGTCCTGGATAGCAGCTGACTCTTCTTCACTCGGCCCCTCAGTCTCCTCAGAAAGACCAAAGTGATCCTCCAGAGCAGCCAGCTGTTCTGGAGTGGGCTTCGTAGCAGCGAGCTGACGGACTTGTTCCACGCTTAGGCCTTCCTCACTGGCAATCTTCTCAATCTCCTCCTCGGAGAAACTCCATGCTTCATCTTCCGCCTCGGCCTCAGCCGCGGCCTCCTCTTGTAGCTGCTCTTTCAAGGCCCGATCTCTCTCTTGCTCTTCTGTTATCAAGTCTTCGGCTCGCGCTTCGCTGTCCAAGTCCTCCAAGTCTGGCTCGAGTGGAGCCTCTTTCGGTGGGATTTTGTATGTGATCTCTTCAAATTCTCCGCCCTTCAGCTCCTTGAGTACGGTGCCCTCATCGGAAGCCTTCATTGACGCACCAGCCATGTCGGCGTGCGTGTCAATGCCAACATCTTCGGGGCTTGTTTCTCGCAGGGGCGGGCCAAACAGTCGAACGTAGAGGGTGTACTCGGTGGGGGAGAGGTAGTCTTTTGGCAAAGTGTCACGAAACCGCTGTTTCGCATCCCGGACAACTTTCTCAGCATCTTCTATTGTCTGCTCTTCCCGTCGCAAGGTTTTCGAAGTCGAGAGATATGATTTCGTAGTTTGGAGCTGTATCGGTTGAAGAGAACGTCGGATATATACGGCGGATGCAGAAATACATGGACTGCGCCCTGTCGCAAGTTGGTTCGGCCGAGTGCAGGCATACCTGATGCCCCGCGCCGACAGCATGATGGGTGTAAAATACAATATTGTACAAAAGATCGTTGATACAGGTTCGTTGTCTGAGATCGGCAACATCGATCTTGGACTTTTTGGGCGGGACGCGAAAGCACGTGACCGTGAGTAGGAATAAGCAGGTTGTAATAGGTCAGAAAAAGGGTCCAGATCGGTCCTCCAGTTCTTGAGATCCAGTCCATCATTCAAATATCTTCATTGGTACTCAATGAGCGGCGAGCCAAGAGATATCGCTGGAGCAGCGATAAGAACACGATGTCGGCGCCGGGTCGGTCAGAAACACGTGCATGTATCTGCGTGCACAGCTTTATTGCTCCGCTAAATCGAGTCCTCTGACATATCTTGATGACACTGTCTCTCCGTCATGTCTAGTAGCTCGAGTTCTTGAATCATTTTTATCTCCTTCAAGCTAGAAATGCCCCTTTGCGTAGCATATTGACCCAAGGTATCAACGACTAGCAGTAGGGCGTGAAGTTCTCTACAGCTTGAACAAAGTCTTTGATGGAGAATACGGTGAAACGTTGTATCTGTAACAAGGGTAGGATATGTGGATGGGTAAGCATGGTTCGCACTGAGAATTATCAGTTGTAGAGCGTTGACCAATATGAAGTATCTTTGAATCGAATCTGAATGACAACTGACGCTCAATCGCAACGCTAAACAATTACACAAGACTAATCCATCCTCGTTAATCACCCCCCAGGTCCGACAACGTCCTGAACGTAGGCTTCTGCGCTGCCCTCGCACTCCCAGAAGCCTTCGCCTCGGCACCCTTAGTCCCAGCACTAGCAGGGCCCTTCTTGGCTGGAGCTGGCGTCTGATGCTTGTTGAACCTCGAGCTCTCCGCCGCCTTGTACCCGTCAAACTGTGCGCCACAGTCAGTATAGTCCCTGTCTACTCTTCCTTTTTGTTACGTGCCGAAAGGAGTGAGACAAAGTACAGCCCCACAAACATGATCACTATGTTGATGAGCTTGCCGAAGTCGATGCCGCCACCCGCAGTCTGTCCACCACCCAGGGTCCGGCCAGGTGTCTTGAAGATTTCGCCAGGGTTGCCACCTGGTGTGTTCGCCAGGCTCACAGCTTTGCTGATCGCTTCTGTCAAGGCCGACGGGTTGGCGCCCTTGATAGTCTCTACACAGGCACCGTTGTGGAAGATCTTGAACGTGGGCATCGCGGCCACGCCCTGCGTTTGGGCAATGGTGGACTGCGAGTCGACGTTGACTTTGGCAAAGGCGACTTTCTTGGGTCGAGAGTGCTCCTTGGCGAGACGTTCGAAGTGAGGCGCGATCTGCTTGCACGGGCCGCACCAGTCGGCGTAGACTAGACTCGTGTTAGTGATAAAGCAAGCTCGGCAATACTGCAACGAGGGGCAGTATCCGTACAGTCTGCAATGACTACCGTCGTGGAGTCCAGCAGGCTCTGCCACTCGGCTGCTGAACCGATGCTCACGGGGCCACTCATTCTGTAGGTTGGTCAATGTAATCGTCAAGTATTTTGCGATGGTTTAGGCGTGAGCAGCGGAGGTCAGCGATGATGGGATGCGACAGTTCCCAGACCAGCTGGCACATTTATTGGACATTAGAAGTGGGCTGCCGCTGTATTTGGCAGGCGGTGGAGCTACCTTGGAGATTCTGCCACTTTCCCTACCCACCCAAGTCCAACTTTTTGTAAACTGACGGATTACGAAAGTCGCTAATACTCACGTACAACAAAACGCTATACATCATGTCATTCCACGAGCGCAACGCCAAGGTGAGCTCTGATCTCTAGATTCTTCGGGAATCAGCTTTTGACAGTCATAAAGAAGCGCAAGATTGGCCACAATGGTCGGGCCAATCCCTCCCAAGACAGGTCCTCCTTCAAGCCATCCGCCATCTTCAACCCTCTTGAAGGTGGTCGTGACTGGACAATATCTGTCGCTGTGCCGAGCAGTGTTCTTGCCAAGTAGGGAAACGCTTCAGATACTTGCTGCCTGTCATTTTTAACCCAAATAGTCTTGTTACCGCGGATCAGCGCCTCACCCTGCCAGGGCGAATCGCACGTGCTCTAGCAGTGTTCTCCGTCGACGAAGTCATTATATTTGACGACTCACCTCCCGCTTCGCGCCTTCGCAATGTCGACCCCAACTCATACACTGGCGATACAGACCCCTGCCACTTCATCGCCCATATTCTATCCTATATCGAGGCACCGCCATTCATGAGGAAGACCCTGTTTCCACTGCATCCCAATCTCCAGAAGACGGCGCTGCTACCGAGTCTCGACATGCCCCACCACCCCAACCCGAAAGAATGGATACAGTATAGGGAAGGTGTGACAGTTGCGGGACGAGCACAAAATGGGGGCACCCTGGTGGAAGTCGGCCTCGAGGAGCCTGTGGAAATCGCTGAGCAGATCCCCCCGAAAACTAGAGTAACACTGCAGTTCCCTGAGGACGAGAATGCGGCTCCTCAATGCATTCATCCTGAAGCACCGAGAACAGAGGGTGGATACTACTGGGGCTATCAAGTGAGGAAGTGCGCCTCACTCTCGGCAATTTTCGAGGAGAGCCCCTTTGAGGACGGTTATGATCTCAGCATCGGTACCTCAGAACGTGGAGAGCCAGCCTCCAAGGTCTTTCCGGCCGGGAAGCGGGTCGCTCCGTTCAAGCACTTATTAGTGGTGTTTGGTGGGCCGAGGGGACTGGAGTACGCTTCCATGAACGACGACAAACTGAAGGGGATGGGCGTGCAGGGGGCCAAGACGAAGGAGCTCTTCGACCATTGGGTCAATATCTTGCCAAACCAGGGAAGCAGGACGATACGAACAGAAGAGGCCCTGTTGATCGGATTGACGACATTGCGGGGAATCTGGGACAGCAGCTAACTGCTTTATTCACAGCGGTGTTTGGAGTTGGGGTATTAAAAATATATTGTCCAGCCGTTGTTGAAGGCTGCCCATCCAGGAAAAGTTGAATCACGCCGTCCCGCCAACGCCAGTCCATGCAGAGTTTCCATATGTACAATCCATCTGACCAAAGTTCAGGGCGCAGTGATGCTATCGGCCGCTTGGGCGTGGTTGATGGTGGTTCCTGAGGGGGCCTTGTTGCCGGCCCTCTGCTTGAGCACGTTCTCAATGAACGCTTCGCCAGCTTTGTATGAGGAGCGGACAAGAGGGCCACTGGCGCAGTAGAGAAAGCCCATGTCGATGGCTCGTTGGCGCCACATTTCGAACTCATCAGGCGTAACGTACTTCTCCACTTTGAGGTGGCGCTTCGTCGGCCTCATGTACTGGCCAAACGTAACAACGTCAACGTTGGCTTTGCGTAGTTCTATGCTTGTCAGCTCAATCCTCGTGTGCAAACGGATGAGGCTACTCACCAGTCAGCGCGTCCATGACTTCCTTTTCTTGTTCTCCCAAGCCCAGCATCAGGCTGGTCTTGGTGATGATGCCCTCTTGACCCCTGACCTCCTTCGCATGCCTAAGCACGTCCAGGCTCTGCCTGAATGTTGCCCTGCGGTCTCTGACGTAAGGAGTGAGCGCCTCCACCGTTTCAACGTTGTGCGCATAGACGTCCAATCCACTCTCCGCCATGACCGCCACCTGTTCCAGATCTCCCCTGAAATCACCCGTCAGGGCTTCGACAAGTAGACTCGGCTTCTTCTGCTTGATTTTGCGGATTGTCTCGGCGAAATGTCGCGATCCTCCGTCGACAAGGTCGTCTCGGTCAACGCTCGTCAGGACAACGTACCCTAGTCCCCATCGTGCCAGTGCCTCAGCCGTGTGCTCTGGCTCGTGCGGGTCGAGTGGAGGTGGTGCCCGCGAAGTCTTGACGCTGCAGAAACGGCAGCCTCGTGTGCATGTGTCTCCCATCAACATAATCGTCGCCGTCGCGGCGCTCTTGTCGCTGCCACCCCAGCACTCGGAAATGTTGGGACATTTGGCCTCTTCACAGACCGTGTGCAGGCCTAGTCCCCTGAGGTCTTTCTTGATCGCCTTGAAGTTGTCGTTTCCGGCAGGTATGGGCGTCTTGAGCCACTCGGGGAGGCGGGTGATAGTCTTCTTCTTGCCCTCGGGACCGACTTGGGCGGTGCGCAGTGCAAAGGCTTCCGACTGCGACAGAGACTCATCGGATGCGCCGACAAAGTCGTTGAACGAAGCAATGTTTGCATCTTTAAAGTACGTCTTTCGTTTCGGTTTGGCGCTCGGAGGGGCATCAGGGATGGTGGCGAGTGTCCGGATCGCGTGAGTCGAGCACGCGAATGCGCGGCGAACTGGTGCATGAGCTCGCTGCATCGACGTAGCTATTGATGCCATCGTGGGTGATGTAGATATGTGTTTGGCAACGAGAGAACAAAGAATGAAGACTGACGCTTCGATTCTAAGAGTAGGGGAGTCGGAGGCGAGATGCGCTTTAGCAATCAGAAAATCGGGATTAATTGGGCTTGAGCCGATTGGACCCGGTGCGTCGACAGCGGCCGTCGCCCCGTAAATATGGGTGGCCCAGGTGGTCGGACAGCAGCCAGCAAAGTCTGACTACCCTACATCGAGATCCTCCTGCTCTGTCGGTTATACGTACTCCGTAGTTGAGAAAATAATAAGAGGGCAAATTGCGTAGTAGAAATAAATCCTCCAGGCGTGAACGTATTCCTGTTCCGGTCATCTCCAAACTTGGAATATTACGCATTGAGTACGTGTACTATGTTCATGCTGTTATCGGATCTATCCGACACTGCTGTTTAGAGTACGGCTCGCTTCCGACAAGTTTAATTATGTGACTTTGTTGAGAGCGTTGACCAGATGGGCTTTTGGACAGGTCATAGAGTATGTACACTTGTGGCGCAATATTGTTGCAAACCGCCGAATAAGAAAAAGTCTTCATGATCAGCTATAAACTGACAACTTCGAATCCATTTACTTTAAGGTCAACACACATCAGGTCCGCCACCCAGCCCCATGTCAAAGAAAACTCGACGAGCTTCCATTCGCGCTAAGGCTCAGATGATTACTCACTAGCAGATTCTGCGTGCTCCGGACGTGTGTCATAAATAGTACCAGGCCACAATCATGCATCCCCAGCCCAGAACAGATGAAATGGCACTCGACCTACGGAGCATATCAATCCTATTAACACAGCTTCTGACAAGGAAACACCGAGAGAGGAAGATGGAGGCTCCACAGGCTAAGCGCACATGCATAATAATGCAACTTGAGCATTTCGGATGAGTGTGGATCTGACAATCTGATCTTGTCATTTGCGGCCTTGTTGGAGTTGCATTGTCACAACTGACCACTAAGACAGGTTGACCCATGGTGACACGAGTCTCGGCAAGAGAATGTTTGTTGTTGTTCAAGCTGGGTCACAAACCCTGAGAGCTATAGTGACACGGCTCTTATGATCTATGCATTGCAGCGATAAATTAATTACTGGTTTCTGTTGTCGTCGAGCACATCGTCAGCCTGGTCCTTGCGGTGACAGCCTGACAGCCTGACAGGTAATTGAATGGCCCGTGCGCCAATTGCACTTGACTTGACAATGCCGGCGCGCTAGTCTCTATGAGGCTTAGCATGCCCCGTGCTTGGAGGAAGAGCCATCATGCAGGAAAAAGGAACATCATCCCACAGAGCAGAGCTGATTAACGTCGTCAATCATCCTGCCAACTTCTCGTCAGGCACATCGCATTCGGCCGTCCGCTCCCTACCTTTCTTCTTCGACTTTTTCTACCCACCGCGCTCCGTGGTGCCCTATTTATATTTCTTTTCCCTTCACGTGAACACGCATGGGTTTCAGCACACCCCTCCAACCAGCCTCCCAATTCCTTTGTACCTGAACACTCCACGTTGACGACAACTTTTCACAATCGCGCGAATCCAACTGCCCGCCCCGAAACTCGAATACTACAAAAGAAGGCGATCAAGTCATAGCGAGTAACCGTGCGCAAATACCGATCGAGGCGCATCATGATACGAGCTTGACTGTAGAAATCCGAAGTACAGTCCAGGACAAAATGGAGGACGCGCAGGATTCATCGGCAGTCGAGGGGTCTGGCGTCCCTAAAACGCAAGAAGTCCCGGCTGAAAGAGCACCAAGCGTCGACTCATCGCGCCTCAGTGGAGAAGTCTATGTGCGACCCAAGTCCGGGACGAGTAAACGAAGTGCGACCCGACCCGACACCAGACAAACGATTGACAAAGGCGCATCAAAGCCCGTGAGCGGAGGGCAAGAGAAGAGGAAGTCTGGCGTAACTCCCAAACGCGAGTCGCTGCTCAGTTCGGGAGAAGGCTCGGCGCGCGACCAACGAAACAGAGCCAGTCGAAGTCATGTTCCCTCCTTAACGTCGAATGCCTTCTTCCGGCCCATGAGCTCTCAGAAGCTGCAAGCTCATAGACAAAGCTCGCGACCGATGCCAACGGACCAGCAATTTGCGCAAGCGCAGAATCTCCAACCGCAGAATTTGGATTTGGATGATGGGGCAACAGACATTGGGGGCAGTGTTGCTCACCGTGCATCGGGACTCGAAGATCTGCGGCCTCCGCCTTCCAGGGGAACGGAATTTACCGACCAGGATCGTGTAACAGCAAACACCAGCCCTACTACCAACGGGCATTACCCCACGGGTAGCTTGACTGACAGCGTCAGACCGCTGCACAAGAGCAACGAGCCCGCGGCTAATCCACGTGGCTTGACAGTGAACGTGGAAAAGAGCTACCAGGGTGCTGGCAAGCCAGGGCCCAGCCCCCTCGCATCTCCACGATCGTTTCGCTCCAACTTTATGCGTGCGGGAAGGGACTCGAACCGAAACAGGAGCACTGAGGGGGCCGAGAAGCTGTCTAGTGGCGCGTCTTCTCCCAAGATGGCGCCGATTGATTCGAGAGGGCAGGCGAGACAGGCGCCAGCACAGCAAGCGCAGCCTGAGGTCCCTACAGCCGGACGAGTCTTTGATTACTTTGAAGGTAATACTAGGTTCTGCCTTGGTGGGAGATGGCAAAACACGAGGGGAAAACCGATCAACTTGGCCACAGGGTTCTTCATCGTACTACCTTGCGTCTTGTTCTTCGTCTTCTCGGCGCCTTGGCTTTGGCGCAATATCTCTCCAGCGATACCCATCATCTTTGCCTACGTGGCATTCATCTGTATGTCGTCGTTCGTGCACGCTTCAGTGTCAGACCCTGGCGTAAGTTATTTTCCCACGTTCATGTTCGAGCCTTACTGACTCTGCTAGATTTTGCCGCGAAATCTACACCACTTTCCTCCGCTAGGCGAGAACGATGATCCCTTGCGATTGGGCCCACCAACGAATGACTGGACGCTCATAAAGTCAGCCGAATCTGCTACCGCTGCCATGGAGGTTCCTGTTAAGCACTGTCGGACATGCAATATTTGGCGCCCCCCGCGCGCTCACCATTGCCGCCTCTGCGACAACTGCATCGAGACGCACGACCATCACTGCGTCTGGCTCAACAACTGTGTCGGCAAGCGCAACTACCGCTACTTTTTTGTCTTTGTCACGTCCGGCACTATCCTTGCCCTCTACGTCATCGTGACCTCGTTGGTCCAATTACTGGTGTACCGCAGTCGTGAGAATGTGAGCTTCGGCAAAGCCATCAACCATTTTCCGGTTCCTTTTGCTCTCCTCATTCTTGGCGTTCTTCTCTTCTGCTATCCTGCCGCCTTGATGGGCTACCACGTGTTTCTCATGGCTCGCGGCGAGACGACGCGCGAGTATATGAACTCTCACAAGTTCGCTAAGAACGAGCGGTTTAGAGCATACTCGCAAGGGAGCGCCCTGAAGAACATAATCGCCGTGCTCTGTCGGCCTCGGACCCCAACATATTACCGCTTCAAATCCAAGTACCAAGCCGGGGACCAACGGCTAGGCGTGCACAAGAGCCTTAGACCAAAGGTGGATGCACAGGGCATGGAGATGCAGAACGTTTCGCTGGCGCCACCGCAATTCCAGAGCGAACAGGCTTTCCACGAAGCCAATCGGCGTTGAATGCGGGAACTCTCTCTTGTTGTCCCGTAGCGACTGGCTTGCTACGACATATTCCTATTGTTTGGGGACAATACCTAATGTTTTGTCTTGCACGTAATATACTCCTGGAAAGGACAAATCCTAGGCGTATCATCTGTATATAGCGGACTCGATATCTCACTTTCTTACATACGAACATGGCAGCCTACTTGACGCTCATGTCTGTTGCATGTCGCCGACTTGTAAAAAAAATTTTTTTTTTTTTTTTTTTGACATGTTCATCAGAGAAACATTCACCGATTTCAAGACGGTGCCCACAAGCCACCACTCTGTACCTGTAGGGTAGGCACTTATTATGTACTTGACGCCTTTGAGTGTTCCCCTGAGAGCAGTACGTGCCGCCCGCACGTTGACAAATGCGCGGGCGCCAGTGGAGGCAGAATTCAGGGACCAGTTGATAAGGTACGTACCGCGCCCTCGATAAGAGATTTTCTCAGAAATTTCCCGCCAAGGAGGGGCGTCTTTGAGTTTCCCATGCTGCTGCCCAATGCAGTCAGCGCCAAAAAGAAATCCCCCCACCATATTAATTCTACCTTTCCCTCATTCTCTGTTTTGCAACTCTGCATCCCACACCTACTTCTTCGAGGCCGAATCCAGATCTTTTGCGCCCGGCCTGCGCATCGCCTCCATCTACAGGAGTGCATTTGAACCACACAGACGAAACCCGGACCGATCGCAGTCGCAGCCATGCCGCACTCTGTGACCCCGCCGTCCAAGGACGCTGGGCCGCCTCCCTCGCAGGAGGTGGTCTCTGACCTGCTCAACACTATCTTCACGGCCCAGACCTCCTCTGCGAGCGTCGATGCTGCTTACGGACTGTGTGAGCTCCTCCTCAACTCGGTCGGCTACGCTGGCCTCCAGCAGTACAACATCCTCACCGAGGTCAAAAAGGCTGCTGCCGATAAGAAGAGCAATCTCCGCAGAGAATGCGCGCAGAATCTCTTGGGCGCCATCTTTGAGCGTTTCCCCCCTAGGCAGCCCGTCGCCGAGATCATTCTCTTGGCACAGGATGGCGGTATGCTGGCTTGCGCCTTGGATGCCCTGGCGGACAAGGGTGCTGTCATCCGCGAGTCGGCACAGTACGGCATCGATGCCTTGTTTGGTGCTTTGAGCGCTGAGGCTCTCGTCTCTGGGCTTCTGCCTACCTTGATCGAGTACATTGGCCGTAAGGCCAACAAGTGGCAGAGCACTGTTGGCGCGTTCAAGCTCCTGCAGAGGATGGCCGACAAGTCTCAAATGTCCATTGGCGCCTCCAAGGAGGAGGCGTCTGAGAAGGATCTGCTCCGAGAGTCGCTGGGATCCAAGCTGGCTGGTCTGATCCCTGTTGTCGAGAACGGCATGCACGACCTCAAGACCGAGGTCGAGAAGCAAGCCGTCCGGACCATGACCTCGCTCACCGCACTCCTGTCCAACGACGACGTCGCCCCTCGCATCCCGCTTCTAATCGACACCATGCAGAAGCCCTCCACACAGAGCCTCCAAAAGGCCATCCATGCTCTGTCACAGACTACATTCGTTGCCATTGTCACGTCGCCTGTCTTGGCTCTGCTCACACCTTTCGTTGAGCGCTCACTCAACTCGCCCACCACCGCTCAGGAGGTTCTCCGCCAAACCGTTGTCATTGTTGAGAACTTGACGAAGCTTGTCCACGATCCCATCGAGGCCAGAACATTTCTGCCCAAGCTAATTCCTGGCGTTAAAGGCGTCTGCGATCGCGCTTCGCTGCCCGAGGTCCGTGAGCTCGCCGAGCGCGCTCTGGCCACCATGCAAAAGGCCATGGGCGACGACAAGGATGTTGTCGCGCGCATCACGGCAGACGACATTGCCAAGACCCTCGATGAGCAGGTCAAGAAGAACGGCTCCGTCGCCGACCAGGACACCTACAAGCTTGTCCGCGAGTACGTCGGCGAGCAGGTGGCCATCGATGCCAACTTCCGCTACGTGCAGCGCATTGCCGACCGCGTGACCCCTTACATGTCATGCTTGACCCAGCCCAAGGCCGCTGCGGCCATCGCCGAAGGCGTCAAGACGTACTGGGTGGGCGAGGACGAGCGCAAATACGGTGTCCCCGAGAAGGAGGATGACGGAGAGACCGAAATAGTCAACGCCGACTTCTCTTTGGCATATGGTGGAATGCTGCTCCTCTCCCACACCAACCTGCGTCTGCTCAAGGGTCACCGTTACGGTCTCTGCGGTCGCAACGGTGCTGGCAAGTCGACTCTCATGCGCTCGATTGCTAATGGCAAGCTGGAGGGCTTCCCGCCCCAAGACGTGTTGAGGACATGCTACGTCGAGCACAACCAGGGCGAGGACGCCGATATCAGCATCCTGGAGTTCATGCTGAAGGATCCCACCATTGCTTCCGAGGGCCGTGAGCGCATCTCAGAGGTTTTGGCCGAGTTTGGGTTCACCGACGGGCCCGATGGCCGCCAAGCACAGAAGGTCGGCTCCCTGTCCGGAGGTTGGAAGATGAAGCTGGCTTTGGCGCGCGCCATGTTGCAGCGTGCCGATGTGTTGCTGCTGGACGAACCTACCAATCACTTGGATGTCGCCAACGTTGCCTGGTTGGAGCAGTATCTCAAAAAGCACACCGACATCACCAGTCTGATCGTGTCTCACGACTCTGGTTTCCTGGACAATGTCACCACCGACATCTACCACTACGAGCCCAACAAGAAGCTTGCGTGCTACAAGGGCAACCTGTCCAAATTTGTCGAGATCCGTCCCGAGGCCAAGTCCTACTACACCCTGTCCGCCTCCAATGTCCAGTTCAAGTTCCCGCCCCCCGGCATCTTGACGGGCGTCAAGTCGATGACACGCGCCATTATCCGCATGTCCAACGTCAGCTTCACATACCCCGGCGCGGCCAAGCCGTCTCTGAGCGATGTATCCTGCCAGCTCACCCTGTCCTCGCGTGTGGCTATCATCGGACCCAACGGTGCCGGCAAATCGACCCTCATTAAGCTCCTCACGGGTGAAACCATCCCCACCACCGGCAAGGTCGAGAAGCACCCCAATCTCCGTATCGGCTACATCAAACAGCACGCGCTGGAGCACGTTGAGATGCATCTGGAGAAGACACCCAATCAATACCTCCAGTGGCGCTACCAGCATGGTGATGACCGTGAGGTCCACATGAAGCAGACGCGTGCCCTGTCCGAGAAGGACCGCGAGCAGATGGACAAGATGATTGATCTCGGCGACGGCAAGTCTCCCCGCCAGATCGAGTCCCTTGTCGGTCGGTCCAAGTACAAAAAGACCTTCCAATACGAAGTGTAAGTTACTCACGCCTTTCTGCCTCATTGCCTTGTACTAATTCATGTAGGAAATGGCGCGGTTACCTGCCCAAGTTCAACTCTCACGTCTCCCGCGAGACACTATCCGAGTGGGGCTTTGATAAGCTCGTCCAGGAGTTCGACGACCACGAGGCGTCGCGCGAGGGTCTCGGTTACCGTGAACTTGCACCCACAGTCATCTCCAAGCATTTCGACGACCTCGGCCTCGACCCCGAGATTGCCAACCACAACGAGATCGGCTCGCTCTCTGGTGGCCAAAAGGTCAAGGTCGTCATCGCCGGCGCCATGTGGAACAACCCCCATTTGCTTGTCCTCGACGAGCCCACCAATTTCTTAGATCGTGACTCTCTCGGTGGTCTGGCCGTGGCCATCCGCGAATTCAAGGGTGGTGTCATTCTGATTTCCCACAACGAAGAGTTTGTGGGTGCGCTGTGTTCGGAGCAGTGGCACGTCAACGATGGTCGCGTCGCCCAGCGCGGCAACGCGGCCATCGCCCTCGACCGCTTCGAGGACTCGCGCCCCGGCTCGGGCGTCACATCAACGGCCGCCAGCACCGTGCCCAGCACGGCGGCGTCGTCGGCCGTCAACTCGGGCGCCGAGGATAATGGCGAGCTCAAGTTCAAGGCGAGGAAGAAGAAGAAGATGACCAAGAAGGAGCTCAAGGAGCGTGAGGTGCGGAGACGGTTGAGGCACATTGAGTGGCTCAACAGCCCCAAGGGCACACCTCACCCTGTTGACACAGACGACGAGGCCTAAGCGAGTTGAGCGTTCGGCACTGTGCATTGGCAAAGAAAGAGAGCGAAACTGCCATCTGACACTGTTGGAGTATTTAATGGGTCGAAAAGCAAAGGGTTTGCATGTCATGACGATGAATGATAGAGAATCTGCCATCTTTGGGTATTCACGGTATAGAGGCGTTCCGGTAGATGACTACGAAGTTCCCGCATGAATTTGACTTGATCATATATATTAAGTCCAACTGAGGAAACCTGTGTGATGCCGTGGTGAGCGAGCTATCTACTGCGATGTGATTATGTGGTCGTAACGTCGTAATGTCTATGTACAGTGACTCATGCAAAGGGAAAAAGAGAAATAAATGAATGGTTTTCTTTACCAAGAGAATGTCATCAGCGCCGGGTTAAGCGCAAATGGCAACAGGAAGTGACTGGCGGCCACCGTCGCCATAGGAAGGATAGCGACGAAGTCCTTGATGCGCCAGTCGTGTGGGACAAATGGCGCGACGGCAAGGATGATCATGCCCACGATGGAGACGAGCGCAAACAAGATGGAGAATTTGAACTAGCCATGTTGGTCAGTGATAGTTCGCAGAGTGTGTGACTATTTTCGAATGAAGAGGGCTGCTCAGCTGAACAGCCAGTAGCTGAGACAGGCATTGTGGCGCTGCGACTATCGCTTTCAATGCAGTCCAGGCCTTGGGTGCTGCATTGCAGATTGGGACAGATAAAAGGAACGTGCCCCCGAGCAGGCAGAGATGGAGAAAAGGAAAAAAGAGCTTACCTTCTTCAAAACCTTTGGCACCTCGATGAAGAAGTTCGAAAACTCGGCCTCCTTACTCGTTGATCCCCATGTCATGTTGATCTCGAACATGTGCGACAAAAGCGCCTGCGAGACGTGCAGACTCAAGCCACCCAGGAAGACAGCCAGCATGAGCGTCCACTTGAAGTTTTCGAAAAGCGAGCGGAGCAGACTGCGCTCCCCGATACGATACCGCATGATGGCGAGGGCAACGTTGCCGAGACCATTGAAGATGATGATAATGGAGAACCAGACCTTCCAGGAATCAATGTAGTACTTGTCAAGGTACCCATTGTACCAGCCCATCAGGAAGTAATTGACAGCCGTCATGATCCACGCGGCGCCTATGGCATAGTACGTGCCAATGTACGAGATGATGGTGATCTTGGAGGTGAGGCGAATGTTGGAGAACAGGAACCGGCGGAACAGCGGCGTGAAGGGACCGCGCCACAGCCATGTGCGAATGGGGTGGAAGAGGAGCTCGTTGCAGCCGTAGGCGTACTTCTCCCACCGGGCAAGCTCGTCGTACACGGTGAGGGACACGCCCTCTTTGAAACCTTCGCCGGCCCAGGAGGCCATGCGGATGATATAACCAGCACACTGCAGACGTAGAGACATGTCAAAGTCCTCAGACACGTGCGACTCGGACCAGTACTTGTCGTAGCCATCGTCGTCCTGGTACGCCACATTCTGCACGGCTGCCCAGCGGAGGATGGCATTGTGTCCGACAAAGGGCGCGACGTCGCCGTTGGAGACGGTATACCGAATCGCAGTGTAAATGAGGTTGGTGAAAAAGGTGATGCCATTCTCAAAGTACGTGTGGACAACCTGCATGACCCCGGACGAGAATTGCAGGATGCCAACGTCAGGGGCCTGCTCCATCTCGGAGGCAGCGTCGAAGAGACAGTCGGCAGGAACACGCGTGTCGGAGTCGATGAGTAGGATGTAGTCGCCAACACGGATGTTGCCATCGGCCCAGGCGCGGCCATCTTCCTCGAGGACGTCCTTGAGGGCCTGCTCGTAGGCCTGCGCCTCGTCGTGCTGGGACCACTCAGCAGGCCGGGAGATGGACTGTAGCTTCTCCTCGACCTTGTTCGAGATCATGAGGGCGTAGTTCATGTTGGACGCCTTCTTGAACTTGCCCCTGCGCTGGAACCCGTCTTCACCATGCTTCGGCCGGGCAACCCAGCCGATGCTGTTGTCGGCATAAAAGTCGATACGTTCACGGCGCTCCTCTTCCGAGAGCAGTTGCAGGCCGTCGTCGTTGACAAACATGTTGGCGGATCCGCCTTGGAGTTCATAGGTCGACATGGCCTGCTTGATGGACTTGACCGTTGGGATGATGACGCCCTGGAGACCCTCCTTGTACACGGGGCATTGGATGGTGACATGAGGAAGCGTGTCCGTTTGCAAGCGCTTGGGTGGGCGGGCCGAGTAGAACTTGGAGTTGACCGTGAGCTGACGAACGGGACCGAAGATCTGGGCGAGGCAGCCGATGATGACCTGAGCGAAGAAGAGGGTAAAGAAAATCTGTATGGGAAACAGTGCCAGCAGGGCGAGACGGGTAAAATTGCCATCGACCGAGATCTGGACGGCCAACTGCCGCCAGGCAGCTCCCATGGCAAGGAAGACCAGCACCATGGTCAAGGCAACGAGAACACTGTTCTGGAGATGGATGGGCCTCCTATCGGGCTTGGTGTCACCCGTCTCTTCGTCAATCTCTGCTGTGTGGACGCGAGGGGTCTTCTTCTCGTCATGGTCATCATCATCGACAGAGTTGCCTGATTTCCACACCAATTCCATCAGTTCCGATTCGATGGCCTTGGCCCTTTGCACCAGATGCAGCGCATCGTCGTCCCACACTACCAGCAATCCCTCGGACGCAACGAACGCGGCAAATTGGTGTTTTCTCGCCCGGGTGAGGTCCTCCATGGAAGGGATGATTTGGATCCGCAGGCCGTTCATCAATGGGACGTCGACAGCGTCAGGGCTCCATTGCAGAAAGGTTTTGATGACTCTAGAGTTCACGGTCATGGCACACTGCACGTTGATCGCCGCACAAGCAAGGGCAAAGGCAGAGCTGCCCAATTGGGGCGGACATGCCATGTAGTGACCTCTTGCTTTCCTCAAGAGCACGCCCTCGACCTCGCCGGAGCCATCACCCACCCAAAGTTGCGAGCACTGTTGCTGGTACAGGTAGTTCACCATGACCTCGTGCTTAATTTCGTCGATGAACATGGAGCTACCATTGGATCTGACGGAACGACCAGAGATCGACCCGGGACGGGAGAAGTTGCGCGGAGAGGGTGGTTGGAGCTCCATGTCGGTACCCAGAGGCGGCGGGCGAATTTCTGACGATGGCGATGTGCGGTTTCGCGGGGCAAAAGAAGGTGCTTGGGCGGGAGAGGGCGTCATTTCGGGCCTGTCAGCCTTGAAATAGCTTCCCAGAACCATGGTGAAGCGAGTGTCGTGGTGTCTGGCGCGATCTTGAAAAGAGTGGTGATCGCAGGTAGCGAGCGGCGCCTCAGCGGGCGGATGTCAAGGAAGCAGCAAGTCCTGGCAGAGGATCCTCAGTCGTGACAGAAGAGAGATCGATCTTGCGACGGATCAAACACAAAGCTTGGACGCCTCAACAAAGAGTGAGAGGAAGTAGGAGCAACTTTGGGAACACGATCGCCAAAGGTTGGAGGTGCGCAATGGAGGCAGGACACTGGGCCTTTTCCTGTCCGGCCGGACTCGACAGTCATAAAAGAAAGAACAGGGATAAGGTAGTGGTGGGTAGGAAGCAACAGGTCACGGTTTTCGATAACAACGGTCCAGCCCATCAACTTTCCTCTGGATCGAACCGAAAGACGCACCGTGTGAACGCGAAGAGGAGGGAACCTTGAAAGCAACAGAGGTGGCAGCATGCTCGCCAAGGACCTTGTTCGCTGGGTATCAGGGGCGTGGTGATAATGAGACATCCCTGTCAGTCCACGTTTTTACCGGGCCACAGCCAAAGAGGACCAATTCATCCGGTCAAGTCTGCAATCTGCATCGTCTCTGGTTATTCACGGTCTGTGAAGTTGGACGTCTAAGGCACAGACAGGTGCAATTTCAATCAGAGATCCGAGAAGGCTTCCGAACGTGTATGCTTCGTTCCCGGCAGACGCAATCCTCCGCTGTGACGTTTGGCAAGTGTCAATACTTTGCTGCATTCAATGTCGCATAGACTGGATTTCCGAGCAGTACGGATACATATGTGCTACATACGCAGGAGGCGTATGGCGGGGAGCGGCGGCGCCTGGGCGCCTGGCAAGCCAAGCCACCAGTGTTTTCCATCCACGCTAAAAGTCGGATTGAAGAAGCGCCCGTCCGTGGAAGCGCCAAACGGTTCTTCGCAACGAAGCAGGCGGATGGAGGGACGTTGGCGGTCTGTCTGTCGGGCTGTCAAATGGTAGGTGAAGGTATCGTGAGTCACGGGTCATGGGAGGGTTGGAGTTTGATGATATCTCAAGGGTAACGGTAAGGTAGGTCGTTCTTTCCCATATCAGGCGTTATTGCACAATGTGCCTGGCAATGGACGCAGGCTTTGCGGAAGGAAGCGTGCAAAGTTCCGTCGTCGTTCCTTCCTTCTTGGGCGTGAAGGCGGCACCAGCTCCTGGTAGTCCCCTCTGTGGCTGGCAGCCCGCCCGGTACCTTGAGACAGTGCCACTCCGTGCGCTAGAGATTCTCCACTCCTTCTTCACTCACCTAAATGTCCGGGTTCCTTTCACTCAAATCACTGTTGGTGACCGCTGCGAGAGGTGCTCACTGCTCAGGTAGCAATCATGAGGGGTGATAAGCTACTGGACTGGATCTGGACAGGATATCACTGATGCCTGCTTGTTCGTATCTGCAAGCGACCGAGGCTGAGCTTGGCAGGTGCTTGGCCCCTCAATTCTCACAGTCTAATTATCAGCACACAATACTAACAAGAGCCGTATGCCTTTGTCTCTTTGTATGGAGTACCGAAGGCCGAAGCGCGGAATTGGTGGGAGATTTTCTCGAAATAGTAGCACCATTGCACGTGGGATGATGATCATGTCTTAAAAACCCGCACTGTCCACAGTGTCCCACCAATTCGTCATGGATCCTCACTCGCTTCGGGAAGAGATTATCAGGAACAAGCTCCATATCTTGGGCGCTTCCACTGAAGCTGGCGACATTTTACTTGAGAAATCAAAAGCAAGCATCTTGGCAGTCCCACTCCGTCACACCGGGTAGCGCACACTGAACCAAGGATGTTGGCACACATCCGGGACCAACAATTCCACTATCCTTGATAATCGATGCAGGCGATCGGATCTACGTGTCGTATCTCTGTTCGGTCAGCATTTTAAGGCTCAAGCCAAGACGCAATCTCGAAGATTTCTCACTGGACTTGCTGGGGCCGGGAGAAGGCCCGTCGTATATGTACGGCTGTTCACTTGGCGATAATTGCGTTCCGAGAGCGTCATTACTTGTGGGCCAGTCGTTTTGACCAGATAACGCCATGTCCAATTGCCATGCTCAAAGATACAGAAAAACAACAAGGTATTAGAAATGCGGTAGACATTGGTTAGAGCTCCTCGTTTCCGTTGCATTGCTGCATCATGACCACCTTCTTGACCTCCATCTGCGGGCGCTCCCACGTCTCCAGCCACTGTCCCCTATCTTTCCAGAAATCTTTCCGGGCGTTGGGGCTCTCGTTCATCCACGGCTTGCCGCTCTTGCCGTCCTCGAACCAGCCGTTTGTGCCACCCACAGCCAGGTTGAGGATCAAGTAAAATTCCTGGTCGAATGGCGTGTTGCTGTTGCCGGTCTGGGACCAGATATCCTCCACCCTCGTCCCGTTGCTTCGTGCTGGAGGAAAGTCTCCGCGCTCCCACATGGGCTTCTTAAAGTTCGTGTACATGACTTGCAAGAGGCGCGAGTTGACGTAGGTGAAGAGATACTTCTGTGACCACTCGAGACCAAACGTGTTGAAGTCATCGGAATATGCGCCACGCAGAATCTGGTTCTTGTTGTTGGTGCGCCACCATGCGTCGTTAGCCGGGTCGGGCCCCCAGTGGAGGGCGGAAGAGATGATGTTGTTGCCGCCTTGCGCGTAGGTGTAGTTGTTGCCTCGACTCTCCATAATGTCGATCTCACCCGACGCGGGCCACGCACCGTACGTGTCTTTGACAGGCATCATCCAGATGGCCGGCCATAGCCAGTCGCCTTTGGGCAACTTTGCTGTCACCTCGACGCGGCCGTACTTGATGGAGGCGCCCTTCTTGGTGTTGATTCGCCCTGACTTGGTGGGCGGAACGATGCTAGAATTTCCAACTGTGGTGTTGGTGCTGGCAACGCAAGCCGAGAATTGGTCTGAGGTGCAAGTCCCGTCCTCCAAAAGGTCAATCAGAGTGTCCTTTTCGACCTTGTCTTCATCCTGCAGACTCGCACGGATTGTGAGCACACCATTTTCGAGGAACACATTGTCGTCACCCCCCGTAGTCTGGCAGAACTCGCCATTGCTTCTTCTGTCAGTATCGTAGGACAGGGCACGCGCGTGGAGGGCACATACCCGAAACCGCCAACTTCGACCTCCTTTGTCCAGATGGAGCTGTCCAGGCCACCTGAGAAATCGTCATCCATGACGGGACAATAGTTGTGTTTGACAACACTGTTGATTCCGTCCCAGACTAGGAAAGCAGAGATTCCCAACCCGGCTAGGATGCCCAGGATGGGGAATATGGTCACCCACTTCTCCTTGCTGTCCTTCTTGCCGAGCCAAGGTTTCTCACTTTCGACTCCCTTCGGAATTCGTCTTGAGTGGAAAAATCGTTGGCCATCGTGGCGGCTGCCATATCCGCCGTTAGATGTGGTATAGGACGAGTCTGGCCGGGAGACGCTTGGGCTGGCAAATGGGTTTTGTCGCGAGGATGCTGCGTCATTGAACGGATTGGCGATGCCGTCTGTGTTGGGTGTTCCGCCGCGAATTGGTGTAATGTCAGCCGATGTGTTTGCTGAAGGGTGAGGAGCTGCCGGTCGACCATAGTAGCCGGCGTGGTTGTTGTAGGAGGCTTCCTCCATGGCGCTTGCGGATGGTGGTCCAGTAGCAGATGGGAAGATTTTATGCCGAGGAAGGTAACAGTCGGGACTTGGGATGGTGAATGTATAAACAAGCCAAATTGGTAGTCTTGCTGAGGCACGGCTAGTGAACGATATAGATATTGAAGCAGAACAAAGTGAAGTTTCACGGTCAATCGCGAGGTCGCGGCAACAGCGACTGGAGAAGTGACTGCGACCTCCACGAGGGGACAGTGTCATGCACGGGTAGCGCACACTGTCTGCTCCTTGGCAATCGGGAACAATTACCATCCCTGCGGCATCATGGGTGCCTCCCAATCTTCCGTCCGCATGGCCAAGGCAATGCGTGCATCCATCCGAAAACACGGACATCTTTGGTATCCCAGCCCTCCACAAGACTATTGATAAGCCAGTCGGACCGTCATGGCGCGAGTAATGATTAAGTTACGTATCACGTTTCTGCGATTGCTGGCAAGCTTCGTGTTGACTCTTGAAGATCCACGGCTGCTCAAAGCAGCGGGTATGGAGGCGCCTTGCCGTCTCCGCTGTTCCTGCAGGTCCAGTCCCACTCCCCTGTTCTCCCGGTGTGCTAGCACCACGCCCTCCACCAAAAGATCCATTCTAGCCCTTACTGGCTGCAGTGCTGAACGTGCAACGGTGACCTCGTACTATTTGCGATGAGCCAAGAAGCCTGAGTGATCATTCACCAGCCAGAACGCCCGCACGCAAATTGTTGGTATTTCGTCCTTCACCTTGTTCCCAAGTGAAGTCATGTCAAATCGCTGACTGGAATGCGGCTCGCTCGCGCACTTGGTAGCAAAACGTGGGTTCCATCTTCATGTCCCGTGGAATGTGGACTCTATTGTTCGGGCGATTTGACTTTGACTGGCGGTCCGACATGCCTCTTTTGGACAGGACGACAGGTGAGGCGAGGAAGACCACAAAAGGCCACTGCAAGCCAAGAGAGCCACGATGGAGGCAAGAATTTGGGACTTTTTTTTAGTGTAGCAATCAGCGGAGGCGAGCTCCCATGATCAGATCGCAATGTGCGTCGGCCGCTTCCGAATGCCCTCACGTTGTGCAGCGATGAAGTCTGCAGAGGGTTTTGGGTTCCCTCGCATTTCAGCCTGTCCCTGTATTACGCATGGGCCGTCTGTTTCGGTGCGACTAACGACGGCCCTCAACATTGAATGAGGTCCACAAGAATGAGCCGAAAGAATGGACTGCTTTTGATTGCGGTTCACAGTATCATACAACTTACATGTGAGCTGTCGAAGTCAACCGGTCCATGTCTGAGTTCTCACATCCAAGCCTGAACTACACGTATAACATGGCCGTCCTGACCTATTCCATCCAGCAAATGTGTCTACAATGCGATAAGGTAACTCATCTTTCGCCATTAAGCCCAGAGACTCATATCTTGCGTTTGATTGCTTAACAAAACGTACGTGTAGGAAATTGATGTTGACGTTGATTCATGCTTCATGCAGGTCTCACAGCATATATATTTCATCCCATAAGCAGCGAACAGCCATGCATATCTCTCATGCTCGCTGCGATTGAAATTTGCCGTCGGGCTTGCATATCTCTATTTCTGCGTAAGAAATGATGCCGGAAGATTTGTTCCTAATAGAAATAGGTATCTCGCACTGGAGGCTGTGCCTAGAGGGGGCCACCTCCAGGTGCCCATAAGCCGTCAGAAAGCACGGGAGGACGAGAAGGAGGCATGTAATACAGGTGAATCCGGGTTTGGGCCAGAGTTGTTGAAAATAGAACAGGCGAAACTGACTTGGATGGACTTGATATAGAGCAGGGAGCCAACAGCGGGAGCAGACGTTGTCAAAAGATCTCGAGCGGCCGGGATCACATTCTCTATTTCAGTCCATATTAAAACGCCCAGAAAGCGAGCGACCAAGACGATGGACTAAAGCCATCGAGGGCTCTTGTCTACTAACACAAAAGCATCGGCCGGGGTCTCTCCAGGTCGCCTTGTTCTCGGCATTTCGCATAGATCAGCAACTTCTGGTACTGCCGAAATGCTACCTTTGTGCTAGCATTGCCACTGATTGAGCACTTCGCTGGCTCAAGACAAGCTCGTTTTCTAAGATGGTAACTTCAGAGTGCCAGCCAAGCTCCCAGTGAAACTCCAAACGCCAGATCCTTTGCTCCCAAGCAATTGGGAGGCGCATCGATCCATGAGTGGCTAGACGTGTAGCGTCTCAGGCGTTTCTGCTAACGATCCAGGCCGGATCATAACCAAACAAGACTCGCAAAAGACGATCATGTGCTATTATGGTATTAAAGATGCAAAGGTACTGCGGCATGCTGAGCAATGTTAGTAGAAACTCCCGAACAACAGCTGGGAAAGTGTGTACTTCTGTGCCATGCCGCCATTGATTTATTGCTCCTGTGTGAGTGAGGCGCGGTTGTGTGCGACCGCTAACGTCACAAAAGTACATTCTTCAGCCACGACCAGCGCTCATTGATCGTTCGCGGCTGTCCATACTGTAGCTTCGACTGCGAGTCCGGCGCATTCTGTCGCGCTCGTCATAGCGATCACCACCGCAGCCGCCGCCACGCCTGCGGGGAGAACGTGACCGGGAGCGGGAGTCTGCAGACCCACGGGAGTGACTTCGGTACCGATGTCCTCCACCGACAATGCTTGACCTTGAAGGCGAATGTGTGCCTGGTCGATAAGCGTCTCCACGACCGCCGAAACGACCACCACCAGGTGAAGGGCGCCGACGAGCAGCTCCGCCACGTCCTGCAGGGCCACCGCCACGGCCACCTCCAAAAGGTACTCGAGGGTCGATGTTCGCTCCGCGACGAGCTGTGGGTGGCGCAGGCGAAAGCTTGCGGCGGGGGATTACGATAGAAACGTTGATCGTTGCACCGTCCACCTGGGCTTCGTGCAGATGGGCAACAGCAGATTCAGCGTCTTCCACACGCTCGAAGAGGATATAGGCCGTGCCGCGGTTGGTATTTGCTAGAAAGACGTTAGCACATGATTGCCTGTTGGGCGATGAAACCTTACAAGAACGGTTAATCGGGAGATCCAGGTCAGTGATGCGACCATAGATTCCAAAGATCTCGTACAGATGGTCCTCGTTGATAGTCTTCGACAGACGTTCTACGACAATCTGCAAACGTCAGCCGGGTTCTCTTTTGAAAGGAAGGACTGCCGACCTTGGTATTGCCAGCCAACGGATCTTCGCTGCCCGCCCTGCCATTGCGCCCTCGACTCAAGCTGCGGCTGTCGGATCTGAATCGCCCATTACGGCGTGGTGACCGTGACAACGAGCGAGAGTCACTGCGCCGTCTCCGAGGAGGCGAGCGGGTTCTTGATCGTGAGCGTGAGAGGGATGGAGAACGCGAATAGGCAGAGCGCGGCGCGGGAGATCGCGTGCGTGAGCGATCTCGGCCGCGCGAAGGTGAACGGGAACGCATACTTCGCCCTTGAAACGGTCGCGTGGAGGCGCTGGCGAAGTAAGATGTAGAAGCGGCGTGGGGAGACGGCTTCAATTGGCTCTTCTTTGTCAGTTTAATGTGCGACTGTTGCCGGGTAGCATTGAGGGAGGCTCTTGCCCAAAGCTTCACGCGCAAACAGCGACGGGAGATCACGTGAGGAGTGACGACATTCCAGGTTCATTTGCGGCCCACATCACCGCCGAACTTCTGCGATTTGCTGGTCGTGTTCGAAATCAAATAACATAGAGCAATTACTGAGCTCGCTCTGTGCGATCCTTGGTGCCAGACTCATTGCGCTCCTTCATCTCATGCTTCATGAGCCTGTCCGACGGCGGCGTCCGCGGAGCAATGGCTCACTTTGCAGTTCTCAGACATGTAGTTTACCGTTTACACATGTCACTTCCCAAGACTTCCCACAGTACTGCCGAGTCATACCTCCCGACCACAGTAGCTTTAGACCATGTCCACGGGCTTGAGACGTACCCAGCATCCATCTACCAGGCTCGATCCAGTGCCTATCTTCAGCCTCATTGGCAGGGCATCGCACGCCTCGATGCTCTCAAATGCCTGGAAAAGCCGGACGAGGAGGTATGACAGCTGCGTCAGGGCGAGTTGCTGGCCAGGACAGAATCTTGGACCACCACTGAAAGGGACATAGCTCCACCTACACCATGATGTCAGCCTCGGACTTGAATACTGTGAGCGTGGGCACTGACAATGGTCTCAAAGACCCTTCCCATCTCTCGGGTCGAAACTCGTCGGCATCTTCGCCATAGACGTCCTTTCTCCTGTGAAGGCTATGCGACGACCAACGGACGGGAGTGTCCTTCGGAACGAACAATGGCGCCAGTCCATCTGGGCCGCCACCTCGGGGGAGGACAGTATCACGCACAGCTGTGCGCATATTCGTCGTGAGCGGAGGCCAGAGTCGCAATGCTAAACCAGTCAGTTCCGCTGCAGTTGCTGTGGTTCATATAGCTTGCCTTCTTTGATCACCATGTTCAAGTATCGCAACCCCTTAAGGTCTTCCCAGCTTGGCCTGGTTCCTTCCAGGACCATGATCTCGGCTCGAATCTTGGACACGACATCGGGTCTCCTCGCAAGCATCCAGAGTAAGCTGCTCCCAACACTGGCCGTGGTGTCCCTCCCAGCAATTATCATGCTCAGCATCTGGTCTCGGGCATAGCTTCTGGACTTGCCATCCCCCAAAACATCCTGCAGAAACATTTGGTCTTTCTCTCCCTGGTAATGCGAGTGCCTGTTAAGCATCGCGCGGTTGATAAAGTCATCGGCAAAGGCGCGTGTCGTTTTCACAGCCTCCTCGAATCGAGGATCGGGCTTGAGAAAGGCGATCGAGCCAAGCCGTGCACGGAACGCAGCTGCTTCGAGGGAGTAATCCAAGCTTCTTGCAAAGTCATCTGTTGAGACGGTAGAGTGTAGTAGCGTGTCGGTTGAGTATCCAAATCTATCGCAGTCAGTCAAGTCGAGGCCTATGCAACCAACTCTGCATGCTTACATGAACTCCGTGCTGGCATCCATGCCAAACAGGTACATCAGCTTCTGCAAGTCGACCTTGTCGCCCTCCATTGCGATTCTCGTCAAGAGGTTCTCGACATGGGCCTCGACACCCTGCAGATCTCTGATCTCGCCTCGGCGGAATATACCCTTGACATCATGGCGTGCCCTCTTCCATTCCTCCCCGTTCAAGGCAAAGAGGTTCTCTTCGCCAATCGCCAGCTGTGTCAACTTCTTTCGGGAAAACCCCAACTCCCAGTCTTCAAAATTTGTGCTCAGCATTGCCTTCACATTCTCGGGCTCGTTCGTCAACAATACCCACTGGCCAATACTCTGATTCCAGAATGTCTGCCCGATGGAAGTGAACATCTCGTTCCACATATCGAGAACAGCATACGTCCTCAGGGCGTGGAGCATAGCAAAGAACCAGTCCATGCCGAGGAGCACGTCGGTATGGGGATAGCTTTTCGCAGGAAGGGTGTTGTGAATGCGGTCATTGCGTAGCCAGTACTGCTGCCGATGGCACCAGAGCCCCAAGCAGAGTATGAGAGGCAGCGGCCATTCTGGCAAGACAGCGTAGAAGGCAAGAATAGTGTATGCCCCGGAGAGAGCCAGGGCGATCAAGTGAGCAGCTTCGGCCAACATTTTGTCGTGTTGCTTCCAGAACCCCAAGACAGTGAGGTTCCCCGGCACACAGAACCATGCTTGAGCACTGATGAGGTTCTTATATTGGCTATCGAGGCTGCATCACTGTCGCCGGGACCAAGGCCCAGCCCCCAAGATTGACGCATCGCAGGAGCAGAAGAATCAATATTTGACAGGCTAACGTTGCGGAGACAGTGACAAGCAGTCAGCCGCAATGTGATCGCAGTGACTGATCTCAAATGCAGTTGGCCGTGGCATAGTGACTATGTAGGTTTGTATCTGCGAGGCACCAATACTAGAAGCGGCGCGTGCCGCACTCCAAGGCTGGTCTTCTCTTGAACAACTGGGGACCTTACTTGGGGCAATCACCGATACAGTGAGATGTCGGGCCTTGGCTACTGAATCAGGAACGCACTGTCCAGCTTGGAATCCCGATCACGCATCACCTCGATTGCTACTGGTCGTCGTGGCGCGTAGCGAAGCGACGGGCAGCCATGTTGGTCGATAGTCATGCTCGCATGTTGGTCCGCGCTTGTTTGTTGGTCGGCAACAATGTTGGTTGAAGGAAAGAATAGCAAACATAGTCTATGTACGTGACCGCCGAGAACCCCTCCTTGACCCCCTGCATTTGATCAAAAAGCATTTGCAAGAAAGGACGAACGAGCCCTTACTTGGTCAATCAAAACTCCATGTCCAAAAGAAAAACTTGCCTCTCGAACACGAGCCGAGACGATCCGCTTCTTGCTATACATATACTCACGGTCACGCTTCGTCACCTTTCGGCCTATGCTTTGCGAACCTTGTGGGACAGATGACAGTCACGCAGGAGTCACGGCCCAACTCACGCATGCATTTCGGCATCTCGTCAACATCGGCACAGACCAACGCCCTCTCACATCGCTGTGGACCACCCACCCAATAATACCTGCAGTGTTCATCCAGGATTCATGTCCACTGAGACCTCGCCGATAAGCTTAAAGAGCCCCGCCACGTTGAGCTGACACTGGCGGGATTTGTCAAGTATTGCGCGAGATGCTCGGCATGGGCGGCTGCTGCAAGGCAAGCGTAGATTTATCCGCGGGATAGTTGCTGGGTATGGTTGCGGTTCAATGACTGGCTAGCGATTTGCGCGGCGCGACGCAGGCGGGACTCGAGGTTGTTGTCGCCGAGCAGAGCCCTTCCGTGGGAGACAAACTCGTTGTAGATGGGCACGAGGGCGTCTGAGTTCAGATCCACGCCGTAGTAGAAGAGCACGTTGCCATTGTGGTTGAAGCTGCCGTCGGCCTTTTCAAAGAACCATGTCAGGTTCTCGTCAGCCTCGCTCACCGTCCAGAACAGACTGGGGTTGTCCTTCTTGATGGCGACAAAGACGTTTTCGGCCACGTTGCTGAGCCATCCTGCCTTGGTGATGTTCAAGGTGGCCAGAGTAGCCATGGGGCGCTCGTCGGTCGGGGGCAAAACGACAGCCAAGCACTGCATAGCGTCGTCGTAATACGCAGTAAAGGGATTTCCCTTCAATGACTCGACAAAGCGATCGACGGTAGCCTCGGCATCAAGGCCCTCGCGGTCCCTGACGAGGGTAGCCTTGATCTTATCAAGGTCCTCAAACTCGGACACAGAGGAAGCCTTCTGAATCTTGTCGCCGCGACGGATCAAAGTGCCCGCACCTGAGTCGGTGAAGAGCTCCTTTTGCAGGTCACTGGGGTGGATGATAGCCACGCTAGAGCTGCGAGGCAGAGTGTCCAAGAGCTCCTTGATCTCCTTGATCTTGAGGCGGGTGCCGTACCTGCACCACTCCTGGGACATGAGATGGTCAAACTCCTCGTCCAAGTTGATATGGTTGATCTTCTCGTGGTCACCGCCAAACAGACCGCCCTTCTCCGACAGGTAGACGACCTTGAGGGGCTCAATGGCACGGGATAGCTCGGCAGCGGCGACGTCGGCATTGACATTCAGCAGCCTACCATCCTCAGACTCCGCCATGGACGTCATGATGGGCACGTAACCAGCCTCAATCGACTTCTCAATGGCCGCTGTGTTGACTTTTGTGATCTTGCCCACATACTGCCACTTCTCCTTGTCGAGGTAATCAGCCATAAAGACACCACTTAGGGATCGCGTGGCTACGCCCAGCTCGTCGAGTCGGTCGGTCAACTTGAGGTTCTCCTCTAGGAACAGTTTGCGAGCAATGCCCAAGGTCTTGGCATCAGTGACGCGGATACCCTCCTCGAACTGAGGCTCGACACCAGCGTCCAGCAGGAGCTGGTTCAGCTGGGGACCACCACCGTGGACAATGACCGGGTACAGGCCGAGCTCGTACAGGAACAGCAGACTGCGGCATAGTTCGTCGAGGTGCTCGGTGAGGATGGCTCCGCCCACCTTGATGACGGCGAACTTTTGCGACGAGACGGACGTGAAGAGCTTGAGGTACTGCTGGCCCTCACGCTTGCTGCCGATGCTGCTCACAGTCTGGGCAACAATCTCGCGGGTGCGGTCGCGCGTCGGGGCACGGGCGAGCCTGGATTGCGACGAGGTGAACAACCTCTGCTGCTGCAGGCATCGGGACGATTTCGGAGCGGTCGAAACGGCAATTGACGCAGGCCCACGAGCCACGGCTCGACGAGCGCCCGCGCGCAAGGTCGTGGGAATGGCAGACAGCATCTTGGCGCGGGAGCGTAGCCCAATTGATGGGGTTGGAGCGGTTCTGATACTGAGACGGCGGGAGCGGAGCAGATGATAATAGAGGAGGGTGCAGCTTTGTGAGGTGATTCTCGATGTGCGGTCTGGAGCCGGTGGGCCAAATGCGTCAGTCGGGCACTGACAGTGCCGGTGACGGCGCTAATAATTCTTCGGTACAGGTCAGGTAAGGTAATTTTTTTTGCCGAAATCGCTCGTATTGCTCTCACCGGCTCAGCAATAGGACACTAATCCTGGCTAGATCTTCCTTTCCTTGCTGATAAGCTGACGAGAACCACTCTGCGTAGGTTGGACACTGGTCGTGATCTGACAAGATCTTCATTGGGTTATTCGATGTATTTGGGGGTCTCTGCATGCTCTAAATCTACAGACCACAGGCCTCACTTCACGCAGCATACCTGCATGTTACACAGCACTTAGTTACTTACGTTTGACTGCTGTTCGCATGTCGGCGAGCCCATATCACACTTCAAGTGCACAGGGTTAAGTGCAAAGATGTGCGTAGCAAAGTCTCGATTAGTCGCAAGAGAGAACGCCAACCCTCAGTCATACATGTAAGTCGGACAAGTCTTCCTTCTCCCGCCACCAACAACAACGGCGGCAACGGCCGTCGCAGCTTCTCCCGTGTGTCGTAATAAGAACCGTGGCCAACATGAAAAAACTCCTCGGCACCCGGAGGAGATCCCCCAGATGCCTCGCTAATGTGTAATCTCCATGTGTCGTAGCCTGCGATGGTCGTAGTCAAGTCCAGGCTGCCGCATCTGCAGCCCCGAGATCAAAGATGGCGCTCTAGCCTTTGGTGACAACTGGGGACACGGTTAGTTCTGCCGTGACACTCTGGTTTCGATTGTGACTGTGCTCACCAATTGGTATGATAATAACAAGTAGCAGAATGATGACACCGACAATCAGGCACACGCGCATCTTCATGTCCTTCCACCACATCTGCTTGCGAACGCGGTTGGCACCGCGACGGAACCCCTGCGCCGAAATGGCCAGGTTGTCGGTCTTATCCTGGAGAGCATCCAGGCGCTCACCACGCTGGGAGACCTTGTTGATGTTGTCGCGCATCACGCCGACGGTGTCGTCAATTTGCTGTTAAAGTCAGCATATGAGTCGCAACGCCTGTGGTCTGCACGCCGGTCCCGCTGCGTGGCCTCTTTGTCGCATGGTGCTCGGTGCGCGGAGGCGTGGGTCGCCTCGCCTCGCCATCCACGTCAGACGGCCATCAACAGTGTGCCCTCCTCGTGGCGGTCTAACTTACGGCCTGCAAAGCTTGTGTTCTCGCATTCCCACCAGTGCCCTGCTGCTGCTGTTGGTGAGGCGCAGCCTGGCCGCTGGGGATATAAGGATCATAGGGGGCGTCCTGCTGCTCGGCCATCGTCGCGGTGTATCTGGTAGTAGGAGAGAGCTAAAAGGGTATCTGCGCTTCGTGTACGGCTCGTTTGGAAGGGGGATCGGGTCGGCTGTGATGAGGAAAAGTATTCGGGATTTGGATGATGGTCAGACGATGAGCGGAATGAAGGACAAAGGTGGAAATGGACCCTTCTGGTTGGGGGGGAACGGCCAAACCAGCCATTCGCTGAGGTGAGCGTACCAAGCTGCCGGGGGTTGGCTGGGGCCTGAATGAGGCGCCGCGAAGGGTGACGAAAGCACTGGCCTGCCCGTCGCTCACATGCCAATGAGGCAATCCACTGTGGCTGGTGCATGTGTCCTGCTTCCGACTACCATACTTAGGTACCTCAGCGTGAGATACTATTTTGCATTTGAAAAAGTCACAGAAGCTTCATATTGATTGCCGTGGCTCGATTTACATACAAGATTGCCATGCTGCTCACTTGGGTCGTCTGAAACGTGCCGCTGCTCCCACGCGACAAGCATGATGCACTCATGTGGCTTGCCGGGAACTGTGGTCAGTGATGTTCCACAAATAGCGTCGTGGCGGTGCAACACTGAAGCTCCAACGCCCGGCGGCGGCGGCCTGACACGCAAGCTCCAGATGCCCTTTTGTCCACTGTGAATCCATTGATATCAGAAGTACATATCTGGCTGCGCCTGACAGAGTCGCTGCGCACTGCTTGATGGTCCATTGTCTGCCGCCATCACATCGGCAACCGACAAGCCGCCATTATCATGGTCTGATCTGTCTCGCCCTTCTTGCGACGCACCACTGTCCAAGTCCGATTGTCGACATTTCTTTCTAGGCTCTCTCGAAGGCTGGTTATTTGATCCACCTGTCATCTCGGCATCGTTGACGACCATCTCGCCTGTCTTTTGGTTCACTTGCTGAGATTTCCAGGCGTACCATGCGCCTATCGAGCTCGCGTCATGGAGTGGCCAATTGTCCCATTCAGTGGCTCTGTCTGCTTTGCTCATGCCACCAGTGTAGTCTTGCGGATGGAGTGCAACGTTAGGTGTGAACCAGGTGTCCGTGGCATGTCTCCTGTCGATGATGTGCACCAAGGCAGCTTCTGTGTCGGCGAGGCGAGCTTCTAGTCTGTTGACGTATCCAAGCGGCAATCCCCTGGAAGAAGTCAGGATTCAGGTGCAAAGCCGTCATCTTGTTCCATGATAGCTACCTCTTGTTCTGCTCTGGATAGTGGCATTGTGACGGATCATGATGACATTGATTGCATACCGGGCTATTTCATGTCAGTGCCCAGCAACTGATCATTCAGCAACACGGGACTGAAGGCTCACATGCTTCTGTCGCACTTCGTGTCTAGCATCAGTCTTGTCTCTCCAATGAAAATGCGAATTCAGAGAGGAGACTCACGCGCCGTTTCTTTGTTCTGCAGCTTTCGCAAGCGATGGAATTGTGCGATGGCGTCGAGCCACGCCGACTTCTCTTGCGTGATCTGTCAGACATTATGAGGCAGTACTTTGAGAATGTCAAATATGACATCCAGTCTCACTATTACAAGAAACATGCCATGAATTTCATGAAACGATCTAAAAGCAATCTGTGATGCTGCTGAAGATTGAGCTGCTATCTTAATGTGGACGACGGACGTTCAGTGTGCGGAGTTTTCCTTGTCCGGCTGCTGTCGGCACTTGCTGTCGCAGACGCCATCAGCGTCACGAGTACGAAAGGCTGAATGCTACAGGTATTGAGCAATTTGAGCTCAACAACGCTCAGGGCGACAATTTCATCGGCTCGTCTGTCGGTCGTCGTGATTGAGTGAATCCGAGACGCCTCTTGCTTTTGAACGAGCCCGTAACTCCATGAGCAGCATCATCTCTCGTCGTCACGACCACGGGCCATCACAGTCATGACCATCCCTGGAGATTCGACAGAATCAACCCCTGAGCCAAGTCCCTTCGCGGCCTCTACGGCCTCTCGCAAGCGCAAGCGATCCTCTCCTGCTGGGCCGACGACCCGTGAGTATGGGTTCATGCGTGACACGGGCGAACACGACACAGCGCGCTTCGTCGGGTCCAGCAGCGGCATCCACTTCATTCGGAATGTCCACATGAGGATAGCGCGGAAGAACGCTCATACATCGAGCACGAGGCCGTTGAGGGAGATGGTTCCTGGGGAGGACGATCAACTGAGGCAGAGGGACGCGCAATGCAACACGTCTCTGTGGACGGAGAATGAGGTCGGAGACGCGGCACAGGTAGCAAGTTTTGATCAGCTCGTGCATTGGTCAAAAAGCTACTTTGAGACATGGCATCCGATACTGCCATTCTTACATGGGCCTGATGTACTGAGGATCTTCGAGGCTGTCAGCCAGGGTGGCCTCTCGTCGCTGGACAAGCATGACGGTGTCATCCTCCGGTCCGTCTTATCCATCTGCCTGGCAGACAGTCGCCAGAGCGCGCCCTTTCAGGACCAGATACCCCGAGAACTAGTATACAAATCTGTGGACCATGCAGTGATGTGCTCTCAGTTTGCGCTCCAGCAACCCGCATCGATACGAGCGACGCAGGCAGCGCTGAGCATTCAGCTCTTTCTGATCTCATTTCTCTGCCTCAACGCCGCATCTAGACTTGGTGGCTTGCTGGTCAAGATGGCTTTCCACCTGGGACTACATCGATGTCCGACACGATACCCATTCTTTACAGCAGACGAAGCGGCCAGGCGACGAAGAGTGTTCTGGTGCTTATACTGTTGCGAGAGGTTTCTCTCACAGTCGCTCGGCTTGCCTCTGGCTATACGAGATGATGATGTCGACGTTTGCTACCCAGGCGAGGAGCATCACGGCGTGAGTACGGCAAGCGATGACGGGGACAAGCGTCTGCGACTTCTGGCGTACATGTCAAAACACGCTCGCATTCGTGGTCTGATCCTCGAGCTGAGAAATAAGTCGATACCTGTCCGACATGACACACCTGAGCGGTCGATAGCTGTGCAGACCGAACTCGCGAAATGGGCGAACGAAATTCAGGATACCGTTGAGGCAGGCGACTCTGTCGACGACCGAGGTTTAGCATCGTCACACATATCCTCTGGACATCGCTCGATCCTTCTTCTCTCCAAGTACGAGTCGACGATATCTCTCAACCGGCCGATGATTGCTTCCGATCCGTCAACACCTCATTGGGGCGCGGCGATGCAGTCCTGCATATCGGCGGCGAAGAGCATATGCATCACAATGAAGCGCCATCTTCAGCAACACCAGGCCGAGGACAACAGGTTGACGGTGCCCATGCTCTGGCCTGCGTACATCTGGGCCGCCTGGATCAGCGCGTTTGTACTTGCCTTTGCAGCCTTTGAGCAACAGATGCCCATGAAGACTGCGCTGAGGTGAGTCGTCTATCTGCAGATGCTGTCAGTTTCTCACAAATTGTAGACACATTGAGTCCAGCAAAGAGGTACTGCGACATTTCGCTGCACGAAACACATCATGGCCGGAGTATTGCCTGTCCGCCATTGACGAGTTGACACTGGCCGTTGAGGAGCTCTCCCAGACATCAAGGGAGAGTTTCCCTCGGAGCACAGTCTACTCAGCGGTGCCGGAATCGCGCGAGACCGGTCGTACGTCGAGAAGTCAACCAATGCATGGCGAGGATGGCCAGTTCGGTACACCCACAACAGGCTCAACTGTTGATCTAGGACACGCACACGCCGCAGTGAGCCGTCCAGCGGCACCACCAGTTGTGACCTCGTCGACAGGCATTCACAACGCCTCCGACCCGGCCCTGAGCCAGGACGCTTACAATCGTCGACGATCGGGTCGCCTACCCGCAAGCTCAACCCGCGCTTCTCATCCTCACGCACAACAGTCAATCCCACCGCCGAGATCCTTGTGGCCGCCGCCCCTGGGGTCGATGGATGGTTTGGGATTTGACAACATTGATGCGGCACCCGGTGTCAATGGTGGTGATGGGGCCCAAGAATCGATGATGTGGTATGACCAGTTGTTCGATAGCTCATTCGGCGTGGTGGACAATCCGTTCCTGGCCACAGCTCCTTTTGATGCTTCGGGGGGGACAAATTGGTTCCCGGGATGATAATGCCATGGTCTTGACCGAGCAGCAGAAAGAGCCGTTACTGGAGGGAGGGGGAATAAACCATGTAATATCGACAACGCGATCGGCGGCCCAGCAAATAGCGTCGATCGGCCCATCCAACAGGAGAAGCCGCCTAGGTAAGGTACCTTCGATTGCATTTAACGTTAGCCTTTCAGAGAAGGGTGGCATCCAAGTTCCAACGCCCCGCGCCGCGTCGAGCGCCATGTGGATGTGCGACTTGGTGCTGAGACACAGCCAGACATGCAGCTGCTGAGTGTTTCCGTGCCGGGGACACGGGACGAATTGCAGGTACGTACATGTGCGTCCATATGATGACATGCCAAGGCCCAAGACTTGGTAGAATGGAGTCAAGCGGTGTTCACGGAAGCATGAATTGTGAAGGGCCCTGATGCGAGATGTAATGCAGACAGGGAACATCTTATCGACTCTGCCAGCCGACTTGAGACCGCCAGGAGTTCTTTTCGATCAAACAACATGAAGCTCGCGGAGGCAGTTGTGATGATGAGATGCGAATTGCGATGGTAGCCTTGAAAAGTTACCCGTCATAATGAACAGTGGCGCATCCAACACGCAAAAGAACCCCAAGAATCCCCGACGGGACCATGCCGAGCACCGAAAACGAGAAAAGTCTTGGAAGCTGGCTAACCGGACCTCGTAATTACTCACAGCCTGGGCCAAGGGCCATCGTGATGAGTTGGATGGGCCCCAATTCCACCCTTTTCTTCGCAACTTCCTTTGAAATAACGTCGCCCTATCGAGTAGCAGCCCTTGGTTCCGCGCAGTGGTGAAGCACGGTTTGGTTCCATCCAGCAGTGCGAATCGGATTGGCGTCACGCAAGGTCCAGCTTCGACCCGTTCACCTTGCGCGTACTCGTGCCTGTACCTTACATCGCCCTACCGCTTACTCTAATTGTATTCTCTTATTACTTGGGCTGTGCTCTGGTGTCTGTCGACATATCTCATCCAATCGCCTGCTCTTGTTCATTTCGACCCGCCCATCCGCTCGTTGCTAAGCCGCGGGCGGACCTACGCAAGTCACGAGGACAACCCGACTTCACGACGGCAAGACCCTGACCTACGGCGCCGCCTGTCGAGATTGACCTATGGCTTCTCTTCTCTTCTTTTCATAGAATCTCTTCATTCATAATGCGTCCCTTCGCAGGGCCATGGCGCACGCTCACAGCGCTGCTGGCTGTAGCTGGGCCAGCACGTCCGGCAGTGGCGTACGACTTGGACCCCAACTCGACAGGTGAGGCCTTCTCCGCGAAGAACCTCGTTTCATGGTTGACAAGCTGACGGCTATTTCCAGAGTCCGTGACGTCTATCGCTAAAAACATGGCGGACGACCTGCTTTCATTCTACAAGGGCGACGAACCAGGGCATGTACCAGGACTGCCCCCACAACAGTACTTCTGGTGGATAGGCGGTGCCATGATGGGTGCCTTGGTGGAATATTGGTACTACACAAAGGACGATTCATACGTCGAGACCACCAAAAGGGGACTCCTCTTTCAAGTCGGCAAATACGACGACTACATGCCGGACAATCAGACCCTCACAGAGGGCAACGACGACCAAGGCTTCTGGGCCGCAGCCGTGATGAGCGCAGCCGAGTACAACTTTCCCGAGGGCGGAGATGACCAGCCGTCGTGGCTCGGCTTGGCCCAAGCCGTATTCAACACACAAGCCGTGCGGTGGGACGAAAGCCAGTGCGGCGGTGGCCTCCGATGGCAAATCTACAACTGGAACAAGGGCTGGGACTACAAGAACTCCATCTCGCAGGGAACGTTCTTCTCGCTTGCCGCCCGCCTCGCCCTCTACACGGGCAACGACACGTATGCAGACTGGGCCGTCAAGTCGTGGGACTGGATGATAGACCTCGAGTATATTGACAAATGGTGGTATGTCTATGACGGCGCTCACATCCCGAACAACTGCACAGACATTGTGCCGTGGCAATTCACGTACAACGCTGGTGTCTTTATCCTGGGCGCCGCCGCCATGTACAACTACACCGAGTCGGACGCCTGGAAGGAGCGCCTGGACGGGCTTCTCGAGGGTGCCCAGGTCTTCTTCCGCGGTCCGAATGAAGATATCATGGAGGAGGTTGCCTGCGAGTCTAACGATCTCTGCAACGTTGACCAAGTGTCTTTCAAGGCATACCTAGCCCGATGGATGGCCGCCACGATACAGTGGTACCCCGAATCGTACGATCGTCTCTCGCCCCTGCTCCGGGCTTCGGCTGTGGCCGCGGCCGGGCAGTGCACCGGCGGCGCGAACGGGCGGATGTGTGGCTCGAAATGGAGCACCCTGGAGAACGACGGGACGGAGGGGATCGGCCAGCAAATGTCCGCCATGGAGGTCACCCTCTCGTGCATGATCACGAAGCGCGACCCCATCTTGACGAGCAACACGGGCGGCAAGAGCGAGGGCGATCCTGGCGCGGGCGGGAGTGATATCGGACGGAGTCGCAATGGCGAGCCGCCCAAGAAGGACTACCCGCCCATGACGGCTGGTCAACGAGCTGGGGCGGCGATCCTCACCGCTGTCGTCATTGGGCTTCTTCTGCTGGGCGTCTTCTGGCTGTGGCTGGACGAGACGTCTGACAAGGGACCTGTCGACCAGATGCGTGGACTGCCGTCCAATGCGGCTGCGGCTGCTGCTATGGTACCCATCGCAGGGGCGTCATTGTCCTCCCGCGAGTCGCAGGTCATGGCCGAAAAAGGTCCAGGGGTTCTGACGGCCGCTGAGGTTGGTACGAAGCACGTCGAAGAACCTGGGCCCGGGGTTGCTGCACCCGCAGCGGTCAAGAGGGCGAGTGTTGCGAGGCATTCCAAAAGAGCGTCTAATATGCCTCTCGGCTGGCCTCACAACCCTTCGATACGATCGAGCGTTGTCGAGCCGGGCCAGAGCGGGCAGTCGTCATCGGGAGAGTCAACGAGGGGGACAGACGACGATGAGATTCGACCAGCAGCGCCGACCCATTGAGGCGGGCGGCTGGTCCTGCGAACATGTACAGTACTACGGGAGGGATGCATATTGCGATTTGCTGGGAGCTCATAGAGACTTGGCTATCTCACAGGCGTTGTTGGTTGGGGCGCAGATTTGACCCACATGGCATTGGTATATGAACATTCTTCTAATGGAAAACAACAAACGCAAGGCGTTTTCCTTTTCTTGCTCTGGCCCGCCAGATGCTCTTCGACTTCCTTACTGACGGCCATATGTCGCTTTGACGCCCTCCGCCTCGCTGTCCAGATACCTCGCGAAGCTGACGGGCTCCATGCCCCAGTCAGCCATTCTTTCCCTCGCTTTGTCCACGTTGACAAGCTGCGCCATGTTGCGCATCGCCTGCTGTCCTGCCACGAAAGGGTTGCTTCCCTTGGTTGCCTCGACTTCTTCCTCTGACAACGACTCCATCCTAAGTTCCCGGCCTGCCTTGCTCGACAACACCGCAAACATCTCCTTGAGAGTGAGGGTCTCGTCAGCATACGTGAGTGTCTTCTGGCCAAGGGACACGGGCTCCTGCAGAGCCCGGGCGGCGACGCGTCCAATGGTCTGGGTCGAGACGAGAGGCAGCTTGTCATCTTCCCGCAGCGCCGTCTTCCATACACCCGTTTCCGCCAGGCCAAGGACCTGCCGTTGGGCAAAGGGGTCAATGTAATTGGCCATGAAGTTGGCAGGGCGTAAAATAGTGTAGTTGAGACCGCTCTCCTTGACAGCCTTCTCCAAGTCCGCCTTGGTGGTGAGGATCTTGCCCAGTATGCTGTCAGGCTGGACGCCCAGGGCGGCTAGGTTGTCAACGTAGACGCCACTGGAGAGGACGACGTGGGGGACCGCGTGCGTCTTGCAATGGGCGATTGTGGTGTTGGTGGAGCGAAGGTTGGCGCTCCAGTCGTTGAAGTCGGGCATAAAGTTCATAAAGACGGCATCGGCGCCCTTGACGCCCTCCTCGATGGCGGCCGCGTTGTCCCAGTCGCCTTTGATGAGGGTGACGCCCTGCTTTTGGAAGGCTTGGGCCTTGGGGGATGTGGGATCGCGGCAGAGGGCAACGATGGTTGGGGGCGAGGGTTGGTCGAGAAGATACCGGGCTGTGGCAGAGCCTTGCAGGCCTGTGATGTTGTTGAGGAAGAAGGTTGGCATGGTGGAGGGTGGGTGGTGTCTTGTAAGATGCTGCTTAGACAGGGGGTTGTTGATGTTGTTGGGAGGGTGAAAGAAACTATCATCGTTTCACTTGAAGGGCGATGCTCTTATAGGAATTCTCGATTATCTCCTGTGTACACCATTCGTTCACTTGGACGCCTTCGCGGAATTCCGTCGATGGACTACACCTCGAAGCATCATTTACGCTCATACATGCGTTTGCCCGTTTGGGAAAGACTGAACACAGACATAAATAGCCCTCCCTGCTGCCACCAAAATGACCATATGAAAAGCTGTCACAGTGATTGCTTTAATTTGGCAGCCCGTGGGCGGAACTCCGCCTGGCCCACCTCTCCTTCGAGATTCAAGTCCCTGGGTCCACAATCTCAGTCATCTCAGCAACATGTTCTCCGAACCTGTGTCATTATCACTCTTACCATTTGGGGAACGGCCATGTCTTTGACAGCCCGGGAGCGCGGAAATCCGCCTGCTAGGCAAAAGTCCTGCGCGGCATGCATCAAGGCCAAGCGACGCTGCGACGCGGGTACTCCGTCGTGCGCTCGAGTACGTACATGTGCACTTTCTTACAGTTCACGCTAATCACTGACTGACTGCAAAGTGCGTCCAACGAGGAATCCCGTGTGAAATGCCCTCACGCAGCCGTCCAGCTCGAAGGATGGGGGCAAGCATCATCCCACCCAGCCCAATCGCTAGCCCACGAACCAGCTTGCCCGAGTATAGCTGCGTGAGTGAACCATTGTTCTTCGATGCACTGCCTTGTACATCTGCGGCAGATTTCTTCCCTGATTTCTTCCCCGCTACCTTTGGCGTTTCCCCGGAAAGCACGAACATAGGTGCACAGGACCTTGTCTATCAGCCCTCCACGCTCGCCGCGCCCGCAAGAAAGGAGCTGGGTCCCCTTCCAGAGGGCGCGAGGCGAAAGCTTCAGTATCCCATTCAACTTGTCAAAACGGTCCCGAGGATGATGGTGGAAGAACTGCAGACGCCTTGGTGTCACCCAAAACTGTATGATGACGAGATGCCACGGGCAATGCAAGGTGTGTGTCCAGAACCCCATTGGTGCCCATCAGCAAGCACGCTCTGAAGACCAAGCCCCTAATCACCGCAGACGCATACTCATGCTGTGCCATGTACCTGTCCAAGAACAGGGTTAACACTCCCCTCATACTTCGCAACATTGACTCCAAGGTCAACGAGCTCCTGGCACAGCCTGATCCCACTACGCCATTGGCCTCCTTGGCTCATACGCAGGCACTCCTGCTATACCACATCATAAGAATATTCGACGGTGACATCTCCTCCAGGGCAGAAGCCGAACGCACACAAAATGCGCTGGAGGACTCGGCGTTGAACCTTGTGGTCCATGTCGACCATGTTGATCCCTTGGCGGGGAAGGAGACCCGTCTGCGGCTGTTCCCCATGGCGCCGACGATAGCGTTCTGGAAGTCGTGGATCTTCAGCGAGTCTGCGAGACGGACGTTACTCTTCACCATGTTTCTCCTCCAGGCCTACCGGATCTTGGCCGGTCTCCCGGTGGCGCCGTGCGACGGCAAGCTAGGGCTGAGCCATTCCTTCACACTGTCCGCGCCCCTGTGGCACGCTGACTCTGCTGTCGATTTCGCACAGCAGTGGGAGAGAACGGGCCACTTTGTAATCAGGAATGGCGGTATTGACGTGATTGTCAGGGAGGCAACCGCGGAGGATGTGGATTTCTTTGGGCGGGTGATTCTGACGAGTGTCCTGGGCGTGGATGAGGCTGAGGGCTGGTTCGCCAGTAAGGGAGGTGACCTGTGGGCGGGCTGTCCTTTGGGGAAGACACAGAGTGGGCGGTTTTCTAATGAATCTGTCCTTGGCTGACTGTTTGGATCTGGGCTGTTTTCTTCACCATACTGCTGATGTGAGAGCATGCCAAGTGCAGCTTGCGCTCGTAAGGTCGTGTCCTCCCACGACTGCTTCGCGGCACAGTAGAGCTAGAGGATCTGGCGTGTATACTACTTGAAAAGGGAAATGGTCATTCTGTTTATATTTACAATTATTTCGCAGACTGTCAACGTTGATTGTTCGCCCCTCCCTCCATTCGTTTGTCGCCATTTTGACAGTCTGATGAGAAAAAGGCCACTGCTTACATGGATTCCACACTAGAAGTAACATAAGATTTACGCTATGGTCTCTCTAAACTAAACTCTGTCTTTTAAAGCTCCAGTCCAGTCTGAATGTGTGTCGGCCGTTGTCCATATTAAACCCGAAACGGTTCCGGGTAGGCGTCCATAGCTTTCTAGGCTGGCCCGATTAGATAAGGATTTGATGGTCAAGTCTCAGGGTCCGATTGCCAACGCGCAGTTGACAACAGCCCCACGATTCTGCAACTAAACCATCGCAGACAACCTGGGACACCCGAGCTTCTTCGCTCATTCAACTGGAGCTGGGCAAACCTCCCGCAATCATGTCATTCTCACGGCTGCGTACGGATGTTCCCCGTGCGAATGAGGATGGCGGGTCCCTTCTCTCCCCCAACGGTTACGACGACGACGCCTCTTCCGTCCACAGTCGAAGCGAGCAGGACACCGATAGTGATGACGATCAACTACAAGCACGCGCGCGGAATAGTCGCGAGTTACGCGCTCGAGATAGAATGGTGCTCATGGAAGACGAAGAGATAGAAGGATTGGTCACAGATACTCGGAAGAAACAAGAGCGCTCCCGCAGAGGCTCAGGACTAAATGTACCGAACCCACTCAGGATGATACAGCGCCGGGGAAGCAACGCTTCGCTCAACAGCTCGACTGATGACCTTAACGACGTGAAGAGGCAGACCCGACGAGCCCGGCGCAAGCAGAAGAAGGAAAGGCTGACGGAGAGCGCACAGCATGGGGAGGACGGCGAGCTCATGTACGAAATGGAAGAGGGCGGTATGAAGGAGGGCAGCTCGACAGGCGACAGCAGCGAGCGCGAGGATAGCGACCAAATCGATCGACGGCGGATGGGCTTAGTCACAGATGCTAGGGAAAGAAAGGGCCGTAGTTGGTGGCGGTGGCTGTTCATCCACAGCTTGATCGCCATTGGTTTCGCGATTCTTGTGCTTATGGCCTGGAAGCTTTCGAGGAACAGGAAGAGCCTCGCAAAGCAGGACTTTGTGAGCAATGGAACGGCGCTGTTTGCACCCACGACCATCATCATCAGCCTGGACGGTTTCAGGGCGGATTTCTTACAGAGGGACATTACGCCCACATTGAACGCCTTCATCAAAGAGGGCGTGTCGCCAAAGTACATGCTTCCGTCTTTCCCATCTGTCACCTTCCCGAACCACTACACCTTGGCAACAGGTCTGTACCCCGAGAGCCATGGTGTGGTGGGCAACACATTCTGGGACCCCGAGCTGTCCGCCGAGTTCTACTATACCGACCCTGCGCGCAGCCTCGACCCCAAGTGGTGGGGTGGAGAGCCCTTCTGGGTGACTGCTGAGAGGCAAGGCATCCGCACAGCTGTGCACATGTGGCCCGGCAGCGAAGCTGGCATTCTAGACGTCGCGCCAAGCTTCCTTGACAAGTTCAACGGCAAGGAGTCTCTCGAAAACAAGGTCGCCCGTATCTTTGAGCTTCTGGACAAGCCTGGCAAGGAAGACAAAGCAGCCATGGTTGCGGAGATGCGGCCACAAGTTGTTGCCGCCTACGTACCCAACGTCGACTCACACGGTCATAAATACGGCCCCAACAGCACCGAGATCATGGAGACCATTGGCAAGGCCGATACGATGCTTGAGAAGATCTTCCATGGTCTGGAGGACCGTAATCTGACGGATATTGTCAATGTCATCGTGGTGTCTGACCACGGGATGGCCACTACTGACACATCACGCCTGATTCAGCTAGAGGACCTCATCGACACTTCAAAGATTGAGCACATTGATGGCTGGCCATTGTATGGCTTGCGACCGTACAAACCGGAAGACCTGAACCCACTGTATGACCAACTCGTCGAGAAGGCAAAGTCAAGCGAGAATTACGAAGTTTACCTTCGAGACGAGAACATGCCCGAGAGGTACCATTTCTCCAAGAACGACCGCATTGCTCCACTGTGGATTGTGCCCAAGACTGGCTGGGCGATCGTGACGAAGGAGGAGTTTGATGTCGAGAAGGCCAAGGCTGACGGGACTGTCTACCATCCCCGTGGCCTACACGGCTACGACCACGAGCACCCCTTGATGCGAGCCATCTTTGTCGGCCGTGGCCCAGCGTTCCCTCATCCAGCGAACAGCGAAATCGAGGTTTTCCGTAAGTTCTGCCCCGTTCATTCTGTTAGAACAGGAATCTGACGCTCTCCTGCAGAAAACATTGAAGTGTACAACATGCTGTGCGACTCAGTCGGCATGGAACCGAAACCGAATAATGGAACACTGCGCTTGCCCCTGAAGCCGGTTGGCACACACAAGCCCGAAGATACGCCCGAAGTACCCGAGGACCCTGTCCCGCAGACGCCTACAGCTGCCGAGGCGACCGAAGAGCCACGACCTACCGTGCATGGGGAAGCATCGCCCTCGCCCGGACCATCTGATCAAAAAGGGGATGATGGAGAGGGAGGAAATGAAGAGGAAGAAGACGAAGACAAAACGGATGACAATGATGGCGACACGAATAACGACCAGGATAAGGACACAGGCGGTAGTGAGAAGGGAGAAGATGGGATCGAGGGCCTTTGGCACTGGTTCACTGATACGGTGGGCGACGTCTGGGACTCCATCACGGGGTCATAGGTGCCTTGAAAGGTTTGAACGTGTCCGCATGGATTATTTTTCCTCAGCACGGAGTTCGGGGTAGTATAAACCGGCTACACTTAATATATATTTGATTTCTTGGATGAACAATACATTTGGCCCTTGAGGTTGTGCCATCTCAAATTGTAGATCTCTAGAACAGGTACGTGGCCGCAATGGTTGATTATGGGCAAAGCCAAGTCCTTGCCCATTGACTTCATCGTGTTTCTCACAGAGACAGTACCGAAGACATATTCACTATGAAAGTCTTGGGATGAATCATCTCATAGGTATGTTTGTCCTTCTCGGCAGGGGTATGTTCCTGCTATCTAAACTCCCATTTCTTAGGTGACTTCTGAATGTATTCGACATGATGAGAGAAAACAAGACTGAACAGCCCGAATTGTAAATGTTTCCTCTGTACTATTTGGAGGTGCGTATAATGTCTTGATTGTCATTGGCAATCGCTCAAAGTTACCTCACGGTGCTAGTGGCTTGAGGTTCGTGGTGTCCCGTCACGCGCGTGGCTTGTACGTAGGTGGTACTTTACGCGCTCCGAGGTCTTGTGGGTCAGAAGTGGGTCTCAGTTGGCCAACTCAAGCTCAGGCTAGGCCCAGAGCGGGGCCAGCCCACATCTGGCAATTCCGTGCAACGCGCCTTTGCGCAGTCGCGACATGGACGGCGCCATTAGTAGTTATCATCGCGAATCACCCATGGCACTTGCCCAGTTGCAGTCCTCAACAACTATCAACTGCCATCGGTACAGGTATTTTCCTTTACTGTGTCACCTTCCTCTGACTTGCGCCCGACCATTTACCGTGAGCCCTCACCTTGATCCTATTTGTTCTTTCAAGTTTTCAATATTACTGCAATCGCTGTTGATTGACCACCAAGTCACATTTCTTTCTCTCAACACAAAACCGCCCTACACATGTTGCTTCGCAGTGTCCACTCACGATGGAAGAGACCGAAATTCAACAGCTTCGGGACGAGCGAGAGCTGGCGACAGTGATGCTAGAGTCCCTAATCGACACTGACTACCCCGGTGCTGAAGAGGAGCGCGCTGCACAGAGAGCGGACATTGCCCGATTTGACAGATTGATCGCAAAGGCAGAGCGAGGCGAGCTAGCCGTCGAGGACAATGATGACGAAGCGGACTTTTCGTTTCCCAACTGTAAGTCGTCATTGTTGCTACCTTATGCCAGGATGGCACTGACTTCAGTTCAAGCGAGACCGAGCCCTCCAAGAGCCGCGACGCCTGGACCTTCAAACGGTGAGTGCAAATATTTGAGACATACATCCTCATTCGGTTCTTTGTCGCCAGTCTGTGCTGGCTGCATTCACGTACTATCATGGGCCTCTTGCACGAGGCTTGAGAATTGCTGGTTCCTGCGCATTGTTTCCGATGCTACTTCGCCTCATCGCAAAGCCCAGCTGCATCTCAGCGCTGTGGGATAAAGTACAGCCTGAGAGCGCCGGAGCTGGATGAAAAAACTGCCCATTCTTTTGGCCTACTGGTTGCTTATTCCTCATGAAGTAGAGCGGCGCTTTTCAATCTTTTCATGATCATTGCTGACGAGTCACGTCCTATCAGAAAGTCTACTTAGCCAGCAGACTCTCCAGGAGACCTGGGCGCCTCGCCCTCGTACACCTCCAAGCGCTATGCCGCAGACACAGCCACGCTCGGAGAATCTCCCGAGCAGGAAGCGCGAGCGCAGCTCGACGATCACCAACGCTGAACCTCACCCAAAGTCGCGAAGGTCGACACCGACGCCAGCGCCAGCGCCAGCCCGCGGCCCTGCACCTCCTGCCTTGAGTCATCGCAACGAAGTAGGGCCTACGGACGATTTCGATTTCATCGATCTTACTGGGCTTGATGACGAGGATGACGGAGAAAGTGCGTATCAAAGGGCTCGTTCAGATCACCATAGGAGGTGGAGGGATGCCCACCGAAACGGACTGCAAGAAGCTCGTTTATCTGCCACACCAAGTGTCCCGATACATACCTTCCGTCCTGCTGCTCCGGCTCACCCTCATTATGTAGGCCAAGCTATGCCCGGACAATGGCCAGTGCAAGGCAATGGTGCCCCCGCCCCTCCTCGAACACCCACAGCGGAGAATAACAATGACCCGTGGTCGTTTTTGGATGATGTCGAATATCCTCCATTCAACCACGGCCCCGCGCAAAATGAAGGTGGACCTCCGGGGGTGTTACTGATCAACGGCGCCCCCGTTCCCTCACAACCCATTCAGCCTCTGTATCATCCAACACGACCAGGGACCCCGGGATTTATGGAAGTTGCCAGAGGAGTGCTAGGAGATGGCATGCGCCAAGTTGGTAATGGTCTCCAAGGTATCATCAACAGGACAGCTGACTTCGACTATGTCAATATGCTCGATCCGATGGGGAACCCCTTGAGCGAACGGCACAGCAGACTTGCCAACATGATGCAAGATTCTCGAGTCTCTGAGAAAGAACTGGAGGACCTCTTCAAAAACATTCGGCCCGATTTGGACATACCTGAAGGCAACCGTGGCAGGACCCCAGCGGGTCTTGATGGGACACTCTACCCTCATCAAGAGGTTTCCTTGACGTGGTTGAAGCAAATGGAAGAGGGCACCAACAAAGGAGGTATCCTAGCCGATGACATGGGACTTGGAAAAACCATCTCAATGATCTCGCTCATGCTCGAAAGAAAAGCGGATGGCCGCCCGAAAACGAACTTGGTCGTTGGCCCGGTCGCACTCACGCGACAGTGGGAGGCCGAAGTCAAATCAAAGATCCGTTCTTCACATCGCATGTCGACCTTCATACATCATAGTAGCAAGAAAGCAAGTCGACAAGAATTAATGAAGTACGACGTTGTATTGACTACATATGGCACTCTCGGCTCCGAAATGAGCCGCATGGCCAAGATGAAGGACGAGAAGCGCACCATCGACTGGGAGGATCGTACCAACGACCTCAAATTCCCTCTACTACATCCAAAAACAAAGTTCTATCGCATCATGCTGGATGAGGCGCAATCCATCAAGAACGTGAAGACATGGGCGGCCAAGGCCGCCCACGAGCTGCAATCAGAGTATCGCTGGTGCCTGACGGGCACCCCCATGATGAACGGAGTTCGGGAGCTCTATTCCCTCATACAATTCCTGCGAATCAAACCTTACTGTGAATACGAGGAATTTAAAGAGACCTTTGGCCGGCTTTTCGGACTCAATGGAGCACCACAAGCGCATGCGATGAAGCAGCTTCGCATCCTACTGAAGGCTATCATGCTCAGGCGCAAGAAGGACTCTCTGCTCGATGGAAAGCCCATCTTGCAACTCCCGCCTAAGACAGAGGACGAGATCCATGTTAAATTTTCAGAGGACGAGACATCATACTATAAGACACTGGAAACCAAGTCGCAGGTCATCTTCAACAAGTACCTCCGCGAGGGCACGGTCGGTAAAAATTACTCTAACATCCTGGTATTGCTGCTTCGGCTCAGACAAGCGTGCTGCCATCCCCATTTGAACATCGACCTGGACGAGTCGGGGTCGTCGCCAGGCTCCACGGTGGCAGCCTCAGACAAAGCTCTGAGAGAGCTTGACCCTGGCACCGTTGAACGTATCAAGGCGACAGAGGCATTTGAATGCCCTATTTGCTACGACGCTGTTCCGAACCCATCCTTCTTCGTGCCCTGCGGGCATGACAGCTGTTCGGAATGCCTGGCGCAGCTGATTGACAAGGCGCTGACCGATGGATCGGGAGGAGATGAGGGCAATGGCGCATTCTGCAAATGTCCGGAGTGCCGCACGCACTTCAACCCAAAGATGTGTTTCAACTTTGAGACCTTCAAGGAAGTCCATATGCCTGACCCCACAAAGGCCGAAGCATCTGGCGTAAAGGACGACAAGTCGGAGACCGAATGGGAAACTGACACTGACACTGACATTGGAGCCGAAGATGAGGTTGACGGCAAGGGCAACTTGAAGGACTTCATTGTCGATGACAGTTTCTCGAGCAGTGACGAAGACGACGAAGGCAAAGCTAAGGCGGACGAGCAACCCAAAAAGCGCTATCGCAGGAAGAAGAAGCCGTCCAAGGATAAGGGCAAGGCAAAGGCTGAAGAGGATGATACCACTGACGTGAAGCCCACGATGCTCGCACAACTACGAAAAGACGGTCGGAAGAACCAGCACTTGTACAAGAAATACATGGCCTACTTGCGCAAGACCTGGTTGCCATCAGCTAAGGTTACCGAATGCATGAAGCTGCTGCGCAGCTTTGAGGACACGGACGGCGTGAAAACGATCATTTTCTCCCAATGGACACGCCTTCTCGACCTCCTCGAAGTCGCCATTGGGCGCGAGGAACTTCCCGGCAAGCTGGTACGATACGACGGCGGCATGTCCTCTGGGCAGCGCAACGAGTCAGCACTCAACTTTGAGCGGAAATCGGACATCAAAATCATCCTCGTCTCCCTTCGAGCTGGCAATGCTGGCCTCAACTTGACTGCTGCATCACGTGTGATCATCATGGATCCTTTCTGGAACCCATACATTGAAATGCAGGCTGTCGATCGTGCGTATCGAATTGGCCAGAAAAAGGAAGTCAAGGTGTACCGTATCCTCACGCAAGAGACAGTGGAGGACCGTATTGTCGAACTGCAGACGAAGAAAAAAGAAGTCGTCGAGGCCGCCCTAGACGAGGACGAGAGCAAGAAGATTGGTAGACTATCGCACGCAGAACTCAAGTACCTGTTTACGGGTTCAAGAAATTGAGCATGAGGAGCAGCAATGCGCTTGCACGACATGTGGAGAGCGTCGTGTTTGCTTACGATGTGATTATGATTGTTTGCAAGGCGTTTGAGGAGATGAATTACTACCGTGGCACGGGAGAGAGTACCCTGATGGGATATTGATGGCCAAAGTAGGTACATTGCTTAGATTGGATGGACAGATTCAGATCATAAAAGACGCGGATTCGTTGGTATGTCGGATATCTCATCTATAGACTTTCTATCTTTTCCCCTCGTCAACAATTTGGCCAACCTTTTGTGGCAGAGTGCCCTCCACCGATTCCTGCTCATTGTCTTTCCAGACATACTCTTTTAGTTCTGGTTGTCCTCTGTGAGTCACATGGACAAGAGAAATCGCCGGTTCGCCTTGCTCTCTCTTGATATCGAATCGCAGTTCGAATGTCCCCTCTTGATTTTGAATGGCCGCCCCCGTCGCACCCAGGATCCAATGCTTCTCTCCATAGCGCGAAAATATGTTGTGCGTGAGGGCCTTGACGCAGGCGATGCGGAGATAGGCCATCAGAGACGGAATATCTATGTATCCATCTTTGTGAGGGGGGCAGGACGTCGCCAGTGGAGATGACGGCGGTACAGCCACGAAATAGTAGGTTGATATAAAGGGGTGCAGGAACGTACGCCCGCGAACCGTGATTGTCACGTCATCGAAAAACGACAGCGTTATTGTCAATTCGGGCGGCTGAAACTCGTTTCGCACGAGTGTATGCGCTGCGGAGGTGTTGGGCGCGTGAGTCGCAGGTGATGTATCTGGCACGGCGGGTGTAGTTGTCACGACAGTGAAGGTTGAGGGGAGGCCTGCGGCTTGGAGCGTCTGGGCCAGGGCACCTATGCGCTTGGTTGATGCGGATAGGTTGTGTAGGTATGTCGTCCGCCCGATGAGGGGTCGCAAGAGGGCATATGGCTGTTGGCCCCTGGAGCGTGTCACTTGCGGCGGTAGTGGTCTAGTACGCATCTGTTCGTTGTTCCGGTGCGTGTAGCTCAGAAGTATATGCAGGGCCAGTGACAGGCCCTCTGCGGTCTCATTTTCCGGCAGCGACGAGTCCGGCGACGGAGCTGAGTCGAGCGACACAAGCTCTAGGATGATTCTTGATTTGCGGCCCATGTTGAAGGTAATCGTCGACCCTTGAAGCTGAACGCCCAAGGCCGTCAAGGTGCGCGCCTCCCGGCTAAGCTCGAACCAAAGCTCCTGAGCAAGTAGTGTGTTGCGTGCCTCGAGGACACGGTCCTCTAGAGGCGCATCTGCAGAGGGCTGCGAACCAATTGTCGAACGCCCCATGACGTTGCCGTCACGTTCGTATGTGACGAGAAGTCGTTCAGAGACACCACCTAGGCGTCCAAGATCTAGCTGCACCGACCCATCGTTATTTCTTCGCAGAGGCGCGAGACCGTTGGCTTTGAATTCGGCGGCAGCTGCGAAAGTCAGTACCGCACCACTATAACTCGAGACAAGGCGCGCACGTACACTCTGAGAACCCAAACCGCACCCCAAGAGTGGTCCTCTCTTGAGGCATTCTGCATATTGACCAGCCGCTACCTTGCACGCCGGCGACATCTTCCCAATATTTGTTCTCGGCATCAACCTCTTTCTGCAGAAATGCGCACGCCGCCTCTGCCGAGTTCCTCGTGTTGTCGATGTCCATGAGAGTCCACCCAACAGCAATCCGACGCTGATCCTCAGCCTTGGTAAGGTCATCCTTGGGCCGCTCGAGTCGATCTGCGCCTAGTGTGCCAATGCCGACGGTCTCGCGGAGCTGCTTGTTGAGCGTCAGACTAGCGGTCGTCGGGTTCTGCTTGGATAGGAGGAGAGACACGGTGTTGAGGGTCGCGTCGGCATGATAGGCTGCTATGCTTCAAAACGGTCAGCCATGTCGCATTGTCACGAAAGCAAATCCGGAACGAACTCGATTTCTCTCAGCACCTGCTCCCGTGCTTGCAAAGGATCAATCTCTTCTTCATCGGCGTCCTCTTCCTCTTCCTCCTCATCCCCATCAGACATGTCGGCATCGTCGTTCGGAGGGCCAGCTTGGGCTTGCCGTGCTATCTCGTTACGGAGCTTTACTTCTGTGACATCGCGGAATCCACCCGACTGCGTGTTGATACGGCCGATGAAGTCGGAGATGGTCTTGGGCTTCTTGTCAGCCACAGGAAATGGGCGCAAAGATAGAGGCGTGGCGTCGCCGGCCATCAGTGGTGATTCAAGAAAATAGGTATCATATGTGATGTTGAGCGGTCGCTGGCGTGGTCGAGACAAAGCTGGCGTAGAGTCGTTGATGGAAATATGGACGGAGCCTTGTCGCGTTAACGGCGAGGCTGCGTGAACGGAAGTGCTACGGCGGCCGCAAGGGTCCCCAGTCTTGGCCGGAATAGGATTAGCGCAGCAAGCTGGCAATAGTCACCATTCATGGGAGCGATTGATTGTTCAGGTCACAATTGATTGTGCCGCCCATTGCATGGCCGAGGGGCGAAAGGTGACACAGAGGATACCACAAGACAGATATATATTATTAATGGAGTAGCTCTTTCGCATCCATTGTGAACGTGACTTCTTTGAGCTCGGATCGTGACCTGTCGCAATGACGTACCATTTCAGGGTAGCCCGCCCAAATTATACACACGCTACGTGCCTTACCAGGTAGGCAACGCGGCCAGCACCAGAGCATTGCGCTCGAAGCCCGAGGTCGAAGGTCGGCAATAATGTTTCGCCCCCACGAGAAGTAATTTACCTTGCAAAACGACCAAAACAGACAGTCTCCTTGGGTTGCGCCCAAAGTCTGCGTCGTACGATGCCCCGCGCGAGTCGATAAGCGATAAGGAGCTCCCCTCCTGACACTCTCGACAACCCACCAAACAAGCTTCGTTCTGTCGCATCTGTGGTCTCTAACCCTGGGCATTCCTAACGCCAAACCTTAATTCTCGCGCTGGACGAGTATTTATTGCACTTGCTTAGACATATTGTATTCCTCATCCAACTACGTGGCTTATCCACAGGTGGCTGGTTGATCTGGCAGCTCGGCCCGTCTTCGAAGGTGGGACAAACCGACGCACTTTCAAGTCTCCTCAGCCCATTCGACCTGTTAAATCCCTCGAGCCACCAACGACCGCGTCCGAGCAATATAATACTTACACCTATCTGCTTCGTATCTAATAAATTCCAATAATTCTCGAATCCAAACATTCCTTTCTTGCATCAAGAATTCCTGGATTTGATCCGAGCTATCGGACCCCTCCCTCGATCAACCCCACGCTCGCTCGGAACCACACACGAGGCGCGCCAAATTCGACATGGCACCCAAGAAGAAGGTGGCCGTCATGACCTCGGGAGGTGACTCCCCAGGCATGAACGCCGCCGTCAGAGCAGTTGTGCGCACTGCGATAAACATGGGCTGCGACGCCTACTGTGTCTACGAAGGCTATGAAGGTCTCGTACGGGGTGGAGACCTTATCCGGCAGATGCACTGGGAAGATGTGCGTGGATGGCTGTCGGAAGGTGGCACCCTCATTGGTACGGCGCGTTGCAAGGCCTTCTATGAGCGTCCAGGACGGCTGCTAGGCGCGAAGAACATGGTCGCCAACGGCATTGATGCCCTGATCATTTGCGGTGGTGATGGCTCCCTGACCGGCGCTGATAAGTTTCGTCAGGAGTGGCCATCGCTGATAGATGAGCTGGTGGCTAATGGCGATTTCACGGAAGACCAAGTCACGCCTTACCGTCACCTGAACATTGTCGGGCTCGTCGGGTCGATTGACAATGATTTGTCTGGCACGGACGCTACAATCGGATGCTACTCGGCCCTGGCGCGCATTTGCGAGATGGTTGACTACATTGAGGCCACGGCGTCGTCGCACTCGAGAGCCTTTGTTGTTGAAGGTACGTGTGCCAGGATCGAGTGAAGACTTCGAAAGACTAACCATTGGTAGTCATGGGAAGGGCATCCGGCTGGTTGGCGGTCAATGCCGGGACGGCCACGGGCGCCGATTTCGTTCTCATTCCAGAGAGACCTGAAGAGCATGACTGGAAAGAGAAGATGTCTCTTGTAGTGCGCAAGGCAAGTCCAGCTTGAGTGGCTCTAATGAACCACCACTAACCGCTGCGTAGCATCGTGAAATGGGCAAGCGCAAGACCATTGTCATTGTGGCCGAAGGCGCGCGCGACAAGGAGGGCCAGAAGATCACACCCACCGAAATCAAGGACCTTCTCTCAGACACCAGCGAGAACGGTCTCGCACTGGACACACGCATTACCACACTAGGTAAGCCATGAAGATGCGCTACGAGGACCGCGCAATGTGCTTACAAGCTGTTTCAGGCCATGTCCAGCGTGGTGGCAGCCCAGTACACATGGATCGGATGCTGGCCACGCTGCAAGGCGTGGAGGCTGTCAAGGCCGTGCTTGAAGCGACGCCCGACACCGAAACGTGCTTCATCGCCCTCGAGGAGAACAAGATTGTCCGCAAGCCCCTTATGCGCGCCGTGAAAGAGACACAGGAACTGGCAAAGGCCGTGGAGTCAAAAGACTTTACGCGTGCCCTGCAACTGCGCGACAGAGAGTTTGCCGATTCGCTCAAATCGTACCATATAACCACAAACGTCACAGTAGATGACGACAAACTGCCAACGGATAAGGTACAGCCACATACCCAACACAGTGTATTGCTTTCCATGAACTGATCGTTCCCAGAGGATGCGCATTGGAATGATCAATGTTGGAGCCCCCGCCGGTGGCATGAACGCCGCTGTTCGAGCCGCTGTGGCCTATTGCATTTCGCGTGGGCACGAGCCTGTGGCCATCCACAACGGATTCGCTGGATTCGCTCGCCACCATGGCGATAAACCACTGGGCGCGGTACGTCCTTTCAACTGGCTTGAAGTCGATAGCTGGGCTAGCAAAGGAGGCTCGGAGATAGGAACCAACCGGGAGCTGCCCGAGGAATCCGGCATGGAGTTGATTGCCAACCTGATTGAGAAGTATCAGTTCGATGCTCTCTTCCTTATCGGAGGCTTCGAGGCCTTCCACGCCGTGGCGCAGCTGCGTCGAGCTCGAGATCAGTTCCCTTCCTTGTGCATTCCGATGACGCTGCTACCCGCTACGATCTCGGTGAATGTCCCCGGAAGCGAGTACGTTTTCCAGATTGGTTGTTTGATGGTTGACGATGAAGCTGACTCAAAGCTAGATACTCACTTGGCTCAGATACTTGCCTGAACGAGCTGGTGGGCTACTGTGACAAGATCAAGCAGTCTGCCTCCGCCACTCGCCGCCGCGTCTTTGTCATCGAATGTCAGGGTGGACGATGCGGATACACAACTGTTTTGGCCGGATTGTCCGTGGGAGCCTCGGCAGTGTATATCCCTGAGGAGGGTATAAGCCTGAGCATGTTGCACGCCGATGTCCACCACCTAAAGGAAGTGTTCAATGCCGATAGGGGCCAGTCACGTGCAGGTCGCCTCATTCTCGTCAACGAAAAGGCTAGCAAGGTGTACGATGCAAAGCTCATTGCGAGCATCATCCGTGAAGAAGCCCACGATCGCTTCGAGAGCAGAGAGGTGAGTGCAGTAGAGTGAACTTCCTGTGCGCGTCAGAGACTGATATGATTATGTAGTCGGTGCCAGGGCATGTCGTACAAGGCAACAATCCTTCCGGCATGGACAGGTGTCGCGCTGTGCGTCTTGCCATCAAATGCATCCAGCACCTGGAGAATTTCGGACGCAACGCACACAACCGCGTCAAGACAGACCCGTCTAGTACCACGGTCATTGGCATCCAGGGATCGGAGATTGTGTTCAGTTCTGTCAAGCAACTGGAGGAGACGGGCACCGATTGGCCGAACCGCAGGCCAAAGATCGCGCACTGGTTGGAGGTGCGCGATGTTGTCGATGCCCTCAGCGCCCGGCCGGCTTATCCCAAGCCTGAGAAGAGTTTGACGGGTCTCATTGCGAAGGACACGAAGCGTGGGTTGGCGTGATTGATGCGTGCAGCTTGGGCCTATGGGCTGAACAGTAAAACGCTGGATTTTGGATACTACGGCGTACCTCCTACAAGTATTCTGTTATGTGATAGTCAATACTATACGTCGTGAAGAGGAAGCAGGCTCATATTGGTTACAGGATGGTGCCACCGGCTGGTGTTGTTTTCAGTGAGCCCCTGTTCACACCGTTCAAGATTTACGCTCATGAGTGATCTGTCTACCTAACGCGCTTTTCAACGGTCCGCAAAACGAGGTCATCCCGGTGCAGAGGCATGTTGGAGCGGCCACATCAATCCGCCTTGCCACTGCCCAGAGTTGACCTTTGACGGGTTGGCTAGAAGAAGGCGACGATCTAGCCGATCGGACAGATGGGCCGCCTGCCGTCCGGCGATCTTGGATGAAAAATGGCACACGAGGCTGGGAACTGGGCTGGGAGCTGGGCTGGATCCTGGATCCTAGACCCTGAGATCTGGCCAGATCTCTCGCAGGGCGCTTTTCTGGAAGAGCCAAGTTTCAAGACACGGCCAGGGGCGGCTTCCCCGCGGGATGCCACGAATCCATGAATCCGCGAATCCCACGATGCCCGTGTGCTTCATCACATGCAGCTTCGATCTGCCGCATCGAGCAGTGATGGGCACTTGTCACTGGGGGCATCCTCGCTCCCCTAGGTCGGCGTTTGAGGCGGTGACCTGGCTTGGCGACCAAGTGGGAGGGACAAAGGACCAGATCTGGCGTTTGGTACGTGGTCGGGCGGCTTGAGGAGCTTGCTGCATTAGATTGATGGAATGAGATGAAACGGTCTCCTGGATACAAGGATCCGAAGACGCACGATCGATTCCATTCGGCAAGTTGCGCGGAAGAAGCAAGATCCGGCCCTGAGTACAGTATGTACATACATACGTACATATGACACTCGGTGTGGGCGAGTCGTGATTATCTCCAGGCAGGTGTACATTTTACATGCCCGGGCAGACAGACTGGTCTAAGTTCAAGATTGCGAGGTGAATACAATCTTGCGGACTTTGTGAGCCGCTCACTGATGAAGAGGCCACTGTAGCAGCCCAGAGCAGACAGGCCTTGAGGGAAGAGGAAACATAAATGACACGTCGTACGCGCTTTATGCGATTCGCTCGGGGGCCACATGAGCTATCTGCACGAAAGGGCGATGACCCCTGGCGAGCAGAAGAAAAATGGCCAGAAAGGGTGAGCTACATGCGTACAGCAGCTGCAGGTTGATTGGGGCGACGACGGGTCGAGGGTTGGGTGGGGTCTGGTGCTCCCAGCTTATGGAAACGATCTCACCATTGCTTTTTTTCGGGCGAGTGGGCAACAAATGATTCCATCGATTGTCGATCTAAGGTGTCCTGGCCCCTGGGATTCGAGCTGACGAGCTGATGAATTTCTTGCATACCTGGTACGTAAGGTACGGTAAATACTCCGTAATTAAGCTACACGGTAGGTGGGTACCTTAAGGTACCTTGAGGTACCTTACCTAGTCGGCGACCTAGCACACGTGACCAGCAGTGCACCAGCCCCGCCATCTCATGTGTCTCTCCTCCTGCTACGGTCAGGTTACTATGCTACCTACTCCGGATATGCCTACATGTAAGGTCACAAGTCTTCCCGCACCGAGAACGGTTCGAGAGACGCCAGCTGAAACTGGGCACCTACTAATAGCAGTCTGAGCAGCGGCAACCAACCAGATATTGCATTCGCCGGACCTGCACCACTCCGCTCCGCGAGGATGCACGGGACAGTGACGAACGACCAGGTAGGAAAGACAGCCAAACGTAATACAATGTACATGTAGCCCGGTCTTCGCCCTCCCAGCAATCGTCCGCACCCATGACGTGGGCTTCTTGCAGGTGCGCTCATCGCCTGCCTTCTCGAGCTGCCGAGTGCTCACTGCTGAACCCCTCGAGGCTGCAGCATTTCACGTTCGCTCCGCCATAGCAACGTATAGGCCAGGGTGAGTCACGCGAGATAAGGCCAAGATCAATAAGATTTACACAAGTCAAGGTACTGTAGACAGGCCTTACCATTCTAGATCCCCGGTGGATGGCCGGTAGTGGTAAGTTGGCTTAGCGGTCGTGGTGGTGGTAGACGTGGTGGTGGCTGATCAGCTTCGGATTGGACGGCTTGGCCCTTCCCAGACGTCGCTTTTTCTATCTGCACAGTCGTCATATATGTCCAAGAACATCTCCCGTTCCTGCTTCTTGGTCGGCCTCATTACCCGTCGCTTCCTCCGAATTTGCGAAACCACATTACCAAGCCGCTGTGCAATCCGCCAACGCTTCCGCGCCTATGCGACGTGTTTGAAGCTCTGAACCCCGAACCTGACTCTACCATTCCTGTATCATACGGCTTGCGCCGGCAGGCACACCGCTAAACTAATTAGCACCCGCATCGCTGGCCCCAGGCTGGGTCGGACCGGCATTTCCGATCATCAGATCCAGCGCCCGCGTGCGTGCGTGCGTGGTGGTGCTGTGCTAAGCTCCATGTCTCGACTCCAGTATCCTGGGTCGTGATGTGGATAACACGTACGTAGTGCCGTCTAAATCATGGAGCCCCATGTGATGGCCGCTCTCGACCTGAGCGCACACCCCCTTCATCAACAGCAACAACACTTTCAACCTCCACAGCGCAACGACCAAGATATCCACGACTACAGCATCGGATCGAGTCCGCTTGCGCGATACCCCGGCACGCTGCCTCACCATGACCTCGACCTGGACATGCCACAAGCCGCCGAGCACGCCTCGTCAAGGTTGCCTACCCCTGAGGCAAAGCACAAGAGAGCCCCCAGAGCTTGTGAAGCGTAAGAGTTGCTCCCGCGCTATTCGTCTGTGATGGATTTGATAGCTAAGCAACATCTTTAGGTGTCGTGCATCAAGAATGAAGTGTGGCCCTCCGGGACAGATACCATGTGCATCTTGTATGCACAATGACAAAGAATGGTAGGCTTGATCCACGTGGATGAACCTCGTCCCGTCCAAAGCAACATGGCAGCGCTCACTGACCTACGTAACAACAGCATCTTTCTCGCAAAGGGGCAGCATAGTAACGCCAGGAACGAGCGCCATCCCCGACCTCGTGACCGCACAACCAAGCCTGGCAACAAGCGCAACACCGCCCAGCGACGACGGTCCAACTGGGAGTACGACCAGGCTGTGAACACTTGGCTGAGTGCAGACGACATTTGGAACTTGCTGCCGCCCGTGGAGGACATGGTGGAGGCCGTTCACAAGTTCACAACTCATTATTTCCAGCTCGGATTCACCCACAAGGACCAGTATCCGCGAAGCATCGGCAAGCAACGAGGTGCGGAGCATCTCTTCCTCCTCCTCAGCATTCTCAGCGTTTCGGCACGGTTGAGTCCGGCACTGGTCAAGCGCTATGGTACGGGGGACGGTGCCGTGGAGTTCTTCAAAGAGAAGGCGGCCAAGATGGCAGATGCGCGTTATAAGCACATCAGCCTGGAGGATTGCCAAGCCTTCTACCTTCTGAGCATCGCCCAGCATGGCGATGGCGAACAAAACGACAGCCATGTACGTTGCCACATGCTGACCCGCTCCGCATCTAACACATGATCCAGCGCAATCTGGGCCTCGCCATTCACAAGGCCACTGGCTTACGTCTTCATCGAGAAGAGCATCTGAGTCTACATTCCGACGCCGCGCCAGGTGATGTTATACGCAAGGAATCGGCTCGACGAACCTTTGTACGTGACCGACCCCCTGAACACAACACACGCCCCCTCAGTCCTAACAACAAACAAGTGGATGCTGCACAGTCAAGACAGTCTTCATTCCGGCCAAGATTCGCCCAAATCATTCTGCGAGATTGACATTACGGCACTGCTGCCCGGCGATGAGGCGTCCTTCTCGGCGGGAAAGATCCCAGAAACCCGCGCCGCCCTTCAGGATACAGTCCCGGGTTGTAACAAGTCGCTCGTGAATAATCCCAACCGATCGCTCTTCGCAACGCAGATCCAAGTCTACCATTGGTGGGGCAAGGTCAGGCGAAGGGCGACAACATACTCCCTGGCATCGGCCTCAGAGGGCGAGACTGCCAAGATGATAAACCAGCTGGCGGACTGGGAGCTACGTCTCCCACCTCAGCACAAATGGGACGCCCAGATTCACCGTCAGATGAAGGCAGAGAGGTTGGATCTTGTAGGTTTACAAATGCGGTTGCCCAGGGATATAGCACAGCTGACGCAGACAGGCCTATATCGGCGTGACCATGATGGTCCGCGCCTGCAATATCGTCATTCGAAGATCCTTCCTTCAAAGGTACCCGCCTCTTTCCCTCTCGCCTCATCATATCTGACTGACACCACATCCAGCATGGTCCACCACTATACTCCGCAGTCGCAGGATGTGCAGGTCTACTGTCAAACGCGCGTAGACGAACTCTTTGACAATGTGTTTGACCTCTACGGGCAGGTCGAGGCCCTATTTACTGGCCGACGAGCCGACGAGAAGATTGGCTACCACATGGCCGGCTTCTGCGTGTATCTATGTGGCCTGCACGTAGCCTACATATGCAAGTACCATCACCGTACGCCCCAAGCACTACCTTTTTCTGACTTCTTGTTTGGCTAATCACATACCGCAGTCTACTCGGACCGCGCCTCCGTCGGACGCGCACCCCTCATGCTCGCGTTCACGCGGTCCGTCTTGCAAGAGTGCGAGCCCATCTGGCCGTTTGCGAAACAGTGGTCAGCCTCCCTCGACGCCGCTGCTCAAGACCCGTCGGCCGCAGAAGGCCATCCCGTAGCCAAGCAGATCAAACCCGAGCCGTGCGTCCCGGGCAGCGAGGCTGCCATGTCGACCACAGAGAGCACAGCCCCTCTTGTATCTCAACCCTCCCATCTCCAGACACCGCAAGAAGACGTCGCCTCGTCCTTCTCCAGCTCTGCAGCAGGCTACGCGTCATTCTTCAACGCGGGACCTCCCGTCACTTATCCTTCAAGTACCTTTCTGCTACAGCACGACTCGGGTGTTTTGCAGCCGTACTTCCCACCCGCGTCGCCACAGCAGCAGCAGCAGAATGGCCTCAATATGCTCGCACTAGCTTCACAGTCGCCCACCCAAGGCCCCTCTGCCCGTCCACAGCAGCAGCCGCCATTCGTCATGGCACCACAGTCACAATTTCACGATTACGTGCCTCCTTATGACATGGCCACGGCTTCCGCCGTAGCTGCTGCCACGGGGGAAGTGCCGTATCTCCCAGAGCACCACCACCAGCAACAGCATGCCCACACGGCATATCATCAGCTGGAGCCTGTTTCAGATGGCTTTGATCAGCAGCTGGCGTCCTATATCAAGGGCACGTCCACCGACTGGACTGACGCACAGCACCCGCTCCCGGTATGGGTCAATTCTCAACAATAGGACAATGTTTCCCCTCCATCTCATGAGGCTGCTGCGTGGGAGAAAAGGGGGAAGGATCTTGCCACGTAGCAGAGCGCAGCGTATTGAACGGTTTCTTGAACAGGCACAATTGATGTCGCATTAATGGACCGGTCACTTGACCTATCTACTCTAATGCGCCTTGCCTCCCAGTTCTAAACCCTGAAAACATGACAGAAATTCCACGGCCTCGTGCTCTCTCCGTCGTCTCCACTGCGCCGTCCATGGTGTGTGTGTGTGTGTGTGTATCCGAACTTATAGAGTCCCGTTCACTTGAAGGTGTGTGTATAAATTCGACAAAAAGGGGGGGGGGCAGTGATCCCACCCGCGCTTCATGTGTGAAAACTCCCCGGTCGTCGTTTTCCCTTGTGCTCCACTTGTCCTTTCCTTCTACATGAATTTTGATTAACCATTCAACTCGGAAACGGAGCTGGGGCGTACATGATATTGTATTCCATCGCGGCTGAAAAATGGGAGGAATGATGGGGGCTTTGCGTGTGTGTATGGTGTTCTTGAAAGTAAAGGGGGTATTGTGAATTATGTGTAATGGAATTGGTAGAGTGGCTCTATATACACATGGAGTGCCACCATGGGGATCATGGGATGATTCATCGCGCCGTGCCGTGCTGTCTCGTGGAATGGTGTGGTGTGGTGTGATGTGCTGCTGGGGGGTCGGGAAAGGACGTAGGGAAGATTTCGTTGCTCGCAATGCAGAAAGTTGTTTGTTTATGACATGACGGCCTGCGTACCGCCGACCTGGCGCTTGACCTGCTCGCGGGCCCATCGGGCAGTTTCGATGGTGCGCGGCATGAAGCCGTCGTTGGTCTTGACCTGCTTGATCATGGCCGTGAGCCAATCCTCCCGGAACTCATTGGAGAACTCGCCCTGGGGGTAGGCCTCGGCCAGGTCACCAATGACACCCATGGCCGCGCGCATCAGAGCCTCGCTGCGGTTCATGTCGCCAGAAACAACCTTGAGCATGTTGAAAATGCTAGGCACGTATGGCTGAAGCACTGGAGCTACGTCAAGTCAGCAATGCGAGCGTCTATAGTAGGAGGTCAAACTTACTCTTGCCACTAGCCTTCATGGCACCAATGATGCCGCCCCATGCGTCCATGATACCCTCACGCAAGGACACTACATAGTCGTACTGCTCGTAGGGGTCTTCAGGAGAAGTGGTGACGGTAGATGCGTGTTGCAGCACCTCACCAACAACAGACAAGTACGTCTCAAAGTGGCCAGTGATGGCACCAGCAATGTCACCAAAGCACTGGAGGATAGCAGGCTTGAACTGATTAGATAAGGCGTTGCTCTGCAAACGGTTAGTGGCAATCTACTCCGCTGTTTTGGGAGAGGCCTTACTCTCAGGTTGTTGAGCAGGTGGTTCATGAAAGTGTCGCAGTACGGCTGGCTGCGCTCGCCCACAGACCTGGTTATGTCACTAACCAGACCAATGGCCATGGAGCAAAGCGCAGGCTCCTCCTGGTTGCCCAGCGCGTTGTACAAAAAGGGAGAGAAGTGGTCCATGTACTTGGCAAACTCTTCCTCCATCGCGTTGGCGAGAGAACTGACGGTAGCAAAGACAGCCTCCGGGACGCTGGACTTGCCGTTGACTGTGCTGAGGAGCTGGAGAAGAATCTGCATAATACGGTCGCCTTGTGGGGTGATCTCCTTGTCCACGCGGGTGACGATGCCCTGCATCACGCTGCACAGGCTGTTCTGCATCTCCTCGAGGGTGAGGCGGTCCTCCACGGAGACCACCTGGCTTTGCAGAGGAATGGTCTCTTCCAGTCGCTTAATGATGACATCGGAGAGAGAGCCAAGGGATTGCAAGCTTCCCTGAGCAGAGTTCTGCACGAAGATGTTGAGAACTTCGTACGCCGCGGTGCGAACTGAGGTCTCGGTCTCTTGGCGGGCAGTGACATCAAGCAGGGTCGCGACCGCGTTGTTGAAGTGAGGGGTCAAGGGGTTGGACTCGGCGCCAAAGTCTCCAGCGAAGCGCTCGACCAAATTCATAAGTGACCAGCAGCATGATGGGGCCATCTTGGGGCTGCTGAGTAGACCCTTGAACAAGGCTTCGATGAGCGGGGTGAGGTGGGTTTCGGGCTCAATGGCTTCAGCAACGGAGTCGCTGACACGGCCAAGGGTGTAAGCGGTCGAGTCCCGGACTTGCAGAGACGAGTCGTCCATCATGCTGATGAGAACAGGAAGGGCCTGCTTTACAATGGGCTCCAGGACCTTCTCATCGGGGCCCTCCATAATGGCACCAAAGGCTGACACTGCGGCGTCTCTCTGATGCCAATCCTCCTCGCGGAGGTTGGCTTCCACGAAAGTGAGGACTGGTGTAATAATGGCGGCACCAACGGCACCGGCGTACAGCTGCAGGCACTGGTAGGCGGCGCGCGCCAGGTTGTACTCGTCGTCAGCAGCATCCTCATCCTGCTTGGTCAGGAGCTGCAGCAGCACGGGAACGACTTCTCCTGCCGCCACACGGGCAAAGTTGTAGAATGGGCGCATCTGGTCCGAGCTTTCCACGTTGAGGTTGTCGTCCTCGATGGTGATCTCCTCTTCGCAGACCGTGCTCCAGAACTCGACCGCCAACTTGGCAACGTCTTCGTCTTCGGACTTCATGCCCATGATGGTGAGGCCGAACAGGGCTTTCTCCATGTAGAAGCGCATGGTCTCGTAGTAGAGATTCATGACCCTGTTGAGACAACCGTAGGCACCCTGCTGGATGCGGGAGTCGTCGGCCTGAGTGGCCTCGCAGATGACCTGCATGATGTAGTTGCGCTCTCCTTCATGTTTGAAGTTGCTACCGACGAACTCGAGGGAGTCACCGAGAGCAGTGATGGCAGCCAAACGGACTTCGCTGTTGGTCTCCTCCTTCCGAGCACCCTGGACAACCGCTGTAAGGATGGCGTTAGAGTGCTGGACAAGTTTGAGGCGCAGCTCGTTTTCGGGGCTCTCGCAAATGTAGCCAATTGTGGTCAATGAGGCTTGCTTCTGGTGTTCGGTGCCTTCGCTGACGTTCTTCACCAATGCAGGTAGCAGCTCGTTCCACTGGCCCTTGGCGATCTCAATGATAGCAATGGAGGAAATGACCAGGGCAGCGGCGTTGCCGACCTGGCTGTTGCTAGAACCCAGAGTCGCCAAAGTGAGCTCCTTGACCTTGTTTTTCGTCTCGTCATCGGTTTGCTGTAGCCACTTTGCTTGGAGATCTTGTTGGCGCGCGAAATCGCGGGTTGTGAAAGCGTTCTTCAAGGCAACACCGGCAGCGGCTCGAATGGAGGCGTCGGCATTCTCGTTGGCCAGCTCTTGCACAAGAGTGGCGAGATATAGGGGCTGTGGGAGGGAGAGCGGTCAGTCATGGGACATCCAAAGGCACGGCGACAATCCAGGGGGTGGGTGAGCCTACAAAGTTACTCTCAGCAGCCTGTGTGAGCTGCTGCTCGGCAGGGTTTCGCAGGTTCGCGTCTAGCACAAAGGTTAGCCATCGCAAAGTCTGATGGTGTCGTAGCCTCTGTGGTCGTGCATCCGGGCCAAAGGGGCTGCGCGTGGCGGGAAGGAACCAACATACCCGGAGACAGCGAGTTGGCGAGCACCTGGTTGATCTCGGAGCTCGACATGATGGCGGTTTACGTGGGACGTCTCGTCATGCGGCGGGCAAGGCGTCGTCGTCGAAATCCTCGAGACTCGTCGTCCACGTACTTGCTGGTAGAGTTGGGTAAGTGGGAAAAAAGGTTCACCGGTCAGGGAGAAGCTGGATTGGATAGGTGGGGTTCCCAAATCGCAGCTGCTGGCTCGTGAAAGGTACCTGTGGGGGTACAGAGCACTGGTCCTGTAACGAAGGTGGGATGAGAAGTGAAGAAGAATGGCCCGGTAATGCAGGGAAAGTGTCTATCAGGTTGTGAATGGAATGAAGTCGCAGCGAGGCGTTCGTGGGTAACGAGGGGAGAGGAAAAGACGGGCAGTTTGGATCTGGGGGTCCAAGTTTGCCTGTGCACTGTGACTAGCACACCCTAGCCCACTGGGGTCCAGGTCTAAAGTTACCACTGAACTGCAGCGACAATAATAGATGCTGTCTCGAGGCAACTACAGGGGAAGCAAGCACCGAATACGCTGAGAAATGCATTTTTAGTCGATTTTGGGAATCACTGACATCTGATCTTGACGGTGGGCATTCATCATCCGCTGATACTTGACCTTGGAGAATGCCATGCACGTGATAACGCTCTACTGAATGCCTGGTTATTTGCAGCACCACCACCGCTTTCGGAGGAGGGTGTGCAGGCAGCCAAGTTTCCCCCATTTCTCTCCGTCTCACCCAATCATGCACAAGCCTCGTGGCCCGGATCATCTTCGCTTAACGCCCCGCTTCCCCTGCTGCTCAACTTCCAGGGCAGATGACGCATTGTGTTGAAGGCATAGGCTCAAACTTTCTATGTGTATCTCCCAGGGCATGCGCATTGGAGAGCAACGGGGGCCATATGCGTTCGTGGTGTGTCGACTGCTTTTGATTCCATACCAAACGCATGCAATGATTCACTGGCGACAGTGCAGTTGCCCAGAAGCGGCATGTCTTGTTGTTTGGCGCTTCATTTCACGGAAAGTAAACATTGCATTTCCACTACCCCACCATCCGCCACAGCAACGCGCTCCAAGCACGTATGTCGCGAATGAGTCAACAAAACGTGGAACTGTACGGATAGATGAGATAGGTTTTCCATGATGTATCAAGGGCGTTGAATCTAGCATGCGCGCAAGCGGTTTCTAACTCCGGACATCAATCGTATAGTACTTACTCGTAAAGACGAACTAGAATAGCAACGGCCAATGTGAGCCGAATGTATGACGTGGCTTTCCCACAGTGACGACCCTTCGACGTTGGCAGGGTGAGCCCCTGAACCATGGACACGCACGTCTTGAGTTTTCTCATAGAATCGTTCGCTATGAAAGCTATCATAACTCATCAAACCAAAACACATAGAATCCAGGATCCAAATCGATCACGTGTAGTCTGTCATAATGTCGTAGATCATGATGCCTCGAGACGTCCTCAGAAGTGCCTCGACCTGCGGTTGTCATAGAAGACTTCCCTTTCCCTCACTCTTTCATTATCCCAAGGATGGTGGTGATGGGGGGGGTGGTGGTGGTGGTGATGGTGACGATGCCGTCTGTCCCAGTCATCCTTCCAATCGCGCTCCCACGCAATCTCCCGAACTCGGTCCTTGCGGAATCGCTTAATGTCTTCAGTCAGCTCGACCAATTGAAGTACATCGTCCTGGAGTTTTGGTCAGCTTGGTGTACCCTTGCACGTCACTCGTGTCAGACTTACGTATTTCAGGTAGCTCATGACGTAGAAGAACATGGGCGTCTCCTCGAACTCATAGCCCATCTGCTGTATGGCCTCCTTGACGACCAGGTCCTTACTGATCTCAGTCCACATGTCCTTGGCAGGAGCAGGTGGTGGCGGAGGCTCAGCGTATCGCCTCTCGACAGTACGGTCAATGTCAATGTCAATGTCAATCTCTCGCTCGCGATCCCACAATTGCAGGTTGTTGCTCGATTTGCGTGGCTCTCTGGAAGGGGCGCGCGGAGCAGGCGCAGGAGCTGGCATCGCATCTCTTTCTGGGATGAACTTGGTGCGGCGTACGCCACTATACTTAGACCACTGCGTCTCGGTGCTGCCACCGCCGACGCCATCCATACGTACGCGCTCCGTGCCGGGGGGCACATCGACAATCTCCCAGTCACGAGTCGCGCCATGCCACGCTTCGCCCATGCGGCCTCGAGCATCGATCTTGGAGATGTATTCCTGGCCTTCGTCGTCGAGGCCCGGGGAGCAGACCGGCGCAGCCGAGTGAGCACGTCGGCGGGAGTCGGAATGCACGATAAGGGCATCGTCGTTGCGTACGCGGCTCCTGGAGCGAGCACGCCCACCAGAGCTACGATAAATGTCCACTTCGGTGCGATTCTTCGAGAGCGATATGTCAATGTCTGTCTCGCGCTCGTTGACGCGCTCACAATGGCGGGGACGAGGGGCTGGAGGCGGAGTGGGCGGTTTAGCCTTGATGGTGCCTGTGAGTGTAAGTCAATACGGTTCTCCGTGTACATGACTGCAATCCTTCGGGAACATACCATGATCAATGTCCCGATAGTGGGTGATAACCTCGCGCTCTATAGTAGGTCCCCTAATTCTCTGAGGGGGTTTTTCTTCTTCCGACGATGATGAAGATGAACACGACGACGACTCGCGCTGTCTGTCCACAATCCTCGTCCTAATGCGCTGCCTGTCCCTCTCAGGGGAAGGGCTTCGAGGTCGGTCAACATACCGGATCGGCAACGGACTCGGCGACCTTTTCCTCTCCACAGATGGACTCCTGCACCTTTCGCGTTCTCTTTCTCTCTCGATGAATCTTGTTCGTGATCTCGTGTGCTCGTCCACGTCGTGGTGGTGATGGTGCCGAGGTGGACTGACACTCCTCGGTCTTCGCACCAGCCTCTGCTCTCTCACGCGGACGGGACTGGGGCTGCGGTGATGTCTATCAAAGGTTTCAACATCGCGCTGTCGCAGGACCATGGGACCTGCCTCTGCACGGCGAGGCTCATCGCGAAGAAAGGCTGGGGTGCGGGGTTCGCGCATGGGCGGCGGCGGGCTTCGGGTCATGACCCTATTTCGACGGTCAAACTCGGCAAAGTCAACCTCGGACCGTCGCCCAGGCGCGGAGTAGTAGTCGCGCTCCTCGAACTCTGTCATCCTAGGGCCGCGACCTGCCATGATGGCGGTGGTATTCAGCTGCCGAGTGGGATGGCGGCGGGGTAGCTGTGTGCGGTAGCAATGCTGCTACTGTGCTGGTACGGCGTGTGTGCTGAGAAGCGCAGGGCAAGTCGCTGTCAAAAACGATCTATGTCAAACACGGAATGCAAGCGCTGGAGAATGATGCACCCATCTATAATGGTGAGGGTGAGATTGGGCGCAGCAAGGGCTGACCAAGTCGATGTCCAGTCGGCTCTGATGTCAGGTGGGGACGGCGGCAGCTGAGGGCAGCCCAACGTGATCAGTGCGTCGGGGTTGCTGCCTCTTTCTCAGCAGTACTCGACTCGACTCGACTAGCAGTTCGCAAGTACTCGCATGTGACGCGGGCGAGTGTTCCAAATGTTGCTCGAGGCGGAATGACGGTATGACCACTGTCGAAGGAGGGAGAAATCAGCGCGCGTCCAGCGACGTCCAAGCGACAGGTCACAGGCAATTCTTTAACCAGTCGCGGGAACAGGGGAGTGGAAACCTGATAAATAAAAGGGACAATGGTCAAGATCACGGACACAAGAAACGCCTCGAAATAGATGTCTCGAGGGGAGGTCTGGAATCTTTGTCTGCCTCACGTCGGCGGTTCGCAGGACAATGACGATGATGGCATAACAGCCTCAGCACAACGCCCACTTGACGGACCGTCATGTCGCTTCTTAGGCAGGCAAGCGGGGTATCCTCTCTCCTGGTTCGTATGCTGACCATGCTGAAGAAAATGCGTGCATCCAAGTTCCATCAGGCTGCCAAGTTTTGACTGTTGACGCAATTATGCAGGTGCCCAACCACCAGGCTCCAGTGAGGCCAGTCCCCTTTCGTCCCTTTTTCGCCCAACCGTTCCAGGGTAGGCCTGCGACGAGCAACCCAGCCACCGTCCACTTGGAAGGATGAAGGCCATGATTTGCTATTGGTTCCTGATTAAGGTTTCTCTTGGCCGTTGCACTATCCAACTAGAGTCTGGTCTTCGATCTTGTCTTGTGACTGGCAGTTTGGTTGGTCAAGTCACCGACTTGCAAATGTCAGCTGGGTCTCGTCCAGAGTCGACTATTAGACCTACCCTATATGCAACCCCTGAATTCCCCATGTACGGAGTACCTTATGTTCGTTTACACTTTTTGATTCATGTTCTCACCAGTAACCGACCGTAGAAGAGGATGTTATTTGAATCTGGTCAAGCATGGTATTCACGTTCCCTTAGCTTTTAAGTGTCGTCTATGAGCTTTCTCATTCCTCTGGAGACTGTGAATTGTCTTTTTTCTTCTATTCTGCGTGATGCCGTGCTACACTAGATGATTCTGATTCCTGACTTGAACGTGAGTAGCTGGACTATTTTGTTTCTTAACGTTATTAACAGTTCATTTCACGCCATCTTCCTCCGTAGCCTGGCATAGTTGCATGCAACAATGGGAGGCGACATGCATCAGGTATCAACCCATTGGCATTGAAGAGGACAGCACGTCCACATGATTGTACACCACCGAAAGAACACTGTGCCGATAAACACGCCCAAGAGCCCAGCAGAAGAGTACGACCATTTCAAACTATACGTTCGCCTTGATGCCTGTCTGTATAGTCTCAAGCTTCTCCACCAGCTCGCGGAAGAACTCCTTCTGAGTTTGCTGGCCCCAGCTGCCTGTGACCTGACAAGATGGGCTGTTAGATGTGTTAGCTCCGTGTCACGAGGGACCTTCCCATAACATACCTGTGTACTTGACAATTGGAGAGATACTGTCCATTAGTGTCGTCACCACTCAGCAGCCCATGCACAAGAGCTCGGCTGCCTTCCTCGGTAGACCTCGCCAGGAGCGCCTCAGCTTGCTTGGCTCCCGGATCAGCAGCCATCTGCTCATGCGCAAGGCCAGACTTGCACCAACTGGGGTTGGGTGTGTTAATAATGATTGAGCCGTTATTCAGTGTCGCCAGCTCGCGCACAGCGTAGATGACCAGCAACTTGGTCAGATTGTAGCGAGTACCCATGACACTGTTTGCCTCGTCATTGAGACGTTCCATAATTGTACCTTGCGTGGACTGGAGCTCTGCGAGAGGCGCGAGAAAGTGCAACGCACTGTTTGGGACGACGAAGCGGCATGTATTCCCAGTATTCCTGCCAGATTCACGCATCTTGGGTGCTAACAGGAAGTACAAAAGAAACGTGCTAACGACGTTGACGTTGAAGGAACACTCGATACCCTCGCTTAGCCGCCAGTTGCGCGTCATGATACCAGCATTGGCAAGGACTCCATCCAGGCGCTCGAGACCCTGTGCACGGTTGGCGAAACGTTTGACGGAATCGTAGCTGTTCATATCGAGGTGCCAGACTTCAATTGAAGTGTCTGGACGACCGGTTACTGCGAGAATCCTTGTCTTGGCATCGAGTCCTTTGGCTTCAGTGCGCACGGCCATGATGATCTTCTTAGCCCCAAGGCGGGACAGCCAGACGCAAGACTCGTAGCCAAGACCCGTGTTTGCGCCAGTGACGATGAATATTTCCCCGGAGAGATCGGTGTCTTTTTTCGGTTGGGGCAAAGTAACAAACAGGTTTGAATAGAGGGCGTGGGCTATGCCACGAACTGCCGAAAGTGTAGCCATGGTTGGCTCGGACGGGGAGTGAGATTGAGAGGCAGATATTGAAAGAGGGAGATATCAAAGGTGAAACAGTTGTTTCCAGGTGTTGACGCGCTTTGTTTGTGAGACTAGGCTCAGGACCTACAGTCATTTTGTACATCGGTCTCCTTCTCCTGTTCCTAAAGACCGTCCACGACGAGCCGGAGATATAAAGTCCATGGCCGTAGTTTACCAGCCAAGAATCCTAGACCAGACTCTAACGTTAGTTCCCGGGAGTCCGGGACCAGGTCCCCAGAGAGGAAATGCCCGATTAGGCAGCTCGGAGTGGACTGGAGTCCAGGCGACATGGAAGCATACCCAGGCGGAGATAATACATCCCAGGCGGAGATAATATCTCCGCCCATTCATCAGCGCTGTGAGGCCTGTGACTCTTCTCTCTCCGATTCTATACATTGCCAATTCCTTCTTGCGCTTCTAAATTCAAATCAGATAAGCTCAGGGGTGCTGAAAAGGTGCGAATTGCCCAAAGTACCCAAAAGGCGACCCCTCATCATGGACACCCAGCGCAAGAAGCGCAATAGGCCACCAGTGTCGTGCGAGCCATGTCGAACGCGGAGGCAAGTGTACATGTACACTGTCAAGACTCGGCTTCCTAGTCACTGACAACACACAGACTAAAGTGCGACCGTTCACTGCCATGTGAATCATGTTCCAGGCGGGCCAAGGCTGCTTCTTGCTACTATGCGCCAAACGCGACTCGTTCGACAACGAAGCGTAACGCCGGCAAGCCCAGAAACATGGTGGACAGGTTGGATGATTTGGAAAGTTTTCTTTACACTCTGGTTCCTGGGACTCATGTTCCAAAGACTTATGGTTCTAACAGCGCCCATCCACCAGAGAGCGCTGCTCAAGGTGCAAACAGACTGACCCCTGAAACACCTCACCTCCAACAGTCCGAAGACGGCCACGTGAGCTACATCGATCCTAGCCATTGGCAATCCATATTGGAAGACATACGAGAGGTCCGAGAGCACTTGGCACCGGGGCAGGCGAAGAACTCAAGCTCCAATTTACAATCAAATGGAAACATCCACACCAGCCACGGTGACGATCCCGGTCTATATCTCGGAGCATTCGCACCTGGCAGCCTCGAAGCCATCTTGGCAACACTGCCTCCACAACCCATCTGTGACAAGCTGATATCCGGGTATTTTGGCATGCAGTTCATGGTCCTCGGGATCATTCATCCTGAGAAGTTCCAAGGAGAATACAAAGCCTTCTGGGACTCACCTGCGACGTCCTCGCCCTTGTGGCTCGCGTTGCTCTTTGCAATGCTGAGCTTCACGGCTGCAATACGCCTCAGAATTGACCCGCAAGGCTCCCGAGTGGGAAGCCTACCCGACCCGGGGATTCTGCAAGGAGCTGCGAAGCAGTGTCTGATTCTGGGTAATTACGCCACTGCAAATGAGCACGCTCTCGAGGCCTTCATCCTCCACATGCAGAGCTACTTCGTAACGCAAGGGGGAAAGCCTTCCATGGGGCTCTGGTTTGAAATGGGTACTGTGATTCGACTGGCTTTCCGCATGGGCTGTCACCGCGATCCCGGCAATCTGACTGGCATCTCGCCCTTTGCCGGCGAAATGCGTCGCCGTCTATGGCTGAACATTGTCCAGATTGACGCATTGCTGTCGTTCCAAATGGGACTGCCGAGCGTTATACCCGCCCAATTTTGCGATACTGCCGTGCCGCGAAACCTGGAGCACTCCGATCTGCACCCAGGCATGGAGGCACTGCCCCCTTCCAGACCATTCAAGGAGCGAACGTCTGTGACCTATACCATCGTCAAGTCTGGGATCATGGCTGTGTTCAAGAAGATTGTGTGCCACACGCAGTTGCCGTCTGTGCCCGCGTACGAGGCTACCCTTGAACTTGAAAGAGAGATGCGCCTGGCCTACAGCAATGTGCCTGAGTTATACCAGAGATGTAACGTCAGTCAGTCATTCATGGACTCGTCGGGCGTCATACTCGAGAGGAGCACAGTTGAAATTCTCTACCTCAAAGGCATCATCGTCCTATTGAGGAGATTCATCACCTACGACCTGAAAAACGATGCCACGTATGAGAAATCGCGTCGAGCATGCGTCGAGGCTGCTTTGGATATCCTGGCCCGGCATGCTGACATTGATGCAGCCTGCCAGCCAGGAGGAAGATTGTACGAGGACGGGTGGATGTTTGACGCGATTCCAAACCATGACTATCTGCTTGCCGCCATGGTCTTGTGCATGCATGTCTCAGTGTATCTAAGCAACCGGGCGCAGACGTCTCACCCCGAGGCAGACCTTGCAGAACGATCACGTCGTGCCCTCGAGAGCTTGGCTCGCATCTGGCAGCCGCAGAGCTCAGAGTCTCCGGATGTACGGATAGCAGCCGAAGCTATCAACGTCATGATGAAAAAGGTCGTCGAAAAAGAACGTGGCAGTAGTGATAACTATCACTCTTCTTCTTCCTTTGCGAGTGTTGCCACGTCTGACACCACGGACGACTTATCACTGCCTTTTGCTGGTACCATGGCACAAATGATTGATGGAAATGAGGTGATCGACTGGGTACGTGCAAAAATGACCCACTCGACTATGCGACTGACACTAGTGTTCTTCATCAGGCCTTCCTCGACCAATACTTCCAGGGGACAGAAGGATTTGGCCTGGACTTCGGGCTATAGATATCGAGGCAAGCCATGAACTTCACTTGACCGCCTGGTCTGTGAATTGGAAGAAGATCTTCAACAGTGGATTACTTGACACCCTTCTACCTACGCCGCTATACGCTCACGCGGCACAGACGACCGTCCTGTGAGATAAAGGGGACATTCTCCTGGTTCCCAATGGCCCAGCCCTCGCTCCCAACGGCCGTGGGCGCCCAAAAGAGATCCCTGGGGTCGATATTTTTCTTGATCGCCAAAAGCCGGTCGTATTTCTGACTGTAAAAGGACACTTGCCATTCGAGATCCATCAAGTCGCCTTCATTGTTGTAGGCACCTGCACCGGGGCTGATGTCCTTGAGACGCTGAGACAGATCGCCCGTGAGCTTCTCGTTGCCCGTGGCAATCTCCTCCTCGGTCGCGTCGGCATCCCACACGACACCGATGATGTTGAACATCATGGTGTCGCGCCAGGCAGGATTGACGACGTTCTCGGAGGCGCCCTCGGGCTTGGGGCCGTTGATGTTGTAGTGCACCAGGAACGCGCCGTCCTCGACGACGCTCCGGACGGTCTTGATTGTCTTCTTGAGAAGCTCACCATCTACCCAGTTCTTCCTGGGCAGCAGGCGGTTGGCGGTGCGTGCAGTGGTACCACCGACGGGCACGGTAGGGAAGTGCTTCTTCCAGGCAGAGTAGAGGTTGTCTTCATCGAAGAATTCGAGCTTGGGGTCAACACTGAGGGCCTCCCACTCGTCTAGCAGAGGCTGGACCAGCTTTTTGAAATCACGCAGCGCCATGCCGGGGATCATAAAGGGCTTGCCCCTCCAGGCGTAGCCACCGCTGGGCAGGCCAGACATGCGGCGTCGTCAATTCCCATGTCCTTGGTGGTGGTATCCCAGGCCATGCGCGACACGGCGATCTTCTCGTGGACGCGGACGGTCATGGACGTGGCAACGCCCCAAGTAGCCGCGCCTCCTCCACGGATAGCCCAGAAGAGATTGATGCTTTGCGTATCGTCGGCGGTAAAGAAATGGTCCTCGGGTGTTATTATGTCGACACTGAGGACCTGGTCGGCAGCCATGCCATACAGCGAGGAGACGGGAGAAAGACCACCGCCTGGAGTGTAGCCACCTGTGACGCTGACTGTGCGGCACTCGCCGCCAACGAACGGCAGTGTAGCCGTGCTTCTCAGCGGCCTCGTGCATCTCGTGCGCGAGGACACCAGCGCCCATCTTGAATGCAGGTCCCGTGTAGCTGCCATTGGCAGAATCGTACGCATCCATCACCTCACTGTCGTCGAGATGGTGTGTCCACAGAGAGAGGGCACCCTTGCCCGTGTTCCTGCCAAGAACATCATGACCAGTGTTGCGAACGACGAGTCGAATGTTCCTCATGCGCGCAAAGTTGACGGCCAGCTGAATCTGGGCCACAGAAGTGACGTTGACCGAGTATTCGGGAAATCCGCCGAGGGTACACTGCTCGCCAAGCGCGCCGTTCTGAGGCTGACAGGTAGCGCCAGCAAAGAGAGGCGACATGAGTGACAAAGGGTCGTGGACGTGCGTCTCTGAGATGCTCCAATTGGCGAGGAGTTATTCGCACACGGCGGCATCGTAGTGCTTCCCGTCGTAGCAAATAGCCCCGAGAGGAATAGTCTTGATCAGGGTTTCGCGGGACATTAAAGAAGGGATCCCAACCAGCTGCTGCTGAGGCAGATGTCCCTAGCGTCTCATATTGCAGATTCCGCGGAAGATGATTAGTGCACATAAAAGGCCCTGTCGCGAAGGATAGTGAACTGGGGGATTGGTTGGATGGGAATTTCCGGGACACGAGCGGACTGTCCGCCAGGGGTCGGGGGACGTCTGAGCCCGGCTTCTATGATCAGAACAGGGACGACGAGCAGTTTTTGTTTTTTATCGACCACCTTCCGATGCTGCTTAATATGTCTTGATGTTCTCTTCTTAACAAAACAGTTTTGTCGTCTGTCCAGTTCTTTTCTGGCTGGGTATCGTACGAAGTTCGCAAGGGTTCCTCGTAGGCCCGCTTGTCATCAGGCTGGTGCTCGGTTGTAGCCTTGGACCGTGTCCATGTCTTGATCAAAAGTCTAAATATCCATTTTCAGGATCTTCCAGTGTTTTTCCCGCCTTTGGGGTCTCTTACACATTTGTGATCTAATTCTGACCTCCTCTGTGCCTGTTGCCTTTGTGGAAGGTCCAGTCCTCGAAACCACGAGCGAGGGCTTCCATGGACGCCTCGGCGATGCTCTCATCACGAGCAGCCGATGACATCGGGCCCTGGCAGTACCCGGATGTCACCAAGATTCCCACACCACCTCTGTAATTGACTGGCGTGGCTATCGTGTTTGCCCTTCCAGCACTTGCGACAGTCATATTTCGGTCTGCGCGTGTACACGAAGGTTACCACTCGGACAGTTGGCGTTGGTAAGCCTTACTGCATTCATGTACATGGAAGTCCAAAGTACTGAAATAATATCCCAGATGACTATCTTTGCGGATTGGCACTTGTCTCTGGCGTCTTGGTGTCGACAACACTTTACATGTGTAAGTGGCCGTCGCCATCATCCATGCCAAATGTCACCACATCAGACATAGCTGACACACCGTTATAAGTCTTCAAAATTAATTCCCACGGCTAGTCGGACGCAGAGGTGCCCGACTTCAATCCGAGTCCCGGCCTGTGGTGGAACCCTTTCGAGCAGCTCTGCTACAACCCCGTCCTCGCTCTTGTCAAGGCCCCAATTCTCGTCTTCCTTCTGCGTCTGGGCGGGCACCACAGCACCATATTCAAGGCCATCTGGACCCTCATTATCTTCAACATATGCCATATCGTCTCGATTTTCTTTGGGGCCCTGTTCCAGTGTGTGCCGATCAAGACAAACTGGGACCCTGAGCTGCGCGGATCCGAGCACGTTCTACATCGACAATAGCTTCCACATTATTTAGTCAGCCACTGCCATTACGACGGATATTCTCCTATTGGCACTTCCATTCTGGATCTTCCTGGGTTTGCGGATGCCTCGTGCGCAGAAGTGGGCGGTGCTCTTTGTCTTCGTCATCGGCGCAGTGTAAGTTTCTCCTCACTTGCCGACATTGCATGTACTCTACCACTGGATTGGAGCTGACCGCGACAAACACCATTCCTATGGCGGCCTTTGTGCGCATCATCAACATATACCGTCTCCTCTATCTCAATGAGAGAGCAAAACATTACAACATTGCCTACGTGTGGACCCCAGTCGAATGTGACGTTGCCAAGATGGCCTGCTGCATGCCCGCACTTCGCCCACTCTTTAGTCGTCTCTGGCCACGGTCGTTCGACAACAGCGGCGCCAAAGCCGAAGAATATCCCTACTCGAATTCGCTCGGCAACGTGACATACGGCCGGCCGTCCATGGGTGGTAGTCACCAGCCCCGGGATCGATCGGGGGCGACGAAAGGCTTCATGCTCAAGGACATTTACGGCTCTCGGAAGAAAACACAGACATAGTTTCGAGATGTTTCGCCTTCGGGGTCAGAGGAAGAAACCATGACATATAATGGGATCCTGAGGACCACGAATGTAAATGTGAAGTATGAGGAAGCCAAGAGGAGCGAGGCGATCGCCATGTCCAACGGGACTAGTAGCAATAACTTGAGGTAGATAGCATAGATTAACAAATGCTTGCTGGTGGAAGAAAGGCGGAGTATTTCCGCATCGAGGGTGAATATATCGTAGGATCCTTCGTTGAGGCAATTTGCCTGCTAGACGTCGACACGTTTTCGTATTTCTAGGCGGTTTTCCTCCCAAAATATCTTCCAGCCCCTTTCACTTCATTCATGTCTAATTGCTTTGCCGATCCTGTAGTCATGAGCACAATTGTCAACTTACGACGCGCCAATTTCCGAAACTCACCTCTTCAATCCCTCAGTCATCGTCTCAGAGTCCTGCACGTATACCAGCCGAAACCACCCTGCTTCCAGCGAGTGTTCCTCCTTGGGATGCAAGAAGACACCGCATCTCTGCAGCTGTGTCGCGAGTGCAAATTCTGGAAACCTCTCCTTCTCTGATAAATACGGCGAGAGGTTGATCCACACAAAGAACCCAGCGTTCGTTCCACGCAAGTACTCAATGCCCATCTGATCAAGGCCTCTGGTGACATGTCTGTACGCAGCAGCCAGCTTGTGCCGAGACGAATCTACAAAGCTTCGACACCATTCCCGGTCAGACAACATGGCCGCACCGATAGATAGACTCGGTGCAGCAGCGTTATGAAAGCGCGCTACGGATTCCACGGCTTTGATCACGCTTGGACTGCGTGAAATGAGAGCACCGATGCGCAGACCAGCTGCGCCAAAGTCCTTGCTGAGACCCCATGTGACGTGCAACAAGCACGGATCGATGTATTGGTCGGTGTCAAGGGACAAGACAGAAGTAAAAGGTACTGCGGTCGGCTCGCCAGAGTCAAAGACAGAGCAGGCGTAGATTTCGTCGCTGAAGAGGTGAAGGCGATTCTGGTTGCAGAACTTCATAATCTCCACGAGCGTTTTTCTGGGATAGCATTTGCCTTTTGTATTGTCAGTCCAGATCTCACTCCGTAGATCTCATTGCATTGCTCACCAAGCGGGTTATTAGGGTTGACAATGAATATCGTCTTGACTTTCACCCCTCGCGCCTCACACGACTGAAGAGCCTTTGCAAACTTCTCAACCACGGTCTCATCAAAGCAGTCCTGGGCCGTTGTATCGGCATATTCCACCTGTACGCCACTCTTGTTGAAGAAATCGAGCTCGAACCGTCCATACACAGGTCTGCTGGTGAGAAATGCATCGCCCTTGTCAGCCAGTGCCCACGCTAGCGCATCATGCATAGCCGAAGCCGAGTTCGCGATCTGGACATCCTGGACATGGATGAGTTTGTAGGGCTTCAAATATTCGTTGAGATGCGCTACTAGAGCTTGGGGGAGGTCTGGGCCGCCAGCAGTCGCTCCACGGTACAGGAAATCTGTTTTGTGGGTTTGAACCTTTCTCCGTCAGTGTTAATGCTTATTTCTGGGAACGACAGCTATCGACATTCTTCTGGGCGAACTCTACCAGCTCGTCAGTAGCAAGGTGCTATGATGGTTAGCAAATTCAGCAGCACCCGGCGCCGACTCTTACATTCTCGGCCGTGCCAAATGATATGAGTCCCTTTGGATTTGCCTGAAGATCGTATGTCTGCTTGGGAGCAAAACGCCATGGGCGGTTCAAGCTTGCGACTGTCGTCCCGCTCCGTAGGGACAACAGAGGGTCGAGCATAGTCATGAAGAAGCGAAATGCACAAATGAGTTAGGGAAAACTGACTGGCGTCAAAGTGAAGAAAAGAATCAGAGATGCTTCACGCTGGTGAGTGTCTAGTAATCTGGGTCAGCCTACAGGTAGGTCGAAGCAAGTTCTGCGGGGTCGCTGTAGATCAACACGTTTGCTAACGAAACTTGCTCACCTTGAGCTTACCTCGTGCATATAATTGAGATATCAAATCGCTGAACAGCCTGCATCAATTTTATTAAGAGGAAACTTCCTTTGTTGAAAATGATTGTACTTTATGTTCAAATAATCCGTTTTGAACAATATCATGCTCTCGGGCTTCGAGGGGAACTTAGCCCGATGGTATTAACTTGCCAGGTTTCGTGCTTCACCGCCCGCGACGACTAGCTATTTAAACAACAGAAAATCCTAGTAATGAGTGAGTGAGTACTATTGCATCTAGAGCATCACAACTGATATAAAGATATCAAATACTGAGAGACTTCCGATCTATAGTCATGCAGCATGCTCCATATATGAAGTAGCTGACCTCAGTAGCCCCTGAGCATGCCGGAAAACACTACATCTCATCAGCGAAACAACTTGTTAAAAGTGAATTTTCCAGCTTCGTCCCAGTATTCTGAACTGCTTATCGAACAGCAATTGCTACATACTGGAATGGCGACAACACAGCACATGCACTTGAACTTGATCTGTCTAGCTGGCAAGAGCTCAGGCACGGCTCACCCTATCTCAACTTCATCTCACCATCATTGATCCCATCTTCTTGACATGAATCACATCCAGCGTAGCGTGATTTTTTTGATTTTTTTTTTTGAAAATGTGCGCGTAGTTAGCACTGTGCTCTCTTGACGCGCTGACCAGCCCCGGTCTGAAGGCCAACACGACCTTGCTTCCTCACATCCTCACATCCTCAGCTTCGATCGATTGCTGCCAAACCAAATATCGATCACGCAGTGCCTTTAATATCTCCCTATCCCTCGTTTTACTCTCTTTATTTTCTTCAAGATCTTCTTCATCCATAGTTATTCTTTGACCTCCTGCGTTGACCTTCAAGCGTCGACATTTGTGTTCACCTTCAACATGTTTTACAGCCATGAGAGTAGGAACCACTCACGCGCCTCAGTCCGTTTCTGGCTTTTTTCTGACGCGCCTGAACAGTCCTCACGAACCCCCTTTATGGCGTGTCCACAATATGGTTCGTGTTCTCATTGTTGCGTGCCGCTTTGTCCACAACACTGACCATTTCCAGGATGGTAGCCACAGTAGGCAAGTCCAACACTCGCAGCAGCAAGGTCAACCGCAAGTCCATTCAAGGAGTCAACGTTCCCAAAGCCTGCAAGACGATCATCGAGCCAGGAGCGCCACTTGCTCTGCGTCTGCAGGGCAACCTGCTTTATGGCGTATCCCGCGTCTTCTCGCAGCAGTGCGGCTATGTCCTCTCGGACTGCGAGAGGACTCAGACAGAAATGCTGTCCTATTTCGGCGCAATGAACCAGAGTGAGCTTGACCCCAAAGCGGGGCAAACAAAGTGAGTCGAATTGCCCCCTTTTTCTTGTCGAACAAAGGCAGCCTAACGGACAAAAGGCGCCAGAACATTGTCATGGCCGATGATCCAAACTTTGACCCCGTTGCGTCCATTCTCCAATTCGACATGAAACTATTCTGGGATGCAGACCAGATCTTCGGGACTCAAGACGATACTCAGAAGCTGTCCAACGTGACGCCCTTGGGGAGCCAGGACATGAGCTTCAGGCTGCCTGCTTCATCTCACTCGGGTAGTTATCTCCTTCCACCTGATCTCGGCTTCGACACGCCACTCAACGGTGCACACTTGCCCTCGCATCGCATCGACGAAGACCTTGATCCGTTTGGCGGCTCTGGACTCGAGATTGATGAGAACGGCAACGTTCTTGGCTTCATAGAAAACACTCGCGCTGAGCTGCCACCTCTCCATCGGATGGGGGAAGACGAAGCGAACAACATGCACCATCAGCTCCTTGACGCCGACGCAGACTTTCAGATGACAAAAGATCGAGGCGAGCCCAACGTGCTCATCATGGGAGAGCAGCCTCTCCCTTCAGATGCAGAAGCCTTCCCGGCGGCCACCAAATCGAACAAGCGTCCCAACTCTGCTCTCCCTCCAAGTTCGGAACTTGATCGTCTATCGAACGCTCCACTCAACAAACGCCGCCACGCCAAGAGACCCAAGAAAATGCCTACGCTGTGGGACGACGAGACCCAGATCTCGCGTATCGATCTCAAGTCCTGGCAGACGGACTACCTCGCCCGCATGGAAGCTGAGCGTACAGAGGAGGCCATCAAGCGTCTTCGTCGCGGACCGACCGCGGCACAGTCCAAAGCATATGCAGAGCACCTGGTCTGGGGCCGCGGCCTGTTCGACTGCGGCGTGGCCCTGTATCCTGAACTCGACGGACCAAACGGCGTGCGAGGTCCACTGGCAGACATGTTCTCCGGTCGAGCTCTGAAAGCGATGTGCTACGGAGAGAAGGCGGTCGAAAGAGCGGACCAGCGTTCTGCCAAAGAATCGTCCAAGCGCCGCCACGAGGATGCCTTTCTAGGAGAATAGGAGTCTCCCCGGAACGTGCGCCAGAACACTCAAGACGACGATGATGTTGAGACAGGGCCTCCGCGCAACGAAGACGCCATCGAGAAAGGCATGGAGCATCCTCCTTCCATGGGCGATCAGCACTCCTCCATGGTGGCGCCCTGGTCCCGTCCCGGCTCCGCCGTGCCCCCAGGCTCGAGCATCCGTGGCTCAGCGCAGAAACGACCTCTGAGTCGTCCTGTCAGCCGTACAGGCAGCGCCATTGCGCCCATTGAGCGCCACTCTGTTCCTCACCTGCCGAGCGAAGACTTTGGCGGCTTTGGGTCTCTGCCAGCTGCGTTCTCCGACCCGCATGAAGACATTGAGCTCAATGGTGAGTCTCGGCCGGCCAATTTTGTTGACGCCAATGTGCTCGACTGGGTCAAGACCACAGCCGCCGCGCACACGCCCGATTCGCGTGGTCGACAGTGGTTCGATTTTGAAGAGGCCATCAACTCCCAGAAGCAGGCGTCCAAGCAGGTGGCGGCCGAGGCGTTCCTCAACATCCTGACGTTGGCCACGCGGGCGAAGATCGAGGTGCAGCAGAAGGGTGTCGAAGAAATGGAACTGTTTGGCGCCATCCACGTTGGAGTCGCGATGGGATAATGAGTTCGCAATGGGGTGATGAGGGATACTGGGATCAGGCTTCTCATTGTCCTTGTGCTTTTTCGGCGTTTTTGATCTTGTTTTGATCTGATTGCGTTCTTTGGGTCATGACAACAGGGCACGTACAGTGCAGGGATATTTCGAGATCTGGCTTGGAGTCAGTACGAAGACGCCATTTCCTGGGACCTCAACCAGGGTATGATATTACAAGGGCAATGGGCGTGGCACGTCATTCACGGGAGCAGTAGCAGTCATCAGTCATTATGAATTAAGTTATTCGTAGTCATCATTATCTGCGCCCTCGCGGTCCTCAAACACCATGTACTCATTCTCGCCGTCATCGTCTGCCGTGCAAGTCTCCCATGCTGCCTTGACACTTGCCAAAGCGGCATCATCGAAGGCGAGATCGAGAGGCAGAGTTGGCAGCGTCACAACATTGGAATCTGAGGGGTGAGACACGCGTTGATGCTGGGTATACGACAGTCGATACAGTACTTCGGGCACTTGAGCCTCGCCAACGGCTCGAAGAAACGAGGACAGCGCATTCTCAAGTAGCGACTTTGCGTTTGACTGTGGCATAGTGCTAAGGTAAATGACGCCTGTATTCCGTTAGCTTGCGGCTCGCTCATGGGATGATGCAGCTGGAATGAGAGATGAGAGTGTGTATCAGGTTGTCAGAGTGTTAATCGTCATTGGGATCAGACAATGTAGATAAGTATTCGTATTCATTTGAATCATCACAACACGGGATGCAGGCAGAGAGAGGGGGGGATAGAGGGCACTCACATTGTCCTTTGGGGCATTCGCCCGTCTCGCTGGAGTGAACCATGGCGTGAATGGGAACCTCCGAAGCCGTGCCTTCAGGTGTCCTCACGTAGCCGGCGGGGAATGCTACCACCGCGACGACTGGTGATGGGGCACCTTCGACAGTGACGTCAAACAGCGATGCGAGGTCAGAGTGGACGACAGCTGTGAGTCTGACAAGTGACATGGTAGATGCATCGACGTCGGTCTCTTTCACGAGGAACCTAGTCTTGACATCAATATCATTCGACAAGCTTACGTCAACCCGCTGTTCACTCGCGCGGGCAGACTTGATGCCTGTACCGAGCATGTACACGGCGCCTCCCACCGCGAGAGCTCGACAGCCAACTTGGGCAACCTCGCTGAGCCCACCCCACTTTGGGACGACAGCAGCAAACCCGGCACCAAAGAGACCCATGGAGGACATATGCTGATGAATGCTCCGCAGCCCGTCCTTGACCGTGATGTTTCCATCGAGACTCAGAGTCAATGTGATAATGTCGGCCTGCAGGCGTTCATCAAGCTTGAACTCTTGCGCCAGGAACATGCGCAGCGGCAGGTCGGCATGAGGCGCCCACGTCTCGCGGTGCGGCGGGGCGTCGTAGTCGAGAACGAACTTGAGAAATTTCATCAAGGACCGCTTCAACTTGGCGGGGATGCTGGTGTTGGTGAAGACATCTTCTCGGGTGGATGGTATCCTGTTGAGCGACACGTGGTCGGGCTCGTAGATGTAGAAGGACCCCACGGCGAGAAACTCGATCTGCCGAAAAGCCTTGGACGAGACAAGCTGGCTCAACAGCTCGCTCTTGGCGTGGATGATCTGCGGCGCTAGAGCGATGCTGTATGCTCGCGGGAACGAGAGCCCGCCCTCGGCCTTTGTCACCTCAACATTCTCCGTTGTGGCGGCCCATTCATCGACTTCTTGCAGCGAGAAGGCGGCTTCGTTGCCACCGTAGTAAGAATTGGCATCCACGTGGAGAATATTCTTCCCCGAGCGGGAGAGGGCTCTTTCAGCTGCGCGTCAGTCAGATATGCACCACATCGCGCGTCGGCTCAGAAGCATGGCTAGCAAGCATGGAGGAACTTGTGGAAATGGGCGAGCTTACAGGGCGAGAAGGGATTGCTGAAGCCCAGTGCCGCTGATGACTACATCCCACTCCGTTTCTGCGAGGGATTCCATGTTGTGTGGTCTGAGGTAGAAAAATCGAAAGGAAAGAAAATACCTTGATCAGACGTTGGAGAAATTTCGGAGTGGGGAGGTGCATACGGGCACGTGAGCTTGGTGGTCTGTGCGCCTGGGCCTTCATCTCGCGTCGCACCGGCGATCAAAATTCTACCCTCACCAAACCGCCCATCACAACGCGAAATGTCCAATTGTTGGCACGACGCGTATCATTCGGATTCAGTTCTGGATGATACAAATGGGCGGGAGATGAAGCATTGTCTGCCGGTATCTACTGCCCTAGATTTCACGATTTGAAAGGGTGGTTCGAATGGCTTGACACATTTCTGTGCCACAAACGTCGCGTTGCATGTCCACTGCGCTGCTAAATTCACGTTTGACGTACTATTGCCGGTGGGCGTTTGTTCTGGAGCTCCGTAGCCAGGTGACAGACGTAGAATCCCGCTTGTAGCACATCAGATGCGGCATCGATTGGGGTATCTTTTCATTCTTGGCCTATGACTGCCCTGCTGCTATGGCGTCTGCAAAGCCCTTCCACCTTGCCGACGTCCACTGTAGCATGTCCTTTGAGGTGAGAATCTTGCTGGACAGGTTAGCTCCACCGTGCTTCGACATTGTGACGAACTTGGTGACACCATCAGTACAATCCACCACAATGGTCAAACTCTCATCGCACAGTGCCTCTTCCGAGGCATCAGGGTCGACCAATAACCAATACCGTCCCTCTGTGGGCCGATCCGTTTCTCTTCCAGTAAATACCACCGCTGTGCAGGCAATCGGGTTGCCTGTGATGCTCAGTGGCCTCGGACTCCTCCTTGAGCAGACGACGGCCTCCTTGTCTGGGTCGAAGCGTGCTTGTGGGACCTTGGTGTCTTTCAGTGCGGCCAGTGTAGCCGCCCATGCAGCGTCAAACGGGTTTCCGTCGAACGAGATGAAGTAAATGTCAATGTACAGCACCCAGTATGCCACAACCACCCGCTCCGTCGGTTGATCCTGATCCATGGCATCGTCATCGACTGGGATCGCATCGCTCGGTCTGTCGTACCATATCCGTAGATCATCTGGGTTCAGGATCTTGGAGCTGTGCAAGAGGGAGTACACGCGTGTGCTCAGTGTCTGTGCAAGAGTTGTCGGAGGGCCGCCGGGCATGAATTGGGGCGCTGATCCTGTAGCGAGCTCGATGTTGGGCACGAGTAGGTCGTAGTCCTTGAGCTCGGTCTCGGTGTTGTCGGCGCGATAGTTGGGGATTTGCGACGTGAGAATGGTCTCGCCTCGCACACCACAGATCACTGTGGTGTCCCCCATGCGTACGACGGCGCTGCCGTGGGCATGGCTCAAGCTGGCTAGGTTGACAGAGGGTGTGCGGACTTGGTTTGGCGAGCGCCCATTGCTGCGAGAAGGAGCGTGGGTAGTCCCCACGGGCGGGTCGAGATTGGCGAGCAAATAAGGATGAGGGGAGACCTTGGCAAAAGTGTTTCTCGAGAGACCGACGGCGGGTGCCATTGTGACTGCGCTACAGAAGGCGTGGTTGAGTCCAGCGCAAACTTTGTTGCACTTGGAGAAAAAGTGATGGTGCTGCAGCCTCGCGATCAGTGGCACCAATCAGGTGGAGCGGGGCACGTAAGGCTGATGATCATTCCCATCCGATGCAATCGAAGACTTGACGTCCATGAAGACGGGAGTGTGATGTCGGCCCTTACTCTCGCTAAAGTTTTACGCTTTCACATCCATGAAAAGCTCTCAATTTCAGCTCAAACAAGTTGACCGTTTGGCGTACCATGGGAAAGGTACATCTGAATTTCCATCGACTTCATGATTGGGTTGAACTGACTACCCTACACATCGATAACTCGCAAAGGGCTTGGACTTTGTTTGCGAGGGGAACGTGCGCACGAATGTTTCGTATATTCACAAAAGTATAGCCCCTCAAACGAGTGCTCTACTCAGTACCTGTCAGACGCGGAAAGATTCTCTGCCCTTGAAGAAGCAGGCAAAAAGAAAACCCCACGTCCATATGGTCAAAGAATCACTAAGACGACGAAATCAACAAAAGGAAATGCCCACTGCTGGAATTGAACCAACGACCTCATCATTACTAGTGATGCGCTCTACCTCTGAGCTAAGAGGGCCAAGAATAGATCTTGATAGTGATTTGCCACCAGATCTGCTGAATAATTCCCTCATTTTGCAAAATATAATCCTAGCATGCACGGTGGAGAAATTGTCAACAACTCACATGTTTTGGTGGTGCGGGGCGCCGCTGGGTGGGTGCCGGTGGGCTACTCAGGGGTTCACGGAATCATGGTTCACTGGCCTACGGAGTACATGTACTGGCATGGGTCAGCGACGCGCAGACCCACGGTACGTAGGAAACATCAAACAAAACATGAAGATCCAACGAGACATGTAAAGTGTTCAATTGTTGATAACTTTGTCAACATGGGTATTACTACATCTAGACCTTCTCATTGTCCACCTTCTCCTCGCCCTTCATGACACCCTCCTTGGTGGTGGGCGTTGCTGTGCCACTGAGAGCGGGCTCGCCCTCGACTACCGGATGGTCATTGGTCTTCATTCCGAGCATAGTCTTCGTCACCTTGATGAGCGTCGCACGGCTCTCCCACAGGGGGTAGATGACAATGGCAATGAACGTGCAGAAGATCCAGATGACGCCAACAATCACCCATCCAGTGAAAAACTTCCTGCTGAAGACGTATCCCGTGCCATAGAGCGGCATAGGCCACAGGACCAGGAATGATATCGCCCTACATCCGTTAGTCAGCTTGAGCACTCGATTTTCCCGGACCATGGAGAACTTACAAGAGCACTGTTGTCACACTCGCAATCTTGAGAGCTCTGGTCAGCTTCTTCCTCTCCGCCACCCATTCTGCCTCCTGGGCACGCTCCAACTCGCGCACAGCCTCGGGGCTCAACCCTGCATTCTTGATGATGTCGTCATCATCTGACTGGCGAATGGCCAGCATAGACTGCCAGTCGTACTTGTCCAGTCCGAAAATGAGAGTGAAGATCGGAACAAAGAGGAGGGGGGAGAGTAGCGCAGTGACATTGCCCGCCAACATTGGGTCGTTGGATCCTGTGCAAGCGACATCGAGGACACCGCAAGTCTTGCTGGCGGTTACAAGCCAGGCGATGATGGCGCAAATGAAGCCAAGGATAGGAGACAGGGTCGCAGCCCACTTGTTCTGTCCCTTCCACATGAGTGTCAGTGTGGCGGGGATGACAGCCGCCGAGATCAGGACACCCATCAGAAGGTACAAGTAGCCCATGGAGATACCATTGTACCAGAGTCCGACGGAAACGAGGCATATAATGATGGCGTACCCAATCATGGCCATGTGCGACATCCACACGAGCTTCTTGCCTGTGGCGCTGGGGTTGATGTACGCACGGTAGATATCATAGGTGGCAATCGATGAGACGGCGATGAGTTCCGCGTTGAAGGACGAAGTGACAGCCAGATAGACCATGATCAGGGTGGCACCGGCGCCGCCCTTGCCCAGCAGAGCTACCGCGGCGTAGGGGAGGGCCAGACCAGCCGACACATCGGCGTCAGTCATGCGTTCCGGGTATGTAGGGAAAACGGGATTCGATTCAAGGGCCAGAGCCGAAAGACCGAGAGTGGTCGCTGTCAACCATGGAATGGCAAACCAAGCCAAGCCACCAATGATATAGCCAGGCAGGGCGTGAACCGGGTGCGCAGCAATCGCCTTTTGAGAGTAGGACGCATCCAGGAAGACGGTGCCAAAGTTACCAACAATGTTGATCACAAAGAAGGTGATGCCGCCAGTCGAGCGCATGGTCAAGTAGCTTCCGTCCTTGTTTCCCGCCACCGGGTGATTGGTAGCGGCCTCGACAAGGAGGTCGTACACAGCGCCAGGGCTGCCAAGATGCTCCGAGGTCGAGTAGGCCGAGAGAGCAAATGTGATGATAATGATCAAGACAACGGCGCCATGGATGTAGTCCGTGATGAATGTTGCCTTGATACCACCAATGAATGTGTAGGCCACGACGGGAATGGGCATTAGGAAGATGGCCGCTACACCGTGCATCCCTGTCAGGGCGTTGATTGTGGCAGCGCCTCCGGCGATGAGCATGAGGGAGACAAGCACGTTGGTGACCAGGCCGAAGAAAATAAAGGTGAAATGCGCAGGGGCGCCGTAGCGGGCCCGGATGGCCTCCAAGAAAGTATGCGCATTCGGAGCGCGCTTCTTGAGAGTGATGGCGAGCGTTGCAAACAGAATGATCTGCACGGTTGCGCCAGAGGCATACCTGCGGATTGTGAGTATGCTGGCTCCATGGCTAGGGCAGAGAAACACTCACCAAAAGGGTCCCGAAACACCATATCGGTAGCAGACACCGGTGCTTTGCAATAAGGTCGCAGCCCATGTCCACGATGACACGACAGCTGCCGCGACGAGACCAGACTTGACCGATCGGCCCGCAGTCGTGAACATCTCCGCAGTCTGGACTTCATTGTTGAATCGTTTGAGGATAAACGTGATGGTGATCATGAACAGAGCAAAGGCAGCTCCAACGCCTAGGACGACACCATAACCGACACCCTGGGAAAGAGCTGGGCCAACAGCAGCTGACGACATATTGAACTATTGAACCTCAATGAGCAGGTGATCTCGGACGAGAACGTGGAAGCTGATCATTCCCACGAGGTTGCAGGTGGCACGTTGATATACATGTTCGCCAGCAGCGCAGCACCCTGCAGATGGTTCCGTCTGATGGGGGCTCAGTTGCATGTCGATGCGTGCCGAGAAGATAGATCATCAAGCTACAACCGCCGATATCAATGATAAGAGCTGTCGAACGGGACGTAATTAGTTGGTTACGAAATGTCCGAGACCCGGGAGCCCACACCATGACCATCCCGTCCCACAATCGTGGACCAGCTGGGGTAGCTTGGAGGTTTGGCTTTCCCCAACTCTCCATCTCTGCAATCTTATCAGAGAAGCTAGTCGATGCCGTGGCCCCCAAGTGTTCATGTTACATTTGCGCCATGCGATTGTGCGCACTTCGATTTGGACGTGGCATTCGATTCGACTCTATGCTCTTGGCTTTCGCGGACGTCCTCGACGTGTGCTAAGGCTTTGGCGGGCAGGTCTTTTCATGACACTCGCAAATCGATAAGACTAGTACCCACGATATGCGTGACAGACTTGCGAGCGCCGCTGACAGGCTGCGTGGCGAAATCCATGGAGTACTGATAAGGCATCTGGGGATGATGTCGCGGCAATGAGACGCGGCCAATCAGCGCGCGATTGATGATGTTCGTTATCAGAGACGCACGGGCCACGTTCGGCATGCAACTCCGATTCTGCGTCGAGACATAGTAGACTATGTGCAAGCGCACTCTGCGTCGCGCAGCAAAAGATAGTGTCCCATCTGATGGGGATATGCATGGGGTAACGGTGAGCCAACAACGCCCGTTTTGCGTGGATCATGCCACGGATAAGAGGCTCTCTCAGTGCCAAGCGGAAATGAACTTCATTTTAAGCTTAACCATCCCACCCTTGACACATTGTCGTTACGTGGTCGAGGACACGGACTGCCCATTGCCATTGGGGAAGAATATTGGCCGTAAGATGCGGCAGTACCAGACTTTCAATCGACTGGCCAAGGCTGGATTCTGATTGACAAGGCTGATGATATAATTCTATGCACCAAATCATTCTGGATGTCTCCGACGCAGTCCGGTCTCGGCTTGGCTGGATGAACATTGTGGTGTCAGCATTGCTGAGGATTTGACAAAATCAGCGCTGCGTTTCTTCGTGGCCATTGGTTCACCCCCACGCGTGGAGCTCCGATATCTTTTCGCGAATTGTCTGGTATCCCGATACTACTGAACCATTTCCGCAGACCCGCGAGCCCCAAGAAAGCGATTTCGGAGGCTCGTGAGGGCTGGACGGGATCTTTGGCATAGGTAGAGCATCAGCGCATGGGAGATTGGGCTTCAATATCGCGCTGGTGCCTAGCTTGCGTGCCGCGTTCATCTACCATGGGTAAATGTTCTGAGTGACGGATCAGCCAGACCCTTCTCGAAGACCTGCGCCCATTGTTTCGATAAATTCTCCAGATCCCAGCTCGCAGGTTTGTGATGGTCATCGGCCGCTGCCGCCACAGACGTGACGCCTTTGCCCTCGATTCCACAAGGAACAAACCGTTTCCAGGGATTGACATTGGTCTCTCCTGTCACGGCAATGTCGACATTGAGCGCCAAGCCTAGCGAGGTGATGTACCGTCGCTGGTGGACGCCTAGAGCGGCAATTTTGCGATCTTGTCTGCCGTTACTGCCAGCGATCCAAACGCCGGGCTCTGCGCCATCAATATGTGTCGTGATGCCAAAGAGGTCATGGAGAACGCGCTGCGTAGTGGCCTCAAGATGCCCAGCATAGCTCTTGACTGTAAATTTGGGGTATAGCGGCGAGTGCATGTCGAGGACCGGCCATAAAACTAGTTGCCCTGGTCCGTGATAGGTCGTCAAGCCACCGCGTTGCGTCTTGCAGATCTTCGGCGTAAAGGTGTGCTGTATAGGTTCTCTGCGATTGGGAAGTTCGATTTGCAGGGGTTGCGTTAACGTTGTCCGCTGTTCCTCGAGTATTGACGCGTCTTGTCGCCGTCCTATCGTGAACGTGGGCTTGCATTCGAACGAGATAAGTTTCGGTCGGGGGGGTTCGACGGTAGAGCGGGAGGCATCGTGCTTAGTCTGGTCTTTCCACTGCAGGAAATCGTGTTGAAAGGCACTCTGGATTGCGTTCGCATTGCTGTACGCAACGAGGCCAGATCGCGAGACGTGCTGGTGTTGGAGCAGAGCCTGAGGCGGTTCGATTGGGGCCTTGGAGCTGGCTTGCCGAGTGCAGACGTATTTCAATCGTAGGCACCGCGCGATGGGTCGCATCCGGGCAAGCATAGCTGTTGGTGGATTGGGCATATTTCATAAGCAAAGGAGTGGCGCGATGTCCTTCAGAGCGACCGTAGACGTCCAGCGCAGTGCTGTCGCGAACGTGTTTTGCGTCCTCCGAGTTGGGATTCTTCGGCGTCTAGATTCGGCGCCCCATTGTCAAGGGTCCCAATTCCCAGGCTGGCCCGCTGATTGCCGCTGCACGCACGATCCATCGCATCAGAAGTGCGCCGCACCTAGACTCCTCGCATCATAAGGTTTATCAGAGGGGCATTTCGAAATCCCGCGTGAAGCAATGAAACGTTAATATCTGGGCTCAGTGTTAAATCAGATTCCTGCTATAATTCAAAGAGCTGCGCTAAGAACCGCGAATCGTGTGGTCTGTCTCGGCCACTACCATCCGCCCGTCGATTAGCAACAACGACTTCTCACCCTGTGTTTACTATTCGCCAAGGCTTCTTCGCCCACTGCTTCTGCTATGTGGGAGTATGATCGCCGCTTCCAGTCTCTTCGTCCAACTTACTTCTTCCAGCTACCGTCATGATTTGTGCATCTCTAGGCATCTGATGATGACGGTCAGCTCATGACATCACCAGTGCCAGCTGCTTCAGGCAATAGGGCGATGCACAAGGTTTTGCTAGCCGTTATTAGAATTGATATGGGCAACAGGCGTACGCACTAACAGGCCAGGGTATGCTGTCGTCATGCGCATGATGCAAGTCTCCACTCTGCCGAGCTACCGTGGGCCCGTAGCTTCCCCAGGGCCCAAAGGCCATGCGATCCGACGACGTAATTGAACGTGTTGGCATTACATGCCGGTTGCGAATGAATATGCAGCCATTGCGCTGTTTGACACTGGGACAGACAATTGGCTTTTTAGGGTCGTACGTCGAGCCGGCACGGAGGGGGGAAGAGACTTTCTGCCCGGTCATTGACTAAGTTCCCCTGTGTTTAGCTCAGTCTAGAGAGACACTCTTATTTGACTTGAACAGTTGCTCCTCTCCAGCGATACCACTGAGCGCATCAGTGTGAGACATTCCAGTTGCCGGTAGCTCATCGACGCTAAGCTATTAACGCTAGAGCAAATCTGCCCGAGGCTAGCATCGCGCAAGCAGAAACCCAGAGCGAAGTTCCAATCCCAAGGCCCAGATTTTCCTGCGTGGAGTGGCACTATCGGCTTCGGGGCCCTCAAGCGTCCTCGTGTGACGCACCACCATCATCAAACCTTCGGCACCCCCAGGAATCGTCTACATTAAGGCTCGAGCACCCTCCCCGCTGCGACACGCCTTATCCTCTTATTATCCAATTCCGTCATCACAAAACATTTGCCTTGGTCCTACGTTACCTTACCTTGTCGACCACCACTGGCGCCTGGGAGTTTCGCAGTTGCAAAAAACAAAACAAAGCTTGCTATTTACATAATCGCTACCACCACCACTCGCCATGCTCAAAAGTACGTCTGCCCTCTTTGTTCGAACGCATGACTTTTTCACACGTGCTGACCACTCTACACAGACGCCGCGCTCGGTGCGACAGGCATCATCCTGCTCTCAGGCTCGCTCCTCCTCCTGTTGTTCGTTATACTCGCGGGCGTGTCAGACGTGACGCCTCTGAAGCATACCTACTTTCTGCAAGCCGACACTTCCGGTATCAGCGGCGCCCGTGATACTACCCAGTGGACCTACTTCTACTTCTGCGGCCCCGACAACAATGACTGCGGCAGCGCTCGCCCAGCGCCGGCCTTCGGCAAGGCGTGGGATCGCGATGCGGAGCAGGCCCCGGACAGCTTGATTGGCAGCCGCGGCGGCGGTACCACCTCCTTCCACTACTTCTACATGTGGAGGTTCGCCTGGGTCTTTATCCTCATCACCCTCTTCTTCGCGACACTGGCCTGGTTTGCCGCTTGGCTCGCCTGCTGTGGCCGCCTGGGCGCTGCCATTGCCAGCCTCATGGCCCTTGCCGCCCTCTTCTTCCACAGCTTGGGTACCTCTATGATGACGTATGATCTCTGACCCATTTACGTGCTTGTGTTGTACTAACCAGGAACTAGTGCCGTTTTCGTCCAGGCCCGCGATGCCTTCCAGAGAGATAATCGCAGCGCCAAGGTTGGATCGTATGCGTTTGGCTTCATGTGGGCGTCCTGGTTCACCCTCTTCGTCGCGACCATCCTCTTCATCATCGGCATCAAGACCAGCAAGTCGCGCAAGGATACGACCGCAACAGCCACAAACGGTCACACCAAACGTCGCTGGGGCCGCCGCAACCGCAGCGTGAGGAGCAGCTCCTACGACGGCCGCAGGGTCAAGGAGGAGTATGCATAGAAAAAGACTCGTGTCAAACTCGTGCAGCCTATGATGGCCAAGGCGACGGCGACAACGGAGTTTTGACGCAAAAAGCCACTCGAGGCGGGCCAGCCGTCACACAGTGAGGGATCCTGTGAGGCGTAGGTGACTACGAACGAAATGCGAGCTGAAAGAGCTCAGGTATATGCGTGACGATTTAATTTTCAATATTGGAGAGGGATATATCCGAACGGTCTTTTTATTGTTGGCGTTCACGAGTATACGGTAAGATATGCAGGCGTCGGTCCGCCGACAACGGCTATGGGTAAATTCATCAATCTAATCGTTTAATATTTTACCCGATTCACTTCAACATGAAAGTTGTACAATGTAAGAAGAGTATTTGGTGTTTGGTTGCCCTGCTCCCGTTCTTTCTTGCTAGCGGACACGTGATATGTACAAAATCTCCGCTCTCCCACCATCGACTGACATCGCAACAATCTATTCCGCATCCCCATGGCCTCCCGCTCTAGCACATTTCCCAACAGACCCGGGCATAAGAAAAAGCTCTGATAACGTTTCGTGTACAGGAGGAAATATGAGGTGATCTCGATGTTCGACAAGGAAGGGAGAGGCAAAAAAACGAGCCAGCTCGATTTTAAGCCTCGCCAGGCCCAGCACCTATCTGGGGGCTGGCCATCGGGCTGACGGTATCAAGCGGCGCAGCATGCAAGGCTGGCCGCTCAGACAAGGCCGCCTGCTGACCGTCCCCCTGCGCAGTGAGGATGCTCTTCACCCACATGGCGATTTCCTCGTCTTCTGTTCCAGAGCCCATGTTCAACTTGCTCACGGCCTGAGCTGCTTCTTCTGCCTCGTCCCCCTCTTCTGCCTCCTCGACAATGGTCTCGGGCTTACTGAACTCCTTGAGCCAAGGGTGCTTCAAGAGCATGGCGTACGTGGGCCGTTGCTTAGGAACCTTGTGCAGACAGGCCTTGACAAAGTCCTTGGCTACATCAGAAAAGTGATCAGGAAGCGATGGCGGCTCGCCTTCCACAATGGCCTACATTTGTTAGCAGCAGAACGAGGTGAGGAGGAGGATATGCCCACGCTTAGCTGGCTGAAGATGGTCGAGGACACCTCGGGCGGGTACGGGTACTGTCCCGTGGCACACTCAATGATGGACAGGCCCAGACTCCAGACATCACTTTGCACGCTATATGTCCCGTCGGCGTTTCCGCTCGCCGACATGCCACCCCCAGAAATGCGCTCGGGAGCCATGTAACTCTGACAACCAATGTTCGTTTTGGCTATGCTGGCCACGAGGTTGCCACTGACACCAAAGTCGCAGATCTTGATCTGGCCGCGCGTGTTGGCCAGAATATTGGTGGGTTTTACGTCGCGATGAATGATGTTGTGTTCATCCTTTAGGCATTTGAGACCCATGACAGTAGCATACGTGATCTTGCGCAGAATGTTCTCCGGCACGCCGCCAGCGTACAGCTTGTCTATAGACCCTCCGTCCATGTACTCGATACACATGTACACAGCGCCGTCCTGGAAGAAGGCGCCGTAAAAGTCGATGATGTAGGGGGACACACATTCGTGCAAAATGACCAATTCCTTGAGGATCGTCGTGAATTTCGCATCGTCCAACTCGAGCCGAGTTTCCTTCATTGCCATGGGCAGTCCGGTTGTCCCATCGTCCTTAGGGTGGATCACGGTGTCGGAAACGGTGTGCGGCATCGGAGGCTTCGCCCCTGAGAGACCGTGGCCGAAGCGTGGCACTCGTGGCTTCGCGTGCCGTGCCAAATATACTGTTCCGTAGTTTCCCTTGCCAAGCTCGCTCACAATTTCAACCTCGTCGAGAGAGATCTTGAACGTCTGTCCGCTGGCAAAGTTCACACCTTCGCGGGTAATGGTGGCAGCGCCGTCGAAGGTGATCCAGCCCTTGTCCGCGTCGATGAACTTTTTGAAATCGTCCAGCTTGGAGGTCTGCTTATTCTGCTCTGCTGGATCTGGGCTGCCGCCCATGCTTGATAATGACGGCGCGTTGGGACGGCGCATCCGACCAGAGGATGGAGAGCCACCGGCACCACCATCACCGCCGCCATTCATGTCCGACAATTTCATGCCACCTCCCATGGCTTTGGCTCTCCTGTCCCCGAGCGAGGTCTTTGGCAAGACGGGGGCCGATTGGGGATGTGCTCCTGCGGCAGGACCTGGTCGTGACATGCCACCCGCCATGCCGCCAGCTATGCCACCAGGCATCTGGAGTTTTCCAGGAAACCCATTTGGCCCTCCAGTGGGCGACGGACCAGACGGCGACCCTGAGCCTGCAGAGCCCTTCTGCATGCGCTGTTGGTGTAAGGCTCTCGCCTTGGCCATGGCACTGTTATCTAGGCCAGCGCCGCCGGCAAACGAAGACTGCTGCCTCGTGACGGGCTTCCTAGCAGCACCCAATATCCCCAACGGAGTTGAGTTGGGGTTCATGTTGTGTGGGTCGGACAATGGTGGAAGCGAAGGAACTCGCTTGTGAGACTCGCTGGGGCTATCTGGAATGCCCTCGTCGAGAGGCGTGCTACGATCGGATGCGGTCTCGGAACCCGGTGTAGTTGCATCGTTGAACTCGTCCGGCGTGACCGGTGGTGAGGTATTGCCGCTCATGGCGGATGGCTTCGAAGCTCGTAAGATCGCGGAGCATGCAGTAGTGACAATGGGGTGATCACGTCGTGGCTCGCTGGGGGGCGTAACACGCACGGTTGACGGATCGTAGCGAAGGGCTCGGTGACCTGACAGGCCGTGTCGGTTCAAAGATCAGAAGTGCTTTCTTTGGTCGTAGGCCTTTCAGCGAATGTCGTCGGTATATGTTGTTTGTTTGTCGACATTCGCATGTTCACATGCGTACAGCTCGAGGGAAGTGTATGGACGGCTGACGTCTTTTGGAGAAATTACGATAAGGTGACTGGAGAAAAAGGATACCAAGAATCAAGACTGTTGGCAGGATATGGGTAAGCTCCAGTCCGACTCCTCCGTCAGCAGGTGATCAACAAAGCTCAAACAGCCACTGGGGAGACAGTGGCCGGTCCGATCCACACTTGAGGTACAGTACACGTAGGCGGGATGCGGGGTTCGATTTGGGTGTCGTCGCGCTGCGTACAGGGCCAGTTCCAGGGACAGAGGGAGGGACTGGAGGGGTCAGTGGCAGGCAGAATCACTGTCAGTGGCTACAATGGTGTCTGTGTTGCTTTGACATGATGCGATGATGATGGTAAGATCATCGGTTTGCTGCCTTTGCGAAGTGGCATTTGTGGGTTCATGACGATCTGATGCTCAAACAAGGACTTCGACATTCACCTGTTCCCATTCGGTAACAAGACCAGTGCCACGAGGCACGACATCGATGAAACCAGAAGTACATTTCAGCTCTGGAATGTGGAGCGCACACATGAGCAACAAATGCCAGGAATTACCTCCTAATCTTCACAGTGGATAATTAGTTGACGATACTAGTTTCTAGTAGAGGTAATTGCGGAGTACATGCTGCAGCAAGGCGCAAACGCAGGGATCGTGAGTTGTGTAGAGATCAGGATTGTGACATTCCACAAGGGCAGGTGCCTTGGAAGAGCTTTTTCGCAGCGTGCGCTGAGCAACGCGACGGTCAGTTTGAGTGGATGAGTAAACGCTGCCTAATTTCTTTTCGACTGACGACAATGACCGCGGATGTACCTTCTTGAAACAACCTTGAAATTGACTTTGGGGGAAATTCCTTTCTATCTTCTCTACTACGTGCGTAGGGCGGGAGGCAATTGGTGGGGTCCAACCATGATGGGCTCAAATAGCTTATGACGTAACACGGCCACAATCTCGTCGGTCGGCTTGTACGAGAAATTAAATAAGAAATGATAACTGGATGATCAGGGCCTGGGTGTAGCGAGATAGTCGATGTCTTCTGAACGGCATAGAGTACAGTAGCTCTTGGAGCACACCTTCCTGATGCCTTAAGTCACATCTGGCTCTCCGTCAAAATAAGTAGCAAAGAGGTGTCTGTCCTGCCATAATAATGAAGATGTCAAGGATGAATAGCACCTTACGTCTCACCTTTGACACTGTATCACACAATGCGGCGAAGTATCTGTCTTTGCAGAATGAAACCCAGATTCGGAGCATAGCATCCGGCAGTACAATATGGCTCCAGGAACAAGCGCATCTGCATGATGCCCCAGCATCAGATGTGATCAACAAAACACCAGCAGAGCTGTCATGGTTTTTCAGATGTGTTGCGCTTGTCCCACGCACCCAGCGCCTGAAGCCCAACATTTCCGAGCTACCTTGGGCACTTACTTAGTCAAACTGAGAATGTCGCGAACAGGCGCCAACGCAGAACGCCACGGAGCTGCAGGCGCTCTGACCAGCTACGTACGTAGACTGAGTTGATGGCCTTGCCCACAGACCTGCCTGCGCCGCAGCATCGATATGATGGCTCTCACACCGGTCTTGTGCGACCCTCACATTGCCTGCCTCAGTGCGATGGCGTATGAAGATTGACGCGATTCCCGGCGCAGACGAAAGCGCTTGGGAAGTCTGTCGGCCATGTAAATGACATGGAGAGTGAATCGTTTCTGGATGCGGTCTGACGAAACAGCTAATGTCTGCTACGGTGCACGACAGTTTTGTGGGAGTAAATTTCGGTCGAGCTACAGGCGCACGAGCACACTGTGTAGCCGGACACCGCGATCCTAATCTTGAGGCGATAGATCGTCCCGATAAACACGCAGCCCCTTGTGTGGTCAACAGGTTTTGGGGTTGCGCTGGCGCGCGCTGGCAAGTTGTTGGTTGGAACTTGGCTTGCGGGCTGCCTCCCTCTTCTGTTCTTGGCGCTTTCGACATTGATATCTGTTTCTCACACATTGAATAGAACGTTAACCCTTTAAATATCCCAACTGAGCTAACATTGAGGCTCTGTTTCCTCGTCAAAAATACTTCAACTCCAATAATCTCCGCACGTGCCGTTGCGACCTGTCCCCCAAGGCAATAATAATTTGCGCACCTTCAAACTCTACGGTCGTCGATCCTCCCCTACGCCACGCACGCATCAGCATCGACCACCGACGCGGATAGGCGTGACTTCATTCTCTACGTCCCGGACAAATCCTCGACGAGCATCAACCATCACGCCACAGAAAAACGACACAACCGAATCTACACTGATCATTGATGGATCAGTATGCATCGCTGACGGCGCCACAGTCGTTTCGCCTGGCGAATCTCGCTCGCCAGGCGGTTGACTATCCATTCCGCACCTTTCAAAATACGCACGATTCGCATCCCTCGATCGATCATCTTGTTCTTCTCGTTTTCGAGGCCGTATTGGAAGTGGTATGCGTCAGTCTGCCAGGCTACATTGTCGCACGACTGGGACAGTTCGACGCGGAAAAGCAAAAGTTCCTCGCCAACCTGAACGTCACACTGTTCACACCATGCTTGATCTTCACCAAGCTCGCATCGCAGCTGAGCGCCGAGAAACTGTCCGACCTCGCCATTATTCCCGTTATCTTCGTTGTCCAGACTTTGATCTCGTGGGTTGTGGCCAAGATTGTGGCCAGACTGTTTCGCTTCAATGCGCGGGCATCGAACTTTGTGACGGCCATGGGCGTTTTTGGCAATTCCAACTCGCTACCAATCTCCCTCGTCATTTCGCTGTCGCAGACGCTCAAAGGCCTTCACTGGGACAAGATCCCCGGCGATAACGACGACGAAGTGGGCGCCCGAGGCATTCTGTACCTCCTCATCTTCCAGCAGCTAGGACAGCTCGTGCGCTGGAGCTGGGGATACCATGTACTGCTCGCGCCGAAAGAAAAGTATGCCGAGTACCAGGACCAGTTGGCCGAGGAGGGTCAGCACATCAACGAGCCACATGACGAGCACGAGGCGGAGCGACTGATCGGCAGGACGGAGGACGACGAAGACGCCATGAGCACTACGACTGATTCGCAGGGCTACGAACCTGCGGGTCGCACGCCCGTTGGACACGCATCGACCGCGTCTCTCGTGGACGCGGCGGAGGACGACAACGGTTTGCCCAACCGGAAGAAGCTGTCGCAGCACCCAACAGCCCTTGCTGGAAATCACCCCGTCCTCAACGGTCATAGTCCCGACTCCGATATGCTGTCCTTTCCACACATTAGCGACAATGACACCGATGTACCCAAGGGACCCGTTGCCAGAAAATGGTACAACTTCAAGAAGGCTGTTGGAAACAGGGTCTCGGCTGGAAAGAAGAAGACAAGCCAAGCGCTAGCGAGTTTCTACGACAGTCTTCCGAAACCCATCAAGGTAGTTCTTGGATTCTTCAACACCTGTTTGCAAAAGACAAACAAGTTCCTCTGGGAGTTCATGAACCCGCCTCTGTGGGCCATGCTCATCGCTGTCCTCGTGGCGTCCGTTCCCACCCTGCAGAAGCTCTTCTTTGAGGAGGGCTCGTTCATCAAGAACAGTGTGACGGATGCAATCCGCTCCAGCGGTGGCGTTGCTGTTCCTTTGATCTTGGTGGTTCTTGGTGCCAACCTAGCCAACAACACGGGCGCCCGCGACGATATCGTGACCGACCCCGAGGACGACAAGATTGGCACGAAGCTGCTCATTGCCTCGCTGGTCAGCCGCATGGTCCTGCCGACTGTCATCATGGCGCCCATTCTCGCACTCACCGCCAAGTACATCCCCGTCAGCATCCTGGACGATCCCATCTTTGTGATTGTGTGCTTCTTGCTGTCCGGTGCCCCCAGCGCGCTGCAGCTGGCACAGATCTGCCAGATCAATGCCGTGTACGAGAAGACCATGGGCCGAATCCTCTTTCAGAGCTACGTTGTTTGGTGAGTGAAAGATCCTTATACTATGGGATAACAACACTAATGTCTCTGTAGGATCCTCCCCTCTACCCTTATCCTTGTAATGCTCGCCCTGGAGACTGTCGAGTGGGCTAAATAATATGCACGGAACAGGATAGAAGGGGTGATGATGTTTTCAGATCCCAATATCGGGCTCGCGCCGGCAGGATACACGCCTGCTGCGGATCGCATTGCGGTGGCGTTGGCGCGTGTCGTTTGCTATAAACGAGGAGACGGACTGTCTAGCCTTAGTATAGGGTCTTGTAACAATGGATTCATTGACAATTAGGGTCGCTGTTCACAAGTCTTGCGAGGTGCACGTCGGCCAAGTCCACTTCTGCCATGTCACGGTCTAAAACAGCAGTAAGGTCAGTAGAACGTCTGTACATTCGTCGAGCACAATGCAACAGGTAGTGCCACCGGGGATCGAGACTAAAATTGTAGAATGGTATGCGAGTCGCTTCTCTGAGAAAAATAAAGGTATGGAAAAACGAAGGTATGGATGGGAAACAAAAAGGAGTCACTGAAGTGTTATGCCCACTGCTGGAATTGAACCAACGACCTCATCATTACTAGTGATGCGCTCTACCTCTGAGCTAAGAGGGCGGATGACTTGATGTGAGTTGCGCAGAAAGTGGCGCTTATCAAGCATGCCGGCCTTTTCATCCTGAACGTTAAGCATCGTTTGCGTCTCTTCGACAAAAACGCAACCTACAACTTGCGACCATGGAAGGAAGCCCAGCATATTATCTGCCAGGTAAACCACTAGAACGTAAGGACAAATACGGCAGATGGTTGCGTGACACATGTCGGCTGACTCGCGATTATGCTATCTGGAAGATCCAGGTGGTTAGTCTTCTCACGCAGCATCGCCCATTTTATTAGCCCAGAGTCATGACGACGTCGACCCATAGACCCTTACACCGCCCGGCGCCGTAGCGCGGAAACCGTCGGACCAGCCACAGCATCCATGACACACCATTCAGACCCTTGCTGGTCGAGACGCGGGAAGAACGTCTCTCTTCCTCGCGATTCACATGCGCTGGTGGTGCAACACGACGGCTGTATCAATCGATCAGCACGCGAGGCATCTGTGTAGGAGGCGAAGATGCTCACGTATGAATTGGCGCATCATGACCAATCCGTGAACCGCATCCAGTCGTCAACATGGCGAAATTTTGTCGACTCCATCGTCAACCCTGGTCACTGCCCCTCCGTTGACAAATTCCCACTCTGGAATCTCGACATTCCACCGGGTGTCAGGAATCCCATTATCAAGAGAGAGAAATAGCGCAATGTAGCCTAGATTAGTACTCGGCTCCGAAGCCTTTTTGGCAAATCCTAGTACATACATAACCCAGTCGCGACTCCACCCGCGCAGCGCGCAGAGACATAGCTTGCCTGCCGGGCTCATCTAGCTTATTATTACTATTTGCGCCCACCTCTGTTATGACACCACTGTGTCCTCTTGAAACATCTCCTTCTCTCTTTGAAATCGCCTGGGTTCATCTCAGTATCGTCGCAAAAGACAGCATGGACCCGCTCGTGGTCGCTGCGCTGGACCGTCGTGCCAGCGATGGCGTGCCCTTTCGCGCCCGCGCCCATCACACCCACCACACCTGGGCGCATACCTTTTCCTCCCGCCCCGAGCTCTACATTCAACCGCGCACACTCGCCGAGATTGAAAAAGTCGTCGACCTCGCCCGAACATGCCGCAAACGACTGACCGTCACGGGCTGCGGCCACTCGCCCTCTAACATGACCTGCACGTCGAGCTGGCTCGTCAACCTGGACCACTTTAACACGGTACATGCAGTGGATCAGGAGACGGGCATCGTGGTCGTCGACAGCGGCATACGGCTGTACACGCTATGCGACGAGCTTGATCGCCATAGACTCGCCATGCCCAACCTTGGCAGCATCAACGAGCAGTCCATTGCCGGCGCCATCTCGACCGGCACCCACGGCAGCAGTGCTCGCCACGGCCTCATGTCCGAGGACATTGTCGCCCTCAAGATCACCCTCGCCTCGGGCGAGACGCTCTCCTGCTCGGCCACCGAACGACCTGACCTGTTCCGCGCGGCGACCCTCTCGCTCGGTGCATTGGGTATTATCACGCAGGTGACCATACGCGCGACGCCCGCCTTCAAGCTCCAGTGGACGCAGACCATTGATACGGACTACAAGATCTTCGAGGCCTGGCACGACGAGCTCTGGAAACAGAGTGAGTTTGTGCGCGTCTGGTGGATGCCCTACTCCAGGAGAGCTGTCGTATGGCAGGCGGACAAGACGGACAGGCCCGAGTCACCGCCCAGGTACAACTGGTTCGACGGGTCCATTGGCTACCACATCTTCCACAACCTCCTCGCGCTCAGCCATTACATCCCGTCCATCCTCCCGACCGTCGAGCGCTTTGTCATGGGCATGCAGCACGGGTTCCGGAACGGCAGCAGCTTCTCGGCTGTGCAGACGTCGGGCCAAGCGCTGCTGATGAACTGCCTGTACTCGCAGTACGTCAACGAGTGGGCGCTGCCTCTTCATCGCGGACCAGAGGCCCTCCGTAGATTGTCGAGCTGGTTGAACCACCTGACACCGGAGGATCCGGACTACGTCCCCCACAACATCCCCATCTCGGCCGATGGCCTCTACGTGCATGCGCCGCTCGAGGTCCGCGTCAGTGATACGAGTATTACCACCTCTCCCAGGCCGTACCTCGACCCTACCGTGCATGATGGACCCACGCTGTATCTCAACGCAACGCTCTACCGGCCGTACCATCTGGATCCTCTGTGTCGGGAACGTTTTTACGCTGGGTTCGAGCATCTGATGCACGAGATGGGCGGACGGCCTCACTGGGCCAAAAATTTCACCACGACGCGAGTTGAGAACGAGATTATGTTTGGCAAAGGATTGGAGGAATGGAGACGGGTGCGACGAGAGTGTGATCCGGAGGGCATGTTTGTCGGCCCGTGGCATAGGGAGCGCGTGCTGGAGGACGGACCCAGACTGGCCTTTGAAGAGGTTGAGGTGAGGAGACAAAAGGGCAAGGACGGCAGTGTCCTGATGCACGGTGAAGTCTGAGTAGGTATGTGTGTCATGTTCATAGCGATAGATGCATTTGTTGGACCCATGTAATGCCCTCCCATATCTACATATTCATCCGTGCCCCTCAACGCCGGCCTCCTTTTGATTGATTGATGAGAGATCCCGTCCGTCCAACCCGCGCTCCTTTCATCGTGCGTGGACCAACGCCTCAATCTTGAAATTAAAACAGGCAAAGGAAATGGAAATATGAAAAGGAGAATAGAAGAGTAGTATGTGAATGCAGACGCTGTATGCAAATGTCACTTCCAACTCCCAACATTAGCCGCGGCTCATCTGCCCCCCACTCGTGCGGCTCCTCTCGTCCTCCTCTTCGATTACGTCGCTGAGACGAGTGGGATGGTAGTGCCGGGGCGCGTCTCTAGGCTCACTCCAACTAGGCGCTCCATACGCCTGTCCTGAGTAGTCTTGTGGCTCCGAGTAGTTCCCCGACCACTGCTGCTGGTGCTGTTGCTGTTGCTGTTGGCCACCCCCCGGTGGTCCCGAGGCGGGAGAATCATATGTCCCGCTCGGTGGGTTGGTTGTTGCAGGCGTGTCGTATTCTTCTAGTTCGGCATCAGAACCCGAGCAACTGGACGGCGCAGCGAGGGGAATCCTGTTCCCGCGGACGTCGTAGACTGGACGGCCTTGGACGTCGGTCACAAACTCACCTTCGCTGTAGCTGCCCTGCGGAGGTTGCTGACGCGAGTGCTGTGGCTGCTGATGCTGCTGCTGATGCTGCTGCTGACTCGCCGGGTCAGGCGAGGCGTGCCCGGAAGGGGGCTGCTCAGGCGCATATTGATACTGATGAGGATCTCGCGCGCTCGTCTGCCGCCCAGGGGCCCCGTGCGTCATGGGGACGACCTGGACACCACCCACAACCGTGGGGTGGCCAGCTTGCAGTGAAAGTGTGCGGTCTCTTTCAATCTGTTCGCGCCGACCGAGCTCCTCCCAGGCGCGTCGGGCTTCATCCTTGGAAATGGCCAACTCTTTCTTCATTTCCAGGATCCTCTCTTTGTCGCGGGGTGAGCCTTCATGCTTCTCGAGAGCTTCGCGGACGGCTTCTTCTCGACCCTGCCGCTCTTGCTCGAGCGCGTTCTTCAGTATCGAGTTGAGCTCATTGGCCTGCTCGAGCTCACGCCGCGTCTCGAAGAACCACCGTTGGAACTTGCGCTCTGAGCTTGCCCGTAGCCTCTGCAGCTCGACCACGGCGTGGAACAGGTTGGCGCCGGCCGCAGAGAGGTCGGTGACTTGCCGCGACAGTTGACTGCTTACCGGATCTCGGTTGAGTTCCTCCTTGTTCTGCTCCAGTTTGCGAATCCAGTAGCTCGTCAAACCCTCCCAGTGTGCAGATAGAGTCTCCCAACGCTCAAAGGCGTGCGGGAATGAGTTGCGCGGCTTCGAGCTACCCGCAGCGCCGGCCAATGGAGGCGGTTCGACCGTTTGGGAGGGTACGGAAGCTTGCTGTAGCGGAGGTTGCGATGTTTGCTGCTGGTTCTGTCCCGAGTAGACCTGGGAAGGAATTTGCTGGTTCTGGCCGTAGGCCGCCGAATTCGAACGTCGATGGGTGGTTGGTTGCGGTGTAGTGGGCGCAGCGGGGATAGGCTGCATGGCTTCGGCGACATGTGATGGACGCTGAGGTTCATTGTATTGTGGACGCTGTTGGCCAGAAGTCTGGTTCTGGCCTGCAGCAACACCAGCAGCAGTGCGTTGCTCTGCTGCTCTCCGCTGCGCTTCCTCTTCTAGTCGAACTTCCTGCTCTGCTCGCGCGCGCTCCAGCCTTGCCCTCTCTGCTTCAGCCTTTTCGGCCTTTTGGCGGGCTTCTCTGGCCGCACGCTCCGCCATGATCATTCTAGGACCCCGAATTCCCGAAGGAGATCCGGTTGGCTGAGGAGGTCGGCGCGGAGCTGCCAGGCCATTGCCATTGCCGCCGCCATGTCCTTCTGGGGGCGCTGAGATATCCGCCATCTCTGCAGTCTCCTCGACAAGGTCAGGCGTGAAGGGGTTGGGGTGCCGAGAAACCTCTAGAGCATAGAGAATGGCACTTTGAGTATGCCTGGAGACCCGAACGACGGGATGAGGAAGTTCGGTTTCTGGGGGCACGTCTGTTGCGCGAGGTGGAGAGCGCTCTGAGGCAATCTCATCTGGGTCCTCCGAGAAGTTCTGGGACAGATTCTGCCTGTGGCGTGATCTCGGGTTGGAGCCGACGGGAGCAGCCGCGAGGTGAGCCTGGGAATCCGGGCTGGGGGTCGCCTCGAATTTAGGCGTGCGTCGCAGACGATGAGAGGATGGCGCAGGAGAGGGCTGCTGCTGGCGTTGCTGGTGTGAGTTCGAGGTCGTGGTCTCGTAAATGTCGTGACGGTCGTTAGAATGCGAAGATCGGTGGGAAGACAAGGCTGCGGTCTGCACTCTGCCAGATGAAGTCGTATACACTTCGAGACGCCGGCTGTGCACCACCAGGCGTGAAGCTGGTGGTGTACGGATGTGGGGGTAGCCGATCAGACGTGTGCTGGAATGCGCCGGCTGCTCAGCGGCGCAAAATCTGCCTGTTGGTTGGCGACAGTCGTGGCTGGTGATGTTCCAATTCAGTGAAAAGTCGCAGACAAAACGGATATGCTGTGCTCAAATCAATGCTCGGGAGGAAAGTCGTAGAGGGAGAACCAAGACAGCGGTCTGAGCCGGCCTGGTCAGGCAACGTCCTTATGGTAAGGTATTACCAAACGAGCTGGGGTCAATTAAAATGGGTGATGTCAAAAAAGGTGGTGGCAGGGAAGCGAAGCTGCTGATGCTGCAGGCTCGCCGACCGACGGCACTGGGTGGAAATTGGGGTGGCTGGTGGCGGTAACAACGAAGAACAGCGCCACAGCTAATCAGAGCGCAATTGACCGTGTCCAGGGCCTCAAAAGGCGGTCGCGAGTGACTGGAAGGTTTGGCGCAAGCTGCAAGTTCCGTGCGCTCGAGATTATTGGTTTTCCAAAGGGAGTGCGTGGTGTGAGGATGGTCCTGGTTCGTGACTGTCGTGCCAGCTCATGAAGCCCACCAACCGCTGGGGATATGACGCCAGCGTGTAAGACGTGGTCGTTGAGCAGGTCCAGTCGTCAGAAGGTGTTTTGATTGACTGCTTCAGTCGCTGGCCTGGTGCCGTGGTGCGTCTGATGTGCCTGTTAGAGCACTCTGGTTAAGCCGAACTGCTGCAAGACTGAGACAGCCAGCTCTGTGCCTGGCGCGGCGCGCAGGTGGAATGTAAGGACGGGCACGGCCAGCAAACGAGGGCCAGCGGCGCTCGAGGCCCAATTGAGTCTTGACGTCGCCTCTGGTAGGTCCAGTCGCGCTAGATCATGTTTCGTTGCACGTCACATTCAAAAAGCAGAGTCTGACAACGGGGCGCGCGGACGAGAGTTGGGCGACAGATATGAAGGACTATGGGAGCAGGAGCGAACTGGAGCGGCTGCTGCTGACTGGACTAGTAATAAATTACAGGCCTACCAATCGCACCTGCCCGACCGACTCCCATGTCCGATCGCACCTGCGCTCGCCGCCTCACTGAGAGGCTACTCTACCTTTTCTGCTATGCAATAATCAAGCAACCCGAAAATTAGGTGTTACAGGCGCCAACACGTTGTCATCGTATGAGTGCCTGGTTTGCATCTTCATCCGGTGACCTCTTTATCAAACATGATAGCTATTGACGGAACTTTACGTTTGGCTTTGCGAGTCGCACAAAGACATTGCTTCTTTACATTTGGCTGACTGACTACCAAGTTGGCCTAGCCCGGGCGCCTTTCGTAACCCAACATCCTTACACATAATCTCCGCTAGCGGGTGCTAATAAGTTTGCTATCAGACGCACAAGTAATATTGTTCGTGGCCAACTTCTCCTCACTTTACGGTACAGCGCGGTAGGAGAGCCTGCCCGATGACACCAACAAGGACCAAGCAAGGTTTCTGTCGATGGAGCCGTGGCGTTGGATCCGTCAATGCCAGCGCATCAAGCGGCAGCCCTGCGTCATCGGCCCTGTCAAGGGTGAAATAAGTCCGTCGCCAGCGGTACAACGCCCGCATGTGGCCAATGTCGACAGGATTTGGGCTCGAATCGCATCGTAGACTGGCCGTCGAGTCCATTGGACAGATTCTCGCACTGCGAGTTGAACCCGACCGAGATTCCATCAGATGTCACTGCTTTGGAGGGAGGGTGTTCGCGGGAGGCTCCGATGAGGTCCACAAGTGCCGTGTCCAATGGGACGCGGAGGCTTACACCTCACAACGAGCGCTTGATCTTTCCGCGAGACATGGCCACAGGCAACACTAGCATACAGCATCTGATAAGGGCGTAGAAAGTATACGGCCCATAGCTGGGCTGCTGGCAGAAAATTTGGCTGATGTTTTATCTGACAATTAACCAAGTCTAGCTTGAAATGGTTGCTGACTCCGGGAAAATAGTAGACACGGCATCGCGGCTAACGCCCACTATTGGCTTTCACGAGGCTGTGAGTTTGTGAGAAGTAGGTAAGTTGCCTATCGCCTACCACATGAAAGATAACATCAATTGGTCAGACGAAAATACTAAATTGACAAGAAGTAGGATATACATCAACTAGTAAAACAATTATTGCAGATAACACCGTTTCTCTTGACCTGGTGGCATGTCGCAGGGTAGCCATTTCACGATAGAAACCAAAACCACAAACATGTCTGGTCTCGTCGCGCTTCTGGTTGTTACGACAGAGCCATTCATTACGCACTTCTTCACCGCCAACACGCAACTTCTCCGCGGCTGTCCTCGCATCTCATCCAAAAAATGTCTGTGCGAAACAGCCGTCAAGAGCTAGACCCCATACCCGCCGCGTCCCACCTATTACGCGAAATCTAGAGCCTCGTATGCAGGGCAGCGAAAGATGGCAAACTTTGCAAATAGGATGGGTGATCCCACGTTTGCGCCCCTCCCAATAGATGGACTACACCCTGCATGTGTCCTGCTCAGTCTTTCCGAGGCCACTTGACCAGCTACGCATCCGATTCGATGAAATGGACGAGGTCCACGGTGCAGCTACTGCATGCACAGGATGACACAAGCGCCGGTTAGCTGGGTCTTGCAAGAGATTATTGCCAGCGCTCAGGCACAAGCTTCTCAGTCAGGGGATTATGACCCTCGAAAGCTTGCATGTGAGACGACATGGACTTTCTGTGCGGCCCCAACTGCCGACATACAGTTTGTTTCGTGCTGGTACGCCGGACGAACAAGGGCTGCGAATATGGCCAGCCAAGTGAGCCTCACCCGGCCAAAGGCGAACGGCCTGCCCAATGGTCTCTGTTCTGGATTGGGACCGACAGGCTTCGGAGGTAATGGCTTCAGAGCGAGAAGAATTGCCTGTTCCAGCAACCGAGGTACGGCAGCAGTACCGCGCAAGCCCCATACCAAGCCCCAGCCTCGTTGAGTCCAGGTCGATCAGGGTCATGCAGCGTGTTCGCATGTTACGAGAGGATGGCCAGTATACAGAATCCAGTGCCGCGTCGCTTACGTACCACTGGCTCTAAAATGTCCGAAGATCCCCCATCGTGCAGAATTGTGAGAACTGACAAGACCTGCCTGCCTCCTGCATACAAAAGCAACCCGCGGCAAGCCATGGCAGCAGAAACTCCCGGCCAAACCGTTGTTGCGACGATCAGACAGACCATCAGCAGGAGTTGAAAGGGACCACACTCGTCGTTGCTGCAGGGCTTCCTGCAGTAGGGAGCTGAGGGTACCATACCAGATGTCAGCGAATTCCTCCGGTGGTGGGTGTGACACCTGTGATTGTGGGCTTCTTGTCTCACAACGTGCGCTCAGGTTACGAGATGGCAACAGTTCCCCGAAGAGTCGGGATTGTGAAGGCGTCTAATATCGTCACAAAAAGGGGAGAGCCTTGGCTGCGTGCGCAGGGCACTCTGGCGAGATCGCCGCTCCGCGTCAAAGCAGCGCGATGAAGGATACAGGGCTCAAATAGAAAGAAAGGGACTGGACTCTTGCAGTTCCTTCAGATTGACCGCAGAGTTCATCGCTCAGGCAGTGGGGAGTTCTCTCATGCGCGCCTTTGCTTCTGGCCCGTACGGACATATCCTCCCTTGCTTATGACATCCTGGGTTCAAGCGCCATCACTACCACCACAAACGCCTCGCGCCACTGCCAAACCTTCAAACCACGTCGAAAACCTGCGCAAAGGTGAGGTCATAGCATTTATCAGGTGAATCGAGCAGGGGCTGGAAGCAGGTTTCCGCTGACCCGACGGGCCTTACTGCGGCGCCAGGCACCTGTTTACATACCAGCACCGCCTGTCTGCGAAATGCACCAGACCACCACCTTGCGGCGCACCAGGAATGCGCCGCAGCCAGATCAGCAACTGCAAGGACTCATGTGGGGTAAGATCAGGCCTTTGCAGCGAAAAGGGGCGCTGCGTGTGAGATGGAGAGCGTGTCTCAACTACGTGCCTCTTGTCTCACTGACCCGATCGAGCGAGGTGCTTGTTGTCCCGCGATATATTTGTATATCATGCCATGCAATCCCTCCCTCTCGTGTGTTTCTCTGCACATCTCATCCGTTCACGCAGTTTATGCTTGTCTTGTTCGAACCTGCTTCGACTTGAGTTCAGAAATGGCATTCGATACGGACCGCCGCAGCAAGCTAGCAGACCTGACCCTCGTGTCAAAGTACTATCCTGTGGCCAACTACTCATACCCAGCACGTCGGGAATCCGCAATGAGGGATCCCAGAACCTCTCTCGGCTCGGATAGCTCTGCGCCAGGGCTCATCGACGACAGGTCTGATTCCGAGACCTCGGCCGATGATGACTATCAGCAACGGGACTCGGCGGGATGGGAGTCTTACTGGCGACCTGATAGTGGGAAGAAAGAAGACAGTATCGTCGGCCACCCAAGGAAACAGTATCCTGCTCTGATCCCTTCGCCAGAGAGGAAGCGCCAGCCCGCCGCAGACAGCCAGAGCGCCAGCCCGAGCTGGCCACTACCCAACAGCCCTAGTCGTCAGACGAGAACCCGTCAACCAGCAGCGACCTACTCAGCCTTCCCCAAGCCCGTGGCCCTCCCTCCAAGAGCGAGACCTGCAAGCCCATCGTGGGAGAGCTCGAGGCCTCGTGCGGCACCAACACGCCCCGCCAGACCAGACAGGCTCCTCACGCCATGCATCCAGCAGACCTCACCAATTGCTGCCTTCTTCAACACTCTTCACATCCCGGAGCATTTCCGCAAGGAGCAAGAGAGGGATCAGCAGATCCCACCAGTCCCCAAAGTTTGCGTTGAACCTACCACCCCACGTCCGAGGACCTCCTCCTTGGCCGCCAGACCTGTTGCAACGGAGGAGCTTGAGCGTCCAAAGACGTCACACGGCCACCAGCAGCCAAAAGTTTCAGTACCAAAGAAGCATCGGTCTTCACGCTCGCTCAGACCTAGCTCGTCAACAACGCCAAATCGTTCGGTGGCAGATCGGCCTCCTACCCCGTTCGAGTCGGATGGATTTGACTTTTTCCCGAATTCACCCCAGTTTCCCATGCCAGATCCATACACCCAGCAACGCGCCATTAAATGTCACCGTCCCAAGCGCCCGGAACCTATATCCGTCTTTGAAGATGACTCTGATGGCGAGGACGACGAGCCACGCGCGTCCTTCTTCAAGTTCCACAAGCGCTCCACGACCGATTTGAGAAAGAGCGCAGGGTCGAGAACCGAAGATCGAGACCCAGATGTTGCCACTGGGAGACGAAGAGGACGCACAAGTCCGACCCTCAGTCTGCCTGACACTGTATGCGGCCTGCATCCCCCGAACGAGAAGAAAAGAGACGTCTTTGGACGGATGCTGGGGCGACGGAGTCGCCGATGGGAGGCAGAACCACGCCCAACCCTTGCACACCATATCCTACACACTTTCTGGACGTCGCCTTCTGGGGAGACAACGACAGCACACGCACACATACACACACAGTCTTTGCCTTTCACATTTACGTCTGTTCATCTTTCACACGACCACGTTACATGACACCTACGGAAAATTCTACTTTGACGATTATAAACAATGCAGTCGACCATTATGTATTCTTCTTCTACTGTTTTGCCAGCATCGCATAGCAACGGAGGGGGGCATCGGGTCAGCTGGCGTCCTGGGTATGGACCACGAAGCACCACGATAATGAGGAGCCGCCCGACGTTTTTTTTTTTCGTATATTCTTTGTTTTTGTCTCAGTCGCTTACTGCAGAACGCTTTACTACTGTCATCTCCTTTTCCTTGTGTACTATGGGGAGTAATGGGTATGTGAGAACTGGACCTCAAGGGGGGCCTGAGACAGAATGGTTGGACTGCAATGTCTCGGGGAACACGGGGTTACGTACGAACCAGTCGAAGAACGATCTGATGATAGCACACATTATGTGTACGATTATGAAACATTGATTCAAAGGTGTATTCTTTTGAATGGGTGCATTCCTGTCTGGCGAAGGGATGGAACGAAGGCTTGGGCATTTTTGGTTGTTGTCTTTGGCAACAGTCTGTGGCGTGGCAACCGATCGGAACTAACGTAAAGAAAAGTTAACAGATGCGAATGATGAGCTCACTTGTGCAAGGTTCTCGTTCCTGTCGGCAAGGTCATATCGTGGTGCCATAACTCATCGTGTCCAGCGCATGCTGGATATCGCATGTACCATTCAGTCGTGAATCATGCTCTCTAACATCACATCTAATCACCCAAGCCATGTCCCAAATAGCCTAACTCAGTCCATAATGCCATTTCCCGTCGCGCCGTATCATCATAACCTCATTACTCGTGAAACGCCAAGGTGCCTTTCCAACACCATCCAAAATACCCATCGCTCCCCAAAGTCAGTACCGTCGTAATCCGTACACATTAGACACCGTAGTTCATCATCTTCATGATCTTCCCCTTCTCCGTGTACCGCTTCAGCCGACGGACACTCACCAACTCATCCCGCACACCGTGTCCAAACGTCCAGACACTCTCACTTCGGGGATCACTCTTCCTGTCCGCGCCCAGACGACCCTCGAGATCAGCCCTCGAGCGCACGGCACGAAACGCCTCGTCGCCCACCGTGTCCCGGGCCACGCACAGCGTGATGATACCCGCCAGTGTGTCCACCTCGTGCGGGAGCCGGAAGCCGTTCCGTCGAGGAATAACTAGCGTGAGAGCCGTCAGCGTGAGGAAGAGCAGAGACAGGAGGACGCCGTAGACGGGAACGGACGGGAACATTCGCACGGCCCCGTCCTGGCCTGTCAGAGCCATGAACAGACCACCCGCGAGGACGGGAATGCCCAGTGCCAGGAGGCTCGTGAGGCTGGTCACGGCCACGCGCCAGTGACCGACCCGCGCCGCGCTAAAGACGGCGCCGAACGCGCTGGAGGCGGCGTACTCGGCGAGGATGGACTTGCGTGCCGACGCGCCGTCGGGTGTGGTCATCTCGGCCCAGGGCTGCACCGTCCGCAGCGTGTGGTCGAGCGACTGGAAGAGCAGGAACACGATCATGCCCAGGCAGCTGGGCAGAAAGCTGTACAGAAAGTTGGCGGCCGAGAAGGCCATGTTGATGGGTCGTGCGGGCAGCAGGGGCTCAAAGCCCCGGTCAATGCGCGTCTGTGGGAGAAACGAGACGACCAGCAACGCCAGCAGCAGGACGCCCGAGAGCGACGCGGCCACGACCAGCGGAAAGGTCCTGAGAGGGAGTGGGAGGTAGGACATGACGGCAGACGACATGAAGGACGGCGGCTGCTGCTGCGGCGGCACAGACGTGTCACGCGATGTGACCGACGCAGGACGTCGCCCCATGATGTTCTGCACCGCGCTCTCGTCGGCTGGTGGGCCCGAGGAGCCCATGGCGTACCACGTGCCTCCACTCGTGTCCGTGCGCCAGTATCCCAGGCGATCAAAATAGTGGTCCTCGAGGGCGTCCTTGATCTCTGCCATGGTAGTGTTAGTCTCGGCAGCACGCCGGTAGCCGTCGACCGAGTTGCACCTGTTGAGGAGCGGCAGGATGTCTGCGATGGAGCGGACGTCCCACAGCAGACCGGTCCAGCGTCGGAACCAGAATGTCATGAGGACGATGGCGGACAGGCCAAGGATGGCGTATAGCACCAGGAGGGTGTAGGCCACGCCTTGGGCGGCGGCCCATGTCCACTCGCCGTCGACCAGGATGCAGGTGTACAAGGAGCTCAGCAGGGGCACCGTGAAGATACAAAGCCACGTTGCGACATTGAACAATCGGATCTGCCAGGGGCCCTGTAAGGACGGGTATAGAAATGTCGGGACGTGGAGCTTCTGGAACAGTGCGAGGTAGCGCTCACGTGCGTCTTCGCTGGCCATGGTCGTCAGAGGGAAGATCCGCGTAGACGTCGAGACGATATTCTGCGCATACAGAAGGATGCCGGCGCCGATGAGCTGTGGCAGGATCCGGAAGAGGAAGTACGAGCCGGAATAGATGGTTCCGGGGTAGTCGACCAGACCGTCATGCTGGCTCGAGTACGCAGCCGAGGCGACGGCACCGGCCGCCATGAATGCGCAGAGGGCCGTGAAGAGAAGCAGGGAAAAGGGCCGCAGGATGCGAGGCTTGAACGTCAGTGGAGGGCACGTGTTGTCGTTGGGATAGAAGTTGTCCCTCATCTCCTTGGTGACGGGCACCCATGTGTTGCTCGGCGGCAGAGGGGGCAGCGGTGTTTGGGAGAGCGGCGGTGCCGGTGTCTCGGAGGTGGGTGGGAGCGTCGACGGAAAGTCGAGCCCCGTGTCGCGCGAGTATGGTCTCAATGTCACCGGCGATAACGTCCGAAAGTCCTCGTGCTGCGAAAGTGACTGACTCCGAAGACTATCTGCGCGCTGGCGTTGTTGTAGTGGACTTGCGGGTGTCTGAATCAAGAGCTGCGCTTCGCGCTGTCGTTGTGATGACTGTCTGTTTGTGCTACTTGCAGACTGTCGTTGCAAGCCCCTGCGGTGCGTGCTGTCGGGCCTCCTCAACAGCCCATCCTCTTCTTCTGGTGGTGTCGGTATGCCCTCCATCTCCTCCTCGAATCCTCCGTCCGAGTACTCATCGTCATCCTCGTCATTTTCATTCGCCCGCCGTCTGGTCAGGGCCTGGATCGCATACTGGATATATGGCGCGTCGTCCACGCCCGGCGTCACTTTCCCAGCAGCCACGGCCAGGGCGTCTTTCAGCCCCTGCATGGGCGCAGGCCCCATGATGGAGGGAGCACCGGTAGGTGGCGAAGTGAGCATGGCGAGATTGGTCTCGTCGAAGCGCACCGTCTGAGACAGAGGTTTGATCCTCGGGGGGAGGATGTAGCTTTGGTGTCGGTATGGGCCGTAGATTCCCGCCGACGTGGACGGTGGCGAGGGAGTTATCGGTGCCGCCGCTGGCGCTATCGACGGCTCTGGGGCGAGGGAATCTGCCGGTGAGGACTCCTCGCCGTCTGGTCGGTGATGGTGGTTCCGCTGGTGGTTCCCACGTAGGTGGTGACAATGCGGATGTGAGGTCTCGGAGGAGTGAGACTGTGGCGGCCACTGCCCTGTGAGACACGAAATCAGCGTTCAGAACACAAGACGGTTGTAAGTGAGGGAGGGAGGAAGAGAGGAGAAGTCGTACGAGGAGATTTGACATGGTCAAAGTTCATGTTCTGGGTATTCATGCTGTGTAGCTGGCTCTTTGTTGTCATGCAGGCACACGCTGCATATGCACGCGATGGGCAGCCACTGATAGATGCAGCAGAGGAGCGAGACTGGGGAAGCGTGCATGATGAGAGACCTGTGGGGATCAAGTATGGTTGGCGTACAGGCGGTTTGGCAGAGCGTAATGGTGAAGGCTGGGGAGGTTGGGATGGATGGTCAGTGTACAGAGTACATGTAAAGAGGATGACCAGCCACCCCGGGGCGCGGGGCGGCAGGCCGCGTTTGAGGAATGCCTGGGGTGCACCTTTCCCTAGCTCTTTGGTTATCAATGTGCTGGTCAGTGTGAATAGTAGAGGTGGTTTCAGTTGCGCCCTTTTAGTAGCATCCACCTTTAAGGACAATATTCCATCCTGAAAGTAAAGCGTGATTCTGGTCTGATGAAAGTGAGGAGAGACGAGAATCTGAGATGTGCGCTGAGCAGCGGGGCCCACAGCTCCGAAAAGTGTGGCTGGTGATCCACTTATTCGGGTGGCTGGGGCCCGGGCCGCCGTGATGGCCTCCGTGACGGTGCCCAATGTGATGCCATCACGTTTCAGAGCTGGGAGAGATTTACTTAAAGCTCTGCCGAAAAGAAGCGGACAAACACTGTGGAACAAACAATGTCCTTGGTCGCTGCGTGACCTTCATAGCGTTCTTTATCGACTTCTTGTTGCCTCGGATCCCGCTTCACAAACGGAACTACCTACCCTAGAGATGAATGTCGCTGACTGATCGGCATCTCATCATTAGGCGCGCTTACGTGTCTGCCCCGCGCTAAACCCGATTCGTTTGCTTATGTGAAGCTGAGGAATTGACTTCAAATCGACAAATCGAGGGGTCACTCTAGTCTAGTCCGTAGTCGCCGCCGTCATAGTATAAGTGATGGAAAAAATAATCATCTATCAGCGTCTCGTCATGCCTCAACAAACCCCTTCAAAGTTTCATCCTCGACGTTCTCTCGTATTCGATTGAAATCAACATAAATGAACCGCTTCGCGCTCGGTTCAGCAGTTCTGGCAGCTTTCATCGCAGCACTCCTGTACACCATCCAGCCCAGTTACATCACCAACTTCATCACCACCACCACCACCACCACCACAGACAGTCAAACCTCCATGACCGCTGCGCGCGCCATGTCCACCCTCCGCCACGCCTCGATCAAGCCTCACCGCTCCGCCACGCGCGGCCACGCGGACCACGGCTGGCTCAACACATATCACTCCTTCTCCTTTGCCAACTGGTACCACCCCGACTACCAGCAGTTCGGCTCGCTGCGCGTGCTCAACGAGGACCGCGTCGCGCCCAACAGCGGCTTCCCCACACACCCGCACCGCAATGCCGAGATCTTCTCGTACATTCTCAGCGGCGAGCTGACCCACCGCGACAGCATGATCAAAAAGGGCCAGGAGGCCGGCGTGGACAAGGATGCCTTCTACCGCATGCGCCGGGGCGACGTCCAGTTCACCACGGGTGGCACGGGTATCGCGCACTCCGAGTTCAACGAGGACCACAAGGAGCCCGTCCACTTTCTGCAGATCTGGGCGCTGCCCTGGAAGAACGGCCTCGCGCCGCGCTACAGCACGCAGCACTTTGACGACGAGAGCAAGCGCGCGGGCTTTGTGAGCATCCTGTCGCCCCTCGTCGGCGGGCCCGACGCGACTGCCGAGCAGCACAAGAACCCCAAGCCTACGCTCGAGGGCACCATCCCCATCAATGCCGACTTCACCATGGGCGCCGGGCTGGTTGCGCCCGAGGGCCAGTTCACATGGGTCGTGGGCGGCAAGGCCACCAAGGCCACCAAAAGGAAGGTCTTTGTGCACCTGCCCATGACCAAGAACGGCAAGGCCAAGATTCGTCTCGACGGCCGCGAGGACGCCGAGCTCAGCGAGGGAGATGGGGCCTTTATCGAGGGCGTCGCGCAGGGCGACAAGCTGGTGGTCGAGAGCATTGGTTCGGCCGAGGCTGAGGTGATTGTTCTCGACAGCGCCAACTGATTTTTCTTGAAGTGGGAGGCATGAGTAATTACGATAGACATAGCATGGAATGGAGTACCTTGTACATTAAATCTGTTTTCGGTATTAGAAGTTAAGTTGCGGTAGACTTACGTTCACATGAAGGCAGCCACCCAAACATCCATGGACTCGACTCTTTTCGAACCACCCGGAACACCCTTCAGGCTTGCTTCACAGGCATCCCGGAATGCAGCAACCACTGCCCGCTCTCGCTCATCGCCTCACGTGCTCCTCTATCTCCTTCGCAAAAGACGAAGAAAGACAAGGCACAAACCTCTCATCGTCCGTCGAGCAGGCCGTTCCCGGGCTCTACGAGAGTCTCCTTTTCCAGCTGCCAGCCGGCCGCCAGAGCCAGCTCGGTAAGACGCTTTGGTTCCAGCACGGTATGGACGTTTGACGCGCTGCTCTCCTTCCGGCATTCTAGCGATGCCTGAGTGAGAGCAGCCAATATGCAGGGCCGTGCCGATGGCTGCGTCGCGAACAGCGACCACTCGGCCAGGAGGAGACGTTTGCTATGCTGCTTGATGGCGCGGAAAGTGGAAAGGATGAGGGAGGGGGAGGCAACATACCATAGGGAATGGGCGAGCACCGTCGCATCAAAGGTATTGCCTTGGGTGTCAAGTGGCGAGGAGAGTGAACAGAGGTAGTCTAGAGGCGATTGTTGGACCCACGTAATCTGCCTGCTCAAAAGGCCCTGCGAGAGATGATGCTGTGCTTGACCCAGGGTACAGAGGGCACCTGGAGAAGTTATCAGTCGGGTTTGTGGTTTTGCGCTCACATCGCATAGGCCCAGGACGCGTAGATGAGTGAACAAGTAAAAGAGCGCACCCTAGTTCAACTGAGCTGGATCGACTGTTATGACGCTGCCTTGTTCGCCCACAGAAGAGGCAAGGACAGCAGTGCAATCGCCTTGTCCACATCCTAGTTCTAATATCTTCAATCCGGCGCGGATGTTCCACGCCTGCAGGAGCGCCAGGCGATGAAGTATCTGGGCTTCCTGGACGGCGAATTGGACAGGATCGTGAAGGGAAAGACGGGCGATGGAGGCGGCGTCAGCTTGAGTATACATCATGTGCGTGAGGGTGTTGGACATGGGATCCAATGCTTGAATGCGCCAGTTGGAGTGACAAGGTGATGTTGGTGGGGGAGCGGGAGTTTGTTTATTATTGGGCAAGAAGTCCTCGTGTCGGTTCTTACATGTATGTTTGTCTCCTGTTGCAGAAGATGAGTCACGCAGCTCACACCTTTACAATGTTGTTAGGGAATTCTTAGATCAAATATTTGCAATCACAACGTAATGTTCCCCCTTTATTGAACGCGTTGGAGCTTTCGAAAGCAACGATACGGAGTACTAATTACTTATTCCCTCCTCCTCACCAGCTCAAATCCAAATCTCGGCGTCAGATCAATCTGCATGAAGCCACGCACCTTGGCCGGTCCGACCCACTCGCCTTCACACTCTGTGTCAATGTTTGCCGAGCAGGCGGAGAAACTGCGCAAGGTTATTCGGGAAGTATGCTCATGTGACGGCATGGCTATCTATTGTCCCATGCAATGTACTCGGGCGTATAGGGTAGGCTTGGACACACAAGTTAACTAACGTTAACTAACTAAGTTAGTTACGCCCCTCGATATTATAGGGTCGGATCGGAGTCCGGACAATCGGCCATGACAGCCGAAAGGCGTTACTGCACGCTTGGCACCAGGTGGCCGCGACGGGGGTACCCTGCTGTCTATCCCTAGGGCCAACATGCCTAGGGCCAACATGCTCACGCTCAAGGTGCTAATTCGTAATTAGGGCCAACAGCCAATTTTTCACCTTCTTCAAAGGTGAGGGCCCACGTGCGTGCGCGAGGAACTGGCGCGCAGCAAGGGGCAGCGCCTCAACCACGGTTACAGCGCTCATGGTGGCAGGAGACCGAGACGTATCCTCGCTACGGATACTTGTAATTTGCATGTCCTTGTCGACATGAATGCCCAGAGCAAAGTGGGCGACGCCGCTTTTTATTCACGTCGGATGTCGCGCTGCGTGACTCTTGTGACTTGTCTGTCCCCTTTAGTCGGGCCAGCCAACGGTCCAACCGCCCCATCTCATCACCCGTCAGAAGTTGTTCCGTCCAGCCGTCTCCAGTCAATGGGCCCATTTCTCCCGAGAACCGACAGCGCACTTTTGTCTTTTCGATCCTGCAGGCTTGGCGCGAGGCACAGAAGCTGCGCGATTGGCCGCGTCTCCCATGCGAAAACTGGAGACGAGCGAGATAGTTGCACCGACCCAAGGCCGTAGGGCTGATGCTGTGGACAGGCCCCTGGGGAGGACGAGGGTCCAGGGAGCAGGAGCAGGAGCAGGAGCAGGAGCAGGAGCAGGAGCAGGAGCAGGAGCAGGAGAGGAACAGGAACAGCGGCCCGCGATCGCATGTTTCTTCAGGCTGTTTGGCGGCTGGCCGGATCAAAAGACCCCAGCAATGGGACATTCGCAGCTCCAGTCGCTGACGAAGGCTGCGTTCTACGTGCGCACGTACCAGATTCCGGCGGCCCCCTCCTTGTTCACTGCTGTCTCTTTGGATCCAGACCGACAGGGCTAGCCGCAACTCAATCTTTCGGAAATCAGAACGCAGACTTCTTGGGCGGTTCTCGCTGGGCCTTCCGACTCGTCACGCCTGCTACGAGAGGGAAAAAAGGTACATACGGCGTCGCTCACGACATATCCGGGTTTTGTCTGGTTTCCCTCGGTATCATCTCGCATTTTCATCCGCCGTCAACAAGGCGCCAACACGTACTCGCTGGATAATCTCGTTCACATGTCTCTCTGCCCTCCTTCATCGCTGGGCCCCTCGCTGTACCTGCAGAAGCGTGAGGTAGCGGCGCCAATCGGCGCCAGCGACATGCGGGCACATCTTGGCCTCATCAGCCAACATCCTCGTCACACTGAGAGTGTGGCCAATCAATGTCCCGGACGTGACACCCTTGAGATCAATAGCTCCATGCGTGCCTGGCTGTCTCTGTCCCCCGTGGCCCACAATCAACGTCGATTGCTCGCTTAGGGCACACGCACGTCCAGTGACAACGGGTCTGGTATCATCCCTAGCTCTGTTTTCCACAACCAACACCACCATCTGCATCGCAGACCGGAGGCCGCTTGTCCCCATGGATCTTTATGACTCCTTTCGCCGCTGCCAAGTTCCCACGTCTTGTCCCCCCACGCCCCCAGCAGTGTGAGGGATCAAGCTTCTCTGTTTGCAAGCCCATCGCCAGCGACAACCGCGATCTCTCCTCTTTGGGCTCGCCGCTCGTCTACTTCTAGAATCAAGTGGTCCTGCCCAGCTACCTGCCTCCACCAGGAAGTGTCAAAAGGCCCTGCTGAATGCCAATTACCCCGGACAGTCCATGCTTGCCCAGCCGATGCCTGAAAGCATCTGCCACCCAACCGCATCAGGGGAAATTTGGTCAACGCAGGTACCATGCGTAAGAGTGGCTTCGTAGTCCAAGCTGCGTAACCGCCGAGCATGGAGTGACCGGTGGGTGCGGACTCCGTAGCCTGGCCCCCAACGTTGATAGTAGTCAAAGATGGCCTCTCTTCGCCCTCTGGGTCCTCTTTTTTCCCTTTTCCTTTCCTCACTCTCGCAACTTCAAGAGACTCACGGCTTCGGTTCCAGGCCTCAATCTTTGCAGACGTTCTTGTCTGCGTCCCTTCTTTCGCTGTTCGCAGCATACCACACTCTCTTTGCACTGGAAACCAGCAGGCTTCGGCCAACTTACAATCACTTGACAGCACTCACTGACTAATTAATACCACACAACACACACACACAATGGCTCTCAACGGTTACTGGGTAAATCTCACCCTTTCAGAGGCTGTCGTGCTACGCGGGCCAGTCCAAAGCTTCCCAGCTAACATGAGCAGGGTCAATGGGGCTTTGAGCGCCTGGCCGACTACTGTGACACTGGCGTCGAATATGTCTCCCTCGCCTTTGTCAACGTCGCCCCTGAGCATGGCAACGGCTACCCGGGTACCAACTTTGCAGGCCACTGCGGGGGCGGCGTCTACACCGCCCCCAATGGCGAGCCCAGCGATCTCCTGAGCGAGTGCCAGATTCTCAAGGAGGACATCCCCAAATGCAAGGAGAAGGGCGTCACCATCCTGCTGTCTATTGGTGGTGTCTTCAATGAGGATACGTCAAACTACGAGGTCTCGTCCGTCGAGAACGGCGTCGACTTTGCCGACTTTTTGTACGGCGCCTTTGGCCCCTACAACCCTGACTGGGAGGGTCCCCGTCCTTTTGATCTCGACGAGGACAACCACACCTCGGTCGACGGCTTCGACCTGGACATTGAACACGACATTGACAACGAGCCCTACATTGCCCTCGTCGAGCGCCTCCGCGAGCACGACCCCAGCCTCTTCTTCTCCAGCGCCCCCCAGTGCCCCCCCGAGGACCGCTACTTCTACATGAAGGACCTCTTTGAGGCCGTGCACTTTGACGCCCTGTTTGTCCAGTTCTACAACAACCCGCGCTGCAACGCCGCCGGCAATGGCTTCAACTACGAGGAATGGGAGGCCATCCTCGCCGACTCGGAGTACAACCAGGACACCCGCCTCTTTGTCGGTCTGCCCGCCAGGTTGGACGCCGGCGGCGGCTACGTCAGCCCCTCCAATATTGAGGACATTATCTGCGAGCACCGTGACAGCCCCAACTGGGGCGGCATCTCGCTGTGGGATCTCACCCGTGGCGCCTCCAACTTCATGCTCGACGGGCGTACCTTTAACGAGCACGTCCTCGAGGCCCTGGACAGCAACTGCGGCGTCGAGCCCACGACCACGACCACTTCTGTGCTGAGCACCACGACCGCGACCACGACCACGACTTCCGCCTCATCTACGGCTACAATCACGACCATGACTACCTCAGCCGCTGTGACCACGACCACCACTAGCTCGTCGTCGTCGTCGTCCTCTTCTCCCAGCTCGTCGCCCTCCAGCACATCATCTTCCGCCAGCTTGAGCTCTTCTTATTCCAGCTCGTCTGCTGTCGTCACCACGGCCAGCAGCAGCGCGAGCTCCACCCTCGACGTTGTCACCAGCACCAGCAGCACCACCACGTCCTCCCCTTCGTCCGTTGCCAACGGCGTGACCAGCACCACTAGCCACCACACCTTTACCACCGGATGGTCCAACTCTACCACCACCACCTCGCACGGCGCGACCATCACCACCTCGTATGACGCGACCATCACGTCCGCCACCGACGACGTGTCCATGACCACCAGCACCCACTTCACCACAAAGACCTACACAGTGACCGACTGCCCCCCGTATGTCGTCGACTGCCCCGCCGGCGGCTACGTGACCACCGTCGTCGTCCCTGTCTACACTACCGTCTGCCCCGTCACCGAGGTCGAGCCTACTCCCACCGGCGTTCCTTGCGAGGGTGACTGCCCCGGCCACGACGATGGCGAGGACGATGACCACGAGGGTGGTGACGATGGTCACGAGGATGGCGGTGATGAGGACGACGAGGACTGCGACGAGGATATTCCCGATGAGGGCGACGACGGTTCTGAAGAGCCTGAATGCCCTGGTGGCTCTCACTGCCCCGAGACTCCTGAGCAGCCTGAGCACCCGGAGACCCCTGAGCAGCCTGAGCACCCGGAGACTCCTGAGCAGCCTGAGCACCCGGAGACCCCTGAGCAGCCTGAGCACCCGGAGACCCCTGAGCAGCCTGAGCACCCGGAGACCCCTGAGCACCCCGAGCACCCCGAGCAGCCTGAGCACCCGGAGACCCCTGAGCAGCCTGAGTACCCCGTGTGCCCCGGCCCCAACTGCCCCGGCTCTCCCACGACCATCGCTACCTTCACTCACCCTCCCGTCGGCACCGCCCCCGGCCCCATTGCCACCTGGACCTCCACACTCCCCCACGGTGAGGAGCCCACCGCTCCCATCGTCCCCGGCGCCGCCTCCGGTGTCAGCGTTGGCATGAGCGTCCTGGCCGCTGTCGTTGCCATCCAGGCCTTCGTCCTGTAAATTTCTCTCGTCTAACGAATTGTATATTTCTTTTGAATAAAGAGGCGATCCTGATGTGGGGTATGGGATGATTGTAATGGATTCAGATTCTGTGTATATCTTCGACCCCCCTGAGTGCCCTCGTCTTTCTTCTACGGGAGACACGAGGGGATGTGATGTGGCTAGCCTACGGATAGAAAGGACAAAGGCACTTGCGGCAGGCTGACAATATACAACCACTTATGCTGACTGTTCCGTGATCTGTGGTACGTGATGCTTGATGTCTTACATACAACGCTATCAATGGAAGGCTAGGGACTGTTCCACGCAGGGTACGGACACTGTAGAACTGGTCACGGTAAGTGCGTAAAGCCGCCGCCCTTTTCTTCTAGTTATACAATCATATGATGGAAATGCCACAAACCTAGAACTACGCTCACGCATATGTAACTGTCATTGTATGCGGCGCAATCCTAACTATGCGAAAATCGAGAATAGTCGTGACACTGCCGTCAGTGGCCTTTGGAATCGCCCGGTATCACAAAAGCACACTCCCAATTATGCAACCATACTCGAACAAGAGCACATCTACGCAACATTACCGAGAAAGCTCTCACTGTCCTCTCCTTGGCCTCGATGCCTCACTGACACAACAACCTCCACCGTTTCCCAATCCACGAATGGCTTACCGCCCTAGAAGTGGACAGCTTCAACACGGCATTCACTGCGGCCTCCTTTTTTTCATGTTCCAGAGGCTCGACGAGCCACAGAAAAGAGTCACGCCACTGACCTCCGCAAATCGTTTCTCGCCCAAGACCGTGCAACTGATTGCGCGTGATTCACAGGACGGCGAGGGTTCAGGAGAACTGTACGGTAGTCTCCAAGCCACCGATGTTCTGGGCTCCCCGTACCTGTTCCACCGCGCTTGGAAGAAGAACTAGTCCATTGGAACATTCGAGGACATATCTCTCGCGAGTCTGCCTTGCTCTACCTCGGCCGTTGGGGACATCGCGATCGATTGTGACTTAAAAGGGCCGGGCTTTGACCGGTCCTGACGATGAGGCAAGCAACGACCGCATCAGATGCAATCAGGCCTGCGCTACGGGGTAGGGCGCAGGAGTGGGTGATGGCATGTGGGGTAATGGCAACGTGGACATGATCGTATAGCGCTTCTGCAACAATCATGGGCTATTTCGACGGATGACGCGCAAGGCTGAGGACTCTTTATCGCTGAGTCGCCGTCGCGTCATGGAATCGTCGGTTCCTTGTCGCCTAAATCGTCAATTTGCCTGACTAATCAGGTGGGAAAAGCGACGAACAGGGAGGGGGGGAACCAAGGGGGGTTTTGCAGCAATCGATGCTCGACCGAACCGTCTCGGGCCAATCCAGCCTGGCAAAACAACGTCATGGCACCTTTGCTGGTCGACCATTACTCCTCCATTCCCAGTTCCCTTGGCAACCTCCTGGCCCTCTTCCATATCCCTCTCCTCGTTCCTCGACGCGCCGCATCAACCGAGGTCTCGCCTGTCCATTTCCGCTGCTGTTGAGCGGCTGTTATGTCATTTTTCTCGAGGCGTATGTAGTCCTGTACACGAACACATAAACGGCACTTGAAGAGGGTGGCCCCGGCGTCGATCCTTCCCCGATTCTCGACCGATTCGACCCCCGAGCTACTGAAGCTACACTAGACCTCCCTTCCAGGTTCAAGACCTCGTGCCTTGCACTACGCGACTGTTCTGAAGGGCTCGAGAACCCAAAGCAGGAACAAAATGTCGGAAGCTGGCGAGAGGTACGTGGCTCAACGGCGATAGAACCCCGGTCGAGACCCTTCCACACACACTCCACTACCCCTCGATTCCCTGAGGTTGTTTGGCGGAGGGCGTTGTTGCAATCGCGACAGACATCCGTCCAAACCACGTCTCAACGAGCGGCTATCCGCCAACCCCCATCTATACACACACCTCATAGGACTTGTCGGCTAACTCCACGCTCTTCAGCATGCACAAGCGCTCCATGTCGTCTGCTGCGCGCAATCTGCTCCGACGAGACAAGAACCGCGGTGGCGACGACGATTCTGGCTCAGAGGATGGCCGCGCATCGAATGCCGCCTCGAGCTTGTCGCGCCAGACGAGCGTCCTTGGCCATGGAGCCAAGCTGTCGACGACAACGGCTGGATTGAGCCGGACGCCTTCTGCTACGGCCGCGCCCCCGACACCGCTGAAGCAAGTGCAAAGCCACGACAAGGCCATCAGCCTGGAGCAGTCTGTAAAAAAGTTCCGCATTGTCGAGTCGCTGCGCAGTGGTGACACCGCTTCCATCTCAAAGGCCATTCGCGACACAAGCGAAGGGGGCCCACGAGCGAGTACATCGTCCCTGTCCGGCGGCTCGGGTGGCCTCGAGGACACTACCATCCTCCACTTGGCGATCCAATGTGCCGAGTTCCCCGTGGTCGAGTATGTCTTGTCGGACGGTCTCAACAGTCTCGACGTCAACGCCCGTGACAAAGACGGCAATACACCCCTACATGTGGCGGCCGCGCAGGGCCGCACAGCCGTGGTCAAGCTCCTTCTCGAGCAGAAGGACATCAATGATGCCATGGCCAACGCACATGGCCAGCTACCGATCGACCTCGCCAGAAACCCCGAGATCTTCCAGCAGCTGCAACTATCGCGGTCGCTGTATACCGAAGCCAAGGTGTGCGAGGTGCAGGAACTGATTGCCAGAGCAGACTACGATAGCCTTGCGGAGGTCTTGGAGGAACCCCGCTTCAAGACGGTGATCGATATCAACAGCCCCGAATTCGCCTCGGAACCCACCACTGTGCAGTCTGGTGGCACCCTCCTCCACGAAGCAGCGAGAAAGAAGAACACGGCCCTCATCCAGGCTCTGCTGCTCCACGGCGCCGACCCGTTCCGACGTGACCGCAAGGGCAAGCTGCCTCAGAACATCACCAACGACGACAATGTCAAGTCCATCCTCAAAAAGTCGCCTGCTGCAGTCGCCGCACAACGGACCATCCAGGAGAAGGCTGTCCTGGGGCACGCTGCCTCGCAAGGTGTGGGGCCTGCGCCCAACGGCGACCCTCTGGCCGGCCGCGAGGCTCGTGAGATGAAGGGCTACCTGAAGAAATGGACCAACTACCGCAAGGGGTATCAGCTGCGCTTCTTCGTGCTCGAGGATGGTGTTCTGAGCTACTACAAGCACCAGGACGACGCGGGATCCGCCTGCCGTGGCGCCATCAACATGCGCATCGCCAAGCTGCACATGAGCCCCGACGAGAAGACAAAGTTTGAGATTCACGGAAAGTCGTCCGTCAAGTATACTCTCAAGGCAAATCATGAGGTCGAGGCGAAACGCTGGTACTGGTCGCTCAACAACTCCATCCAGTGGACCAAGGACCAGCTGCGCGAGGAGGAGAAGCAGGCTGCCAAGAGCGCAGAGTTGTTGAAGCAAGCCAAGGCAGAGCAGAGTGGCACCAGCCTGTCCGTGCAGGACTCGTACAGCGACGCCGCCAGCCTCAGCGACCTGCGCCGGCAGAGTTCCCACGTCCCCCATCGTGCTGCGTCGAGCGTCAAGGTGTCAGTGCAGCGACCCGACCAGACCGGCGCAAGCACGGTGGGCAGTTTTGATGATGATGACTTTGCAGACGCGGCTACGGATGGGTACATGTCTCGGTCGCCAGGCCCCGGCGGTGCCTTGATCCCCGGCGAACGCGACGAGGAGGACGACTACGACGACAACATGAGCGCCAGGGACGAGCCATCGGCGACACGCGACGCGCTCAATATTACGGCCCAGTCCGCCAAACTTCAGCTGGAGACTTTGACGCATGTCCAGGCCGCCCTGATGGCTGAGTCGACAAGCCGGCCAGCAACGGCTATCTCGGACCCCAAGGTAGCGCAGGCTTTGTCGACGTACGACGGCGCCATCCGCAGCTTGACAGGTCTCATTGGCGACCTGCTGCGCATCTCCAAGGACCGCGACGCGTACTGGCAGTACCGTCTAGATCGCGAGTCGGGCATGCGGCGGATGTGGGAGGAGAGCATGGCGCAGGTGGCCAAGGAGCAGGAAGAGCTGCAGGCCAAGTTTGGTGAAGCCGAGGCCAAGCGCAGACTGACGAAGAAGGCGCTGCGCGAGGTAATGGAGGGCGGCGTGGGCGTGGGCGGTGGTGCCGAGACACCGGTGCTGGAGCAAAATTTGGAGCAGGTCGACAAGGACAAGGAGCAGGAGGTGCCAGTCAAGAGCATCTCGAGAAAGCCGACGGCGCTGGAGCAGATGGCTGATTTCTCGGATGACGAGTCCGACGACCAGGAGGAGTTCTTTGACGCCGTCGATGCTGGAGAGGTTGAGGTGGCTGTCATGCCGCCTGGTGAGGCTGCGCAGGAGAAGGATGTAGTCATATCCGGCGCCAACGACATCAGCCCCTCATTCAAGGGTTATGAGGGCGGCGTGCGGACAAGGCTGAAGCTGGATGCTGACGACAGGCCCAAGGTTTCGCTCTGGGTATGTCCCCCGTGGCAGTGTGGTGGGAGCTTGTTGCTAACGCAATTGATCAGGGAATTCTCAAGTCCATGATTGGCAAGGACATGACAAAGATGACCTTGCCCGTCTCCTTCAACGAGCCGACGTCCTTCCTGTACCGTGGCGCCGAGGACATGGAGTACGCCGAGCTGCTAGACCTGGCTGCCGACCGCGCCGACTCGATCGAGCGCCTCGTGTACGTCGCTGCGTTTGCGTCGAGTGAGTATGCGTCCACCGTGGGACGCATTGCCAAGCCCTTCAACCCTCTTCTCGGCGAGACCTTTGAGTATGTGCGACCGGACAAGAACTACCGATTCTTCATTGAGCAAGTCAGCCACCACCCACCCATTGGGGCTGCGTGGGCGGAAGCGCCGCAATGGGAGTACTGGGGTGAGATGAACGTCAAGTCCAAGTTCTACGGCAAGGCCTTCGATATCCACCACCTGGGCACGTGGTTCCTCAAGCTGCGCCCCAAGGCCGGCGGTCAGGAGGAGCTGTACTCTTGGAAGAAGGTCACGTCGTCTGTCATTGGCATCATCACGGGCAACCCGACAGTGGACAATTACGGCACCATGGAAATCAAGAACCACACGACTGGTGAGGTGGCGCTTGTGGACATGAAGCCACGCGGATGGAAAGCGTCGAGCGCCTACATTCTATCAGGCAAGGTCTTGGACTCGGACGGCAACGTTCGCGTGAGCATGGGGGGGCGATGGAACTCGCGCATCTACGCACGGCTGACGCCCGGGTACGAGGCGGCGGTGGGCGAACCGTCCAAGGAGAAGGACAACGGGCCGGTGCATCGGGGTAGCCTGGTGGACCCGACACAGGCGTACCTCGTCTGGCAGGCGAACCCACGGCCGGCTGGGATCCCGTTCAACCTGACGCCGTTTGCCCTGACGTTCAACCACCTCGACGACAACCTCCGGCCTTGGATCGCGCCGACGGACTCTCGCCTGCGGCCTGACCAGCGCGCGATGGAAGACGGCGAGTACGATGTGGCAGCGACGGAGAAGAACCGTCTCGAGGAAGGACAGCGTGGGCGCAGGAGAGCGCGCGAAGAGGCGGGCGAGGAGTTTGTGCCGGCGTGGTTCAGCAAGGCGCGATGCGATGTGACTGGGGAGATGTACTGGCAGTTCAACAAGAAGTACTGGGCGCGGCGAGAAAAGGCCGGGCCGGACGGGGACCCTGATGCGTGGGAAGGTCTAGAGCCCATCTTTGAGGACTTTGACAAGAATGAGAAGAGCATGGCATCATGAGAGTTCTCTTGGGTAATGGTGGCGGTGGTGGTGTCGGTCAGTAGCAGCAGTACAGTATATACAGGGTGGCGCACCCGCCTTTTTCTCTCTTTTTCTCTCTCTCAAATTGCATTCACGATTCTGTTTGTTTGCCATTTCCAAACGCCATGTCCATATGACAGTCCCAGCTGCGCGTCGTGCTGTCACTTGGAGTCAAGCTCGGCACTCGTAGTCCGCACGTGTCGAAGCTACCCAATGCGCCCCACAGCACCCTGAGCCAGGGTCAGGCAGGGTCAGGCAGGTCAGGTAGGGTCCACCAGTTAGAGATCAGCGCGACGCTGGACCTCGGCCCGTACGGAGGCATGGATGGATGGATCCTATTTTCATCAACCTCATGCTTGCTCCGTTCCCATTCATTCTCATTTGTATCTCATTGCCTAAATATTTCCTGTTTCATCAAGTCACGTCCTGCGTACTAGATCTCACAGCAGAACTCATACAGGCCTTTCACTGTCCCTGACACCGCCACCACCATGTCGGAAGAACCGAGGACGACGATACTCCGTCCTCGCACGCCGGATCCCACCAAATCCCCCATCGAGACGACGCTCTCGGTGACAGAGCTCGCCGTCCTGGGCCCGGACATTTTCACAAACACCCGACCACAGTGGACGCCGCCGGGCGCGCGGGGCATCTACGGCGGCAGCGTCATCGCGCAGTGCCTGGCCGCCGCCCAGAGGACCGTCGCGCATGGCTTCCTCCCGCACTCGTGCCACTGCTACTTCATCCTCGCCGGCAGCTCGGGCCTGCCCATTCTTTTCCATGTCGAGCGGGTGCGCGACGGCCGCAGCTTCGCCACCCGGACCGTCCAGGCCAAGCAGCGCGGACGCTGCATCTTCACCACCACCATCTCCTTTGCCAAGGAGGACAATGAGGGCAAGAGGACGGTCGAGCACGCCGCCGCCCTGCCGGGCGACATTCCGCCCCCTCCTTCCGACAGCCAGAGCGACAACGCTTCCGCGGGACGCGGTGCCGGCCCCTTTGAAGCCACGCGCATCGACGTCCTCCACGGCAACGACCCAGACCGCAGGCCCCACGAGAAAAAGTGCCGCACCTGGATGCGCGCGCGGGGCCGCATCAGTCCCGAGGGCGGCACGCAGGCCCACCTCAACGCGCTCGCGTACATGTCGGACAGCTACTTTATCGGGACCGTGTCGCGCATCCACGGGCTGTGGCGGTTCCCCTTTCGGCCCTCCGAGATCGGTGCCCTAGAGGAGCCGCTGCGGTCGCAGGTGCGGGCCGCGCTGGCGAACGAGAGCATCGCCGGCGAGGACGTCTCGGACGAGGATGTGGCGCGCGAGTGGGAGGGTCGACCGAGCGTGGGCATGCTCGTCAGTCTGGATCACAGCATCTACTTCCACGAGCCGAGCAAGGTGCGCGCGGACGAGTGGATGTTTAGCGAGATGGAGAGTCCGTGGGCCGGCGGGGAGAGGGGTGTCGTGATGCAGCGCATCTTCTCGCAGGATGGGACGCTGCTGGCGAGTTGTGTGCAGGAGGTGAGTAGAACTGATTCTTGGTTCTTCGTGGCGTGCTAACAGAGTGGACAGGGTTGTGTGAGACTCAAGCAGGACGGGGAGGAGAAGGAATCCAAGCTCTAGATGGACGGTGGACGCAGGTGCTTTGAGAAGATGTTGTATTCTGACGCGCATGTTAGGTGTTTTGTTCTCCCTTGGAATGCATTGGAGAAGTGCCGGCCATGGTATGCCTACTGATAATAGAGGCACAGTCACAGAGGCGACAGTCACTCATCCAACCCACTGTTCTTTGTCAACACCAGACTGTACCGCCGCGTTGTCGGGTGTTCGTCTGGGAGTGCTCGAAGTGAACCACGTCAAAGAGTCTTTTCCAGAGGCCTGGATTGATGTCACCAAAAACAGAGCTGTTGTTCTCAGGGCATATAATCAGACTTTCCTCGCCGCCAACTCTATTCTCATCTTTGGCCTGCTCAACTTACCTGCAACTGACCCAACAACACACAGAGACAACAACACACTGACTGACCTGACATCTTGCGTCATCAGTCCATGATGGGCCGCATTGACCAAGATCTCCTGCCCAACCCGCATGATGCTGATGATGCGCAGCCAGATGTCCACCCCGGAGATCCATATGGTCGAGACGCAGTGCACGCGCAGTTTGCCCAGTGGTACGACAAGAATGCGTCTGTCAGCAATGGCCCTTCCAACTGCGCCACGCACAAGGGCAAGGCAGACATGTGGTGCCGTGCCTGCAACATGAACGGTGAGTGGCAGAAGCCAGGTACTGACAACGGCCAGAGCCACGACGGCGACCAAGACGTGGCCCCTCTAGACGAGCCCAAGCCTCACGACGTCGAGGGCCTGCGGAAGACTTTTGAAAAGTTCGGCATCAAGTTTCATCCCAAGGAACAGACTCTGAGCGACCTCGTTCGTCTTATTCAAGACAAGCCCATGCGGACCGACGCCGAGAAGGTGCGCGACACATTTGAAAAGTACGGCATCAAGTTCCATCCCAACTAAGTCCTTTCTTTTGGTTTTTACCTACCGCTTGGTGTTAGGGGGGTCGCAAGTTGCTTTTTTTGGTGGAGGGTCGTGAGACATGAAATTGTCCGGGTCAGAAAGAAGGCTGAAGGCGCTTTTCCAGAATGGTCATGTGGAACGGTGATGCGTCTACGGATCGATGGTAATAAAGCCAGATAATCACAAAACGTAGCGTGGTTCACGACGTTCATGGGACATGACAATGGTCACACGGACGCCCGAAGGAAGTGTCTCGAGTCGAGTCATGGAGTCGTCGTGGGGGCGAGGCGATCTTACGCCAAGCCAAAAGTGAAGTTAAAACAGTCGCAGACGCGTCAACAATCAGCTGATGGATCCTGGGCCTGATTACCCGGTAAGGAAGGCATGGATATGTGTGCCCGTATCCGTAGCAGCAGCCGCGTGCGTTGACACAAGCTTTATTCGGGATAAGGATTAATTAGAGTAGGTAGGGGCCGCAAGTGCGGGAAACAACCTTAATCGGCTTTGCATCGCCACGCGCCAATGGCGGCTGAGCCTACGACTAGCACTTCAAGTTGCAAGCGCGATTTGACAGGCAACGACAAGTGTTGACGGTGATGACTCATGGACGTCAAAATAATTGGAGAGACCTCCAAGGGTCGAAGAGGAAGACTCAAGACATGGGGGATGGGACATGGAGGCGCAGCATGGGCCTTTTGGCGACCTGACCTGACCTGACTGGTCACACCGTCACAGTGGAGGCCTGCTGAAAGCTGAGAGGCACGCACCACTCGCCTAGGCGGCCAGGCCCCAGGCTGCCTTGCCGTCAATGACGTACGCCAGCTTGCTACCTACATGATGGAGCACTATCGTAGACTGTCTCAACAGGCGCCGCCATGTGTCTCATTGTATGCGCCCAGTAAACACAATTGAAGCAAGACTAGACTAGACTAGACCTCCACGATTCGTCGGGCACTTCCGCCGTGAGCCACGATATGTCAACCATCGGGCACGGCCTGCACCATGCAGACCGCAGTTGGAAATGCTGGTCTTACTCTTCACTCTTCAGCTTTCCATCGCCAAGACACCTTCCCGGTCTGCGCCCCGCCATTGTGTGCAGCATCCGGCAACCGCCAGCCAGCCAGCCTCTTCGTCTGAACCCCATCGGACTCGTCATCCTCGCCTGCCTTTCTCTTTTAAATATGGCTTCGGCTCAAGCGCCGATCCTCTCTTTTTTACCTTGAATTCTCCGACAAAAGCATTAAACAAAATCCTGCTTGCTTGCTTGCTTGCTCTCCAACTTTTGTGCTCACTCATCTCAAGAGAGTGCCTGGCCGCCTTCGTCCCCCCAGGCTCCAGCTCTTGTCCTACACAGTACTCCAGCGCAACAAACAGGCAGGCCAAAGTCATCATGCGCTCCGTCGCCCTCCTCGCCCTGGCCAGCGTCGTCTCGGCCGGTCATATCAGCGTGCCCTTCTCGCGCCAGTCCTTTGACAACAGCCACGCCCGGCGCGCTGCTCTGCGCAAGCGCCAGGACGACTCTGAGCCGTTCGCCCTCGAGGCGCTCAACAACATCACGGGCGGTGGCTACTACTCCGAGTTTGCGGTAGGCACTCCGCCTCAGCAGATCAGCTTCCTGCTCGACACGGGCAGCTCGGACACGTGGGTCAACAGTGTCGAAGCAGACCTGTGCAACGACGTGGAACTGCAGACAATCAACGGGTTCTGCCAAAGCCAGTGCAAGTACCTCCCGCCCCTCCCCCCCCCCCTTTCCACATCCGGATCCCGTTGTCTAACATGTCTTGTCTCTAGTCGACCCCGATGAGAGCAGCACGTTCGAGACCGTGGACGTGGACTTTGACATCCAGTACCTCGACCGCCGCAGGATACAAGGCGAGTATTTTGAAGACACCGTCACGTTTGGCGATGTCGAGGTGACGGAGCAGCGCATGGGCTTGGCCCTCCAATCCGTCCGTCCCACGGGCATCATGGGCCTTGGCTTCTCCGTCAACGTCGCGTCTATACGCGAGTATCCCACCATTGTCGACAACCTGGTCGACCAGGGCCACATCGACACTGCGGCCTACTCGTTGTATCTCAACGACATCGACACCGACGCCGGTGCCTTGCTCTTTGGCGGCATCGACCGAGAAAAGTTCATTGGCAGCCTGGCGACCCTCCCTCTGCAATCGGACGCGCTAGGAGGCACCAGCCAGATCACCTCCTTCAACATCGACATCCAGGGCTTCGACGTGGTGTCCCCCGATGGCGAGAGGACCGTCGATATCCCCAACCTGGACTCCCTGGCCATCCTCGACTCGGGCTCCACCATCTCCCTCCTCCCCGACGACCAGGTCCAGGAGCTGTGGGATGAGTTTGGCGTGCTGAGCTTTATCGACGTCCTCGCGCCCTTTGTCGACTGCGCATACCGCGGCGAAAAGGGCCAGGGCTACACGTTCGAGTTCCGCTTCGATGGCAAGACCATCCGCGTGCCCATGGACGAGATGGTCATCGACGCCTACAGCGACTTGCAGGACATCTTCATGGACGACCCCACGCTTAACCAGTTCTTCGGCGACTGGGAGGGCGCCTGCATGTTCGGCATCGGCTCCACCGCCGACTTTGGCATCAACGACGACCAGTTCACCCTCCTCGGCGCCACGTTCCTCCGCAGCGCCTACGTCGTCTACGACCTCGCCAACCAGCAGCTGGGCCTCGCCCAGGCCAACCTGAACAGCACCGATACGGATATTGTCGACATTGAGGAGGGAGACTTGCCCGATGTCACAGGCGTTGAGAGTCAGTCTTCTTCTTCTACCCCTACCTCGTCTGCCTCCACCACCTCTACGGAGGCTACCACCACTATCACCTCTACGGAGGCGACTACCACCACTGCCACAGAGGAAGCCACCGCGACGGAGACGGACGATGGTGATGACGGGGACGATCAGGCTGACGACAACACAGGCGACGAAGGAGATGACGAGGATGCTGGCGTACGCCTCATCCCCTCCCTCCTGGCCGCAGTGGCCCTGAGCGCTCTCATGCTTGTCCTGTGAGAGGAAAGCACTGTCGAATTTGTGGATATCATGGTCTTTGTTTCGATTCGATTTTGCATTGTGTGTATGGCATGATTTGGGACTTTGGTACACATAGATACCAACCTGTCCTTCATTGAACATAGAAGATAAGAAAAAAGATCCCTATTGCTGGTGCCGTTGCTGCCCGATATTGGTGACTTGTAATCTTTGAAAGGGAAAATCACATCTTGTTATACCGCTCCCTGGCTTGGTCCTTGACGTTCTCCACAAATGACTTATAGTCGCCCTTGGTCTTCCGCCCCGCCAGCGCCGCCGCGTCGCCGAGGTTGCTGCCTTCGGCGCCCAGGCCGACGCCCTCCTGATATGCGTTCTGCGCAATGACATCTGTCCGGCCCTCGCCGGCGGCCCCTAGACCCTTGCCGGCCGTCCAGCCCATCTTGGCGAGCATGCCGGCGCCCTTGGACGGTGCAGGCTGGGGCGGCGCTTCCTTCTTGGGCGCCTGGGCTGCTTGGGACGTTGCGGGCTTCCGGGGCTGGCTGTATGCCTGCCGACGCTGCTTGGCCCTGTCGCGGTACTCGGCTGCCTCTGTCGTCTCCTGGGCGGGGGTGTCCGCCGCCGGGTGCTCCGATTCGGTCTTCTCGAGGCGCTTGTCGCGTATGGCGAGACGAGGCAACGCCGCCTTGACCTGCTCTTCATTCTCCGTCGCCGTCTTGTGGTTCCGTGACTTTTCGTGAATGTTGACTTCGTCGACGGACTTGTACTTGCGCATGCAGATGAGACACATGAGTCTTTCGCGATCGACGTACGAGACCTCCCGAGGAGGCTCAATGGACGTGTCCTCAGGACTGGGTGTCCGCTTCGGTGCAGGACCACCGATACTGGCGCCACCGAGTGAGATCTTGATAGGCGCGTCGGGGTCTTGCTTTGCCGTCTCTGGAGCAGCAGCCTTGTTCCCGGTCTGGCCTGCCTTGCCCTGGTGTAGTTCATCGTGTTTACGCTGCCACATGGCCATTTGCCCGGCCATCACGACGGGTTTCTTGCTCACGTTGCCGTCCTTGGACGCCTCCGCTTTGCGCTTCTTGGACCTCTTGGCGTCGCCATCGTCGCCAGACCCCTTGCCGGCAGCCCCCTCAGGTGGGCCGTCGGTGACCAGCAGTTGATTCGGGTATACTCTTATGTCCCGATATCGAACGCGCAGTAATGGGTTGAATAGTGGGTGGAAGGACATCATCTCATTTTCGGGGGTGACATCTCGCTCCTCGGGGAGGAAGACGCCCATGTGAATCGTGGATACGGTCACCTCACACGCTGCCACGGTGAACGACCGCAAGGCTTGGTATTTTGCGACGGCTTTGGCGGCATCCTCGGCCGTCCAAAACTCGGCAAAGCCATACTTGAAAGATTCGTTGTTGAACACTTCCCTCATGAGGAAGACGCGATGTAGTGAGCCTGGGCGAGCACCGACACCGGTTGTGTTGTTGGTCGGCGCGGTAGACCTGAGCTTTGGTCCGCCATTGGCGTCTCTCTTGGGAGCGGGTGACTCGAGCTCGAGGCGCTTCACATCAGCTGCCAGCATGGCCTCGTCTATGAAGGAGGGAAGGGGGTAGATGACGAGGATCTGCGAGACAGACTCCCCCGCATCAGCCTGGCCCGTCAAGCTCAGGCGCCAGTCTGCTTCGACTAGGGAGATCAGCGCGGGTCGTTCAGGGACCTCAAAGACGTACCTGAATGGGGCGTGTTGCACTGCTTGCATTTGACCCTCGTCGAATAGTTGGAAAACCCGCACTTGTTGTTGTTCGTCAGCAAGTCTGCCCCAGAGTCGATCCGAGACGAGTCACGTACCGAAGAGCAAGGCCACTGCCCTACCATCGTCTTGGCATCCACATCGTCCCTGCTGCGTGCGTAGTGGAGGTACGCGCTAAACCGGCCACCTGGCACTTCATCAGTCGGCTGCGGCAAGTCAAGATGCAGCTTCGGAAAGTGTTCTCGGGTGAAGGCGATGGCGCTGTCAACCGAATCGAATTGGACAAAGGCTCGATGAGCGCCTGAAGCTCTGGTCAGCAACACATGCACAGAAGCACACGGCGTCAGCGTACCTCGTGCGATTCGCACGTCGATGGGGGGCAGTTCGGAAGCCATGGAGTTCCTAAGAACGCTGTCGTGCAGCTGTGCGGCGTGACATTAGTCGTCCAGTTCTTGAGGAGTGGTTGAACATGGGAATGAATATGGCTTCGTTTTCACAGACTGCAGCCATGGATTCGAGTCCCATGGCGCATCGCCGAGCGGTGATTCTTTATCTTGTCGCCTGGTATAGGGTACGAACCTCGGCCGCCGTCAATATGTGAGGCAGTTCCTCCAGAATCACAGTATCGCTCGGTCGCCCCGCGTCTCTTGTAGGACTCTGGGAACGGCTTGTGCCGCGTAGAGGCGATCTGTACCCAGGTTCATCTCTGTCGCGGTAGCCACGGCCTACGCTGCGATCGTCGGGTATTTGCCCCTCATCGTACATGCCACTGTAGTCGTGAGGGTCCTTGACGCGGTCCTCGTAATGCATCCTGCCTCTTGATATGCTTCTCGATGATTCGTAGTGATAGTCGGGAGATCTGGAATAGCCCCGTTGATCGGTAGGTAAGTTAGCCATCAAGCTCGAGAACGTTGATCGATGCCCAGCTCATGCACGCGCGTCGCGCGCAATCGCATGCCTCCAAGTACCAATGGCGACCGCTGCCCAGTACGTCCAGGTTGTAGTTTACCCTGCCGGTGATTGTGCCGTGTTGCGTCTCGCCCGTAATGGGGTGACCGCGGCCGGTGATGATTGTGCATGACGCTGTCGATCGGCGCGAAGCCCTTGCGAGAAGGCGGCGAAAAGTCGAAATGGACAAGAATGACAAAAATCGTGGTTTTTTGGAGCAGGGACAGCTGGAAATTTGTGTGGTGCAAGGTGAAGAATAGATGGCTTCGTCGCCAGTTAAAGTTCAGGTGGGGCGAGTTCACGTGTCTCCCTCCATGTCATCACCGACGCCTGCTCTGTGCTGGTAGGTGGACAATTACATTGACTCGGAAGTCTTCCAGCTCAGGCTCAACCTCTGTTCTAGTCTCCGTGTATGGGTGTAAATAATAGGCACGTCGCAGACTGTCAGCTCCTTAAAGAACGCAGCTATATTAGACTTCTTGTCCCCGCGCCCGAAACCGCCCAAGCCTCAGACCTCACTCACAGCATACAACCATGGCCGGCTCACAAGAAGAAGAGCAACAATGGGAATTGTCGGAGGAGGGCAATCATGTCTCATTGACACATGATCACCTAAATGTCAACGCAATCATGGACCGCGTTCGTAGCCCCTCAGCGGGCGCGATAGTTCTATTCGCAGGTACTCACGCACACTCAGTACATCCCTCGCGCATGGAGAACAAGTATTGACCCAACTGTAAGGCACCACGCGCGACAACTTTGCCGGTAAACCTGTGCACTCGTTGACCTATACATCCTATCACCCCCTCGCCCTGCGCACGCTCCTCTCCATCGCCACATCCATCAAAGCAACCCACGGTCTCACCGGCATCGCCATCACCCACCGCCTAGGACCTGTACCCATAGGCGAGGAGTCCATACTCATCGCCGTGTCCAGTCCCCATAGACAGGCTGCCTGGCGTGCGGGCGAGCAGGCCCTCGAGAAATGCAAGGATAGGGTCGAGATCTGGAAGCGGGAGGAGTTCACTGGCGAGGAGGGCGTGTGGCGGGCCAACCGCGATGGCAAGATGGGTGTCAAAGAAACGGAATAAAGGTGAAGAAAAAGAGATATGGGGGGGGATCAATCATTCACTAATCTCATACTCGCTGCCTATGCTCCAGTGTTGACAGTCAGTCGACACCAAGTCCTTGCCATTCATCATCACATCATTCCGAGTCATTCCTGCGCACACCCTTCGCAGCACTTCTCGCAGCCTATCCCCGAGTCTGTCTCGTCGGTATCTGACCCCTCCTCGTCGGAGGTATTCTTCTTATATACGGGCGGTGGCTGCCGCAGGTATTCGAAAGGACACGGCGGTGGGCCACTACTCCGTCGTCGTCCAAGCATAACTGGACATTGTCAGTCCACGGCCAGCGAAGAGAGGATTATTCAGTCACACATACCAATGTGTCCATGGTAGCAGTCTGTAAAGGTCTTGTCGACGTTGACGCCGTGTAAATCCACCGCCTCCGTCATGGCACTGGGGTACACCACTATCCCAAACTCGTGAAGCAGTATACTCCAAAAGTCGCATGGCAGCTTGAACTGGCCTCTCTTTATACTGGAGTGTATGAAGAGACAGACAGTCTCGAGCACAACGTGCCCCTCGTTCGCGGCATGGCGCATTTCCTCGTCTGTCAAGTCGTGTACTTTCTGTATGCGCTCGTGCGAGTAGCCCATAGCCAAGGACCATGATTTGGCGATTCGGTCGAGGTTCGTCTCGCGGAACTCCACGTCCTCCATGGTCACACCTGCCATGGCCTCGAGTTATGTCGATTTATGCTTGGGGAACGATACGGGTGGGTATTGCGATGGGAGGGGGTCGCTTTGTTGCTGATGGACGCGGCGCAGTGAGGCTGTAGACTATAATGCGTCCACGGTTAAGTCTGCTGAATGTGCAACGGCAATGATGCGAAGAGGTAGAAGAGGAGAAGAAATTTGAGGAATCCTTTACGACATTTTTCGACGACCGCATCACGACTTCCTCTTGTCGTTCTCAAGGTGCGCGTGCCTCACCCAAGCAAGGCCGACCCTGACCATCAGGGTCCACGACAAGCACTTCGTCATGCGCAGATCGATCCAGCGCAATCGCAAATCCGCAACGAAACAGCTAGCTAGTGGGACCTGAGCAATGCATTGGTCGCCTTGAGTTCCATTGGCAAACCAAGTCTCTTGACTACCTTAAAGGTTCGTCAGATGGAGCTGGAGGGGCAACTGACCACCCCGCTGCCTGACCTTGCGAGGTCGAGGCGTGAATCACCATCAATTCCCTGCACATGACAAACCACGCGAGTGAAGCTTGCGCAATCTTTGCGTACGCAAGGCGGTTGAAAGAAATCAAAGGAATGAATACATTGTACGCTGCGACTCGCTGTGATATGAACCCAATTATAGCGCATAGTTCTCCGTATGCAGGAAGATCTCCTCCAACTCATCATCCCCCCAAATCTCTGCTTGCAGTCGCGCGACCGTCTCGGCCACACCCGTCCGCATCGCGGCGGGCCCGCAGACAAAGACGGCCGTCCTCCTGCCCAGAATGCCCCGTCCGTCGGCGCCACCGGTGGCCCATTCCTTGAGCATGTAGCCTAGATCGGGTCGGCCATACTCCACACTCCAGCCGCCGTCTATCTGGTGCGGCACGGGGAAAGCAAACCGCATCAGATTCTTCTGGAACTCAGTCGGCGTTTCGGGGAATCCAAAGTCAAAGCCGGACGGAGGGCCAAACGTTGACGTCGGACGCTGGCGGTCGCCTGCAGGCGGAATGTTCGTCCTCAAGTGAGCCAGCTCTGGTGCCCGCACAGGGAACTGCTCCTCCGTCGGTGTTTGGGTGAATTCAGGTGGTGGGTGACGCGGCGAGTTCGGTGCGTAGTTGAAGTGAGGCGGATTCTCCTTCTTCATGGGAGGGAAGTGGAACTCGCCCTCGAGGTTATTCTTGTCCTCGGGGTAGTCTTGCCATTGTTGGGCAGTCTTGTTGTCCTCAATGGGTGATATTAGTTTGTTATTGTTGGGCGGTGGCCCAGGTGGGGGAGGAGGGATGTTGTGAGGTTGCATATACTGCTGCTGCGGCAGAGCTGTGATGCGGTCCTCGTTCTCCTCCCTCAGCTCCCGTTCCCTATCTGGGTTGCCCTGCGCTTCGCTGTGGATCATGGCCGAGTTGCGTTTCGACGCAACACCTGCGACGAAGCCGTCTAATTTATCGTGGAACGCATGCGTCAGAGCGCGGTGATGCGCTACGTTAGATTTGATCTCCTGGCCCGGGCGTTGCCTGACGGCCGACGTGACAAAGATCTTGCAGGTCACGCTCTCAGGGGGTGCAGACTCGCGGCAAATGCGCAACTCCTCGCGGAACCAATCCATGGCTTCTAGCCGCTTGATGGCCCAAACCACCACAATCTTGCGGGTGATGGCCTTGCCGTCGCGCATGCGCTTGATCAGGTTCAGCAGCTGACTCATGAGCGCCGTGATACCACTCCCGCCAGCGATGAGGATGCAGGTGTCAAAGGCAGCAAGGTCACGGCGCATGCCGCCGTACGGACCATCGAGGAAGGCTCGGTACGTGTGGAAAGGTCCCTTTTCAATAGCTGTCTCCAGTACGCGCCGGGTAAATCCGCCATATGGCTTGAATACGATGGTGCAGTCGCGGTACTGCTCGCCATACTGCGATGGGAAGTCATCGCTGCATAGAGACGATATTGTGAACGGGTGATTGTCAAAGAACGAAATGCCCGGCATGCGCAGGTAGACAAACTGCCCCGGCTTCCAGCGCATTTGCGTCGGAACGGTGACCTTGATGGCGTTCTCGGCCATGAGGGTGATGGCAGCCTCATCACCCACCATAAACGCCATGCTGCGCCATGGTTTCGTCCAGTTGAGCTTGAAGAAGCGGATTGCGTAGCATAGAACCCAGATGGCCACGCTGGTGTAGAGGTAGCTCCAAGACATGAGATAGTTCTTGGTGTGCCAGAACAGCAGTCCGATGTAGACTGCTGCCACTGGAATGTGCAGCAAGACAAAGGCTTCGTAGGCCACGCGACGGATCCAGGGGAGAGACGCGACGCAGAGCCAGACTAACGGCACAAGACAGGCAATTCCCGTGCCGTAGATCAGTCCACTTCCACCTTCGAAAAGACGCTGAAAGAACTCCATACCACCGTCATCCCACACAGGCTGGATGTAAAACGGTATCGTGTGCACCAATGACAGGAAGAGGCAGATGTATGCCAGCCATCGATGGAATACGTTCAGTCGCTCCGGTCCGATGCCAATGATATAGGACAGTATGTTCGCCTTCATACTTGTCGCAATAATCCAGGGCGTCAGTGCAACAGCCAACATGCCCGACCGAATCGCGACCGGGGGCGATCCGAACTGGATGCTCTCCCAATACAATGGCTGCTGCAGGAACGTATAGAGGGTGACAAATGCGGTGGCGATGACAACGCAGGTCAGAACGGCGAGCGAAGAGAACACTAATCGGTGTTTCCTCCATACCAGGTCCGGAATGGGTCTATAAAACACCCATCGGAAAAGAGCGAGGGCGTCGTTGACGATGCCTACAGAAGAGCCATGCGCCTTGGGTCGGAATGACTTTTCCTGCTCTTCTGCGCCCTCGGGGAAGAAATGCTGCGCCGTTTGACCGGATCGCATCGCGGCGAGGGCGAATTCCGGGTCAATGTTGTACAAATTGCGATAATGCTCCTCGACTTCCTGCTTGTAGATGGCCTGACGGATTTTGTCCTGCCAGAAATGCCACACCCTGACGACGAGAACGCACCCCACGAGCGCGAGCGCAAAGTACGTCCATCCTAGCGCATATTTACCCGAGTCAATCCAGGGGTCGACGGTGTTGGCCTGGACAAGCCCCGGCGGCGAATTGGGTTCGAGAGGGACCTCGATCCGCTTGAACAGCCTGGAGACGCCCGCGGCCACGTTGCGGAGTTGCTGAGGAGCCATATCGACCAGCGAGGCTCCGGTTTGTGATTGAAAAGATGTACAGCCGCAGTGTGGAAATGTCGCTCAGGCGAGCATGAGGACGGAGGACGGCCTGTGGCCGTGTTCCACGGGGTAGCACCAGGGGCAGGAGTCGGACTGCGCAAACTGCTACGTCTTTGAATGCTGAAGATGTCGACAAGTCGCCAATTGCAGGATTGGTATATGCAGCCTGCGATGGCGCTGAGTGTGTATGATGGAGGTCGCTGAGAAGGTCTGTGAGCTCCGGCGCTCAGTAATTAGTCGTCTTGTCGTCTGCAGAATGAGGATGATGAGACGAACATCGTGAAGTGGGTGCTCAGTTCCATTAGATAGTGAGCCCCAAGCCGGTCGGCTGCAGCCGAGGACAGGGTCACTCTGGTCCAGCGGCTGGTGATCCTCTGATATTGGCCGGTTGGAGACCAGGGTCCAGTGTGAAGACGGTGAGGTGGTATGCACTGATGCAGGATGAAGCTCGCCTGTCGGCACGGTTATTGGAGAGCAGCCCCGGCACTAGTTCACGGGAGCCATCGTGAGTCGTGACGGCTGGAGATGAGGCTGATGATAGGCGCTTAATGTGATGGTGGCTGTCGCTTGTCAGGGACAGTTGCCATCTACTCTCTGGTGTGCATGTCTTTGCATTCGTCACACCACTTGCCGTGAACACAAGCAAACGTCGAGGCTGCCATCATTCTGTGAGGGTAGAGCGCACACACACACGGCTTGGGATGCTCCGCAGGATCAACATCTGCTGGTCGCTTGACCTGCATCAACCGCAGGTCCATCATCCGGGGATAGACTTGGGCCGCACCAACCACAACCGGTCCTGGTCAACCACTGAGCAGCGAGGGAAAAGGTCCATGTCGAGAGATTGGGGGCCGTTGGTGGCGGCTTCGGATTGTCGAGTGGCCTGTTGACGACGAATAACGTGCGAGGGCTGGTCGAGTGCAGAAGTCGAAGGAGGTTGGGCGGCAAACAGGGGTCTCTGGTTGGCTCGCGCAGGAAACAGATGTGACCACGCTACGGGTGGTGGGCCTACCCTGCAACCAAGTTGGCCGCTGCATGTGGGATAGGCATTGGCCGCTAATAAAACTGCCCGATGAGCCAGATTGCTTCTGGATTTGGTGTTGAGAAGCACGAATCCGTATGTCGCCCGAACCAACAGTCCCAATTGTGCAGTACCCAGTTGTCGGTGATAGGTACTGACGGCACCGAGCCGCGATCTTGTCTGCACGACCAACAATAATCCTTCTCGACACTAGTCTGATTGGATTTGCTGGGAAGGATGTCAGGATGTACGGACTGCAGGGTCAATCATGGCATTGTGTTACCTTTTCGCTAAAGTGTGTCCGACGCTGGTAGTTTTCCGTCTATACTGGTTGCGCTCTGAAAAGCGCACAATATTCCCGTACCGCATCGACCAGCTGGGCATGCTGAGCCATCGATCATATAGTCATTAATAAGTATACACATCAGCCCTCCCGATACGCTGCCCAACACCCTTCAATGCCCATTCACCATTGTCGCGTCGGGCTGCAATGCCCAGTCCCTCACAGTGCCCTTCCAGTCGCTGATCCGGACATCCTTGATTTCAACCACAATCACGCTGACTTCCGCACCCGCGACAAACTGCGCCGTCCGCTGCTCCTGGCGCTCGACGTTGGTATCCTGACGGAACAGCTGGACGCCCTCCTCGTAGGTGTGGTTCTCCAAGTGCTGATCAACAAAATATTTTTCCTCCTCAGATCCCGGTGCCGCAATCCGTGCGGCACCTCCTATAGTCGCGCTAATGCTTGACAACTGGGAGGTATTAAGATTCAAGAGGAGCGACGCTAATGAGGACGGGGGCTCTGGGACGGGCGAACCGCCGGACGCGCGCCGCGTGTGTGTCGGATTGCGGTGAGATACCCAGTCGTGCACTAGGAGAGAAACAACCGGGTTCGCGCGGATCGATGTAGTCTTGCGGGAGGACGGGTTGGTGGTCATCACAATGACAGGAGCGGACGTATAGGGCGTCGACGGGAGGTACGTGTAGTTCATGAGAGAGACGTGAGGAACATTGTCGCTACATGTAGCGAGATGAAGCTACCTTTTTGTTAGCTGATGTGATGCTGGAGATGAGACTGGATGAAGGCGAGTGAGTGGTGGTGACTGACAAAGCGGGCATTCTCGAGGCATTGAACAACCTCATTCGGAACGCTAGCCGTGATCTGCTTGTGCGTGTCGCCTTCAGAGGCTTCGTAGTTGAGTGGTATCTTGTCCATCTTGGCGGTTTGTTGGTCGTTGATCAGCAAAGTCAATGTCGTCAGAATGGAGCTGGAGCTTGCACTGACATTTCACAAAGGGTACGTACCTACTAGCGCGGGGTGCAGCTGACTAAGGCGGGGAGCTCTTCGCCAACGATTCCCGGTAAGCTCTCGCTCTCACCTGACTCCCCAATAGGGAAGGCCGCATTCCCAGCCATCGGCGCGGTTACTGTCGGCCTCGGCTCCCCGCGGCCGGCTCAGCGATCTGGGGACCAGCACCACGCAAGCACATCCTCTCGAGATCACTTGCCGAACAATCCTGACGAAGTGGAAATTTCGACTCTCATTCCCTTCGCACGCTTTCCCCTCTCCTCTCTCCATACTCAATTCGTCTTCCGTCCTGATCAACTGTCTCCCTCTCCGACAGTGTCTCGAGATGCGGTCCATTCGAAACAAGCGTCTCCCCGTGAGGGCTCGCTACCTCTCGACTGCCACAGCCGCGACAGGCAGCGCCCAACCGAAGCAGACACCGCTGAACTCTGTCCTCATAGCCAATCGTGGTGAGATTGCCATAAGAATCAATAAGACGGCGGAACGCATGGGCATCCGCGCGACAACTGTCTACACCGATGTCGATGCTGCGTCATGGCATGCCTCATCTGGCTTTCAGTCCCTTGCCCTCGGCCCTTCCAATGCCTATCTTGATGGCGACAAGATCATTTCTCTAGCCAAGAAGAACGGCATTCAGGCATTACATCCGGGTTATGGTTTCTTGTCAGAGAATCCCAAGTTTGCCGAGAAGTGCGAGCAGGAGGGCATTGTCTTTGTGGGGCCTCCCGCGAGCGCAATGGCGGACATGGGCCACAAGGCGAGGAGCAAGGAGATCATGACCGATGCGAATGTGCCTTGTGTACCGGGATACCATGGTGCGCAGCAAGGGGAGCAATTTCTGCTCGAGAAGGCCAGGGAAATCGAGTTCCCTGTGCTGCTGAAGAGCGTGAGGGGTGGTGGCGGCAAGGGCATGCGCATCGTCATGACAGAGGAGGAATTCATCCCCCAACTCAACAGCGCCATGGCCGAGGCCAGAGCGTCCTTTGGCGAGGGCGGCGAGGTCATGCTCGTGGAGAAGTACATTGTCCGCCCCAGGCACGTCGAGGTGCAGGTCTTTGCCGACAAGTGGGGAAACACCGTGGCCCTGGGCGAGCGTGATTGTAGTGTGCAGAGGCGACACCAGAAGATCCTCGAGGAGTCCCCTGCCCCGGAGCTGGACGAGGAGGTCCGTCAGGATCTCTGGAACAAGGCCCGCCAGGCTGCTTCGGCCGTGGGCTACGTGGGCGCCGGCACGGTCGAGTTCATCCTCGACAAGGATACCAACAAGTTCTACTTTATGGAGATGAACACTCGCCTGCAAGTCGAGCACCCTGTCACCGAGATGGTCACGGGGCTGGATCTTGTAGAGTGGCAATTCCGCGTCGCAGCCGGCGAGAGTCTGCCCTTGACGCAAGCTGAGGTGGAGGAGAACATGCGCCAGCTTGGCGCCGCCATTGAGGCACGCATCTACGCTGAGAACCCCGAGAAGGGCTTCTTGCCCGACTCTGGCAAGCTGGTGCATGCGTACCTGTCATCTTCATTCGAGTCCGACCCAGACGTCCGCCTGGACTGGGGGTTCAAGTCTGGAAGCACCATCTCCGAGGCCTACGATGGCATGATCGCTAAGCTCATCGTCCGAGGCGAAACACGCGAGCGTGCCATTGCCAAGATGGAGTCCGTCCTCCGTAAGTACCAAGTTGTCGGGGTCAGCACAAACGTGGAGTTCTTGAAGAGGTTATGCCAGACCCCTGCCTTCATTGAAGGAGACGTCGAGACCGGCTTCATCGACAAGTGGAGGGACGCCCTGTTCAAACCCCGTCACATCAAAAACGAAGTGTTTGCGCAAGCCGCTCTAGGCATCGTCAGCAAACAACTACAAAGTGCTCCACCTCAGGGCCTGTCGCTTGGTTTCGGCAGCCAAAGCGCGACCAGCGAGCGCAAGGTGGCCTTCAAGGTGATGGACGGTTACAGCAAAGAGGAAGGCGAGGTTGTCGAAGCCTCGGTCGCTCAGACTGCCCCTTCTATATTCACCATTACCGTCACCCGCAAAGGCGCAGAACCGGAAGCTTTCAGCAACATCACCTCTTCACACAACAACCACGGCGACGTTGTCAGTGTCGAGTCATTCTTCCTTGGTGAGAGGATCAAGTCCTCTGTCGTCCCACAGTCGCTCGAGAACGATATCAAAATCACCATCTTCCAGCACGGCATTAAGACGGACCTCATGCTGCTGCCGCCCAAGTGGTATGAGAAGGAGCTGGGTCTCAAGGAGGTTTCAGCATCTGTCGCAGCGCCAATGCCTTGCAAGGTGCTGAAGAATGAGGTTGAGGAAGGGCAGAAGGTCAAGAAGGGCGCGCCATTGGTCGTGTAAGTTGACACAGCGCCAGGAGCCAAATGAGGCAGGCAGAGACTAACAGCGGCAGCATCGAGTCGATGAAGATGGAGACGGTTATTCGCTCGCCACAAGACGGCGTCATCAAGAAATTGGCGCACAAGGCAGGGGTAAGCTACCTTTTCGCCTCGCTCTAGTTGTTTTACTGACCTTTTGCCAGGACATCTGCAAAGCCGGTACCGTGCTTGTCATGTTCGAGGAGGAGCCTGAAACCAAAGAACCGTAACAGTCATTTTCAAGCGACTAGATGTATAACGATAAATCCAACAAGTCAAGCAAACCGTTCTGTATCGTCTTGGCTCTATTTGTAAGCCCTGTTGTTCTTTGCTGTGCTCTGCTCTGAGAGGCCCGTCCATGTGTGTGATATGCTCAGCCGTGCGCCCCAAACGCCGTATCCCGGTTCACAATGATGCTACGTACTTGCAACCATGCTACCTCGATTTCATCTTGGCGTGCTCCTCGGGGAGATACCTGCTGAGCCTGCTTTTTCTCGCTGCTCGTCGGATTCGCTTCCACCATTCCTCCACACTTTTCCCAAACTTGTCATCACCAGCACCCACATAGGCACCAGCTGTAAATTTATTCAACAAATCTTCCTGCGAAGCCAGCGTGACGAAGCCGAGCACAAAGGCGACCCACGCGAGCGTGCCCTTGGTATTGAGGAACTGGTTGCCGCCGCGAAACTCGACGGTGCCCGTGCAGCGGCCTGTCTTGGGATTCGGAAAGATGTTCTGGAAGTTCCACAGGACGTAGCGGTTTCCTTGCATGTAGAACCACAGCTCCGTCTCGCTGGTCTTGCTCTTGATCTCCGCAGCAATCTTTTGCAGTGCCGCGCCCGACAGCTGTCCGCCAAAGAGGTTCAGGGTGTCGTTCAATCCCGAGTCCAGGCTTCGTGAGTTGGGCACGCAGTACTTGTTCTCGCGCCGCGCCTGGGGGAGGATGGCCGCGACGTAGTCCTGGTAGACAATGGTCGCAAAGGCGATCCTCCGCAGGGAGCGAAAGGAGAACTTGGAGTTCAGGGACATGGGTGTCACGTGGACGTGGCCACCGCAGGATACGTCCTTCTGCGGGTTGAAGTGCACGCGCATGGCTTCCCAGAAGTCGGCGAGGGTCGTGGCGAGATGCATCTGCGTGTTCAATTTGGGAGACACGACCTCCATGCATACTGGCACGTCACTGTTAGCATGGGAGAGACTCACTCGACTACGATGTGGTGGAGAGGGCGCATGTATACGTACCTAGTGGACGCTCGCGCTTGAGGGATCCATCGCGTGTTACGAACCACTTGCCACCGTAGTACTCGGGATGCTTGCTATATCGCGAGTTGTCATCGTGAACAGCCTGGATGCCACGGTTGCGAAGCTTCTGAGCCAGCTGACGATACCAGTCGACGTTTGAGAAGGATTCGGCACCGCCGTACGGTTTGGCGACAGCTTCGATCTCCACGCCGAAATTGTAGTGTCGGACCATGACAACAGTGACTCGCCAGCAGGGCGACTAGACGGATATGGAAAAAGAAAAGTGCATGGGTGATGGCACTGAGATTCAATGTGGGCCAAACGACATGGACTTGTGAATACGTTGTGATAGCTTGCCTTTACATACAGCGTCAGATTGCTGTTCTCCCAACGCAACGTCCACAGCAGCACATGACTATGCACGGGCTGGACTTACCAATGCAGAGCTAGCCTCATCGCATTCGTGAGGCGGTCACCGGGCTTTTGACATGTTGTGTCCAGGGGCAGAAAATCCGATGGTCTCCAGAGTCCCAGACCCATGTCCCCGTCCGCCTGTCGCGGGACCATCCGAGAGCCAGCAAGGACACCCTGGTATTCGGTTGGGTCGCCACGACCTCTGCTTGACTTCTTGGGCCTCGCACAGTCCAGCTCGTGACTCGAGCGTTTTCAGACGTGGTACACGGCGATTGGTCGTTGGCCAGTGCAGCGACGGCCCTTTTCGCTGCCCAATTCATGCAGGAGATGCTCCACATCCGGGTCGACTCCCTAGACGCCATCACGTTCCTTGCCCTTAATCGATTCGAATCCGAAGAGCAGTCGAGCATGTCTCACGCAAGTGTGTCTTTACCACCAAATCAGCGACTTATTAATCCCTCGGCGTAATGACGTCCCAAGCCATCTCCAAGGCGCCTCGGCCTGCAGGCGGACCAACCACCTTATACTTTGCTTACGGCAGCAACCTCCATCTGAAGCAGATGAAGAGACGGTGTCCGAACAGCAAATACATCGGGAGAGCCCGTCTCACCAACTATCGCTGGCAGATCAACGAGCGTGGCTATGCCAACGTTCTTGAAGAGGATGGCCACTGGGTCGATGGTCTGGTATATGAGATCAACCCGGTCGACGAAGCCAAGCTGGATATCAACGAAGGCGTATCCAAGAACGCCTACATGAAGCGTAGTCTCAAGGTTCACCTGCATCGCGCCCCAAGCACGTTGTATCGCCGCCCGGTTTCCTGGATCGTAAATCAGGGTGGTCCCGCCAAGATCGCTCGACAGGCCAAAGCGGATGGCCACAAGTATGCCGAGCACCAGGAGCACTGGGTACAGGATGTTCTCGTATACATCAGCCTCAACTATATCCAGGACAGCGCACCCAAGGAGGAATATGTGAACCGCATCAATCTTGGCCTGGCTGATGCAAAGGCCCTCGGTATGGATCAAGACTACATCAGCAACTGCATCCGCCCGTCCATCCCAGCGCCAGAGGCCAAAGGAACCGGAGAGCGGGATATACTGAACCCAGCACCTCGGGGTCAGAAGCGCACAGCATCCCCGAGGATTCCTTCTCCGGCTCGTCGAGGTCATCCGCCCAGCTCCCCAGGAAAACAATCTCGCCAGGCGACCCAAAGTCCCGCCCCAAGACGAAGGGCCAATTCCGGGCCCCCTCCCTTGCCTCCACGACCGTCCTCAGCGCGACCCGTTGTTCGATACTCGGATGTCCCCGTCATTGTTGTTGAAGAGTTCTCATACTCGACGTACTCAGCCTAAGGATGGCGCCACTATTCCATTGAATACAAACGTCCGGGAAACAAATTCAATCTTGAGCTGTTTGTGCCGTCGTGCTCGGTGTTTTGATATGCCGGCTATCGTATAGTTACGACGCTCATCGCCTGCGACTCGGAGGTATTGTGGTTTGAGACTCTGCATTCTGTCAGTCATGCTGTGTGCTGGCGGTGAATGTAGTGCTGACTCCTCGGATTGGCTGTTTTCGCGCTTGCGTCCCGCGCAGGAGGTCCTCCTGAGGAATCCCAAAGCCATCGCATTACAGTCGCTTTCTGGGGCGGTTGGGGCGGGTCGGTCTGCCCACTGTATACCAACACGGTTGGCCGGCAAATGGCCTTCAATGTCATCTTCTTGCCGCCGTCGATTCTCTCCACAAACAGCCCGGGGGCCACGTCGAACATGTAGGACACCTTTCTTCGAGCTGGTGAGTCGGGACCTGTGCCGCTGAGGTCCATGACGGTCCCTCCCGTCGCGAGGTTCAGGCACTCGTACACTTCTAGTCGCGACCATGCTCCTCGGGCAGGCCATTTCAAGGAGAACAAATTGGAGGCTAGGTGCAGTTGGTGCGCTAGATCAGCAGCTGGCTCAACAACGCTTCGCCGTAGGGAGCCCTGCAGATCGGACGCCGTAGCCTTGGGTGCGACCACCGACAGAAGTGCGGCAAGATCCTCAGAGACAAGGTTGATGTATCTCACGCGCCGGTTCTTGAAACCCTGTTGGCTCGTCAGTGCGATCAGTGTCTCGGTCCTCCAGTGCCGGCAGTGCGCCGCATCTGTGTAGTTTGTTAGCTTGCAATACCAAAACGTACATCCACTCACCTCGAGGCAACTTGGACATGCTGGATTCGAGATCATTGATGAAGGCCAGCGTGGCATCGCCCTCATAGTCGTCCAATGGGCTGTAGAACGATTTGGTGAAGAAAACCAAGCAGAGATAGTTCATGATGATGGCAATGACATGATAACCATCCGACTGATCCAGATCCACACCGCGCTTGGCCGCTTCCTTCATGAAAGACACGAATCGTGCGCTTTGGGGAGGCGCAGGCCTGCCCTTCAGACGACCTTGATCGAGATCCTCAAGAATGACTCTGGTGCGATTGTCAACCCATCGCTGTACATTGCCGCACAATAATCGATATCCTTCGACAGCATCCGCCTCTGTGATATCTTTACGCGTCGGCTGTAATTTGAATATCTGGTCCTTGGCGTCGGCCAATTGCTTGTCCCGGGCTTTCGTTTGACCCCGAGCCTCGTGAACCTGAGTCTGCAGCGCAGCAAGTTCCCGTTTGAGGCCTTCGATTTCAGAAGCCATTTGTCGCTTCTCAGACTGTTGGGCTTCTAACTCCAGCTGTCGTGAGTCGAGCACCTGCTCAGTGTAGCGACGGAGACGTATCTCATCAGCCAATTTCCCTTCCAACATGGCCGCAGAATCTGCCAGTTGCGCAAGCTGCGCCTGGTCGCCATCGCCTTCGAGGACCTCCATCGCCCCATCCATCGCATCAGACTTGATATCTGAACTCATTTCGGCTTCGTCTTCATAGGAAAATGGTGGATTCGAGGGGTCCTGGGCGCTGTTCAACGACCGGGCCTCAATAAAGGAAGGTGCAATTGGAGTCCTGCCGCCCGGTCATGGTTGGAACACCACGCCGCAGCCTCACACAAGGGTTGGTCAATGATGAACGGTTTTGGGCCTTCCAGATGCGCGGCAAAGTCTTCCTGGTGTTGCAGCAAAGTCAATCAATGAGCGGTGTCAGCGGCCAGGCCCCTGCTCCACCAGCGGCAATGTGGGTGCATGCCACTCTGCATGAAGGCCTAACCGACAGTAATGTTTGCGTGACCTCCCTCGTGACCCAATACTGTAACTATCCGAGTATGTGGTGGCTGGTCGAGTCCGCCATCAACGCACGACAGCCGCATTGAGGTCCGAGATGCGAAGCCAGGTAGTTAACCCAGTCTCGCCCGAATCTGCTCCAGGCGGCTTAGTCAGTGCACCGTCAAAGCAATGTTTAATACTCGCGACAAATCGAGGGTAGCCTTGGGGTTTCCAGGTGCGACTCGCCGGCCGTCCCAGGATACAATGAAGGAACGAAGAATTGTTGTGTCGATTGACTTTGGGACAACATACTCGGGTGTCGCATGGGCAGAAACTAGTCGGGTAAGACTGCTGCTTGCGGTGCGTTTCCTGTGCGTAGCTAAGATATAGCAGCCCGATGTCCAGCATGTCGTGTCAGACTGGCCATCGACAAGCTCGTTCACTAATAGTGCCAAGGTGCCGACAGAGCTGCGCAAAGTCGCTTCCGGATGGCAATGGGGATTCCAAATACCGGAATCTTCAAAAAGAGTCAGATTCTTCAAGCTGTTGGTGGTCGAGTTCCTATTCGAGAATGTCGCTAACTTTGCCAGAAAACTGGACGAGCCTCATAAAGCCAACAAGGATGGCGAGACGCCGGAAGAGTTGACCAGGCTGTACCTGTCGTGCCTCCATACACACTTCATCAGCATTATGGAAAAGAGGCTTTCCCCCAGTGTGGTCCGATCGACGCCGATGGATTTTGTAGTGACTGTACCTGCGATATGGTCAAACGCAGCCAAGGAGGCCACAGAGAGGGCGGCAGCCATGGCTGGTTTTTGCGGCAACCAGAGAATACATTTGATATCCGAGCCGGTGCGTTTCACTCCTGCTGTGGCTCAGACTGTCGTCTAACCGAAATGCAGGAAGCTGCAGCACTCTATACCCTCAAAAACATGAATCCATCGTCTTTGCAGCTAGGTAAGCGATTCGTGGTATGTGATGCTGGTGGAGGAACGGTCGACTTGATCACCTACGAGGTGACCCATGTCGACAAGCTCGAGCTCAAGGAAGTCACCGAGGGTACTGGTGGTAAATGCGGATCTTCTATGTTGAACAAGCGGTTCCGGAGGCACCTCAAGCAGACCCATGGCGACAAGCATTGGACAGATGACCGTCTTGTACATGCGATGAACGAGTTCGAACTGGTTTGTGACACAAAGTTCTGCATGCTGATGTCCACTAACACACGTTAGTTCAAAAAGACCTTCAACCCCAGGTCAGAACCGCTCACGCTCAATGTGGATGCGAGTTTAGGCATGCGTCGAAATCGATACACGATGCCACAAGATGACATGAAAGTGAAGATATTTGACCCTATCATGAAAGACATCGTTTGCTTGATCAAGGAACAGATCGCCATGGCCGAAGATGAAGTGACAGCAGTAGTCTTGGTCGGCGGATTCGGTCAGAGCAAGTACCTCAGAGCGCGTGTTCGTGACGCCATTGCTTCCGGAACACAAGTACTACAGCCAGAGAGCGGTTGGGTTGCGGTGGTGAAGGGGGCCGTTATCCATGGTCTTGCCCAATATGGCCCCTCGATGGCCCCAGTCGAGGTGGCTTCACGCGTGGCGAGACGCTCCTACGGCACATGTCTGCTCACCAAGTATGACATGATGAGGCATGACGCCCGAGAAGCGTAAGTACCATGGACAAATTGTTTGTCGTACCCGGTTGCTGATGTACGCAGATTCTGGTCCGAGAAGGAGGAGGAAATGGTGGTCGCTGAGATGCTGTGGTTCATTCGCAAGGGCCAGTCGTACCCAGAAGGTCGGCCATCAATCATCGACTACCAGTGCGACCTTCCTGTGGACATACACGGCCACAGACCGCAGACGGAGATTGAGATCTATTGCAACGATGAGGCAAAGCCACCCCTGCATCTGGACGACTATTCGCGGTGCGTGGCCACATTGTCCTTGGACTTGGGTCGAATATCCAATGGTGTCAAGCGCGCTGCGGAGATCACGCAGCTCGGGTATCATCGATATTACTCCCTTGAAGGCGCCATTGAGGCCAGGTACGAATCCGCAAAGATCACGTACACGGTTAAGCTCGGAGGTCAGTACCCCTTCTCGTCGTACGCTCGTGCTAACGTTCCAGGTGTCACGCATGACATGGTGACTGTCAAATATGAGCGATGATAGTATAAATGAAGCATGTTCCCCAGTCTCCCGGATTGGGCTGTACACATGCAAGCAGTTGTGTCCATGCTTGTAGGAAATTCGCAATAGGATGATCGGGTGAAGTTATGGAAAGTACACGCCGAGTCACGTGGTCCCGCGTTTGCCCCTCCCTCCAATTGTCGCGTCTTCCACTTTCTTCGTACAGCGCTGTCCGTACCTAAACCAACATCATACCTCCGCGTTAGCAGCAATTTTGCATGATGCCTGGACGACAATGGCGCACGCCCCAGGTCCACGAGGCCTTGATCACGGTCAACCATACGGCGGGCCGCCTCCGTCGACTTTAGCTGCCCAACTAGTCGAGGATATTGCACCATCAACAAAGTCCTCGACAAGATCCGACGAAAATGCCGAGCTCAAAGGCTTTTTCGCCAAAATCCAGAGAATCAAAGACGATCCGCAGCTTCTCAAGACTCTAGGAGACCGCGTGGAGCACAATCACATGCTGATCTACGTCTACTGCCGCGCCGTTCTCGAAATGATAAAGCTCGACGACCCGTTTCTCGATCGATCCCATGTACGCACAGAGGTCTTGAAAGCCATCAACTTTCTCCGTTTCACAATCAAAGAGACTCCAAGCGTGTTAGCTTATTGCGCGGATAGCAGTGCATTCTTGTATCGTGGACAAGAACCACTCTGGACATGGCTCCTCCCACAGTTGCTGCGCCTACTTGGGCATCCCCAGTGTCTAGAGCTAGAGGGGTCTCTCGAGGGCTTCTTACAATACATGCTTCTTGTAGTTGCTGGGAGCGAAACCTTGAAAGTTGCGGTTCCCCACCTCGGCCTTTTCCTCCGATCCTCTCTGACCAGTATCCTCGACTACCTACAAGATGGCTCGCACATTCCTTCACGATCGGATAAGCCAGTCAACATTTGTCTCCCCAGTTCAATGGTTCTAGCTCAGATCCTCGGCTCTGGATGGTTTCAAGATTGCCGCGACACTACCTA